TCTTGGTCACCGTCCTACGGTCCAAGTCTCAGGAGTTCTTTGAACAATTATCGAGTCTCGTTGGCTCTCTTTTCTTCCTATCGCCGTTCGCAAGGTGTCATCTATCTTTGCGTATGTATCTTACGTTTGTGTCACGAATTAAGCCAACAGGACAGCTGCAGGTGGGACAACCCGACGGGTGGCGCAGGGCGCACCCGAACCAATCATTTAGGACCAATGAGAAGGAGCTCTAAGGTGCTCTAGAGAGCAGACGAGAGCTTCAGGAGCTAAGCCAATCAACGCGAGGAAATGGAAGCTCTCGATGGAGTCAACAGAGCACCGAGCTCTAGGGAGCTCTATAGAGCACATGAGAGCACCCAAAGATAGCCAGTATATAGTCACTCGTTCTGGAGGACTCTGGGAGTTCTCCAGTGAGCAATACAAGCAATAGCCCACACCTATTGTGCAGACATTGCGACAAGCATTGTTGTGAACCCTTTGGCTTCACCGAGACCTACAGTCCGACCAGCAGATACCTTCGACCGGCGAACCCTTTCAGAGGCAGGACTGCCTGTGGTTTCGTCACAGTTTGTAATGTTCTTAGAGCTTCGCTTATATATAGATTAAGTAATCCTTGCTCTTATATTATCGAGTGCTATTGGGCTACTGCTAATAGTCTTCTGGCTAGGTTCTTTGCGGTATTACCCTGATTCTATTGTATATGTTGGTCCTCTCGACCTTCTATAGGAACTAGTCGGCGCCGGTCCCTGCATGTCACGAACCAACCATATAGCAAGACCCGGTGGGGCACGACGGAAACAGGCAGAACCAATCAGCAGGGGTAAAAGCCGCAGGCGGCCGCATAAGGACGACCTGGGTAGCTCAGGGTCGCCGGCGAGCGAGAGCGATCATGATAGACTTGGGTAGCCGCCTACCCAAGGCGATCGAGGGTAGACCACGGTAGCCGTCGAACGACGGCGAGCCAACAGGATCGGCTAGGTATATAGTCATTCGTTCTGGAGGACTCTGGGAGTTCTCCAGTGAGCAATATTACAAGCAATAGCCCATACCTATTGTGCAGACATTGCGGCAAGCATTGTTGTGAACCTTTTAGCTTCACCGAGACCTACAGTCTGACCAGCAGTTACCTTCGACCGGCGAACCCTTTCAGAGGCAGGACTGCCTGTGGTTTCGTCACACTGCATCCTAAACCTATAGGACTAGTCAAGGTTCTCTATTTCGGTCGGTAGGCCTATCGGGCCAAAAGTCGTTGTCAAATTTTAATCGAAAATAGTATCGACATTTGTATACGATATATTAGAACCATAGAACGTAGATATAGTTATATCGCTAAGGTTGGAGTCGGAGTACGTCTCGTTCGTAGGGTTCGTAGCATAGGCCGAATCTAATCCAGATGTATACCGTATTGCTATCCCCAACGCTGTTATATAGCTTCTTATTCTAAAAAGTATCCCAATCTTATAGTTCCTGTCCCTTGAGTCTTCGCTAGTTCTAGGCCTTCTGGTATTCAGCCTCGGGGTTCTTGATTCCACTATTTCTCCTATCCTGGCCTTGGCCCTATGCCGGCCTATCCTATAAGTTCAAGTACTGTTCTTCCTAGACCCTGACTAACTTGGCCTTAATGAATTCCAGCTGGCTTATAGCCTGTGCTTTTTCTTCTGTAAGCCTTTGGGTAACCGTCTGTCACGAGGGCCGTCGTTCAAGGCCAGGGTCAAGCCTCTGGTGGTAAACTGACTGCATTGCAAGAATATTGAACTTGCAGGAGGAAAGGAATCCTCGAAGACTGCAAGGTGCGAAGAAGTCTAAATACAGGATGTGGAGCATGTGCCCAGATGTGGAATGTGGGGCACCAACCAGGTTGACCAATCAATGGCCTGTGCCATGGTACGGTGGGTTCCACCGTCACAACCCCCCCCGGAACAGAAGACTCGCCTCGAGTCTTCCAATACAGCCGAATCCACCAAGTACATCATCCACACATACTAATCAATCGTACAAATCGCCGTTGTCATCGCCAGAGTCCTCCTCCAGAGCCTTCTTCATCGACCGGGGCTCAGGGACCATACCATACCTCGGCATATCCATAGCTGCAATGTCCACCGTGTTCAAATCCATCGGTTCACCCTTGTTGTGATTGGCATTGAAGGGCTTGGGGTTACCGGAACCGTGGTAACGTGTGTTGAGCTTCTGGAGCATTGCGACAAAGCCGTTGTAATCGTCGGGTACGATGACCTGGGCATCGAGCCGGGAGCGGGCTGATTTGTTCAAGCCACGACGAAGCATAGCGATCTTGGTATTGTCGGGCCATGTGTTCGCCTTAGCCGCGTAAAGTAGCCGTTCGAACCGGGCCAGGAAAACCGGAAGCGAATCGTCGTCGGCTTGTTTTAAGGCTTGTAGTTTGTCTTCGGCATCGCGCACTGCTTCGTGTCTTCGGCAACGGCCAACTGCGGTGTAACGAGCGCCTGAACCTTGCTATCAAGACGACCGTACACATAGAAAAACTGGGCTTCCGGAGCTCCTATAGCTTGACCGTCGATACGGAGCTTGGCTTGAATAGCCGGAAACCAGGTATCCCAATGGTAGGTGCCAGAGAATTTGTCGGGGTCGGGGAGGCTCGGCTTGGGCTTGCGGGCCGACTTGGTCCTCAAGTCGGTAAGCTCCTTTGTCAAGGCTTGAATCTGGGCTTCGTGGTTCTGAATAACCTGCTGCATGTGCTGAAGGGGGTCCATCTTGCAGGTCGGTTGTTGTTCGTGTTCGTTGTTGAATGCAGGTGCGAGAAAAAGAGGGCTCTTGCAATTCGGGATTCAGCCGGTCGGTCCACACACTTCTAATTACCACACAACCCATATGCAGGGAAAGAAGGTCGGAAACTGCCGCGCTTGCAATGAATACCGAAGACCCTTGAAGAAATGGCACTTCCAATTACCACCGTAACCCTTTAGTGCCAGGGAAGGAAGGCCCGAAGTGATGAATAAGGTGAAAAAATTCCGGGTGCCGACGGGGGGCTCTAGGTGCAGGCTCCGTAGTTGTTCGAATACGTGGTCAGGCCTCCGCTAAGACGATGTACTACGTGCTCGGTCGACTAGGCACGGGTCGGTTCGGAAGGTCGTAGCCGTTACGATGAATTGCCTGGCTAGGTACGCAATCCAAAGGAAGTTCAATATTGTCACGAGGGCCGTCGTTCAAGGCCAGGGTCAAGCCTCTGGTGGTAAACTGACTGCATTGCAAGAATATTGAACTTGCAGGAGGAAAGGAATCCTCGAAGACTGCAAGGTGCGAAGAAGTCTAAATACAGGATGTGGAGCATGTGCCCAGATGTGGAATGTGGGGCACCAACCAGGTTGACCAATCAATGGCCTGTGCCATGGTACGGTGGGTTCCACCGTCACACCGTCCGAAGCTTAGCTTGCTCCTCCTTAGCTTCCTAAAGGTGCTAAGGAAGAAAGATAGGGTTCGGGCTAATAGGTTTGTCGCTCGATTGCCGTATCCTCCATTGACCTTCTTCGTTCTAAGTTATAGTCAGGGTTCAAAAGTCTGTCACACCCCACATCAAAATCCCCCGCCACCCGTTTTCTAGGTCACTACAACTATCAACATATCTCTACATAACGCAACACCACCAATATTCCTAGCAAAATAGATATATACAGATAGAAGCCCTGGTTATAGCCATCAATATTTTGTATACCAACCCTAGCTTTCTAGACTACAGCCAATCGCCGGGGTATTGAGTCAATGAGACTGTCAATTTGAGCCTAGTTAATTGCCCACTAACATGCCCGAAGACATCGAGTAAACTTAGCCATATCTAGCTGGCTTTTCTTGAGTAACTAGACATCTGGATATAACTGCTTCATCCTCCGTTTTAATAGAGCCTATATATGCTCGATTGGATTAAGATCTGGGCTGTAGGCTGGCCAGTCGGGTAGGACCTCGATCATGTGCTTCATCAGCCACTCGGTCGAGGATATAGATGTATGTACTCGGGCATTATCCTGCTAGAAGTGCCGAGTACCATCGTAAATTAGAAGAAGACCCTTTTCCAATGCCTGCTGATAACTCCAAGAGCTATATCCTCCTTTTTGCGGTGGTTGGTAGTCACGTTCCATGACAATAAGGTCGGTCCTCCCCCCTTTCCAAATGCTACCCCAAATCATAATCGAAATCGTACCTTTGCCGTAGCTCTGGAGGTTGACGAAGCTCTTATCCCATTTTTAAGAAGGGAACCGGAAGACCCAAGTTATTGGGTTACTCGAATTATTTTAGCAAGACGATTCGTCGGTAAAGATAGACTAGAGGTTAGTTAGTAAAATCCAAGGTTGACTTCCAAGTCACTTACTCGGATCAAGATCTCGATATCCTTCAACCAAAGGCAAGCAAATTGATATCTATCCTTTGCTACTGCCTTCGTCAATGGGATTCTCTTTTATATACGCCACTTGCGCATCCGATGATGGCGAAGAACCCGGTGTATCGTTGATCGGGAGATACGGCCGTCTATAGTGTTGACCAGCATCTAGGTTGTAAGCTGGGGACGCCGTTTAGCTAATTGTAGGTTATACCGCTTTTCCCGACATGTAAGAATCTCTGGCCGGCCTATTCGAGGCTTGGACTCAACAGTGGTGGATGATTCGAACCGTTGAAGGATGTGGTAGACAGCCGTCCTGTCGATGCGAAACGCGCGGGCAATAGCTGACTGGCTAGCCCCGGCTGCAACGGCTCCTATAATAGCTGCACGTGCAGTCGGTGATAGTTCCTGGCCAGGTTGACGGCCGGCCGTCAATTTGGCCCCGATTTCGGCCAAATTGACCATGGTGGGCTAAAGTTGGGTTGGTTAGAAGATGGAAGATGGTGCGTGTCATGTCGCGACGCGCGTTTAATTGATGTGGGGTGTGACAGACTTTTGAACCCTGACTGTAATTTGGTTATTTTATCATAATAAATGCGCGGACCCGCGCACCTGTTGGAGCCTATGCGTACTTCGTACATAGGTACTGTACATACAATATGCATCGGGAATGGATCTTCACGAGACCGCGCGTGCTTGCATTGAGTCATTCAGCCCCACCAGCGAACCAACAGTGCCAAAGAGAAAGTACAGATTACCTGGATCACGACAACCACCGCGCCGCTCCCGTCTCTGCAGAACTCAGGTCGCTAGGACATGTCGTCTTCGCACGAAGCGCCGAGCCAACTTACAGGTTACGGCCCATGGCCTACGGTACGTAACACTTTCGTCCCGACGCGTAAGTCGTACCGCTGAGTATTGGGGTGCAGGACGACCTGCCTGTCGACGAGATCATCGCCACAGAGGGCGCCTGCTTGCACCCTCGGCCGCCAACTCCTGTCTACTGGAAGAACGTCTCTCCGGACTTTCACAGACGCCTCTGTTGGATTTTGCGTCTCGTTAAAAACGTACAGGAATACAGATGCCGCAAATACGGCAAGGAAGCCGCTGAGGAATGGCGCGTGCACCACACACCTCCCGAGCTGCGCCAAAAGTACCGCGACGAGCTTGAAGCAATGATAGATGCCGCGAACGCCTCTAGTTCCCCGAGCCCTTCGCCCTGCGATAACCCGACCGATGAGAAGTTGTTGCCGTCGCAGAAGCAGGCGGTCTGCAGCCAGTCTTCTCGACGGCTGCCTCTCGCGACACCATCGACCTCCGATGCCAATATAGATGTTCCCGCCGCGGCTGATACAGCCCTCGACGCCTTCCCACGACGGAAGCGACGGCTCTCTACTGAACCGCCAATTGCAGCAGTCCCACAAGGCGACCCGCCTGTGTCTACCCCGGGCGAATTGCCGGGCCCGCCGCCACGGAAGAGAAGGAGGGTTGCGTCCGGGAACAGCGCGGATGGCGGTGTTACTACGGACATGAACACCGATGACGCCGAAGCACCGGGTGCGGACGTGGACCGACTTGCCAAGCGGCGCTTTGCCAAATCCCGGGAGACGAAACCGGCCGCAGCAGCTCCGGCGGAAGGACTGACGAGGAGTGCGCGCATCGCCGCGTTGGCGCGGAAGAACTACAAGGTGTGAGAGGAGCCGTCAAACATCACATGATGAAAGAACTCGAATCCCGACAGGAGCACGACCAGCGGGGAGTGTTGTGCCGGGCCGTAGCCCCGTGTGCTCTTTCGTGACCGCCACGATACCCGAAGAGCCCGCGGGCTCTCTGGTTACAGAGCGGGGGCAGTATTGAGGTAAGAGGCGGCGGAGTTACGTGGAAGTGCTGGCACTGCGGGGGATGTCCTCGGCGAGAAGCATCCCGACAAGGCCCGGAGCATGGCGTCACTGGCCACGACGTACCACGCCCAGGGGAGGTACGAGGAGGCGGGGAGCACCAAGGTGGAAGTGTTGGCACTGCGGCGCGACGTCCTCGGCGAGAAGCATCCCGACACTCTCCAGGCCATACACGACCTCGCCATTACCTGGAATAGCCGACAGCGACGTCCTGAGGCGTTGGCTATTAACCCTAAGCATTGCCGTATTGGGCTTCGTTTAAGGCTGTAGAGAGTTGCCAAACGTATGTCGAACAGCGTCTGAGGTTTTGGTGTGTGGCTGCTGTAAGTGGTAGGGCTTCCGGATGTGGTTAGACACCGGCGAACCAAAAGGGGACACCGTTGTTTTAAACATAGTGCCCCGAGATATGCACTTTATGTGTAAAGGTTCGTAAGGTTCTGTATGCTCTGCAAGCCTGCATGTCTGCAAGGCTACAAGACTTGCTCTGTCAGCAAGGTTTGCACAAGACGTTGCCAAGACTTCCGTGAACTCGAAGTTCTGGGCAAGAGCCATACAAGCCAAATAAGCCGCCACATATTCCCGCTAACGTATATAGTCCTATACACATTCAGGCTTCGAGGACACTCACACCCTAGCTTTACCCAAAGGTCCTATGTGTGATAGTCAAAGTATCCTCTCCAATCCCTTATCATACCTCCCATTCACAAACCAGTTTCACTCCGCCAGGTTCTTCAATGCGTCCTCAAAGCTGTTGCCGATAAGCCGCTCAAAGACTTCGGTATAGCGCGCCTTTGTCTTCTCTACGACCTCGGGGGGCATCTCGACGTCCGGCTTCCCTTTCTGTATTACGGGCAGGGTCAGCATTGGTCCCGTCAGCAATATGCGCAGCGTTGATCTCCCAAACGTACCAGGCCGTGGTCTGTCAACCAGTTTCGGAGCACCTGCTTGTCGACTGCTAAGATGTTAGCATACCGACTCGGATCTCTCCCGCTTTGAGGTGGTTGTGAATCAACTCCCGAAGGTCGCTTTTCACTTACAAGAGTCCTGTTCGCGTCCGACTACAAGGGCTGTTAGCACTTTCTTTTTCTCCGCTACACTACACTACCTGTAGACAGAAGATATATTGTTCTGGGGGGTGTTGGGGCCGACATACCTTGGTAATCGGCTCTGCTCCAGAAGCGCGAGGAATCAGGCCTGGGAAAGGCCTCCATGTCAATCGAACGGCATAACAAATGTTGGGGTACTAAATCCGTCTCCTCTCCCAGTGACACGCTCGGATCCGAAGACACTTACGTCAAAACCTCGTCAACAAGATAGATCTCGTCGGTCACGTCGTCCAAGCCGAACTCAAACTTGGTGTCGGCCTTCGGTAACACCGTGACGTCAGCAAGACGTCTCTTCGTGGAGGGGTAATAATTGAGGGAGCTATCTGGTAGGTAGGTAGGTAGGTAAGCGCGCTTACAATGATAATACCACGTTCCTCGGCATACGCAGCGCCGGCCTTGTAGCAAGCGAGCGCGAGCTCCTCGATGCGGGAGGCATACTTGTCGCCCACAAGCTTCCGCGCCTCCTCGGGGGAAATGTTGATGTCCTTGTCGCCCAGCTCGGCCTTGGTGGAGGGCGTGTAGATGGGTTCAGGGAGACGTTCGCAGCGGCGCAGGCCGGCGGGCTGCGGGAGTCCGTGGATGGTCTGGGTCTTTTCATACCTGCGGGGATACCAGTTAGTGGTCCCGTTGGATAGTTATGTGCCGGGGCCGCACTGGGGTTTGCTTACTCTGCCCAAGCGCTGCCCGTCACGTAGCCACGCACTGTCGGGATGGGAGGTTAGCTTATGGCGCAGGCACCTTTTGATACCTACCTAGTAATAGGGGGACCTGCCAATGGCTTCAATAGGGAAGATCTTGAGACGTCTGAGGACAAAGAGTTAGCCTAGACTAGATATAAGACAAGGGAGTTCCTGGCTCGAAGCTGTACCGAACGGTCATCGACCGGCCCCGAAGCATGTTCTTCTCATCTTCCGTGATGAGGCCCGGCGAAGTCGGCGGGCCCAGGTGGAGGAAGTGGTGCTTCAGGCCCGGGACCCGGGATGAAAGAATCTCAAACCATTTGGCCGACAGCAAGGTCAAGATGACGCCCTTGGTGGGAATACCGTTCTGCAGTGCATCTGGTTAATCATGTGAAGGGGGGAGGCTATGCTGGCGATACTTACCTTGAGGATGACGTCATAAGCGCTGATACGGTCTTGTGAATCGGTCAGTAAAATGGAATCGAGTCAATGGGAACCTACGACTCAGCGGTGGGAAGCGTACCTGAAGTCACAAAGAGGAGAGTGGGCTTGTCGCCGTCGGGGAGGGAAAAGAGATCCCTGTGGGGATCGAATGTCAGTATCATTTACACCAGCTGGGCAGGGGTGCCGCCCAAGCACACTGGCGCATATCACGCATGGCCTGCTTCACAACGGTGTTGTCGTATCCCCGAGTAACCTCGACAAATTCACTTATTGAAAGGACCAGCTCATACCTGACTTTGCCCTGAGATATTTTAGGCAGAGAAGTCAGTTGCATGTCAGTGAGGACCTCGGCAGCCATTTTGGTTGGTGTTGTGATTTGTTGTGATGTCGGGTTAAAGATCGTCGTTGATGGTGATGGTGCGGGAGAAAGGTTTGCAGGTAGTTTCGATTGAGATACAAAGTAGGAAATCAAAGCCCTTGATGAATTGGAAAACAATTCGCGTGTTCCCACGTTATGCCTCTGTCCTGTCGACTGTTCATTGCATGCTCACATGAAAATCTTGACGAGGGGTGGACGCGATATCGGTGCGCGGGGCAGCCAAGTGGAGCCACACAGCGCGTGAAATTGCCGCGTCTGGGCCTCCGACTTCAACCGTCGAACATCGATCTCGAGAACGAAAGACAACCTAGAGCAAGAGAAGAAGCCCAAGGCAAAGGGGCCCGTGTGCTTGTGCCATGTACAAAGTTTTATGCCGAGATTGTGATCAAGTAATATACTCGCGAAGTAGTACTCACGGGGACCCGGACCCTTCGTTCGGTTCTACGGATTTCAGGATTCCACTCAAGGCGCGAATGGAGTGGTCCTCGAACGGTAGTGGCCGTTGACAGAACACTTCAGTAAGACACATAGAAGTTACGTCCAACCAGCCTTCGATGTACCTCGTAGGCCGTGTTGTCTGGCTGCCGCAAACCCTTAGACACAGGGTTCGGCCGCTCGGCGATGAAAACTAAGCCGTCGTTAGACTCTCTCAATTCCTGGATGGTGTCCTCAAACCAGGTTGTTAAAGTGCAATGGTAAAACGCCTGAGAACTGGTGAAGAGTAAAGGACATTTTTGAGAAGAGCTTCTCTTGAAGGCATGCACCATGCTCTGGTCTCTCACCACGACTCGACCAAGGCTCTACCGAATGTGCGATTCGCGTTGATGTACGTCGTGGGGACATGTTTGAGTATGATTTGTGGAGTCCCGCGAGGGTTACTGATACCTAGAGGCCGGAATGCCATTGTCGGCACCATCAGTGTCCCTGACAATGGTCAAGATGGCGGAGCTGTAGATCGAGTCCATACATTCATGTGCTGCAACAACTGGTCCTCGTTATCCTGCAATACCCACACAGCATCGATCCAGATATAGTAAGCGATGATATAGGGCGCTTAACAACGATAAGGGCGTTCTTGAAGCCTAAGGTCCGCGATACTTCTCCCCTGCTTGGCGCCAATGCCCCGACCGTGGAAACCTGCTCCATAGCCCGAGTGGTCAGGACTCAGGGGGATACGCTTTGCACGGCCTCAGACCTAACTCAAAGCAGCGAATATATGTTGGTCCTAAGCCAGGACAGTGCGGTATTTCTTAATGTCAATCAAGCGGAAGATATGAATCTTCTGCCGGGACTTTAGCATATAACCTTCATCCCAGAGGGGGTGTCGACTACCAACTGTATGACACGGCCCCAGCCGTCAATCCGGCGGGCACAGCAAGCATTACCTCTCCTTCCAGTGATCTCGCCATTCACGAACGTCGACGTCGCGGATCCACTGAATACCTAGGTATGCTGTTTGCATTTCTTCTGCGAAGCTACCAGGTAACATCTCGACTCTAATTAGTACGTGTTCTCTTCCTACAATCCGCTCACTCCGTCCCGGGGATCGTGTTCTCCCCGCGCTTGATCTTCTCCTCATACTCGGTGAACGTCTCAATCCCCTTGGGCACGCCGTTCCACTGCAAGCCCTGGTCATCCATCAACTTCGCCCTCTTCTCCATCGCCCTCGTCCAGCTCGGCAGCGCCACCATCCTCTCATGCCACGCGCGCACATGCGGGAAACCCTCCCACACCTCGTCCCAGCTACTCGCCGCCAGCACCTCAACCAGCCGGAAATTCCACGGCATGAACGCCATGTCGGCAAACGTCATCTTGTCGCCCACTAGCCACTGTTTAGCGGTAGGTTTCTCGGCCAGGACCTTCTCTAGCACGCCCAGCACTCGCCGGATCTCGTTATCGTACCGGTCGATCGCGCTGGGCACCTTCTCCGGATGCAGGTGCCGGAACCAGCCGGCCTGGCCGAAGTAGGGGCCCTGCCCGGACATCTGGAAGTGCAGCCACTGGTTGAGCAGGTGGCGCTCGGCGAGCGAGTCGTAGGTCAGCCGCTTGTCCTTGTCGTACACCTCGATGAGGTACTGGTAGATGGCGCCCGACTCCCACAGCGTCAGGCCCGTGTTGGGGTCCTCGATGGCCGGCACGCGCCCGTTGGGGTTGAGGTTGATGAAGGGCGGCTTCTTGACGTCGTCGAACCGGAAGGACTCGATCTCGTAGTTCAGCTCGAGTTCCTCGAGCAGGAAGACCACCTTCCACGGGTTAGGTCCCGGCGCTTGAAGGATGGTTAGCTTAGGTATCCAGTTTTTTATCCCTCCGAGACCAGTAGTAGGTCCTGGGATGGAAGGACACTTACGGGTCAACCACACACGGATCGGTTTAGCTGGGTACGCCATCTCGGTGGATCGAGCTTTTCGCGGGGAGTTGGGACTTGTTGGGATTTCGTCCTTCGGTGGTCGTTTGGTCTGGAGGAATGGCTTGGAAGGAGAGCACAAACGTTAGAGGAAGTAAATCGATTATAAAGGTCAGAGCAGCAACTGGATGAGAAATGGCCCCAGGCACTCCCCCTCCCGCCCCCCTTGCAACTGCTTCATCCGAACAGGTACTACTCGTAGCTCTCGGTCGGATGCCCCGCTACTAACTCCGGGTCTTCCGCCGTAGGAAGTGGCTTGGATTTGCTGCAACCTGCGGTCAACGAATGGGGAACTGCATCTCCTATTATAGGTGCCAGCATTGGATCACTTTAGCAGCCAACAAACAGGTGCTACCCTGTATACCAATGACAGAATAATATGCACCGAGGTGTGGAGTGATTTCCATCATATTGCAGGTTCCGTTATCCGCTGTGCAGACATCCTCAAAAGCACACGATCCGGGCATTAGACCCGGCCACTATTCCTACGTAATAGCTACCAGAACCAACGCTGACAAACTAAGAACTAACGGACATGTATGTATCTCCCCGTTTACCTGGGACCATGTCCGTTCACAGTCGTGTCACGTCAGTAAATGTACCCACACGGCATTTTTTGGTCCCATAGACAGTGTGACACGCGATGATGACCCTCCTGGATGTCAGAGGGTTCTGCAATTACCACGTATGCTGTGCTGCGCATTCATAGTAGTGGAAGGCACATGCATCTCCATTTCAGCGTCATGCTGTCCGAACGCAACAGCAATCATCGAGTCCTCCACGTCGGTCACGAGTCTCACGACCGGGTCTCGAGCTATCCTCGCCGAGCAAGTAGGAGTCCGTATATCAAGGGAAGGCGGTGTAGGAGCTGTCGCGGACGGCCGAGTATGAGAGGCGTGGGCTAAGAGTGACTATACATATCCTGAAGAAGAGCCCAGGATTGGCAATGAGATGGACAGAATCCTCCCCCACCTCCCGTTCCTTCAGCCAGAAGCCTGATCCCATTGAGTCCATCATGACAAAGAATGGACTCCAACACAGTCCAGGTATAGGCTTTGTCCTCCATCGTGAACTCGAATGTCTGCACTCGGTCCTTGATCTCGGTGATGCGGAGATTAAGTCGAACTGTTTCGGATGGATGGTGACGCGTTCGGCCTGCATCTTGAGGGCTATGGGTAAGGGAGTATGGAGCTTCTGGTAAGTCTGTCCAGGACCGGCTTGGGCCAGCAGTTCGGCCATTATATCGTCCCATTTCAGAGTGCTGAATCTCATCCGCGGCATGTAGCGGGCGTAGGTATCCTTACAGCCCTGTTTGGTGCATTATATGACGATTCAGGTGAAGGCTGGATCAACATCCTGAACTCGGACGTCTGCAATTTCTCCTTGATGAAGTTGATGCGCTAAGATGTGAATGTATCTCCCGTCAGGCAGCGGGAAACATGGAAGGATTTGAAGTAAAATATGACCGCAGAAGAGCGAAGGAAGTTAGATACGATAGCAAACCTGGCATTCGAGGGAGGCACCTTGTGGGCACCAACTCAACACCACAAATGCACTCCCATCAACATTGAGACGGCTCTGGCATACCATCAACTGCTTAGTTAGCTGACCGACTTCTAATCCCGTTTCCCGTTTCAGAGGGTGAACTCCATGCCTAGCTCGGTGATATCGCGTAAAGACCTCCGCGCACGTAACACGCCCTGCAACACCAGAGGCCCCATGAGGCCGGCGCAAGCAATCGCGCCGTACTTCAGCACGTCCAGGGAGCGGGGAACGTCGCCCACCATGCCGACCACAAACGAAGCCACAATCACGCACCCCAGCAGCGCGAGCAACGGGTCCCAATTTACCACGATGGCCCTGAACACCAAGCGTAACATCGACGTAGACTTGCCCTTCCGCACGGTCTGCGGCCGAAAGGGCTCGGGGTTGGCCGACAGGAGGTCGAAGCGAGGGCCGACGTTGTATAGGAGCGATATTCTTCAGATCTTGGCCAGTCAAGGATCTCCGCGTAAACGGGTAGCTGACCGTCGCCGCGGTCGTATAGACATTGCGATCGAGCCTAACCCAGTGGTCCGAGACGGCGTAGAGCAGGTTCAGGAGGATTAGCTGGCAGAGTCGTTGAGAGGTCTTCTGCCCTTGGTCGTGTCGGCGATGAGCCGCGCTACCGAATCCTCCGAGAAGAGGACGTCCTCAAGGAATAACGGTAACTCTATTCGCGGTTCTAGGACAGAATCTTGAAGACGTCTATTTTGTGATGTGATATGTTGCATCTATACCGTCCCATCCAAGTTTGCTTGAGGCATAGCCTGCTTTCCCGATCATACACATGGCCGGTCTCCATGGACATCACCACGGCTCCTCGGCACCACCCTCAGGCCGCCTCGCCATGGACACGGGGAGCCATAGGGCTTCCACGCCACGTTCTGCATTGTCCAGACATTGCGAAAGTCTCGAAAGGTCAAAGCCAGGGCAGAGCCGGGTGCGGAAGTGCTCGGGCCTGAACTCAGCACCGCCACACCCCCCTGATCCTCTCTCCGGCGAGATTCACAGCCTTGACAGCGAAGTTCCGGTCCAGGCGTCCCAGTTCCGGCACTACCACTGGCAAGTAGTACATATTATATTGCATAAAATTACTCAAATTTATGGATGGGCCGATCACCAATTCTGTTCTCTCGCACTCGGCCGTCGACGCGTATTGCGCCTAGTATGGGACACCAAATAATTCACGGCTTCATGCGGCCCGATACGCGCGGACCGAGAATTGGCATGGGATGGCATGTTACCTCTGCAGGCGCCCCCCATCTGCTTCCTAAAGCAAACATTTCTGGACCAGGAGATCGCCCAACATTGCTGAAAAGTGGCGTTATCGGGAAGGAATATGCAGCGTGATGATGTTGAGGTCATGCTCGGCTCAACATGCGACTGTAGAGAGCACCCTTTTCTGTGACTCACCTCTCCACAACGAATTGCACATCTAGTCTCTAGAAAAGAATTTCGGATCTCGCCATACTCTCCTGTAACTTCTTGTGGTAACGATAGGTGGATATGTGAAATATCTCGGAGCGGTTCCGTGGAACAGGCCGCAGGCAAACGAAGAAGTCTCGGGACAGTGATTGCCGAGGCACTTCAACTCGGACGGCTCAGGACCCGCACCGGTAAGCTCAAGGTTCTGACACATGAATCTAAACGCGGGACGCCAAAGGTGCAAGCGATATGCACTAAAGATTTAAGGTTACCGTGGGACGGAAGGGGGAGGTGCGGGGAACTCTTAATAACTGTAGTACTATCATGATATCATTCTTGAGGCAGACTTCGCTGGCGACCCAACACAGTCGTCCTTTCAAGGGACAGTCTCTCTTTTCGAATGAGAGGAACTGAAAAGGGGCGGTGGGCAAGGATCCCACCTGCAGAGCGAAAAGAATGAGGATTCAAGTACCCCAAGGTTGAATGACCGGTCGGAAATTGGATTTCCCCATGAACAAGGAAAGAGTCAAGACTCGGTGTAAAGGGATGGTAGCCCGCCTGCTAGAAGCCTGAACTTGACGACCTGTCGATGTCTCATCAGATGTGGAGGGGTTTTCCAACCATTGGGTGGATCAGGCGGCAAGCGGCAACGGAGTCTAAAAGACTTTGGGCGCTCCTCCGGCATGCAAAGTGAGGTAGGTAAAATGCGTCATGCTTCTTGCATTCCCTACGTTGCACCCATTGCTGCCATTAAGGGGTAAACGAATACGATACGAAAACCGGGAATCAGTGCGTGGAATATGAACCGTAGTGTAAGGCGAAGGTACGTTGCGTGCGCACTGCAGTGACTGCACGATGCACAGGAGCTATAAGTAAAAGATGAAGGTTTCACATGCCTCAAAGACTGTATTCGCATCTGGTCGCCGGAGTGCAAGGTAAAAGTGCCGAGACCAGGGACCGGCGCTTGCACCCCTTTGCTGCAACCCCCCCACCAAAGCCGGTCCTTCCTCCGGCTCACTAGCGGGACCGGTGAAGATCTTGCATGCCCAAACTGCCACCAAACGGGAGCAGTCGATGCCAGGCATGATGCATTCTGCCTTTGGCCTATTTTCCCCCCTCTGTTCCACTGCCAGTTGCTGTTCCCACGCGAAGACATGGTGCTAACCCTATCTTCAATACCGGTCGCCTAGGCCCGTCATCCCGTGTTGCAGGAATCTTCGAGCATCTTCCTTCTCAATCTCCAATCATGATGATTCCGAGGGTAGCGGAGTACCGTTCTTAGATTTGGTTGTCACGGCTTTGCTTCGGCACTTTGTTGCACTCATCCGCTCCTAGGCCTTCCCCATCGTCCAAGCTAAGGTAACTCACGATGGTAGCCTAAGAGGGGCGGTAGTGGGTTCAGTTAGGCTAGGTCGGTAGTGGTATATAACGGTGCTCGGAGGTGGGCCCTTTTCGCGGAGTCCAGTCGTGGTTCAGACGACAAGCTTTGAACACTTCACAGCCAAGTAAAAGAGCCTCTCAAGCATTGATTACAATACACACTTTGGTTGTGGCACAACTTCAGCAACATGTCCGGTGTTATTTCGCTCCGTGATATACATTGGTCCGACCAAGGTCAACCTACCCCTGAATATCCCATTCTATCAATGGGCGCAGAAGGGATCAGGAACCTACCAGGCGTACGTTCTACTGCGATAGAACGGATATCTGGTCATCATCACTGACGGGCTGAGACCTTGCCAGATCCCGGGTGTCCGCTGCAAGAAATGCGCAGAGAATGGGAAGGAAGTCTGGGTTATACCGGGCCTTTACTGCCCCGAGTGCCAAACACCTTCTCCGGACGACGGTATGGATCATGCATGCTCTGACGACTGAGAGCGCACGACTGAGCAACGGTAGGGGATTACAGTTGTGAGGAAGTAGATGGACCAAATGGTTTCTTTAGCTTTTTTTGTCTTTCCGACCAAGACTCAGGCCCACGTTGAGCCACTACTAGTAGTGTCAGATATACTATGGAATCGCTTTGGGAGACCCTGGAGGTAGTTTAGTTGCTGTACGGGGGCTGTCATAAAGACTCTACTAACCAATCCATCCAATCCGGGTTCATACCTCCCAGGTCTTGGTCGCAAGACAACCCGTAGTGTGGTAGAAGATGGAAAAGACCTACAGGGATCACGTCCAGAACACGAGTAATCCATGTATCGTCTGGAAATGCTTTCGTTGGATCAACTTTCCGTCCCAATTTCAACGACTTAACTTTTCCTTCTCCGCCATTAGGACCCTGTCTCCCCTTATGCTTACCTCCCGATCGGTGCTGTCCCCTGATTCCGAGTCATCCTTCGCAGACATGCCCAAAGCCTCCGATAGAGATTCCCTCGCCTGCGGTCCGTGCTTCAAGACAGCGCTCACATCCGCCCCAGCCTCGACCAGCAAACGCGCAACATCAGTATGGCCCGACTCGGCAGCCCAGTGAAGCGGTGTCCGACCGTACCCATCCCTCGCATCCACGGCCGCTCCATACCGCAGAAGCACCTTAGTACAAGCCACACTAGCATGAGCAAGATGCAGCGCTGAGACCGGATGCCTAGGCCCCTTTAGTCGCCTGCTCTCCCTCGACGACACGCTCCTTGCCCTTCCCCTCAACCCCCCATAGCCCTCCCAACCCTCCCCAGAGAAACCCGCGCCATCAAACACCGCATCAACATCCGCCTTCCCCTCCCCCACCAACACCTCCACACACTCCGCCCGATCCGCCAGCACCGCAACATGCAACGCAGTCTGGCCCAGCAACAGCAATCCCTTCCCCTTCCCTTTCCCCGAAATTCCGGAGGAGGAGGGGCGGCGGCAAGGAGGAGGTCCTCCTACTACTAGTAGTGGCAACCTCCGATCCACCTCCACCTCCACCCCTCTTCCTCTTCCTCTTCTTCTTTCTCCTAGTGTTACAAGATACCTCACTACCTCGACCAGCCCCCCCGCACACGCCATGCTCAGCACGCTCTCCCCCAACCCGGTCACCCGGTCGACGCGGGACGCGTTGACGTCGGCCCCACACACTTCGACCAGGAAGCGCACCATCTCCCGCTGTGCTGCCGCCCCGCTGCCGCCCCTGGGGACTCGTGATCGTATGGTGGCCATTAAGGGGTTTAGGCCGAGGTGGTTTGGCTGGTTTGCTGGCAACAGCAGGGCTGCGGGGGAGGAGGAGGTGGTTGTGGTTGTGGTTGTGGGGAGGAGGTAGCGTGAGACCTTGTCGATGTCGAGATTTGCACAGGCAATGCAGAGGTCTTCTGCTGCTGCTGCTGCTACTGCTGCTTGCAGTGCAAGGGAAGAGGGAGGTGGTGGTGGTGTTACGGGTTGTGGTGAGGTTGTGAAGAGACGGGTTACGCGGTTGAGGCTTGTTGAGAGCAGGGTGAGGGATGTGGTCATGCCGCTGCTTACGCTCACTGGGCGGGGACGGCGGTGCGGGTGGGCTGCTGTTGGTGGTGGTGGTGGTGGCTTGCTCTTATTGGGTGCTGGTGTGGTTCTGGCGAGGAGTGCTTTCTCGGTGAGGGAGGCGATCCGTTGCGCGAGGAGCTCGTCTTGATGCTGGTCTGATGTTTGGGTCTGGGTACACCGGCATTGGGGGCCGTGCACGTGGATCGAAGGCAGGCGACTCTGTGTGTTGGAGAAGAAGACCTGACGGCATTCGGTCTTGCGGAGACGTTTGGGTACGGCTTGGACCCGCGGTGTCCGTGGATATGATGTCCTGGTGAGCGACTCCTCTTGGATTGGCCATGCGTCGAGGCTGTGGGAGTCGTCCCAGGCCTGGTGTCGGCGAACGCTGAGGGTGGTATATCTGATTCCGGCCATTTCGTTGCCGTTGAAGGTCCCTGGCGATATGACAGATGAGATGGTGTTGAGGATGTCGTGGATTTAAGTTACCTTAGGTACCTTAGGTACGAAAGCTTATGCTACCTTAGTCTCGGAACACCAGCCGAGCTTCTCACCGCGTTTCTTACCTTTGGCGCCAGAGTTCTGGATGAGCCACAGACACCACATCCACAATGTGCTTGGCACTCGCCTGCCATAGGGCTGGGACACGGCGCCTTGGGCAGCTATGAGCAAGCTGAAGACGCTAATGTCGTGATAGACCCGCTTGGGAGCCGCAGCCCTATGCGTTTTCTGCCCGCCGATTCCGAAACGGGAATTCGGCGCGAGAAACTCAGAAAATCCGCCACAAGGCAGACTGTTCAGTTTTTGAAACCTGCCACGTCATTTTGAGCCGCATCCCCTCCACAATGTCTGCCCTTTGCTATTGCCATGAGCTTGAGCACTGGGCCATTTATGTGCGCGGGGTACCTGAGGTGGGCTTGTGGACATCCAGTAAATTTGGAGACAAAGGAAAGGGCAACAGACAAAATAGGACAAGTGAACGAGAAGAGGAGGTTGCTGGTGACGAAACTGCTGGGGACTGAATCCTCAATACTCGATTCAACAAAAGCTAGGTTTTGCCCATAAAAGTTCCCTGTCTGCTCAGAAAGGTCCAGAGCTGGTAGCTATGAGGACGAGAAACTGCACCTTTTGAGCAACAACGAAAACTAGAAGCTGTCGTTTTGTTATGGGGAGGGTGAAAACGTGGTCCTGAACCTGGTTATTCACTTTCTTTTTGGGGCAAGCTGCTGACTCAGCAGAGCTTGGGTCACGTGTCCAAACGGTGGACCTCGTACCCGTAGGTAGTTGCAAATTACACCGTTTCCCAACTCTACCGTGGTGTGATCCTATGTGCCGTGCACCACATCTCCACTGGTCCATACAGCCCCGCATGGCTTCCTGCAAGCCACATTCCTCCTCCGCATCTTTTTCAGTAGTTGTCAGTAGCTCGCGACAACACCAAGCGATTTATCACCAAGTGTGTTGTCCTCACATCCTAGCATTGCCTTGTGACCACTCGTTCCACCGACGCGCGTTGCGAATTACTTAGCCAACAAAACGCGTTTGCGGCCCTGCTCTTCTGTGTTTGCTAGGCGCAGCGGCTGAGTTGCCCTGGACATCGGGGGTAAAGGGGCAAGCCCACTTTTTCCAGGAGCATCTGTTAGAAAACAACACCCACGACACCGCGGTTGCAACTGCGTAAGGCGCTTACGCCGATGTATTCAGAAGGCTTCAAAGCAGTCAAAGTAACGGGTTAACGAAGAGATAACGTTAGAGCGTATCATAGACATATTCGGAACAAATTGGACACAAAAAAAGACCACCAAACATGAATCAGCAGACCTTCGCTGCCGTGGCCTGCCCGAGCATCATGTGCCTATGCAGACCATCCGAACGTTGGTGAGGCCACGGCAAATCTGACAATCAGCGAGGGACCCTGATCCTAAATGCAGCTCTGGCGGTGATGCGCATGGACCCCAACCTCGAGCGGCTGCGAAAAGCGGTCTAGGAGACTAGCACACCAACAAGTTTGACGTAAACCATCAAACCCCATACAAGCCCAGGGATCTGCTGGTCGTCGCCAAACCAACTGCTAATCTGGCGGTCTGCAACTGGCACCAGCAATGAATTCATTTCCTCATCACAGGGGAAGAGTCTATGTACTCTTAACTGTCGGCGTCCTAGGCTAAACTGCCTTATTTGATCACAAGAAGCGAGGACAACGCCCCGTATCCCTAGGTTCTAGAGGTTAGTAACCTGGTATATGCGAATCGGAGGGGGGAGCGATTGGACCACACCTTCACGTTCGTTTTCCCTGTGAAGCCTGCAATGAGCCCGGAGAGAGCTTCTCCTTCAGGAGCGCGATGAGATGTCCATCCCTGGCTTCCGGGATCTCCGACTAACACCTCGCGACCCCTGTTTGTCTTGATCTGGTCCCAGCGCACATGTTAGCAAGCTTGCCGTTTGCAGGAAGGGACCTTGATAGAATCCGTGCCTTGAATGCCAGTGTATCCCCAGTCCCCTCGCTCACAGCAATCTCATTGATCCGCTCGCCTCCAGGCCCGTCGACGTCGAATGGAACTACCTGGTCCTCGGGCCAAGTCGGAGGGTCTTCATCTTCGCCAACGTTCCTCCTCATACCGACGTACCGCTTCGGTTCCCAGAATCTCCTGATGAACTGCACTCCGAGACCGTGCAAGGTCGTCCCGGCCGGGCCGACATACAGGGAGATTCGTTCCAATTTATCCACCGGGCCCCACTCGAGGGGCTCTTGGGGCGCCAGATGCTCAGGGATCGCACTGACTCTCGAGGCGGTCGGCGCCAGAGGATATACGCGGTCGGCCGACAGGGGAACAGGTCCCGCGCACTTCATGAGGTGCCGACGCGTGCGTGGTGGCCAGAGACGGTGGCCACAACGTTCCATGTCCGGTGGCGACGAGCCTGCACCGGAACGAGGCATTTCGAGAAGTCCGATGCTTCGTATGATTCTGTTCTAATGTCGCAATCGGGTCAACGACGCGAAGCGGGTTGGGGGAAACGAAGAGTCAAGACGTACCTGATCGATATAGCCCGCGACACCAACTAGGCTTGCCCCGTCGGAGACGTTGAGAAGCGTCGAGCTGATACACGGCAACTCTACACTGCGCTTCCAGCCCCGTTCCATTCTAGCCCGCCCAGAGATTTCTTTGGTCTTTAGCTCGACAGAAACTACTTTGGGTAACGCATTCACGCCGTTGTTAGGGTCCGCCGTCGCGACAAGGAGCTCCATCTCCGTGATCCGGTCGCCGCTCTCGAGACGGATGGCTGTTTTGGTGCTGTTGAGCACTTCGGCACCGTCCCGCCCAAAGATGCGTCTTCGCTTGCCGACTACGGCGCCCAGACCGATCAGGTAGCCACTCTCGGCCCAGTAGGCCTCGTAGATGGCCGGTCTGTTGCCGACCTCCTCCTGAGAGTAGAAGAACAGAGTCTTATGTAATGCGCGAGAACCGATTGGCACGGGTTCGTCGGATACGGAGATCATGTGTCTACAGACAGCGGCCTGGAGGATACCCGGCTCGGGCGCATCCAGCGTCCGCATTTGGAGGTGGTGGTAGTAGTGAGGGGCCAGCTGCTCACATACGCCCCAGATACGCCTCCTATTTGCGAGGACCATGAAGGAGTCGCCCATTCCGTACCTTGGGGTCGTGGCCTCGTTCAGCCACATGTACACGGCCTTATAGTCTACCTCGAAACGCTGTACTTCCTCGCCGAGGAGTGGCCACAGTTCGACTAGCCACGGCATGTCGTGCTTGAGAAACCACTTCCAGAACGCGTTGCGGCGAGTGGCGCTAAAAGCGGGCCACGACGCCTTCAAGAGCCCTAGTAGATCGTTGCCGGGAAGGAAGCGGAGGACGTTGTGGAGCACCTTGGGCGGCAAGGAGGAGAAAGGATCTTGCACACAGGGGTCCCGCGTAATCCCTAGACGGTCGGGACGTAGCTGGAACACATCCTTGGCCAGGTATTGCGCTAGCAATGCTGTGATCGAAGGTGATGGAGACGGATTCGTCACAGAAAACTATATGGAGCGTGCTATTAGCCATCCCGCAGGCGCAGGTAGTCATCAGCCACAGCCAGCCCGGCCCGTACCGTACCTCTTCACCCGGAATAGACTCCCACCTCTGGTCTTGGCCCGAGATACTGCCGTAGTCGATATCCAAGCACACAGAGTGTGTTTTCACGAGCCCGGCCATCGTATCGAATAGCGCATCCTTGTCAATTTTTGTCGTATCGTCGTCGGCAGTGAGTACCTGGGCAAGGATGTTGAAACAGCAGTAGTGGAAGGGGAAAACGAGAAGGCCGGATTGATCCTGCTTTGAATAGCTGGTGCGCCTCAGACTTCTGAACTGCTCAACGAGTTGATACGAAACGTTATCGCCAACGCTTACCAGAAAAGCGACGTTCCTGTTGGAGGCTGGTTCGGGTCTATGGATGGAAGGTTACCAAGGATCCTGTAGTGAGAGCAGGCTATGGTAGGAAAATATGCACTGGGACACATACCATCGCCCATCTCCACCTCTATACCGCCCTATCGATCAAGTCACCGTCAGCCTTCAGGCGACAAACGAGAGACGGTGAGGGTCACGCCTAACCGAGTCGCATTCCACCGACTTGCCAGAGATAAATGCCCTGGATCCAACCAGTGTTGTAAGTACTCGTAGATGAATTTTCCGCAGCAATGGACCTACCTTGAATCGCCTTCGGCTCGCGGGTTGACGCCCAAGCAGCAGCTCTCAGAAAGCCATGTGAGACTTTCCCAGCTGACAAGGCGCGGGTCGTAGCTGCGATCTTCCGTATCTGGCCACCACGATTCCTCGCCGTCCTCCTCATCCGCTCCATCCTCCCGGTCCTTGTCATCATCCTCGTCCTCGTCATCCTCCATGTCCGAGATGGAATCGCCACGTTCCAGTGCCTCGCACTTCCGCGCCACAATCCTCTCCCGTCGTCTGAGTGCGCCTGGTGCCGTCGAACCGATCTCGCTGCCAACCAGGGAGCAACCGCAGAGGGCGCAGAACGTGTCGAAGCCGCCCATGGAAATTGGTAGATACAGAGGTGCGGGCTTGCGACTGTGATGCCAATATTGGTGGGATAAATGAGATGGAAGCACCCGCGAGGAGGGGAAAGATTCTCCGCGCTAGTATATAATAATGATAATAATAATAACTTATTCCGCCCGGCGGGCTTAACCCGAAAAAGGGCAACTAATACCGATTTAACCATACATTTCGCAAGATATGTCCTGATCTCCTTATAGCTCATGCAGTAATCATTCTAGCTTATGCTCCCTCCTTTGCCATTTCTCTGCGGGTTCTCGTTAGTTAGTAGGATTGTTCGTAGGCTGGCTTGAAGGCAATTCCCCAAGTGTTCAACGTCCTATTCTCGGCGGCTGAAGCAGTGCTTGGTTCCTCAGCCCCTCTAAAATTTGCCCCCGAAATCGGGATGCTGCATTGTTCCGTATGACTCAGTCCGGGCGGCTAACCCAACCGGGCCCGGCCGAGCGGGGATTGCCATTGCACGTACTTCAGCAACCCTCTGAGTATTACTGCGCAGATCTCCAAGCGAGCCCAATTGATCGAGTTCCTTCTGTATTCCGGGTTTCGAGTGATTAGGTTCAGAACTGACGTGCAAGTTGTCTACTGCACTACTACAGACGCCTCTATCGAGTGTGTCAGCCAATAACTTCACAATGCGAGACCTGCCCAAAACAACCGAGGACATCCTCAACACAGGTATCATGGATCCCGAATTCGCAGCCGCCTGGGAAGCCCGGGGTTCACCACCGGGCGACATGCCAACAGACATCATCACGCTCAAGCGCATCGTCGAAGCAAGCCTCTCCAACCTCCAATCCCAACTCGCGGCAACCCGACCCGCAAACATCACCGAAACGGAACACTCCATCCCCCTCAACACAGGCTTCACCTCCCGCCTCCTCATCTGCCACGCTACCCAGGACCCTTATACCCCATCCCCCATCATCCTTCTCTTCCACGGCGGCATCCACGTCCTAGGCCACCCGGAATTCGACCTTCCCTTGGCCCGCCGCCTCGCGCTCGCCCACAACGCAACAGTCCTGTGCCCCTCCACCCGCAAGGCCCCCGAATCCCCCTTCCCGTCCATGATCGACGACGCCTGGGCGATCCTCCAATCCGTCGCTCACGAAGCATCCGCAGCCCCAACAGCCCGTACCTTCCTTCCTTCACACGCAGACGCACACGCGGGCTTCATCGTGGGCGGCGCGTCGTCGGGCGCTAACTTTGCCGACGTGGTGGCGCACCTGGCGCGGGACACGGGGCTCTCGCCGCCGCTGACGGGGCAGTTTCTTGTCTGCGGGGCTTTCATTGACCGCTCGCGTGGTGTGCCGGCGGCGTATGAGGGGAGGTATTTGTCGCGGGAGCAGAACAGGGACGCGCCGGTGATGAACGAGCGGTTTCTGAGCGCGTTTTCCGAGGTTATCGGGCCGGAGGCTGGGCCGTCCAAGCTTTGGGCGCCGTTTACTTGGAGCTGTTCTGGGGGTATTGCCGCTGGGCATAAGGGGATGCCGAAGGTGTATTTTCAGGTTTGTGGGATGGATATTAACCGGGATGATAGCTTGATATATGAGGGGGTGTTGAGAGAGGAATGTGGTATTCTGACGAGGGTGGACATGTATAGTGGGTTTCCTCACTGCTGGTGGGATTCCTATCCTGAGCTCGAGGCGTCTAAAAGGAGGATGGAAGATACCATAAAGGGATTTAGGTGGCTGCTGGCTCGGGATCACGAGGGCTAGGGAAGGAAACCGACTGGACCTTCCACCAGGTCGTAGCTTTGCGGCGCGGTAGGTCGAGGGGCTACCGCGGGCCCACGCAAGCTTACGGATCAGCAATGTAGCTATTCAGCCGAAGGGGCAGGCGAGGTCCGCGGAGGGGGGGGGGGGGGGGAGGGGGTTCGACCGCCGCGGATAGGACGTTGAACACTTGGAGACTGGCCTTCAAGCCGGCTTATTAATGATTTCACTAACCCACGAGTACTCGCCGAGAAAAGGGCAGAATGGTGAGGACACAAATTAGAAAAGGAGGACGTACGGGCTCTGGGAGACCACGATCCATCTTAGGACCTGTACCGGCAGATCGCAATAATTGCCCTTTCGGGTTAAGCCTGCCGGGCGGAATAAATTATGTGTGGGAGAACACACACAGGAGGCACACACACAGAGGAGCGAAGGCATCAACTGTGGTGGTCTGCGTGGTTGTTTTGTGGAAGCTAAGCTCGTGGAAGGAGGGGAAACCCAGGGCAAGGTAGGCGATCTGGAGAACGAGGAACCACGGGATCATGTGGTCACCCGCGACATTGGATCAAGCACTTCGACAAACGCACTGTGAGAGGCGAGCAGTACATAGGCGAGGCAGGAAGCGCTGCAAATACTACTCAATTCTGCAAATCGAAAGCTGAGTAAAGGAAGGAGGAGAAGATATAAGGTGCGCGCCTGCGCCGCAAGAAAGAGATGATGCGGGCAAGAAGATCAAGGATATCCTTGAAGCCAAGAAGGCACCAGGTGCGAGAGTCCTTCGAGACCAGCTGAGTGTTCTAGTATAATCGGGAATAGATTGGTCATAACAGCAGGTCGGTCGGGTTTGACATGGAGGCCATCGACGGTGTGTAGCTGAAATACGTTATTTGCAACGCAGCCAGCGGAAATTCTTCAATCGAGGCTGGCCGGGGTTTTTGCTATTGTTGAATTGGCAGCGGTTACGGATGCCCGATTGGGCATCAATCGGTCACATTGCAAGGCATCACCGGTGGAAGGCCTCAACGCGTTTCAATCCGTACAGAGTTGCTTGGAGCCCTCGAATCTGGGGACCCCGAGAACCCGTCAAAGAGGTTTTAGGGGCGCAGACTATTCCACTCGCGGTTAGGACAACTGAGACCCACAATTCTAACCCAAGACGTTCGCTTGCATGGGACGTTCGCTTATCCTGTACGTTATCATTGCATATTGATGCGCATTGTGGCCAACGTCCCAACAGACCGGCCGTTCCCAAGGTTCGAGTCTTCTCATGCATGCCACAGCAGGGGAAAGACAAATGCTGTTACAGATGATCCGCCCAGAAGTGAGGTTTGCCGGATTGCACGGCAGCTGGTCCCGGCGGGCACCAGAACCACCATGGTAATCAAGCCCTGCCCCTGTTGGGCAGACTCTTCGGACCATACACATCACCCTGAATCAGGTCAGGGTAGCAGATCCCACCCTGTCTTAGCGCTGCTTCCGTGACCTCAACACCAATAACCGTCTCGTCCAACGGAAGCACCTCGCTCTCCAGCCTCCCGTCTCGCGCACTCATCGGCCTCCCAGAACAGTCCGCCGCCCCAGCCCCCCAGCTTGCTAGGGTCGGTGAGGAGGCCCCAAACAAAGTCTGGCTATCGCAGATGATGGAGCGCACGGAAAGGCATAAACGAAGAGTATATTGGGTTCTAGCTAAGTAAGAGAAAAGAAGCAAAATGGTGGTGAGAAGGACCACCCTAATATATCCCAGAGAGCAGCCCGTGCGTAGATGCCGCTTCCTAAGCTCTGGGCACGTAGGTTCCGTACCCACACGCCCGATTCCTTGTGACACTAACCCCATCAATGTATTGTTTTCACTCGAAGGATGACTTGGAAGTTAGGCGCAGTAGGCCACTGGTCAACGTACTGACTCAGCTGGACGACCCGTGTCCAAAACGCCATTCCGGAGCAATGGGCGGCAATACACTTGAAAGGTCGGAAAAAGAACGGCATTGTATTTGCTCGCCAGCATAAGGATCTGTGCACCAGTCACTCACTGACAATAACCCGCTGCAACCTGTCACTCCCATTCGCCACTGTCATGGGCCTGTCACTGTGCCCTCAATGCCTTCTTGATGCCTCTTTGGATCGTTGCAACCATCTTCTCGGTAGCCACTGGCGATATGGGGATTTCATGGCCACCAGGGTGCTCAAAGAGTTCCCCGATATCCTCGCAGCAGAGGTGCACCGGTTTCATACATTCAGCAAGGCCCTTGTCTTGTGCCCCGACCAGGTGAACCGTGGGGATCGTTATGACCGGTTTCCTTCCGCAGTCAAGTGCATTCTCACAGTACCGCAAAAGATGTTCTTCCTTTGATTGTCTTTTCTGAGAATGGCGGTCCGCCACAGATGAGAATCCCAAACCCGAACGGGAGCGGGAATGGGAGAAAGCCAGAACGCCGTCAAAGGGCTCTTCTGACTGGACATATTCGACGAGGTCGTCGATGGCCATTATGATGGTGTCGGGCTTTTCTGTGTCATAGTACGCGAAGTAGCCTGCGCCGGGCCCAGCGAGCGCCGCGATATCTAAACGGTATCAGCGCTGCGGTGATTTGGAACCAACGACCCGTCTCGACCAGGGCCGTAGTGCAGCAGCAATATCCGGTTCGCCGCAGATCTTACGAGGAATGGCGCCCCGATTCAGCAGGCCCAATCGAGCAGAATGCGGTTCATGATGCCAAATATGAGTACATGTCAGGATGGCGCTTGTACATGCCCATGGCCGGAATCTGGAGTGCACTCTTCTTATCCACATCGGAGACGACAATCGCCAGCACGTCTCTCTGGTGTCTATTGCCGATTCTCTAAGCGGTTTTGAAGAGCGCAACTAGGTAGTCATGGCGTACTTTCTTACCTATACCGGTATGGTCTCTCCGATTTCCCAGGCACACGAACATTTTGAGATTGAAGCTCACTCCGAGTTGCTGTGGTATCGAGCGTGCAACAGGCTTCCTGGTCATTTACGCCAAGTTGGCCAGCATTATCGGATCTAGAATCATGTTTTTCCTCGCCCTAACCTTGTTCCGGTGACCGAGGAACTATGGCAAATACATTGGCATAATATCGTCAGTTTTCGCCCTCGCAAGCATCACCCGCCCGTTATTCGGAGGCGCGATAGCTACCAACACTACCTGAAGATAGGCCTTTTTGCTAACTGGCCAGAGGCTTGTGTCATAGCCGGCCGAGGAACACAAGGACATAAAGTTCCCAAAGCGAAGAGAGTGAAGGCATCAGAGGCCCCGGGGAACCGCGCAAGAAGGCCATAGGTTGGGCATTGCCCACCAGATGGAGTCCTCCCCTGAGAGTGGATGCCTCGTTGCCAGCAAGTGAATGCAAGCAGCTTGAGGTCAAAATAAGCTCTCGCCTCCCAGGTTCAGCTGCCAATTCATCCCGGTCAGCATGGAAGCCGGGGATGAAAGTTCAAGAAACAGGGGCCCCACGAATGAGGCCGAAGCTTCCCATTACTGCCGACCCGAGGCGTCCTCCAGCTGCGGACAATGATTGCCAGATTGAAAAAGCAGCGCCTGACATATGAAGTACCATGTGGCGGCGTGCCTTATCATCATTTTGTGGAGGCGCCCCTGATGGAGAACCTACACGACCTGGTTGGATCGGCAAACCGTTGAACTTGTATCGAGCTCGAAGCTAACGGGGAGCAAGGATAACGTTCATTAGGTTATATTGCACGGCTGCTTCGGCCAAAGCGGGAACCTACCGCGTGCGCTTGCTCGCCCAATAGCATGGGCGTCTGTTTACCCCAGATTTAACCACCAAGCAGCTCAATAACCGGCAGTTCCATGCTGCGGTACTTCGCCAGTCCGGATGCCGGCAAGCTTCGATGCGACCGGCACGAGCTTTCGGTACAGCCCAGGGACAGATTCCTACGTTGCCATGCCCTTGTTTATAAGGAGGATATGCCATGGCCTGCTTGGCACTCTTGAGATGACCCTCTCCGCCGTCTTCTCTCAGTGATTGACTATCCCCAAATATTGTCAGGTTCCCATCTTGCTGCCAACCGGGTAAGAACAAACCAAGACCCCGAAAATGAAGGCCTCACTCCTCGCCACGGCGGCGGCGCTCTACGCGCGAGAAGCTGCCGCCCAGTTTGCGCAGGCCGCCATGATGCGGTTCCAGTGCTCGCAGCTGGTCATCGAGCGTCTCGACCCGCTCGTGAACCCGGGCCTGCTGCCGTCGACGCACCTGCACCAGATCGTGGGCGGCAACTCGTTCAACGCGTCGATGCCGCCGGGCGAGTACGACCCGGCCGCGCACTCGACGTGCACGACGTGCGACTTCGCCGAGGACTTCTCCAACTACTGGACCGCCAACATCTACTTTCGCGCCAAGAACGGCAGCTACAAGCGCGTCCCGCAGCTGGCCAACCTCGGGCTCACGGGCCAGGGCGGCGTGACCGTCTACTACATCCCGCCCTACGACGGCAAGACTAAGGTCACGGCCTTCAAGCCTGTACGTGCCCACATTAGATACTTCCCTTGCACTCACACCTTAGTACTCGTTGATCCTGACAGTTCAACCAGGGCTTCCGCATGCTGGTCGGCGACGCCAACCTCCGGTCGTCCAAGGGCATGCAGAAGCAGATCTGCCACCGGTGCGAGCACAACATCCAGCAGAACCCCTTCGGCGGCGCCCCCTGCACGGGCGAGGACACGGCCGCCTTCCCGAGCAAGCCGTGCCCGGGTGGCATCCGGACGACCATCACCTTCCCGACGTGAGTTAAAAGTTTTACTTAGTACTATCGCCCTAATCCATCATATCCAATACAAAAGAGATTATGCGTGTCCCTAACGAACGCGCGGGGGAAATATACAGATGCTGGGACGGCAAGAACGTCGACAGCCCGGACCACAAGAGCCACGTCGCCTACCCGAGCAGCGGTAGCTTCGAGACCACCGGCCCGTGCCCAGCCAGCCACCCGGTACGGCTCCCACAGCTGATGTACGAGGTCATCTGGGACACGCGCGAGTTCAACGACCCGTCGATGTGGCCTTCGACGGGGCAGCCGCTGGTGTATTCGATGGGTGATGCGTAAGTTTCTCTCCCAATAATATCACTACCAAATAAGATCCCTAGAGACTTTGTGATAGCAGGTTGGACTAACCATGCCACCTTTTTCTACTTTTCTTCCTCTGTAGTACGGGATACGGCCAGCACGGCGATTACATCTTCGGCTGGAAGGGCGACGCCCTGCAGCGCGCCCTGGATGCCCGCTGCAGCGGCAACCGGTGCTCGGCCCTCAAGACGCAGACCCCGCAGCAGGCCATGGCGTGCCAGAAGAAGCCAACCATCCGGGAGGAGACGGAAGGATGTGAGTGATACTCTTTGCGGATCTTCTTTTCTTCGGTTCTGTTCGAGACATGGATGTTTGTTCTGACTTCCTCATGCGTATTTATTAGGGCTTACGGCTATCCCCGGCGGGATGACGGTTCCCATGTAAGGGCGTAGTGCCATCCATTGTGTGGTGTGACGAGGGGGGTTAGGGATTATGGCTGGTAACTGACTAGTGCTATTATGACTCTCGACTTCATCGGTCGGTGTTGGCCCGGATGGTTCTGCGTTGTTCCTCGAAGAATACTTAGTAGTAGGTACCATATTCTATTAGGACGTATTAGCAGGTATCATGCTGTGAGAGTACCTGCATGCCTTGGGCTTCAAACTTCTGCTCTCACATCATCAACCGGCCTTACCTCGGTAAGTACTAGTACTGCTGGCGCTTGTTTATCCAGAGTTTACATGTCTATCCACAAAAAGAAAATACCCCGCGATGCCTTGGATCTGGTCCCTGTTTTAAATTACTTCGCCGACTATCTACTTAGTACACCTTGGTAGCTTGAAAGCTAAATGTGCTACTAACATCTCCAAGCTCACTACAGCTGGGGAGAATTATCTCCTTGTCAAAGTCTGGTCCCTCCAATCTCAGCACTCCGTGGTGCCCATACCCATGTCTGTCACTTGGGGTTCATGATGCCAGGAACTGTCCTGTTTTAGGACCAACTAAGATATGGCGTATTGGGTTTGTGCGCCGGAAAGTGCTATATCTTACACCTTGAACCCCCCAGGCATAAGCGTCTGGAAGACACCCGTCGGATCATACTGCCACGCAACGGCCTTCAGAAAAGCCTGATTCACCGCGCCGTAGGTAGCAATAGGGTCCTGCGACTTGCCCGCATGGTTCATATCCACGTAGGGCGCGTACAGGCCCTTGCTCTTCGCGGCCTGGATAATGTTGGCGAGCAGCTGGTCCGCCGCGGTTTGGACAGTCGGGTAATCGCTTGCCGAAGAGAAAGTCGCCGTCAACAGCACCATGATGAGGCCCTCGGACGGGATGCTGAGGCCCAGCACGTTGCCGCCCCTGGCGCTACTTTGCGCTCCGATGGCGGGGGGTACCGGGATCAGGCTGAGTGACCACTGCATGCCGGATACGGCGGCGATGTTTCCGGTGCTGGCGGTGTAGATGTTCCATAGATCTCGCAGCATCTGTAGATCATTCTTGAACAGGGTTGAGAAGGTAATCTGTCTGAAAGCGGAGTCATTCCGAGTCAGTCTCGGGCATAGCGAGCATCCACGTCTGAGACACTTACTGGAACCCATTCGGAGAGACCGGTTCTTGGGCGGCCGAGAAGGCGGCTAGTGTTGTGACAGATGTCGAGTTCATGAGCTGGCCGGGGCTGGACGTGAAGGGCTGGAACGTCGGCGGGTTGACGGTGGGTTGCGCATAGGCATACTGGTTGGTGATTATGGGCCCCGTGGATGGGCTGAAAGCGTAGTTGACAATAAGGCCAGCATTCACGTCGAAATTCGGGTTTGCCGTAAGCGAGTACAGGGCTTGCGTCTGTGTTTGGAGAGCCTCGGCCGAGAAGTAGGCATCCCCGGCCCAGATGGAGCCGAGCGGGAAGGTGTTGAGCGTGAACTGCGTGACGATGCCAAAGTTGGCTCCACCACCCCTCAGCGCCCGCCAGAGACTCGGATTCGAGCTGGGTGAGGCCGTAACGATGTCTCCATCTGCGAGGACGACCTCGAAGCGAGCCACATTGTCGCAGGCGAAGCCCACCTTGGGAGCGAAATAGCCAAACCCGCCTTGACAAGGGGTCAATATCAACACACAAAAGTCGGTCATTGTGGAGAGCACATATTCGGGACTTAGTTACCTCCGAGAGTCGATCCGCCCACCCCGACCGGCCCATTACGGCCGCCGGACGCGCCTAGTCCCAGAGGCTGGAGTTTGGCATAGACCGGAGCCCATTTCTGCCCGCCTCCAACGGCGACCGTCTTGCCGTCCGAGGACACGGTGATTGCGTTCAGACCTCGCAGGTCAATTGTGACCCCGTCCTCGATGTTTGCGATGCCGGCAACTGCGCCATGGCCGCCGCCACGAACGGCAAACTTGCACCGCCTCGGTACAAGGACCTTGAGGGTGGTCGAAACATCGCGGGCCGAAGTGGGGGCCACGACGCAATCCGGACGGATCAGCGTCTCCTGTTGGGCCCAGTACGATGACACGGAAGAGTTGTACGCGCGGCTGCTGGGTAGCGAGACCTTTGCGCCGAGCGAAGAGCGAAGAGCGTCGCACTGTATGGGATGTTAGTGTATCTCAGGTTTCCGGAGTTCGGGGATACCCCGCAGGGAGAGAGAACAAAAGGGGAAGCCGTGGGTGGGACGACTGGCTTCAGACGCACACAAGATTGAGGCCAGAATGATGAGTTTGTTGCCGACTCCTGAGGCGTCGGCGACGCCACGGAACTTGTGACACTTGATAAAGCCAGCGCCAGCAGCGCGGGAAAGCGACGCCACATAAAAACCGGACCGTCCATTTTGGAAGGACGGGAGCTGCTCGATCAACCTCGATGCCCTCTTATCCAATGTGCACGCTGACCTGTTGAGATTGGCAGGAAGCGGCCATCACGGCGGATTAAATAGCAGTGAGGAAGAGCATGATGGAGTCCGTGTGTTTACTTTCCAAGTTCAGACCAAGCCATCTTCGGACGGTTCGCCGCTGATGGGATGCGGAATGTTGCCCTGAGTGGACAGTGGCCGGGGGTATGCAACCCCGCTGCAGCTACGGCTCGTGGCACGCACATGTTTCTAGAAGCCTGTGCCGTTTCCTTGCATTCGCTAGAGGCCTTTGTGCCTCCCGGGTGCGCACTCGTCCAGTTTGGCAGGTGTGCCTGAAGAGCAAATCGGAATCCCCGTCAGCCCACGGGGTTTGCATCGCAGTCCACCCCGCAGCGGTCCAAAAGCACCTTTTCTGCTATCTCTGCAAGGCCGCCCTGGCTTGATTCGTCCCGTGTGGAGGCATTTTCATGTTTAAACTACTCGTAGGCTTAAGACTCAAGAGCCCCTTACTTTTTACACCTTTTCGGCTCAGACCGGCGACTTATCTCTTCACGGCTTAGCACTTCCCTCCACGAAGCAAGCCATCGACACCCGAAACCGACCCCTGGCGCCTCGACTAGCTGGGTTCGTCCGCTTACATCGATAGTCGTTCGATAAAGCCACGCGAGAGGGACCACCTTCTCAGCTGAACTACTGAACATGCCGAACAGCCCAAATGTTTGCGTGAGCCTCCCCGCCCTCCTTGTCTTCATCCCGTCATCACACGGCCCATGCTAACCTCCACCTGTTTCTTCCACAGTGCCGCACTTTGCAGAAACTGCTGGGAATCCGCACGGTCCATCAGCCGGGCAGCGAAGGCCACACGTCATGCGTGTCCTCGTATTGGGCGCAGCAACAGCAACAGGCCGAGCAGCCAGCCTGTGTCGTCACCCCTCGCTCGGCAGAGGATGTATCCACGGCGGTGCGCTGCATCCTTGATTGTCTCGGGTTATGCTGGGATGATCCCGTCGAGGCCGCGACATGCCGCTTTGCGATCCGGTCCGGAGGTCACCTGCCCGTCACCGGGGCTGCCAGCCAGGCGGGAGGGGTGGTTCTTGATCTGCGACTGCTGAACGCCATTGAGGTGAGTTCCGACAAGAGAACCGTCCGCATCGGCGCTGGCGCGACCTGGGGAGATGTGTATGCGAAGCTCGACCCGTTGGGCCTGAGCGTGGCCGGGGGACGGGCGCCCCAGGTCGGGGTGGGCGGGCTGACCACTGGCGGCGGCTACTCGTTCATGTCGCCGCGCTACGGGTGGACGTGCGATACGGTGGCGAGCTTCCAGGTCGTGCTGGCCAACGGCTCCATTGTGGAAGCCAATGCGGACGAGAACGCGGACCTGTGGTGGGCGCTGCGCGGCGGGGGCAACAACTTCGGCGTGGTGACCGCCGTCACGATGGAGACGTTCGAGCAGGGCGAGATGTGGGGCGGGAATGTCTACTATCCGCTGTCGACCATTGACGACCAGCTCAAGGCGTTCGCCAACTTCAGCTCGGCAGATGGCTACGACGAAAACGCATCGCTCATCACAACCTTCGGCTACGCCGCCGGCCAGGGCTCGGCGATTGCCAACAACATCGAGTACATCAAGGCTGAGGAGAATCCGGCCGTCTTCGCGCCGTTCATGAAGATTCCCTCCTTTTTCAACAACATGCGGCTGGACAGCGTCCCCAACATCTGCCACGGGCAGGGCGCGCTGTCCAAGCAGAACATGCGGCAGCTCTTCGCCACCGTGACCCACGCCTCCACCCTGCCCATGCTGCAGTCCACCTACACGCACTGGTCCAACTCCCTCCCGGCCGTTGAGAACGTCCCCGGCATGATCTGGTCCGTCTCTCTGGAGCCTCTGCCGCCGGCCATGTACCTGCGCGCGGCCCGCTCTGCGCCCCCGGGCGGGTGGGGCAAGAACTGCATGGGCCTGGATGCCGCCAACAACAACCACAACAGCATCAACAAGACCACTGACAAAGCACTGGTCATCGCCCTCCTGACAGCGACCTGGGCGGACGCGGCGGACGACGAGAAGGTGGAAAAGGCCGCGCGGGAGTTGATGGACGGCATCGAGCGCGACGCCAAGGCCCAAGGCGCGTGGCATCCGTTTGTCTACCTCAACTATGCGGCGCCCTGGCAGGATCCCATTGCTAGCTATGGGGAGGAGGCGGTGCGGAGGTTGAAGGAGGTGCGGAAGAGGGTGGATCCGAAGGGGGTATTTACCAAGTTGGTCCCGGGTGGGTTCAAGATCCCTGGGACGATGGAGCAGGAGTGAACTGTTTTAAGGGGTGGATGATGATGTCTTGCATTATGACGGGCTAAGCTAGTACCTTCCTCTCGTGTTCGTACAATGTGTTGCACAGTAAGGGGTGATGAAGCTAAATCGAACGGAAAACCCGCTACTTCTCGAGACTCTTGGCTAGCTTATCCAGCCCTTGGCCATTACTCATCATACCGTCCTGCAAGAGACAGACCCGTGTCAGTGGCAGAGCACACACACAGAAGCTCAGACCAGGCAGCTAATTCACTTACCAACATCGACGAAGGCACCCAGCGGGACACGAACTTGACCGCGCCGGCGTTGGCGCCCTTCCAGACCTGCGCCCTCTTCTCCTTGCCCACAATGTCCGGGACGACCGACCTGGCGAGCTCCTCGACTGGACCGCCCTTAGGGCCGGCCTCTCCCTTGGCCCAGCGGTTGATGGTGTCGCGGATGGCCGCGTACCGCGACTTGGGCGGCAGCACCACCTCGGGCTCGTTGGCGTGGAAGGGCGTGGCCACGGTGCCGACCATGATGGTAACGACGGTAACCCCGAAGGGCGACAGCTCGAGCCGCAGCGTGTCAGAGAGCGAGTTCAGCGCCGCTTTGGAGGATGCGTAGGTGCCTAGCACCACCACTCAGTCAGCAACACACACACACACACACATTATACATAGCACAAGGGGGGTCGAATTGGTCGAGGGAACTTACCAATCCATGGCGTGTTCACCACCGCACCAACCGAGCTGATATTCACGATGCGGCCCTTGCTGGCAATCAGCAGATCCGAAAACGCCTGCACGCACCGCAGGACGCCCCAGAGGTTAGTGTCGTGGAGTTGCTGGGCGTGGGCGATGTCGACGTCCAAAAGCGGCATAGTGTAGCCGTAGCCGGCGTTGTTGATGAGCACGTCCAGCGCCTTGCCGCTCTCGGCCACGGTCTTGGCGGCTTCCCTCACAGAGGCGTCGGACGCTACATCGAGCGCGAAGGTCGTGACGTTGGGCAGGCCCGAGAGCTCCGCTGGGATCTTGGCCGTGTTTCGCGCCGTTGCGTAGACGTGATGGCCTTGCTTTGCGAGCTCATGGGCCAGGGCGGCGCCAATACCGCCCGCCGAGCAGCCTGTGATCAGCACTGTCTTTTTGGGAGTGGCCATCGTTTTTGATGCGAGTCCGAGCAGTTTCGGAAACAGGATTCAGGCCCGCGTTGTGGGTACGGCAGACTCTCTACTCTCACTCAGCGACGGAAGGAAGAGGATTCGCAGTGGGGGGAGGCGCCTGCAGCCCTATGAAGCTACGAATCTAAAGTGCCCTGTGCTCTGCGGACCCAAGCAAAAGATCAAGGCACAGATCTGGCATCTAGTTACGGCATTGGCCGCTGACTCGCAGATTGAGAGCTACTGTGGTAAAGTTCGGTTGATACTGTTCAACTTCCTGCAAAGCCTGAGCTGGTTCTGCTGAGCACCCTTTACCCGCAATACTGCGGCAGCAAACTTCGGCGGGGTTGCAACAGTGTGTGCTTGCATTGCAGCGGCTGCAGCGGGATGGTGGTTTCCCGCCGATGTTGCTTTTTGCTCGGGGTCACTCAAGGACCCGTTAACCGAAGGGAACGACAAGATGCAAACGCCGCACTCATGCACTTTCGATTTCGTGTCGGCCTGGCCAACCCGAGGTAGCGCCGGCCTCGCGCAATAGCAGGGACAAAGTCTTGGTCTTCGCATGATTCAGCAGAAGGACCTTCTGCGCCGCACTTGTGCTGCCGTTATGCGGTTCCATTTGATGCGTTGCAAGTCCAGCAGGGTGTGTTGGAGAGAAGTGGGTCAGCTGTTAAGGAAAGAATCACCTGCCGAATTGGGTGATTCAAGATCACTCATCACCTTGAATCGTGCGCAATCACATGTCGCAGATTAACTCACATCGCAGACAGTACTACTACCCACCTGGCCGTGGTACATTTGACCAAAACTCGCCGACTGCCCTCTAAGCCAAATGTTTGCTCCGGCCGCGAAAATCATCCCCTCCTGTAAAAGACCTCGACTGGTCCGCTTTGTCGTTGGCTTAGTGCCCCGCATCGTCGGTAAGAGCCCCGGAGATCGGCGCTATGGGGAAGCCGTCGGTCCGGCCCACTCGGTGCGCCATCTCAAATGGGTTTAATGTTCTGGCGCCGGCCTCGCACCATAATGCTTGATCTCACTGCACAGCAAGTTCACCAATCCTCCCATCCTCGAGGAAAATACACCTGGGATATTTTAGTGATGGCTATACGCTTGGTTGACCCTGGTATTGATGGAGGCTGATATGTCTGCTCACAAGAAAGAGGAGCAAGATGAAGGTACGAAGATTGCCAATGTTGCGGGTGCCCGCCAGGCTTAGTCAGCTAGGCCTACAATAGTGGCACGGTGATAAAACCGCCGGGCGCAGAAAGGCAAGTTGCAATCTAGAACCAGACCACAATTCCTTCGACAAGTGGTGGCCAGTGCTCCGAAATAACCAAATCGCACAAATCCGATCCAAACCAGGCCCGGCCTGTTCAAACCAAACCGACCGCCCAGGTTTGGCAAACCCGAGACCCTTTGGTTTGGCTGATTTCCCAAGAGGGGAGGTACGTACCATGCCCCTAGTATTGGTGATTTTCCCTACCCAAATCACGGGTCACCAAAGTACCCGCCCAAGCCTGTACTTCATCCGACACGGCGGTCCAGGATTCACGGCGGTCCAGGGTTAGGACTATATCTGTGTCGCGGCGGAATAACTACGTCCGGCATTCAAGCAAAGCATATAAATGCAAACCAAACGCAAACCAAAACCCGGCCTGGGAGGCAAATCCAAACTAAACCGACCGCCAGATTTGGTTTGTTTGCTTTATTCGGAGCGCTGGTGGTGGCAGCTTCCATGGGCCATGGCGTCTCCCCAACCTCCTGAGTGCCCGTTTTTAAAGGTAGCCGAGCGTTTTCACAAATTTTGTGCAACTCACCCGTAACATGATTTACCAAGCCCAAGAGGTATCCGATTGAAAGGATATACACAGAATATCGCAGCGCTTTTCCAAACGCCAAAACCAAAGAAACGTTACTATTTACACCATAGAATTTACAGAAGCAGGGTGCAGCTCCTGGTCTATATCCACGGTCCTCACAATCCCTGGCCCAGCACCAGGCTTCCCCGCCACGATATCCTGCTTCGCGCTGATACTGGTCTCGGTGATGCCCGTCGTCAACAGCGTGGTGTCGGCAAACGGGAAATCGGCGCGCGCGGCCTGCGCGGGGAATTGGAAGTTGTGCATGGGCAGCGGCGGCGTCGGGTCGTTGTGGTGGTGGTGGTGGTGGTGGTGGGAGAGGGACGCGTCGGTCCGCGACCACGTCTCGGACCCGCCGATGGGCCACGTCTTGACAAAGCTGGGCTTCGTGGGGAAGTCCCACGAGCCGTTGCTGTTGCTGCTGCCGAACTTGGAGAGCAGCGACTTGGCAAAGGTCGTCTCGGAGACATAGACGCGCATGAAGGTTGCGAAGGCCGGCATGGAGCTGACTATGATGGCCACGTTGTTCTCGACGATTCTGTTGGCGTCTTGTTGTCAGCGGCCATGCTCAGAATGTTTCAGATGTTGGGTGTAAGTTTGTGTCTTGAACAAAACTTACACGCAAATGAACAGGCAGTTCTGCACCCAGGTGATGTCGTGGGTGGTGCGGAGGCGGACGCGGAACACGAGGGCAATTACGCTCGCGATTACACCCCTGTATCCGAAGGCACGACCTGGTTAGCACCTAGGCTGACTCCCTAGAAGGCCAGTGGAGGAAGGAAGGGAACAACCCACATCAAAGCTGTAGCGAAGACAGCCAGCAGCCCCACGCGCTTCCTGTTCGACAGCCGCAACTTGGCCAGCGGGGCCAGGGGCAGGACGAAGATGTAGATATCCAGGAACACGGACAGCGACCCTTGCACGACGCCCCAGGTGATGAGGCGCTCGGGCATGCCGTTCATCAGCAGGATCTCCCATGGCTGGCCGGCGTGGGGTGCGGCGAAGTAGGCCTCGAGCGGCACGCCGGCCCAGTAGGCTAGGAAGGTGAGCGCCAGGCCGGCGTAGATGGCGATGCGCAGCTTGTGGTGCACGCCCGTCACGAAAATCTGCAGGTACAGCAGGAAGATGGCCGACTTGGCGAAGAAGATGACCGGGCCCAGGAGCGTGCCCTGCGCAAAGAGGATCTATACCCAACCGAACAAGGGAGTCAGTAGCGTGTTCCGTTGGTTCGGGATGGCAACCCATGCGTAGCTTACTACTTACCTTCATGTATGTCCCATCAAACCAACAGGCCGGAACGTCCCATTGATGCCGGGCATACTTGAGCACTGCAGCGGGCACAGTGTGTTAGCACGCGTTACGCACGTGGAAAACTGCAAGGCATTGGGTAACGCACTGGCCAGGACTAGGGCCGTGTAAGTCGTGCTGAGGACGAAGGCAATCGCGACGAAATCTGATTGTACCGTTTCGATAAGTAGCTGTTTCTTCCTTCAAGAGAGGACTGGTACGCATGCCACTTACAATCTGCCCAGGTCATCTTCCGTCTGTTGGTGTAGATGCGAGCGGCGGTGAAGATCAGCGACCAGGCAGTCATGATGGCCGGCACCGCGATCAGACTCGCCCTGAGGTTCTCCGGATCGACCAGATTCGGCAGTTGCCCGTCCGGAGGGACGCCTGCCGGAATGGCGCACAGATCCGTGCCCGGCGGGAGCTGGGAAGCCATCTTCAGGCTTCAAGCAAAGCGACAGCGTGTCTTGTTGCGAAGGCAAAATTTGGGACAGGTGGCGGACTGGAGTCCGTCAGAGTTCGCGGCTGCGCGATTTGCGAGCTGCCCTCTTCTTTACTTAAGACAGCAGTCGGGGTAGTGAGGCGCTAATGACTTAATCATGCCTCTACGGCGTGGGCGATCGCAGTGCGACTCCGGATGTCTCAGCTCAGGACCTCAGGTCAATGGCTGTGGACAGCAGCTCTTAGTCTAGCCCGAGCCATTGCAACAGGTGCCGTCTCGCGCAGTCTTTCTGGCTGTGAGAACGATGCAATGCTACGACCAAGAAACTGAGCCCCGAGCGAAGGGCACGCTGCCCGCCTTTTACCTGCGCCTCAACCTTGCAGCGGAGCACGTTACGGCAATCATGCCACGAGTGGCGGTTCGGCGGATAAAAACGCTGGACAGAAGGGAGAGGAGGGGGTTGTGGAACGCTGTGGTGCGTGATGATTCGGCAAGGTATGCCCGTCTATGCGGCCTATCGGCGCTGACGCAGAGGAGCATCAACCGCCATCCCTGGATATGATCACCTAAGACACCATGGGCCCTTAGAGTCCTTATTAGTGGTTCCCATTGTTAATACTTGGGCCGGTCTTGCGCCGCACAAGAGTAAGACACTAGCCCCGCGTGGTAACAGCCCGTAACCCGGCCTTTGAGTTTCCGGAGTCCCACGGCGCATTCTCTCGAACAATGTTGCTGCTTTGGGCTGTCGGCATGCTCGGCTTGTGATTCGTCATGCGGCGCAGCTTATTAACTGCCACACCTTTGCCATGTTATCTGAGTGGCGATGGCCATTCGCTCTTTTTATGTAGATTGCAACCCTCCCATGTGCCTCCCATCAGGTAACTTTCCTCGCTTTCCTGCTGGATGGATACTCGGCGGGGTGGCGTAAGCCTCCCGATGCGACGCCACGAGAACGCATCGGCATCGACATTCTAGGGATTTGTCGAGGACCAATGGCCGGTTAAGTGCGGGACACGTCTACTAGTCTCACGGAGTTTGTCCCGGACACAGAGAATGTCGGGTCTGCGGTGCGCCAATAGAGTTTCGACCTTGCGTCTCCTGTTTCTCAGGCTCCAAGATACGGATATGCGTATTATTACCTACCTACTGTGCATGCCGTCGCACTACTCACATAGGTGCCTAGAGTTAAGAGAGAATGGAACGGTGCAGTTTATGTTGTGTTGCAGGGTCCTGTGATTATCTATTCTAGGCTTATTGCAGCCGACCGCTTATCGTTACATTCTGCCCATTTGAACGAGTCTTTCCAGCCCCCAATCACACGCCCTGTCAGCGCACAACCTCCCCTCGATGCCCCTGCTGACGCCGGAACGATACCACGGTGGTACTGCGGGGTACGATGCTCGACCGCCACGTTCGACACCGAGGCGCGGACGGGTCGGGCATCACACACTCCCACTCCTCGAGGATGTGGACGAGGATCAGCTTCAGAACCAGGGATGCGTAGAACCGCCCGGGACATGCGGTATTCCCAAACCCCCAAATCGGCCAGTCGATGGTGGAATCGGTAAGGCTGGACGGGGCTCGGTCCGGCACTTCGTCGGGTGTGATGCCCTGCCGCAGGGCCTCATTGGCGCGCGCGAAGCGGAAGCCATCAAACGTGTCGGCGTGGCTGTACCGCAACCCGTCCATCATCATGGCCCTCTGAGGGACGCAGGCCCAGTCTCCCTCACGCAGGCGGGAGCCGTCCTGGAAGATGTAGGGCGCGAGAGCTTTGCGTCGGCCAGTGACTGCGCCGCACCAAAGTGCTACCTGTCAGCGCGTACGAACGGAGACATACCAGTATCGGAATCCTCCGTGGCTGCTAAGGGAGGAGGGGTCGTTACTTACTAGCATCCGAATTGTTGCAGCGAATCGACTCCTTGATAAAGCTGTCGAGTAACGGGAGCTTATCCAGCCCGCTCGCATTGTGCTGCAAGCGTTGCAGCTCCGACCGCAGTGGCTCGACATACTCGGGGTGGACACACATGTCGTAAATGGCGTACGTGGTGGTCTTGTTTCGTTCAAACCGACTCAAGTCAGCAACAAACTTCCCCACAATCATGTGAATAAAGGTTGATGAGCACCCACCATGGCGAGCTGATGGACCGAACCAAACCAGACCGCCATGATCTCACCCACCATCCGCGCAGGCGACCACGGATTCTTGCGCGGGGATGTGTCAATCAGCCATTGCATGCAGTCCTTGTTCGTATTCTCGGCCGTGCGACCCGACCCGTCCGACTGCAGCTCAGCCCGGGCAGCCAGTCGTCGCTTGACGATGGGCTCTAAATGGCGGAACAGTGTCTTGGCTGCTCGGTGTTGCTGGGTTGCCACGGCTGCGACGAGTCTTTTTTGTTTGAGATAGGTTTTCGGACGAGTCAGCCGGCAAAGATCAAAGCCGCGGTAAAATTGAAAAGTGGAAAGAACCTAAGTTGAGATTCACTTACGGACGCAAGGCCTTGATGGGCGTGATGCGTAGAAGCTCGGCTGCAAACACGACAGTCTGCGGAAACTCGAGCGCTGCTTGTCTGAACTCGGCATTTCTTGCTGCAAAGAGGGTAGTACCATCCGACACACCCGTCAGCCAATGCCCACCGTCAGCACCAGCTCTTTGCGCCGGATCACTCACAGAGCTCTTCGCCAAAGAAGATGAACGAGTTGACCTCGGTCACGATCTTCTTGATGAAGGGGAAAAGCTGCACTTGTGCGAATCCTGAATTCTCCGTGGATCCCATCTCTGTCAGCTGTCTTGCGGAAGCCAGTAAAGGGGGCGGCCCCTAAACCCACCATCAGCCCCGGGGTGCTCGAGTTCTCTCGAGAACGAGTTCTCGATAATCCTCTGCAGCGTGGGCTGGAAATACGGCAAATGGGCCGTGAGCAGGCTCCTGAGAGCTCGAACAAAGCCGGTGCCCTCGACGCCTCGCTGATCCTGCCATTCGAAGCCGTACATGGTGTACTTGGGTTGCAAGATCTGACGGGGGAAAGGGGTTAGACTGCCGGCGCGACACGCTCGGGATACGCTCAAGCACCCACCTCCTTTGCCACCGCATGGAGCGAGAGCTGCTGTATCGGAGCATCGATGAGCTCTCGGATCAGGTCATCCGACGTGACGAGCAGGTGGTCGTTGGATGGCGTCGCGACCTTGAACGCCTTTCCCTCTGCCTTTGGCTGGGTCAGACACCTTAACACTAACACCTCGGGTCCTAGGAGGGACAGAGCCGTTTACCTTGGCGTAGGCATTGTCAATGACCTGGGGCCCGCGCACGAGGTACCATAACCCGTAGATGCGCCTCTGTCAAGCGTCAGCAACGCTTTCGCCGAGGTCTGAAGAGAAGAGGCAAGCGCTTACACGGTTCCTGACTAGGTAAAGCAAAACTGTCGCCGCAAGGGCAAGGGCGAAGAGCAGTGATGCTGCTCGACCTGCCCGCCAGATCGTCCAAGGGTGCTCTACCATCTTGAATCCAATGTTGAGCTCAAACGCTTCAGGGGGGAAGTGCCTGGACATCAGATCCACGCCCGCTTGACATGATATCGCGCGGAGCGGGGGATCACACCTCAGGGAAACAATGCCCAATCTGGTAACAACATGTTCCTGCCCAGCCCAGTGCCGCCTGTGGACAATGTCGCAGGCCCGATATCACACACACGTCGGCGGGTATAGGACTGCCAACGAACTGTGCCACATCCCATCACATGAATTCACATGGCCCCGGTTGCCATGGACCGCGACAAATTGCCCCACAATCCCACATGCACACACACTTTGCCGTAACCGACCGGGCGTGGGGATCCAATCACCCGGGGCCGGTTGGTCGCCGGTTACGACGTTGAAGACACCAACGACTCGCCAGTTAGTCAAGTTGCTCACGCACGTAGCCGGAGACAGCCCGAATACGGAAGGATGCAGGCGGCTAACTCATGCAGTTGGCCCAACGGTCGCGGTTGGCGGCATGTCGTTTTACTAAGTCCAAGTAACGCTAGAGTCCTAGACATGAATCCTTGGGGAGATCGTACAGTCCAATGTACGGTACAATGTAGGTACGTATTGCCTGCCGGATTCTGGATATCTCACCGGGGAGGATTCGATCTCTCCCAACCCATCATTCTCACAGCCCTCGCCCGCCCATCTGAAGTCCGCGCAACACACGAAGTGCATTTGCTCTCTCGGACTTCCCGACATCTAGCACAGCACCGCTTTCCTTGAGCGATCCGTCCCGCCTGCGACCCGACAGTCAGGATGCTCCTCACATCCCTTGCAGCGCATGCAGAGAGCTTATTCTCAGCCCTACCGCCAGGGGTTCAGGCGCATTCAACTCTGATCAGCATAACGGCTGCCGCTGTCTTGGCGCTGCTGCTGTGGCGGCTGTGGCGCTTCACCATCACGCCGGCGCTGTATCCCGACGACCCCAAGGAGCTGCCATATTGGATTCCATGTGAGTCACCACTGGCCTTTTCTAGGCGAAGAAAAATAAGAATAAAGGTAGCTGACCTGCTGCAGTTTTGGGTGAGTAATCCCCTGTACTCCCGTACTGAACGATAAACAGGTCCCTGGCATCAGGCTGACTGACACCCTCTACGCAGGCCACGGCGCTGCCTTCTTCGGTAACTCGAGCGCTCTGATATCGCGAGCAGGGTAAGCTAGCTCCAGTCCAGATCCAAAACGCTCGCCGTCAGCCAGCACCACTCACATAACACCTTGCAGCAACTACTTTGGCAACAGCAAGGAGCCCTTTGCGCTGACCATCGCCAACTCCAAGATCTACGTCATCACCAAGTCGCGCGATGTGGCCGAGGCGTACCGCAACACCGACACGCTCTCGTTCAACGAGTTCGTGCAGGCCATGATGCGCGCCTGCGGCAACTCCGAGTCCTGCGTCCGCGCCATGTACACGCCGCTCCCGCGGGACAAGGCCGGCTTCCCAAACCCGCACGGCAAGCCTCTGGCCACGCTCGCCCGCCAGATGCACATCCACCAGCTGTACCCGGGCGACAACCTCGACTTCCTGGAGCGCCAGTTCTACGACTGGTTCGTCGCCCACCTCGAGTCGGTCGACGTGATCCGGCGCTTCTGCCCGTACGCCACGGCCGAACCTACTACTAGTAACAAGAACTCGGTCGTGGTGCCGCTCATGGAGTGGTGCTCCGACTTCTTCACGCGCGCCGGGCAGAAGGCTTACTTCGGCGACGCGCTGGCGGGCATCGACCCGGAGCTGACCAGCGTGTTTATTGTCTTTGACGAGCTCAGTTGGCAGGTGCTGTACCAGTACCCGAGCTTCCTGGCGCGCGAGATGAAGGCCGCCCGCGACCGCATCCAGCGCGCTCTCCTCAAGTACATCCAGATCCCGCAGGCGCAGCGCACGGGGGATGCCTGGTTCACCAAGGCCATGGAGAACGAGATGCGCGCGCTCGGGATTTCCGAGGAGGATATTGCTACGATGCTGGTTACCATCTACTGGGGGTGCGCTCGCCTTCTTCTTTCCCCTCCCTTGTCCTGGTCAAAACGATCGTACATCCTACAGTACTTACTGACTTTCCCCCCGGTGATATAGCATCAACACCAACACGCGCAAAGCCGCCTTCTGGCTGCTCACCTACCTCCTACACCGCCCATCCCTGATCAACGCAGTCCGCACCGAAACAGACCCCGCCTTTCTCCCAGACGGCTCCATGGACCTCTCCAAACTGCACGACGGATCCTGCCCCCTGCTCGACTCCCTCTGGAACGAAACGATCCGCATGTCGGCCTACTCGGCCTCGGTGCGCTTCATCACGCGCGACACCGTCATCGGCGGCAAGATCCTCCGCAAGGGCAACCGGCTGATGATCCCCTACCGGCAGCTGCACTTCGACGAGGACGTGTTCGGCCCGGGCATCGAGCAGTTCCGCCCGGAGCGGTTCGACGAGAAGGCCAACCTCACGCGAAGCGATAACTGGCGGCCTTTTGGCGGCGGCAGTACCATGTGTCCCGGCCGCTATGTCGCCAAGCGGGCCGTTATGCTGTTCGTGGCCATGTTGTTGAGGCGGTTTGAGCTGGAGATGGTCGGCGGGCCGGACACGCCCGTGCCGGATGCCGAGCAGGGGAAGCCGGTGCTGGGGATTATGAGTGTGAAGGAGGGGCAGGATTTGATGGTGCGGTTGACGAGGAGGGTGTGAAGTGGACCGTGGAGGGGAAGTGTGTTACTGATAGGTTGGGAGGAGGTGATAAACTGCGTGTAAGCTACTAGTAGTAGGGAGTAAATGGATCTAAATATTGCGTGTGCAGCGCGTAGTGACAGTCCCTGACATCCTAAGCCTAACTGACATCCAACGAATCCTAGAAAAGTTCGTCATGGAGTGGTCAGATGGGACGAACGAGGTTTTGGTAGAGACGACATGATTCTTCGAGTCAGCAGTCAGCTTGGATAAGTTTCACCAGAACCTTAACCGCATTGAACTCCACAATACCGCCGGATATGTTGACTCCTGTCCTTCTTGAGCATCATGTGTTGGCTGCGGCACGAGCTCGATGGCGGGATGGTTACGCCGACGATTATCCGCAACGGCGGGTGAGTGCATATACTACTGTATACACCTGCGTAACACCAGCCTTTAGCCGCAAGCCGCCCTGCCGGATATCATCTGAGTGAACAAGATCTATTCTTGGAAACAGGTCCAATAACCGGGGACTTCATATCAAGAGATCCCGGGTTGCGGTAGAGTCCTGACAGAAACGTCCGTTTTCATCCAACGACGAAGTTAGCATCTATAAAAAAAAACCGCCACATCAAACCTGTAGCATTCGGACGTCACAACTCTACCATTGTTCGACCCCAAACACCCCGTCGAAAAGGCTCCCAATAAAATGCTTCTCCTCGGCCTAATCCCTCTTCTCCTCTGCCTGCCCTCCCTGGGATTTGGAACAGCAACCACCACGTCCTCAACACCAATAAAACCATGGGAAATCTCCCACCTCTCAACATTCTCCCCCTCCGGCCGCCCAGACTCCTCGCCCTGGGCCGTGGTGAACCTCACGATCTCAGACCCCAACGACACCAGCGTCTCCCCGGCAACCTGTGTCAGACAATGGAACTTCGGCAACGAAACACCTTACGACAAGGTCATAGCCTGCTCTGAGGTCCCCGGGGGCAAGTGGACCTTTGTGATGCTCGAGGCGGACGGGGCGGACGGGGTGACGCCGAGCCCGATTACCAATTTTGGAGTGAGGTTTGAACTGGAGAAGAAGAAGAAGAAGAAGGATGGAGGTGAGAAATGGGTGGGTGACGCGAAGTTTGTGGTTGGGGAGAATATGAGTGGGCTTTGTGCGGCGAGCGGGTTTTGTTCGTTTGGGCTGAAGGAGGAGCTGGCGCCGTTTGCTGTGAGGCAGGTTCAGGTTCGTTGATGGTGGCAGGAGTCAAGAAGAAATGGGAGGGTCGGAAGCTTGGGAGGCTTTGTGATGCAGTGTCGTCGTGTTGTTTGTGTCTTCAGGGGTTACCGAGTTCAGAGGTTGGTCAATCTTGAACACAGGGAGCTTCTTTGTATTCCACATTACTTAACCATGATTACCTTATGTTAAAAAACTGTGGATTGACAAGCGTGCAATAGCGTCATCGCAGTCTCTGTAGCCAAGCAGGGCCGCCACGGCCACATCCACCCAACACTTTGTTGTGCGGTCGTCCTCGAACCCCTTTGCGTGCTCAGCGCACCAAGCCAAAAGCTTTCCCAGTGACCTGGCATCCCCGCATGCAGAGGTCGAAGACATAAAAGGGGTCCGAATAGTGATGACGAAGGTGAAGAAGGTGCAGTAGGTGAAGAAGGTGATGTGCCCACCTAAGCCAGTTCCCTGGCTTATATGTGGAAGGGCATGAAAGCCATAATGAACATAATCACCACAAAGGTCCTTAGTGGCCTATTTATTTGGATGGAACAGACTCAAGGTAAATCAATACCAGCCTCGGTTTTCCATCTGGACTCTCCCGGCAAAAGACCGTATTCCAGTAGCTGATATCGCCGTGCTGCACCACGCACCTGCCCAGCGACTTCACTCCACGCACGAGCTCCCTGAGTTGCCGTTTCGTCACCCGCAGCGCCGCGGCCTTGCAACTGTTGTAAGGCATTCAGCCTCGAACTACCACCGAGAGACGTATTCAGATGGGAAGATAAGTCGAGAGATAGGGGAAATCTTCCGTATCACTGTAAATCTATCACCAAATAATACGCTGATCCGCCGCAACGGCCGGAAACACTTCGGCCGGATTCCTTAGCTTGGTGGGCGGCAATCGCGTAGTTGCTGCGGCTAACATATCCGTCTGCTTTTTGATAACCCGTCCCGTCCGTCCGTAACACACTGATACTCCTTTGCTTCCTCCATCAGCTACATATACTATTACGCCCTCGATTCGCTGGCCGCATGTGGCTGCTTCTCAGTAGAGAGACTCCAGTACATCACAGCGGCGTCACACTCTCGAGCTTCCTCGCCATGTCAAGGACACATTGCCTTGCCCCGGAGTCGTTTCTCAGCGGATGAGCACGCTGGGCGCACCAACGCAACAGGCGTCCCATGCTCTTCGTCTCCTTCTTCCCCCACACGATACCAATCTCCGATAATGATCCGAAATCAGCGAACAGCAATCTCCCTTCTCCACCTCCCGTACCAGACTGGAAGACGATACCCCCGTACGCAGCTTCTCTCCATCCAAGCTTCACCCCACAGCCGTCAAGGTCCCGCACTGCTTGAACGAGCTCTTGGAGCTGCCTCCCCGTCACCGGCAACTCAGTAGCCTTTTCTTCATCAATTGCAAACCTCTCCAGGGGCGGACCACAATACGGCATGAGTCCGCCGGCAACGCTCCCGGGTGCCCACCGTCCCGATGCTGCCCCGTCGGCGAGGACGACAGCTTGGATGGGAACGACATGGAACCGCCTCATCATCTCCGTGTCAATATCCCTGGCTTCGAGAAGCCGTCCGATGAGAGTCTCGCGAATGCGTATCTCGTTCCTGATGTCATCGTTGTCCTCCTTGAACTGGATCTGCATGAAGATGCAGTCTCGATTATTCCAGCGGCAACGGTCTGCCTTCCGACTGAAGTATTCAAGGTTCTCCAGCTTAATGAATGGAGGTGGTGGGGATCAATGGACCATTGTAAAACACCGGGCGCGTCTTGTCGTCGTGGGTGGGTTCGGAGACCCGGTCATCAGGGCGGTTCTCGAAGGTGGGATCGCTTTCCGCCGACGCTTTGCACATTGTATTCCAGCTGGGGGGGCTGTTGCTTTCCTCGTGGTATTGCTTGATGTGTTTGGCGAGCAGCGCCTGCATCCCCGGGATGTCGGGACCTAGCGTCTCAAAAACTTCGCATCGGTACCATCGACGGTTGCCCCCATCATACACCTTGTACGTGGCAAACTGGTTGGCCTTGTCGTACTCATGACCATCCATCTCTTCAACCAGGGGATCGTGCCAGATCCGTTGGGAGTCCATGATGCAAGCGATAACGAAGTGAAATTGGAGTTCCAAACAGCGATAAGAAGTGTGGTCAACGAGCTGGAAGAGGGTGGTAAGATGACTGACGGTCAGAATGAATGAATTGTTGTATGAAGAAAGTCCACTGGCAGAGTGAAGAGGAATTCCGAGAAACCTCAGCACTGCACACACACTTCCCAGCATACCTTTCCAGATTGCCAATCAAGCAGGATCTCCCTCAGAAACAAAGTCACCCGTTATTACCTTTCCAGAGAGGTAAACTCTGACATTGGAAGAACAGAAACAAACTTGGAAGGCACTACTCCGCGTCAGTATCGCTTGTGGTACGTCCAGTTCCGCTGAAGAGGTAAGAACAACTGACACGTTCCCAGGAAACCCCGGCCCTCCCTCTGAACGGTAATGGTGGCGGGAACCTGCTTGGTTGGCAGACTAGGAAGGTTCGTTTCGGGGGTTATCGGTACCACAGCTCACTCTGCTCGTTCATAGTCTTGGGCAATGTTCGGCGCGATGATGTTCCAGTTTAGTTTGTAGTAAGAGATCTTCTATCCTCCCGCTAAAATGCAGCAAAGCTCAGTTTAAAAATGGTTAACCACCAGGGCTCTCATGCCCTCTCAAACGCCTCGCGCAAATACCCACAACACTCGCGATACAACTCCTCCGACAGCTCCGGCGGCTTGTTCGGATTCGGACTCTTATCCCAAGCATGCGGCACCCCGGGGACCATCTTGTACCTCACCTCCCTGCTGATGGGCTCCCTCTCCAGCCGCTTGGCGAACTCTTGGCCTTCTTCCAACAGCATATCCCACTCACAAGTGTAGAAGATCACCGTCTCCGGGATGGCCTCGGCCAGCTGTTCATCCGTAGCTTTGCTAGGTGACAAGTACGGATTAGAGAGGTTCAATTGGGGCGGATAGAGATACGACGCGTCGAATAGGTCGGTAAAGGTCTGCGGAAGGGTCTGGTCGGGGCGGACCGAGGTGGCCCGCTTCAGGGCGCGCGGCCGGGTGTAGTCGGTGACGGGGTACCACGTCGCCACGGCGCGGATGCGGTAGTCCGGGATGGGCGTGCCGGATGCCCGGGCGGACTTGACGTGGTCTGCGAGAAGGAGGGGCGCGGTGATGGCGAGGTTGCCACCGGCGGAGAAGCCCGAGACGGCGAGCTTCGCCGGGTCGATATGCAGCTCGGGGCCGGACCGGATCAGGTAGAGCAGCGCGTCTGCCGAGTCTTCGACTGCGACGGGGAAGGGATTTTCCGGGCTTAGACGGTAGTCGACGCTCACGAAGACGGCGTGGCATGTCTCGAGGACGAAACGAGCGAAGCGGGCGTCGTCGGTGGCATTGCCGATGGTGAAGCCGCCGCCGTGGAAGTTGACGACGGCGGGGAATTTCCTGCTCGTAGTGCCTGCTGTGGTGTAGCCCTCTGGCGTGTAGAACTGCAAGGTGACTTCGCCTTTGACCTTGGAAATCGTCGCGGGAATGGTTCTTGTGAAGCATGGACTTGGTGGCCGCTTGGGAGCCTGGAAGTGCAGCGCCATGCCCACGTACTGCAGCGACCTCCACCAAGCGGCTGCTATGCGGAGCCTGAACCGGGACGGGGCCGGACCGACCGCATCGTGGGCGGTCTCGTGTGGCCTTGTGTTTGTCTCGTCGGGCTCGGGATTGCCAAGGTTGACCGCGGGGATGCCATCTACGATAGGCATCGTGGGTTTGGACTTGCGGCAGCAAGGGAAACAACAAAAGGAGCACGCAGTCATGGGGGTTTGCACTGTCGTTGCAACATCGGAAGTTGCTTCAACGCCGACTCATAGGAGTGTCCTGGAGGGGCTTGTTGTTGGTTGTGCTAAAAAATGTGGGTTGCTTGAAGAGTGTTAATGCTGATACAGTCCCACTTTTGCACCTGACACTGAGAGTCACTCTGCAACTGCCCTGAGGCTGGGAGCTGAACTAATGACGGTGCAGTGCCTTAGGAATTGGAAAGATGAAATGGCAGGTTCCTTGTCTGCTACAACAAGTATTGCCTGCTACTATTCTTAACTCTCATCAGAATTGACGGTTCCTGAACTGCCAAAAGTTGATGTCATCGGCGGCCGATCGAAGCTTCAAAACGTTAGGTGTGTCTCTGGTTGGTTGGCTGAAAAAGGCAAGTGGCAAGGTTCTTGACATCCCGCCCAGGCCGCAAGTGCCCATGACGTCATTGCGAATGACATGCAGAACCGACATTTGGTCAGGCAATCGCGACCAAAATGGATCACTGAGATTGGAGAGGGCCAGTTGTCTATTCGGGCCAGGGCATAGAGTAGCTGCCGCTAGCCAATGCTGTATGCCTGACCGTAGCCGCGATTCCGTGATTGGAATCGCGTTCGAGGCCCTTCTAGGAGTCTCCACGGGCAGAACCGGACTGTCCGGGCGGATGAAGTAAATGGGCTAACCTCATCGCACGTGCGAGTTTCCGTCCGAATTCCGAGTTCTCCGGAGCATTTCCTCCAGGCCCGGCCAACTTGTCTCTTGAGGTGAATTTAAGCTCGTGGGTGCTCATTGCCCCTCCCCTTCTCCCCGCTTGGCTTCCCCGATTCCCATCTCTCGGTTCCTTCCCCGAGTTCCACACCACGCTTGGCCTCAGACCTGACGTCACACACGCCACGCCCTCCGGTAGTCAAAATTAAAACATCAACGGTCGGAGAATCGTTGCGACAATCAACAACTCGCAAATTGCAACACCCTGAATACCAAAACGCCGACTGTCCGTATCCCACCATCCGGCAGCAACCATGTCGCCGGGCGGACTCAGGAAGCCACTTTTGGCTCTCAATCGCATTATCGGGCACACATCGGCTAAGAACCACATCACTAAAATCCATATCGGCAACATTGCCGCCCTCGACGACGACCACAAGCATGAGAGACAGCTGAAGAAGGCGCAAGAGGAGCGCATCAAGGAGGATGAACGCGAACAACAGAGGCGATCGTTCCAACAGCGGCGACAGGAGGAGGAAGAGAAGGCGCGCCAGCAAGACCCGCCCGAGATTGCCGCACGCTACGGCACCAGGACGGGCGACGTGCTCGCCAAGACAGAGTCGATACAGAAGGTGGCCGCAGATCCCAGCAATGCCGGCATGCAGGTCAGCTTCATCGCCCGCATCCACCATGTGCGGCCGCTGAGCTCCAAGCTGGCCTTCGTCATTTTCCGCGACCAGATCGAGCTAGTGCAGGGCGTGCTATCCTACCGCGAAGGCGAGATCTCGGAGAACTTTGTGCGGTGGGCCGAGCATCTGAACAGCGAATCGTTTGTTCATGTTCAGGGGAAGTTACAGACGCCGCCGGAGCCGGTCAAGGGCTGCTCCATCCACGAGCTGGAAGTGGTGATCGACTCGATGCATGTCGTAGTGCCTGTGAAGGAACACCTGCCCGTCGACCCGTTCGGCATCGATCGTGTCGAACAGGACGAGAACACGCACCAGCTCGAGGCGCTGGCATCAACCAGGGTCCGGGTTTCGAACCGGCTCGCTTACCTGCGGACACCCACTGCGCAATCGATCTTCCGCATCAACTCGGCCATCTGCAGCATATTCCGCTCCGTGCTCGAGAGCCACAACTTCATGGAGATCCACACCCCCAAGCTCATGCCCGGGGCAACCGAGTCGGGGGCTGAAGTCTTCCGAGTTAACTACTTCGGACGCACTGCCTTCCTTGCCCAAAGCCCGCAGCTGAGCAAGCAGTTGAGCATCTCGGCTGACTTCGGTCGCGTGTTCGAAGTCGGTCCGGTCTTCCGTGCCGAGGACAGCAACACCCACCGTCACTTGACCGAGTACACTGGGTTGGATATCGAGATGTCCATCAACAGTGATTATCACGAGGCAATGCACGTCATCGACGAGTTGATGAAGAGCATATTTAAGGGCGTGTACAGCCGCTGCCGGAGAGAGATCGACATTGTCAAGTCACGCTTCCCCCACGAAGACCTCGTCTGGCTGGACCAGACACCGATCCTGACATTCAGGGAGGCAGTTGATCTGCTGAATTCGTCGGGCTGGACCGATGACCACGGCCGCAAGGCGTCTGAGCTTGAGGATTTGAGCACACGCGCCGAGATCCGGATCGGCGAGTTGGTTAAGGAGAAGTACGGCACCGACTACTACATCATTGACAAGTTCCCCGCGTCCGCGCGGCCGTTCTATACCTACCTCGACCCCAAAGACCAGAGGTTTACCAACTCGTTCGACATCTTCCTCCGCGGCCAGGAGATCACAACGGGCGGTCAGCGTATTCACAGGCCAGAGCTACTGCTCGAGCGGATGAAGAAGGCCGGCGTCGAGCCCAGCGGCGTGGAGGAGTATCTGCAAGGGTTCGAGTTCGGTGTTCTGCCTCACGCAGGGTGCGGCATCGGCCTCGAGCGCCTGGTGTTCCTCCTGCTGAACTTGGGCGACATTCGGAACGCCTCCCTGTTCCCCCGCGATCCCAAGTCCCTGCCGGAGCACAAGCAAGCTGCCGTGAGGCTCCCCCATCCAGAGGCCGACACCATCCGGTACGCCTACGACTTCCAACAAGGCTACAACCCCGAGCTGCCGCCGGTCGAGAAGCTCATCGCCAACTACGGCGACGCCACCAACACCTCGTGGCTCGACGACCGCTACAAGGTCTGGCGACACGAGGAAACCGGGGCGGCGGTCGGGTACGCCGAGGAGAACGGCTACGCGCTGGTGATGGGCAACCCGCTGTGCGACTCACGCCAGTACCAGCCCGTGATCCGCGCCTTCCTGAAGAGCATGCGCAAGCAAAAGGACCTGCGCCCACTCTGGCTGCTCGTCGGCCCGGAGGTCGAGGATATCCTGGGTTCCAAGCTGGGTTGGCGCACGCTCAGCTGCGTCGCCGAGGAGCGCGTGCCGATCGAGTCGGCCAAGAAGGTGGCCAAGAAGGAGCGGCAGGCCGAGGACGCGGGCGTGACCATCCACGAGCTGCCGGCCGACCAGCTGCCCTCGCAGGAATTTCGCGAGCGCGTCGACAAGAAGGTCGAGGCGTGGAAGGCCAACCGCAAGGGCAGCAAGCAGGTGCACATCACGGATGTGCGCCCCTGGGTGGACATGGAGCACCGCCGGTACTTGTGGGCCGAGACCAAGGAGGGCGAGGTCGCGGCGATTTGCATCTTGCACCGCCTCTCGCCGGCGAACGGCTACCAGATCAAGTTTGCGCTCGATTTTCCCGGTTCGCCCAACGGTACCATCGAGGCCCTGATCTCGGCCGCCATCCAGAGCCTAGCCAAGGCCGGCGTGCAGAATGTTACCTTTGGTGCCGGCGCCCTGCCGGAGATGGTTACGGGTGGTAACTTGGATGGCATCAGGGCTCGTATTCTGAGCAAGACGTACAAGACGATTGCGCAGCAGCTCAAATTGATCAACAAGAGCGAGTTCCGGGAGAAGTTTGGCACGCGCAATGACTTGGTTTATATTTGCTATCCGTTTATGGTGAGTCTAGCAGATTCAGTTTATGACTTTTTGGAATATGACTTGGTACTAACATCTTTGCTTAGGGTCTCGGCGTCTCCGGCGCAAGGACGCTCATCAAGTTCTTTGAAGATGAGATGTAGAGTTGGATACTAGGATTGGCAATAAAGGCCGGAAAGTTGGCGTCTGCGAGATGGTTGCGCGGGAGATGGGGAACGTTTGCGATAAATGTTTTGCCTTCCGCTTTGTTTTGCTTTGTTGTTTGGCATGGTTTGGTCATCACCACTTGATACCACTAGTTGTAATGTTTGTATTTGCTGAATTGAGTCTTGGTTTACGGACTACTGGCCGATGTGTGGTAGAATCATGGGAAGGCAACGACTCGTGACGAAAGTTCGGCTGCAGGGACTTGTGCTTGATCCATCGTGACACCTTCCCCAGGCATAAATTGAAGACTAAGAGCCTGAATCCAGGGGCTGAACTAATGTTCCTCCCTAACCTTCTGTTGACTGCAGATATACTAGTAGTAAAGGGGTCTGCCTATATAAGATGGATATTCTTCTCTGTAATCCAGCAACAATAACAACACCCGCCGTCGACCACGGAATTCATCACCGTTGCCTTGCTCTGGCCCTCCCAAACGGAGCGGAGACCGGTGAGCGAGCCCATGATCGCCAATGAACCATTGACGGCGTAACAAAACGACCTCAGGGCTGTCCCTACTGTCCAGCATTGCCGTAGAGGCAATCCGGTAAGGGACTGGGCCTCGCCGCAACTCCCGCCGAGGCTGGCTCGTATGGTCCCGTACATTGCCAATAGCTTCTCGCATTCTACTCACATTAAGAGCCTAGTCGCATCCTACCAGCCGATGAGACCTGCAAGAAACAAAACCCCGCCGAGACGGAGCAGCAGCTGTGGATACCGACCGCCCGCGACCATGCAGGGCACCATGGGCCAGACACAGAGCAGGTGTGGACTGCTCCCGGCGCCGCGAAGAGCCTTCTGGGAAGCATCATACCGGCTATATGCCCGCGCTGGAGGAGATCAACAACCTACAGTCGCTCGGCCCCCCCTGTACCGAAGGTCTGCATCACACATGAGAACTTCAGGAGATTGGGCGCACACGGTGGGAGTTCACGAATCTGATCGAGCTAACAAGACAAACATACTGTCCGGATAGACTAAAGGGCCCCAACACCACTGGTAAGTGACCTTGTTGAGATATTCCCTTCAACTTTAGACCACATGGCAACAGGACGCTGATACACATGCACTGTGCAGCTTTCAACACCCTCACTATAAGACCTAGCAGGAGATGATCACCAACGAGGAGGACCCCGAACCAAGACGCAACTCAGGCGCGCGTGGCACAATCATTCGTCAAACCGAACCCACAGCTAAACGACCTGAATCTCTAGACGCCGATGTCAACTTGACATTCCCCGAAGTTTCCTCAGAACAGGATCGACGAGCACTGCAAGCCCATCGACCCCTCGGAGATAGAGTTTCCCAAATTCAACACGGATATGATAAGCTTAACAACAACGGGCTGCAATCGACCACATTCCTTTCCAGTGATAGAGGCGCCTGCTTCCGGTGAGACCGCTTCCACTTTCACAGCTAGCCATTCCGCTAGAGCTCGACCCACTCATACCATGTTGAAAAACATGACCTTCGCGATCATCCTGTTCACTATCCCTTTTCAAGCCCTCCCGTATATTTCGAGATCCGGCCTATTTATGCGCATCATGATTCTTGCTTCTAATATACCACCAGACACCCTCTTCTCTATGCCTTTGACCTGCATGAAGCAAGCCAGAGGGCAACCTCACACCATTCGCAGAACCTTCACCGCGGCCCTACACCCCGGCCACACCCGGCAGCTGCTCTTAGGCGGGAGCATTATGCACGCATTCGCCAGTCCCCCGGAGGTCCGGCTTATGATTATGGAAGAGCTCGTCCATAATGAAGACACAGCATAGCTCTACAACCCACAAGACAAGCCCTTCAGGGGGTTTCCGTCTGCGTCTAGTCCTTCACAGCGGAGCTCCTGAGGCTGGATGACACCGCCCAGACACCGGCGGAAGTGGTGATAAAGCGCGGTCCACCACCTACCCCAAGCGCTGCGGGCCTCGACATCGCCCAGACAGACCAGCCGACCATGCGCATGACAGCTTAACCAGGAACTGCCATCACGTACCCGGTCTCCCAGAGATACGGCTCGAGGAGCAAAGCCTAGTGAGCCAGATACAGATAGACTCCGATTACAACGTACACCTCCGCGTACGTTGCCAGGAGCTACCTCGATCCGACTACGACTTCTGGACCGACGACGTGGGCAAGTACGCAGAGGAGCCCTTTAATCGGTATGGTTCGACAGCCTGTCCCGGTCCGACCCTAAGACGAAGACCTTCAAGGTGGGCCAGAGCAAGATCGACGCCTTCATGAAGGCCGGCGGCGAGCGCGCCGCCACCTACGTGGAGGGCGCAGCCAACGTCATGGTGTCCGCGGAGGATAACCTAGCCGCCGCCGAGACTCTCAAGGCAGAACACGAACTGCGTAGCTCATGCTACAGGCGGCCGTGTCTAACAACCTTACGGACACAATTGACGTCAGGCAGGTTAATTAGAGGACCATACTCCGGAAGCTTGGAGATATAGACGCCCGGATCGCCGAGGTAATAGAGGATCCGAAGACCGATTAGAACAGGATTCCGCTCCCCGACGGCAAGAAGCACAGCGCGAAGGGCTTCGGCTTCGCCGCTCACCAGGTGCTCTATACGCAGGGTATTTTAGAGAAAGTAAAGACTTTTGTTCACGGCGCTATCCTCGCCAACGACGTCGGTATTAGCAAGATGAACACCACCATATTAGTCCCATACTTATATTACAATAAGATAAAGGCCCTCTTGGCCCTTAGTAAGAAAAGTCTAATATATAGCCCGGCATTCTAGATCACCTAGGCGAACCTCACCTACCAAACCTAGCACGACATCAATCGGTTCTTCCGCGGCATCTTCCGCGTATTTATCTACTTTGGCAACGGCGACTACGAGAGTAATGAGCAGCGCAAGGACGCCATCGACAAGGCCCGCCTAGAGGAGCTCACCAAGGGGTAGAAGAGGCGCGAGGACGAGCCCGAGGTAAGTCTCTTTCCCGATCATAACACTCGCGCGGGTCCTGCTATGGCGGCCACCGCACTCTCTACGCCCTAACACTTCCATTTCGCCGCTTCCGTACCTGTTTACTATGGTGGCCGCCACACCAGAGCCTACCTGGCCGCACATTTCGCAAGCTATTGCTAACTTGTGATCTAACAGATCTGCCTCAACATCGTCATCACGAGCTACTCCACGCTCTACCACCGCAACTGCACGGTCGTGAATGACCTCCACCCTCACCATACCGATTTCGAGGTCCCATCTGGTATAGGGGATAGGGCTATGCCCTATATTTACTAGTCCCTCCTGAAGTCACAAAACCAAGGAAGTTACTTGTAACCAACCGATTCCCAACGTGGACGCGGCACAAGCCATAAAGACTGCCCGTTTTAGAGCGAAAGCGGCCACGTCATCCCAACAACAACAGAAGAACCAACCGTCAGCCACCGAACTGAAGACTGTTGCCCTGTACCAGCGCAAAAACATCCCCCCTTGGGATTGTATGATTACTACCCGCATCATCTCCCCATCGCCCCTCCGGAGTCTTGGCCACACGAGGACACCGCCCCCAGGAGGGCGTGGAGGAGCAGCAAAGCAACGATCAGGATGACGAAGAGGATAAACCCACTAACGAGCTAGCCCTCAGCTTACTACGCCTTGCAAAAACAGCCTGAGCCCGCGGCACTGTCTACCGGACTGTCCCCAACGCTTCCTAAGCTACGATCGGTTGCCCTTTTCCTGTTAACCTAGAAAGAAGGGACAACTCCGCTACCTCACTCCGGCGGACGTCACGGCAATGACATAGAAGATGGCGAGATACGACGTCTCCAGGAACTCAGACCGGCCGGATGACCGCGGCCGAGAACGACGACGGCCAGTGGCTGTGGGGTCCCGCAGATGGGCTCGCAGCCGCCCAAACAGCAACGTACTGTGCTTGCTCGCCCTGGTCTGGATTCCTCGCGAGCCACCTCGCCAGCCACTCTGTGTTTGCCGCGATGGGGGACTTTTCTCGAAGTCATATCATCGCATCACCTTTTGGATGGGACCGGACATCAAGACCGGCTTGGGTTGGTGGCCATGTATATGTTGTGTGATGAGTTTCACTGACCCGGAGGGGGTTACGATCCGTCTCACGTAAGTTGATAACCCGGAAACCCACAGGAAGATCGGTAGTGGGCGGGCTGACGGCCTCAACAAATTAACAATGGCCAGTTCGTCCAATTGACAGCTGGGAAGACTACCTGGGCAGAGGGACGCCCTAGGCTGGGTACCTAGGGAATGGTCCAAAACGTGACATTTGCCAGATAAAAGAGGGAGCAAAGGTGGAGAGGACAGGCGATGTAACGCGTGCCAGGATGGTTCTGGAGGTCAGAATGTTTGGGTAACGACCGAAACTTTGTATATCAGTACAAAGGCAGCGTTGAATGTTGATGGCTTTTCGGTTTTGGCACATGGGATAGCTACGGTACTAATCTATGAGCCACGCTTCGATTCGGGATACAGTCAACATCATTATACTACCTACCTGATCGGTACTTACTTTAGTATTTTTATAAGATGACAGGCAAGGGTACATATAATGTTTATTACCTACTTGAACTGAATGTAAAAATGCCGCTGTAAATTACAGTATGTACGCTCCGGTGTATGGTAAATACAGCTCGTAGTGGAGTATCTATACTCCCTCTTACCGTACATACATCTCGTACCATGGTAAGTACACTCCACTCCAAGGTGTGATTACAAGGCTCCCAATGAGAAGGAGGTATGATACAAATTGCCAGCACGATTTGTCGTCGGTGTTTTCATACGAGTTCTTCCCCCCTTTCCCCCGTTTCGCACTATAGGTACCTTAAAATCCAATCCCACATACCTAAGGTACCCAACCCCAACCTCCCACCCTAGGACTCTTCTCCAACACCCTAAGAACAAAAGCTGCTCCGGCGATGGCGCCGGCGAGGGCAGCGTGTGATGCGGGCCGAGCATGCTCGGGTTTGCCAGGCATATGGTGCTGAGCTGCTGCTGCTGCTGGGTGTTGAGACCTGCTGCATTGTTGGTGTTGGTATTGGTCTGGTGGGCGGTGTTGTTGAGCGGGACTTGCTGTTGCTGTTGCTGCTGCTGCTGTGCGAGAAGTTGGGTCACTTGCTCTGGGGTCAGCTGGTTGAGGTTTAGTGGTTGTGCGTATGACTGGTGCTGGTAGTTCTGATGGATGCCCTGGGCTTGATGCTGGAGATTGGCAATGCTTTGGGGGGTGGGCGGTACTAGTAGTTGGTGGTTGCTGGTGCTGTTGTTGGCGTGCCATTCCTGGCGGGACGCTGTCTGGGGCTATGCCGACAGCATGCTTCCGAACTGGTTGCCGTCACTGCCGCCCCCCGCCGCGTTGGTGTTCATGTTCATGTTCATGCCTCCCACACCCATTCCGCCGTTGAAAGGGGCTGTGGTCCTGGGAGGGCCAGCCTGCTGGCCAAAGCTGGACTGTGGAAAGTTCCCAGAGCGAGGGACTTGCCCGCCGCCCTGCTGGTTCACCGGAACCATCAGCTGCTGGTTACCCGCCGGGTCTGCTCCGGGTGGGCCCGTGTAAGCGAAGTCATCCCGACGAAGCATCAGCATGGCGTTCCACTGGGCGTCCGAGTTGCGCTGCTTGACCGACCAAACGTAGTTGCTGAACTGGGCCGAGACGTTGAAAACCTGGGTGAAGTATTTACGCTCTAGCTTGATGCGCTCGTTGTCCTTGCTATGGAAACCCGCCAGCGCGACGGCCGTCTGGAAGGCATTGCGGATCTGGCGGCCGTTCCAGACAGGGCCGAACTGGGGATCGCGCTGTCGCTGAAAGATCTCTTGCGCACACAGCACGAGATCAACTGCATCAAGTTCGATGCGACTGTCCTTCTGGGCTGTAGCAATGTGGGAACGCCAGATACTGATGGTTAGCTTCTCGGTGAGCGGCGGGCAGTACAAGGACATGTGGATGCGGGACTTGAAGGCCTCGTCGAAGGCGCCCACCCGGTTGGTGGTCAAGAACAGAATGCCTTCGTAGTACTCCAGTGTCCGGAGGAAGACTGTCATAAGCGGAAACCAGCATGTCTCTGAAGAGCGGGTTAACGAAGACACATGTTATGCATACCAGAGACCAGTGCATTCCTTTCAATGTCCGTGGGTGTTCTCTGTGCGAGAAAAACGTCGGCTTCGTCGAATAGCATGACACAACCCCACGCCTCAGCGAGCCTGAATATTTCCTGCAGCTTGGATTCCACGCCGGCTGGCGTCAGTCCCAGGTCGCCTTGACGAAGTCTTGTCAGCGAAATGCAGTCCAAGTTATGTGGCAGCAGTCCTCTTGCATAGTGAAATTAAGATATCTTGCGTACCACAGGTAATGGGCAGCAGCGGTCTGCCGTGGCTCTGTGCAACGCATTCTGTGGGACAAGGAAGTCAGGACCCTTTTGGTTGTAGTTTGCGTGCAGCAGCACCCTTACCCGCCGTTGATGTCTTGCCAGCCCCTGGCACGCCGTGCAGCAGAATAATGACCCCCTTTCCTGTTTCTTGATCAGTTCCATGGCCTCTCAGCTAGCACCTTTGAACAAGGAACTCCAGGGAAGAAGGGCTGCTGATCTTTGCCGCTGACCAGATCGAAGTGCATGTTTTTGCTCCTGTCTTTGGAGAAGTGCGAGTCGACCAGAGAATGCACGGTTTCCTTGTGCCCTGTGGGAAGTTCCAGATTCTGCCACGGCTCATCAGTTTGCTGAACATTGGTCAAGGTCGGGTTGCCGTATATGTCTTTGCCGATTTGTAGACAAGCTGCGTGCAACAGGGAGAGCCCCTCGTTAGCAATGTTCGTCTTACTACCCCAGTACTTAGTACACTACATTCGGTGGGACTTCACCCCATCTCCTGGTTCGCAAGACAAAGGTAAACACCCTATCGGGTAGCAGGAGATCCTGCTCTTCGGTGGGACCGGACAGGTCGGGGTCCTTCCCCCATTCCTTCCACTTCTTTGTCTCGGCTCCCACAAGATCTTCGGTGGACTTCATGTCCCATGGGTTGTCTGCAAGGGGGGCCACCCGGACCCCGCTCTGGGCGTCGGGTGGTTTTCATATAGTAGCTCTCCCACGACCGACCTCCCGGACACCATCTTGGGATCTCGTGCAGGGCCCGCTCAAAGTCAACCATGACCTCACTGTCGAATCTCTCCGAGTAGCGAGTTAACATTCTTATGAGATCCGTCATCGAGCTCGGTGAGACGCTTGCCGGTCGGGGTACTGTCATAGCTCCGGCCGCTATAGGATTGGTGGCGGACCCGAGTCATGGCCTTGAATCGTTTGGCTCGTTCGAGTACGTCGCCTCGGTCAAGGATCCCTTGGTACTCAACAAAGCTGAGCGGGGCAATCAGGAGGGAGAGCATAAGCTGGGGGCCGTCAAAGCTGTTGATCCTGAACTCGTGGTAGCTGGGCTGGTAGCAAGTACCGTCAAAGTCTAGATGGTAGCAGATGGCGACGAAATCGGAGAACGGGTCCTCGGACCGGCCACCAGGTCTCTCGTTGGACCTCGGCTCGTAGTCCCTCCGGACACTGGTTCGTTCGACAACTTTCCAGATCTTCTGCGGTACTTTGGGGTCTCTGGCGTATACAAGGGAACCGACGGGGAATAAGAGCCACAGATTGTTGAAAAGGACATGGGCCGGCATGTGCTCTGGCTCGCGGAATTCTGGTCGGGAACAGACGCCGATAACCCTCTCCAGGCATTTGAAGTCCAAGATGTAGGCTGTCAGCTGCTGAAGTGTCATCTGAGACTCTCGCTGAGGGCTGAGTGCGGCGCCGTCCTCGACCGGGTTGCGCTGGTAGTGTTCCGTGTATTCATCCTCACTTGCCGCCCACATGACGCGGCGGGCATTGTGAAATTCGGCTATGCGTTTCCGGATCCTGCCTTCGTGGTATGACAGCATCTTGTATGGTCTGAGGATGTGGAAAGGCTCGTCGGTACTAGCTGGCAGGGTCATGTTGAACTCGTGTTCGAGGAAGCCTTGCAGGCGCAGCGAGTTGACAATGATGCGTTCCGGCCACTCCTCGTTGATTGGACACATGGGTGCGTCAGAGTCCATGTACATCTCTTCAACATCTTCTACAACAGACGGATTGAGCGAAGGCAGATCGTATGCCACCTCGATAGCGAAATGCAGCCTCTTTGCTTGTTTCCGCACCTTGGCCTCTGCCCAGGGAACCACGGCCAGTTTCGGGATAGAGAACGACTTCAGTTTGCCAGCGCCCGAGAACGCCTTGCTCGCCAGGGCCTCCGCGGTAGTAATGTCACCATGCTGTGACGACCGGTCCTTGTCCATCTCATGGTCCACATGGGCGATCACAGAGGACTTGGCTGTTTTGTGCATCTCCGCTGATCCCTCTTCTTCAATGCCTGGCTTCAGCTATTGCTCCGAAAATTGAGGATCCGATACTCTCAAGTCGCTTGCTCCAGAGTATGCAGGAGAGAAGGCACTTGAGGCTGTGTTGGGATACATAGGTATTCTACCTATAATTAGTACTCCTCTAAGTTTAGATGCTCCCTGATGTGGCGGCTAATAACATGCCGTTGCAGGGTGCGCCGAGCCCCTTGCGGTTCCATCTCGCCTGCGATCACCTGCTTACCCATATTACCTTACACTCGTTCCATTTGCTGTTTGTCGAATCTCCGGGTCCTATCGATCTTAAGCAATTGTCGGGGAAGCCTCACGCGCAGGGCCAAGTCCGTCCGAAGGATCTTCAGCCTATGCACGCAATCACAAAACGCACGAGTATTCCCGGCACTTGAAGTAAGGTTCAAACAAGTCGAATCCGGCATTCAAAATGAACGAGTCACTCACTCTATTGTCTCCTCCCACCTCGGGATGAATTCTATCGGACCTTGACAAACTACCTACCTAGCAAGATGGCTCGCCTATCCACAATTTTCGCCACGGCGTTGGCACTAGGTCACCACGCTGCTTTGGCATATCCTCGCAGCCTTGCTGCTTCCAAAATACTTCTGAATGGTCGCGATGTTGAAAAGGAGTACGACTACATCGTTGTTGGGGGAGGCACGGCTGGTCTCACGGTGGCTGATCGACTAACTGAGGATGGCAAGGCAACGGTGCTTGTCGTCGAATATGGACAGCTTAGTACGTTGTCCTCAGCTAGTAGGGAAGTAGAGGGAAACTGACCTCCCTGGCAGGCAACTCTCCTTCCATCACAACCGTGCAGGGTGGTAAGTTTAGCGTTAACACGATCCCTGAATCCCTGATTTTTGACCCCGCATTTCGCACAGGGTTCATGGGCATGTCCGACACCACACTTCTCTATGACATTAGCTCGGTACCGCAGACCAACTTACGCAACAGGACCATCGCCGTACTTGCCGGGAAGGTTGTGGGCGGAAGCTCCGCGGTGAACGCCATGATGACAGTCAGAGGCACAGCCGAGGATTACGACCGCTGGGGCAGCTTCTTCGGCAGCAAGTCCCACTGGAGCTGGCAGAACCTCCTCCCTTACTTTCAGCGGGCCTTGAACTTCGCCCCCCCAGACGATGCCGTCACCAAGTCCGCCAATATCACGTACGACAAGAGCTTCTGGGGCAATACTTCGGGCGTGTATGCCGGATGGCCCTCCTTCCAGTATCCCGGCACAAGCGCCCAGGTGGACGCCTTCAAGGGTATTCCAGGGGTGACGTTTGTCAATGATAGCGGATCTGGAAAGCCCGGGGTCTACTGGTACCCGACATTCATGGACCCCAAGCTGGTGCAAAGGTCGTACGCCAGGACCGGCCACCATGACAAAGCCGCAAACAGGACGAACTACCACTTGGTAACCGGATCCAAAGTGAACAGGATCATTCTTAACGGCAATACAGCAACGGGCATCACGTTTGTGCCGGTTGGCTCCACTACAGGGTCAGCAACGAACAGGAGCACCGTCGTCGGTGCTAGGAAGGAGGTAATTCTCGCGGCCGGCGGCATCCACAGCCCACAGATCCTCCAGCTAAGCGGCATCGGACCGCGCAAGCTACTGAGCTCGGCCAACATCACGACGGTCGTCGACCTCCCGGGTGTGGGCCAGAATTTCCAGGACCACCCGATGCTCACGGCTTCGTACGTGTGTAAGTACTACTTATCCCATCTCATCTGCCCGCGATACTCGGTCCAAAGCCTTTCCGAAAGTGAGCTAACTGTACCTATGTTAGACCGCAATTTCACCATCCACCCCTCGCCCGAAGATCTCTTTCTCAACGCGTCCTTCTCCGCCTGGGCTTCCGCCGTGTGGTCAGCCAACCGCACAGGCCCCAACTCGATCGCAACCGGCAACGCAGCGGCCTGGCTCCCCTTCCCCGTGATCTCCCCGCGCTCCTCGTCCATCTCTTCCATGCTATCCAGCCAGAACCACTCCGCCTACCTGCCCCCGGACACCGACCCGACCGTCCTCGCGGGCTACCGCGCCCAGATGCTCTCGTACGCCACTGCCCTGCGCAACAACAACAGCGCCTTCGGCAACCTCATCATCACCGGCGGCGCGGCCAGCGGCGCCATCGTCGACCTGCACCCGCTCAGCCGCGGCACCGTCACCATCAACCGGTCGTCCCCGCACGACACCGAACCGCTCGTCGACTACCGCGCGCTGAGCAATCCGCTCGACGGAGCCGTCATGACCGACATCCTGCGCTTCGCGCGCCGGTACCACCTGGAGAACCCGCTCACGGCCGCGTGGGACGCCACCGAGTTCGCTCCGGGACTGGAGGTCGCCACCGATGAGCAGTTCGGGGAGTATCTTGCGGAGAGTGTCAGCCCGAGTGAGTTCCACCCCGCGGGCACGTGCGCTATGCTGCCGCGGGAGCTGGGCGGGGTGGTGGATGAGGAGTTGAGGGTGTATGGCGTGCGAGGGTTGAGGGTTGTCGATGCCAGTATCATGCCCACTCTTCCCGGGGGCAATACGTGTCAGACTGTGTATGCGGTTGCGGAGAAGGTGAGTTGCTACGAGTAACATAGTGCTACTAAGTGTTGTTCTTGTCGTTGGGATGTTCTTTGAGAGGGTTTGGGCATGAGACCGCTGACACTGACACTGTGCGATGCTTTAGGCGGCGGATCTGATCCGATACGGGCGGCCGGGAGATTCTGGACAGTAAGGAGGGGAGGGGGGTTGGCAGGTGCTAGCCACTGCGGCGGGCTGTGTGGTATTTTCTTAGTACCTAGGACTGTGTTGAACCGTATACTAGTATACCTTGTCTCACACGACTACGCTATCGACCGTGCGAGGACTTGGGGGAAGGAGGGCGTCATGCAACAGCGATTTCGATATCCTCTGCGTCTCTTCGAGCCGTACGAGGGCGTCGTCGCAAGTGGCGTCGCCTCTGGCCTGGTCTTGCCGATTCTCGCTATTCGTTCTAGTGACTGCCGCCTCTTCCTAAGTCCGTAGTGCTCTGCCTGGCACTATCCGTCTCTTGCGGTGGATCTATAGGGGTCGCCCTCCGTGGCGATCTGCCCTGCTGCGATCCGTCGTCTACGCTTCCCAGCTTGTTGGTCGGATACAGCCTCTGTTTTCGAGGTTGTAGGTGGCTATCTCCCTTCCAACTAATGTCTAGGTCATAGTTTGATGCTATAGGCGTCCTAGGATTATATCCTTCCTAGACCATATTTTAACAATGTCGAATACTACCTCGGTGGTTTTTCCTTCTACTATAATCGTAAGTAGTTCTATCTCTTATCGGACCTATTAGGTATCGAATAGTCCTTTGACAATATACTGCTTCTTCTTAATCCTCTATAGGATTCTAAGTCGGTTAACGAGTGCTAGTAAGATAAGGTCGACTTAGGATCCTCTATCCACTAATACCAATATCTAGAACCCATTCTAGTATACCGTAACCCAAATTCTATTATCGGGTCGGTCGTCTTAAATCGCAGCGGCTTCCTTTATACTCGCTGGGAGATTGTAGATCCTTTTCTTCGTATAGTTCTTCCTATACCCGCGGATTTATCGTCCTTGTAATAGATTTAGTAGTTTCCAGGCTCTTTAGAGGGCCCTAAGCCGTTTCCTAACTCCGTCCTAGCATCTAGATAGGCGTCCTATGACGAAACCACAGGCAGTCCTGCCTCTGAAAGGGTTCGTCGGTCGAAGGTACTGCTGGTCGGACTATAGGTCTCGGTAAAGCCAAAAGGTTCATAACAATGCTTGTCGCAATATCTGCACAATAGGTAAGGACTATTGCTTGAATTGCTCACTGGAGAGCTCCCAGAATCCTCTAGAATGAGTGACTATATACTAGCTATCTTCTTGGGTGCTTAGTGCTTCGATTTGGATAAACATCTGGGTGCTCATCGTAATATGCCTCTAATCACTCTGATCGCTTACATCCTGCAGAGTGCTCAGCGGCATTGGCACCTTAGCACCTTCGCCTGACTCTGACTAGTCTGCCTGATTGTCCCAAGTGATTAGCTCGGGACGCCCCTACGCCCCTATATATGGCCGTCTGCCCTGCAGCCTGCTATTGGTTAATTCGTGACACGTCCCTATCCCTCTATGCCTCTCGGTTGCCATCCTACGGTCCAAGTCTCGGGAGTTCATTAAATAACTGTCGAATTTCGTTGGCTCTTCTTTCTTCCCTATCATCGTTCGCGAGGCATCATCTATTTTCGTATACGTGCCTTGTCTTTGTAATACTTCTAGAGCTTTGCCCCTATATGAATTAGGCAATCTTAGCTCTTGTACTGTCATACGTCGTTAGGCTATCGTTGGCAATCTTCTAGGTAGATTCGCCATAGTATTGCCCTGATGCTATCGTATACGCCAATCTTCTCGACCTTCAAGAGGAACTAGTCGGCGCCTATCCCTATATCCCAAACCTAGGGAATCGGTCGAGATTTACCGTTTCGGTCAGTAGGCCAATCTGGCCAAAAGTCGTTGTCGAACTTCGATCGAAAATAATATCGGTATTTACATACGGTAACGTGGTTGATAAGCGAATGTCATAGATAAGCGAATGTCACACGAATTCGCCCTAATATATCTTCTATCTTTCTTCCCATCTTCCTTTACAATACAACATAGGTCACAAAAGCAACGAGGCCCAGGTATAACTAGCCCTTCTGGCAATGCAAAATGATCCGAAGTTAAGAGCTCGAGTGGCTAGTAGGATCTATAATGTGGATTATAAGAAGCTAAGCCGCCAGCGACGCAGTATACAATCACAACGCGATATTCTAGCCAATTCGCAGAAGTTGACCAATCTAGAAGAATCGGTCATTGTTTAATATATCCTCGACCTAGATTCTAAAGGATTTCCTCCCTGCTTGTCTAGTATAGAAGATATGGCCAATCAACTACTTGCCGAACGCGACGTAGGATATATTAGAATGCATTAGATATATAACTTCGTCAAACGGCACCTAGAGCTTAATTACTATATATTTCAATCGGAAATACGACTATTAAAGGGCTTAGTATAAATATCTAGAAATTATTCGTGGCTGGTTTACACTTGTATAGAATACAATCGTAAAGTATAGTATCTAAGAGGTAGACATCTATAACTTTAACGAGACTAGGTTTCTAATAGGTGTTATCTCAACTGCAATAATTGTTATAAGCTCTAAACAGCATAGCAGGGCAAATTTAAAGCAGCCTAGCAATTGGGAGTAGGCAACGGTAATCTACGGCGTTAATGCGACTGGCTAGGCGATCCTGTGACGAAACCACAGGCAGTCCTGCCTCTGAAAGGGTTCGCCGGTCGAAGGTATCTGCTGATCGGACTGTAGGTCTCGGTGAAGCCAAAAGGTTCACAACACTGCTTGCCGCAATGTCTGCACAATAGGTAGAGGCTATTGCTTGAATTGCTCACTGAGGAAGCTAGCTATCTGAATGAGTGGCAGAATGGTAGAACTATATACAGCTTCCTCCCCTAGGTATCCCGTACCTAGATCTTTGGAACATTTGGAACAATTGTTGTTCTCATTGTTCCATCTGGAACAACGTTCCTTGGCGTTGTTCCACAGGAACAATCGTTCTTGGCATTGTTCCTGATTTCCCCAATCCCCATTGGTTCTTTCTGACTCGTAATGATTAGGTACGGGCGCCGCCCGTTGACCATGCAGGTCGGCCCCCACCGGCCTCTGCAGGTTAGTTCATGACACATTACATTCTTGCTCAACTTTTTTAGCATAGCTAGTATTCAAATTGCATGTGCTTTGGCGCAGCTTTGTGTGGTGGTGTATTGATTTTCCTATGTCAATTATTCTGCTCAGGGGGGTGCTTTGTAGTAGGAGGTTGTGTCGGAACTCGGCATATGGAGCAACTGCCCGTGCGGTATTATGCACGTGATGCAGTAAGGGTTAGGGCAGGACTTTCCACTCGTGACAGGTGTCAGGATTGCCAGCTCGGCATTTGGAGCAGGGTTGGCCATGGCAAAGGGAGGTACTACTATGACATCATTGCCCCACATAAATCAACCCGCGCCTGCGCATGAGCTGCGCACCGTGTTCGACGTCATGCCCAGCTGGGCAGTCTCTGGACCCTGAAAGTTAGGCCATGATCAGTGCCAAATGCCTTTATTCTGTGGTGTCTGCTCGGATCGACGACCGTAACATAACGGCGCGGCACACATCATGATCCCACAGTGCCCAGACCTGAGCGGCCCATGGTCATATTTAGGCTTTTGGCAAACTCCCCTTGCCTGAACCATCCCCATTCCTCGCAATTCCACTAGTAGATCAAAACTTTCCCACATCAAATCACTAGCACTAGTACTAGTACTAGTACCCACCATGTCGGAAAAACCACCGCAAAGGAGTCGGGAAGCCGACGGCAACCCCCCGGACGGATCCCCCTCCTCGACCGGCATGGGCCGCACGTCGACCGCCATCGAAGGGCCCGTCGACTTCTCCGAGCTGCCCGGCCTGCCGCGCCTGCGCTACCGCATCCTCGACTACAAGGTCAAGCTGTCCATCATCGTGGGGCTGCTGGTGCTGGAGTCGAGCATCCTGCCCATCGCGCTGTACTACGGGCTGATTCTCGGCACGACCCTGCGGTCGGGCATCGTCTTCGCCATCATCACCTCCTTCTTCGGCATCGTGACCGGCATCGAGTTCGGCCTGCGCTGCTACAAGCTGGTCTTCATGGGCGACAAGTATCGCCCCCGCGGCGGCACCCGCTGGAGCTTCGACTTTACGCACTGGACGCTGTCGTTCGGGTATACCGTCATGACCGCCCTCCTGATCGCCTTCTCCATACCCCATAATCCGCTCGTGCGCCCGCTCGCCATGCCGGTGTCGGTGCTCCTCGTGCAGGTCGGCCTGCAGCTCGCCTGGCACGGGTGGATGCATGCGAGGCAGCGGCCGGCGCCGTTCAAGATCAGTTCGATAGAGAAGGGCGAGAGGGTGCGGCCGTTGGTGTACACGTTCGTCGAGGATGTTGTGGCTGTGGATGGTGCCGGCGGGAGGGAGTACAGGGATGCGTTGGAGGCGCGGTACGAGGCCAGTCCGCGGTTCAGAAAATTGATTGCGTGGCAGAATTGGTTCTGGGCGGTTGGCGCGTTGGTGGATGGGATTGGGACGCTGGTGGTTGTCTGGACTGTCCCAGAAAGAGTCGCTTACGGCGTCGGTAAGTGAATCCTCTTTGATGATTTAGCGTACTGCGAGTCGGTAGACTGATCATCTTATTCTAGGTTGGGGCAGCCCACTGGTATTTGTCGTCCTGTGGACCACCATCTCGGTCCATTGGGCACATCGATCCCTCAGGCGAGAAAAGGAGCTGTGGCGGGAAGAGCACATCAAGCAAAGGGAAGCTGGCGCACACATTTGACAAAGACAACATGGCGTTGGTTGGGGGTAAATATTGGTATACAGTATACACGGACATTGGCGTTGGCGTCATGTTGGATCTCGTCTATGCATAGAGTCACCGATTCAGCGGCAGTATCATCATGGAAAAAAGTCACACATCCTCCAGTCTCCTATATTGGGCTTTGTTTCACGTCACTCATCTTACCCTTAAGTAGAATCTCAAGCTTATGCCCGCACTCCTCTGATACCATACTCGCCGGGCCTCCCAAAGTGGCCGAATCCAGCTCCCGCCAAGATCTTTGTAGGTGGTTTAGGCACTGGCTGGGTCCGATTCTCCATCCAGTCGGACCGAAAGTCTGGGATCTGGGCTAATAAATAAGGCCCGTTACATCTATAGCATGATCGGCGGCGCGGAATGCTTTTACGGAGGGTTACCCTCGCTTTCGTTTTGTCCAGAACAGTGATGGCATTGTATCGTCCGCGAGCAACTAATAATGGTAGGAGACGGTAAATGGATCTATCACAGTACGTGGAGCGTGGAATAGAGCATGAAGAATAGAGTGAGTTCTGGCTAAGAAAAGAAGAAGCGAGGGGGGTAGCTGGGAAAGCCGCTCTATATACGTGTACATACATGAAGGGGTGGATCCTTAGGTCCCTGGTCCTCGGAGAGCACCGAAATAACCTAATCCCAGCGCTCTGCAGCGCCTACAGTGCTACTCCTCGATAGGATCCCTGTATCCTCCGCCTTGGGTCTGACATACCTAGGACCCTAGCTAGAGGTCTCACACTATGGCAATGGTAGCACCTTGACTCCTTGATGGCATTTTCACCTTCCTGGACACCTCGACGAGTCCTACCCGGCGAAACTGCCTCATTAGCGGTTGCGAGGGCTCAGGCTGCTGCACTTGCACCTCTTCCATGACAAGACCCCAGCTTTTCCAACAATCCTCCGATAGCTTTGCGCTAGTAAGCATAAGACAGCAAACTTTGTTGGGGGTATCGTTATCATCGTCCTGCCAGCTCCTTGTGCTAGTGTTGAAATCCTTATATTCCTCATCGTCGTTAGCCGGGAGCACGAGCTGCATTCGGCCAAGATCTTCAGGATGGCTTCGCCAGGACAGCTCGATAAGTTGTCCTCTGAGAATTGCAATACCTGCAAGTACCCCCGCGGTGGAGTTACCGGGGTCAAGGAGTTCCGTCCGAATGTCAATGATCTCCGCCTCATTGTCGTACCGCTCGTAATGGCCGACCAGGGGGTTGGCGAAAGTAACAGGCCCGTCGACGGCGGCCCAGGACCAAGGAGGAGCACGGTACTCCTTTACCCTACGGCAATTAAGCTTCTCGCACACCCACGAGAGCTCCTCGATGAAGGTCTTCCTCCAGAGGCCGGCCAGGTAGGTGTCGTGGCCAAGCAACTGTCTCTGGTGGTAATGAGCCACTCCCGAGAGAGCGATGAGTTTGTCAGAGGCGATGGTCAAGTCGCAATTTGAATACTGCTGCACGACCAAACTCCACGCCATGTGATATGACAACCTTAGATCGCTTTCCGACTCTGCTTGAGATCACACAACAGGAATGGGCTTCAGCGGTTTTCTGGAGGACATGCCATCCCCAGAGAAAATATCTTGTTCTGGTTCACCGGTCGGGTATAGCTCACAAGCCTCTAACTCGTCGCACTCCCAGGCCAGCTGGTGGGGAGCAAAGGGGAAGTATGCGTTGGGATAGGATGCGCTCTTGAAGAATCCAAGCCCGCTTGGTGATGGGCGTACTCGTTACGAGCGCTGTCCGCATGTCACCCAAAAGCTTGACGCGAACTGACTTCTTCTCGGAGAAGCTAGTATTAGTGTCCAAACGGACTGGTTGAACCACGGAGTCGGCCACCTCAAAGTGACGGGCTGATGAGAGACCTTGTTCCAACGCTCGCGGATTGGTGGCCGATATTGTGAAGAGAGCGTTTTGATATACCTCTTTCATCAGCGACGCCTCTCTCAACCAGTCCTCCTTCGAGTCTTGAATGATGCACAGCGTGTCGATCCAAAGATAGTGGTACCCGAGGTTCAAGACGGCATCAATTGCATCCTGGAATGTTTTGGAAAGACCCTCAAACTGTATGGCGATTCTCATCTGGCTCAGGTTGTCGGTCCTCAGCATCACTTGCCTGACCACGCCCCAGCGGTGGCTTAGGGACACGTAAGGACCGGTAGGCGGCTCGCTGCTACACTCTTGCAAGCGAACATTCGTACCCGCGGCGGACCTGTCGAGTCGCAAAAGCCTACAAGGGTACCACTGCCTCTTTGTGCCTGCAGGATTGCAAAGCTTGTGTGACCCCAAGCACGTATCAAGCCAGCGCTTAGCGGCGGCAAGACCGGCAATACTCGTTGTTGAGTCTGCCAGTGGGCTCAGAATGGTCGTTGAATGCGTTTTGATCACATCTGTATCATGTAATGATGGTTAGAAAGAGTTACAACCTCAAAGAGGCGTTGATGTGCCGGAGGCTAAAATACAGGTAAAAGACAGGTATTGATCTCATGTATAGGTAGACTTGAACGAAGCCCACCCTCTTCTGAGATCTCGACTTTGAAGAATACTTGTATTATGGGATCGCGAGAGCCGAACCGAAGATCGCGCCGGAAATCACGAGGAACGATCTAGAGGATCACCACGGCCTCATGGGCTGACGTGTTGACGGAAACCGTGGAAGAGCCCCCAAACGCGCCATCAATATCACTATTCTCGAACGCCAGGGCGACATGATAGCATAGGTAACAGCCAGAATGTGCTGAACGGAGAAGGTCCGTGTGGTCTCCGTAGTGTTCCAGCTCGGGCATTCTGCCCCTCTGCGGCAATGACTGCAGGACGTCTTTGCATTTGAGACACAACAGGTCTGTGGAAACTTCGAAGGTTGCTTGTGGCATTGTGAAGCGCTGGCTCCGCAGGATGCAAGACAATGTCGGTGTCCCTAACCGATGGTTACGTCGACCGTCGCATTAGGATGGCTTAACTTAGGATGAAGTCAGTGAGCGTTCGAGGAAACAAGGAAGCAGTGGGAGTAGCCACCAACCGACATTGCGGGGATGCCACTTCTGTATAGTGGGGGTGGGCAAAGCCTCCACTCCTCATCAAGTTGTGTCACCTAACCTCGGGTTACACCGCAGGAAACAACGCATTAACCTACTTGAGCAAAGGTCCACTGGTACACCGGAGATCAACGAGCCGCTATATACTTGCATGGCATACCACACCTCCACACGACTCCTCCTTCCCTGCACCAGGGGCCGTCCTACCTTCTCAAAGACGTGCCGATACACTCATCTGGTTCCGCATCTCCTGCCCGGCCAAGAACCTCCTCAAGTTGTCCACAATAAGTTCCTCGGAACCTTGCGGTCTGCCACCAGCCGCATGGGGCGACAGAACCAGATTCTTCGCCTTATACAACTTGTTCCCTTCCGGCAGCGGCTCCTGGTCGAACACATCCAGCGCAGCACCGCCAATCTCCCCCTTCTCCAACGCCTCAAACAAAGCATCCTCATCCACCGACATGCCCCTCCCAACATTAACCACCCACGCATGCTTCGGCAGCAGCCCCAACCGCTCTTTATTCAGCGCATGCCTGGTACTCGCATCCCCGGGCAAGATCATGACCAGCGCATCCGTCTGCGGGAGCAGCTCAGGCAGCTTATCCTCGCCAAACACCTCCACACCGCCCCTCACACCCGCATGCCTCGCGACACCGCGCACCGTAGCACCCAGCGCAACAAGATGCGGCGTCAGGCACTTGGCAATATTCCCAAACCCCCAGATCAGCACCCGCGCGTCCCGCAGCGTACGGAACGTGCCCGCTTCACGATCGGGTTGCGGCCCGCCCAGGTGGCCGGGCCACTTCCCCTGCAGCTGGTAGTCCCGCATCTCGTAGAAGCGCCGCGCGGCGTTGAGGAGCAGGCCCAGGGTGTGCTCAGCCACGGTGCGGTCGTGCAGGCCCGAGCCCGTGGTCACGGCGACGCGGGAGGTGTCGAACCCCGCGGTGAGCACGTCGTTGGGGCCCGCGGCCAGGGATTGGATCCATTTCAGCTGGCGTAGGTTTTGTGCGGCGAAGGTGAGGTTTGCGGGGCTGTTGCACCAGGTCACGAGGATCTCGGCATCGTGCAAGTCCGAGGGGATCGTGTCGGCCTTGGCGTCGTAGGCGTGTAGCGTCACGGTTGGGAAACCTGATATCGCCGGGATGTTGAGCTTGAGGGTGTTGGGGTAGAGGAGCTTCATTTTGGCGGTAATTGGGAGGGCGGCGATGTTGAGGTTGTCCGATGTTGATCGTGCCGTGGAGGTTGAAGTTGCGCTGGTGGAGGGGGAGGGGTTGATAAGTTGGAGCTCAACGCGGGGCAATTCCACCCGAAGGCCGGCCCGAGATATTGGATCCGTGGAGCCAGCTCCGCTGTCGGCACTGCGGAGCTCGGTATATCGGTATCATCTCCGAGCCTTTACCCAATCGTCTTCCTGTGCGCTTGACCCATTGGTGGAACAACCCGCAAGCCTTTGCCATTTGCGCGGATCTGGAAAGAATGCCCGGGTTGCTTAGGTAGGTAAAAGAAGAGCTAGGTTGGACTCAACAGACCAGATGGGATTGGGAACATACCGCCTGTTGCACACAGCCCTAATCCTAACCGAACCCCTTTTGGTGTGCACAAGTGCAATCATTTATACTCTCGCACCCCTAACAACGGCAAGTAAATAATGGAAGTCACAATGACCTCCGGAAACTGAAGACACCACGGGATTAACATGGAGGCCAGCCGCCAGGCACAAACAGCAAATTTATGTCGGATCTCGGAGAAATGCTGCTTCGGCGACAAGCTGACGGATAAGCAAGCGGGCAGACAAGGGCGAATGCAGCTGCCTGGACATTACGCGGCGACCAGGGTGATGGGACAAGACGTTTTCTATGTGTTTAACAAGGCTTATAGGCAAGACAACATCTCAGGGAGAAACCAGACGAAGCCAGTTCCTTCATCCACTTACTCATCATACTACGATTCATACCCGTCCGATGCAGAGTACACTTGCGGCGAGGACGTTGCACAACCAACGACACAACACTCATAAAACTGCTAACGACATCCACCGCTTCCAATCCCGGACCTTCCGAAAAGTCAGCAGCAAGCATCAAACATGTCAGCGACACCCAGCAGAGGATTCACCTACCCTCCTTCCCTCGCCCCCTACAACATCTCTCCAGCAGCCTACCTCGCCGCCAACCCGGGCTTGAAGGGCCTCGTGGTGAGCGCCATCATCATCCACAACAGCCGGGTCCTCCTCATCCAGCGCGCCGCACACGACGGGTTTCCTTTGAAATGGGAATGCCCCGGGGGCGGGGTCGACACCACCGACGCAACCATCTTACACGCCGTCTGCCGAGAGGTGCACGAGGAGACGGGGCTCGTCGTCACCAGGCTAGGTGAAAAGGTGAATGTACTGGACTTTGATGGCTGGGAAAATGGCGCCAAGTGGACAAAGATAACCTTTCTGGTTGTGCTGGATGACGGAGACGAGGCGGTGGTGCGGCTCAATGCTCAGGAGCATCAGGATGCGGTGTGGGCTACAGATGCAGAAGTGGCTTCTGGAATGTGTGAAGGGAGGGAGATTGTGTTTGCCTACGGGGACCAGAAGCAGTTGGTTCTGGATGCTTTGAGTGCCAATGGCAAGTGATCATTCGGCGGCACTGGAGACTAGAGATGTCCTCAGACAAGGTTGTCCACGTCGGATATCCCAGTAGGTAGGTACGGACTCGCACTTTCTATTCGTTGCTATCTTCCTCCTCCTCCTCCTAACACCAAGCTAATGCCCTCTGCATAGCCAGTGCGTGTAACACATCTCCGCTGCATATGCATGTAAAACCACAGATCACTTCCTAATCGAATCCGATGCTACTGAGTTGGTTGGCTTTCAGCCGGTGCGGCGTGTCAAGCTGAGCTTTTCAGCTACTGAACGGTAATCCACTGGCTGCGGGTCATCTAGTTATCGCTTCCTGCCAATCCCAGCGTCTTCACACACCCGACTTGACTTGGGCAGCAATACAAGCCTACAAAGTGGAGGCCGAGAGCACGCCGGGATTTCAGGTTCGCCTGTATCACAATGCAGCGATAACTCAATACTCAGCAAGATGCCTTTCGTATATAAAAGGACTGCCGCATGTACTGACGGATACTGGACCTATTCATCCGACAGCTCTCCAAGTTCTTATTCTATAGATCCCGCTTGTCTTTGTTCCTCGTTGAGGTAAACTCCCCGCCATCTTCAACTCGTCTCAACTCCGGCTATCAAAATCTGCGAGAAGACGCCAACATGTTTGTCTACGGCGGGAAGCTCAACTGGGGGACCTATGCCAAGGATGAACTTCGTGCCGTCATCCTCCCGCGCAGTCCCATCTGTGTCGGCGACACAATCTGCAACTACTCCCAGTGGACGAAAGATGCAGAGGGCCATGTCAAAGTGAACGAGCTCAGGCACGACGTCATCGACAAGGTGGCCAAAGCCGACAACGGTAACGACATTTTCCACTTCGGCCGCGGGTATTACTCATACGAGGTCGAAGCCCAAGACGGATATGAGAGCCTCTCTTACACCATGGCCAATCCTGCCGGCGACAAGAGCCACATGATCCTGCCACGCACACACGTGTTTGACGGAGGGGAGAAGGAGATTGCTGACCTCCAGAAGCAACTGGCCGCCCGCAAGGGGGCTGAGGTGGAGAAGCGGGCCCAGGACCTTGAGACTGCCTTGATCAACGCCAGTGCAGACATCGACGGAAATCACAAGGAGATTGCGGACCTCCAGAGTCAGCTTGCGGCGGAGAAGGCGGAACGCGGAGCTCGAGAAGGAGGCAAGGGACTCCGCCGGGAAGGTGGCAGCGCTGGCGACGGAGACCGGGCCGATCAAGCAGACACTGGAACGTACCAGCGAGGAGTTGAAGCAGGCCTTGGCAGATGCCGAGAGCAAGGATAACATCATTGAGGGTTTGGAGAGCGGCATGGAGGCCATCAAGAAGGACCGCGACGCGAAGAAGCACGCCTACGAGGAACTCAAGAAGACTAGCAGCGCCACGATTCAGAGCTCCAGGAGGAGATTGCCAAGCTCAAGGCTGCCTAGCAGGCAATTCGCGTCAGCGGTGGTTGTAGCGGCGGCAGTTGGATGGTCCCCGTTTCAGTTCTTAGTGTCGGTGTGTATCTTGTGGTAGACGCAAGACTCACTGATCGTTGTGTTCTCATGGGCAAATCCTATCGTAAGGTATGCTGAGTACCATGGAAATCAGCTGTCGTACGAGGCATTAGTAGTCAAAATCGACCTGTCGAGTAACTCTACGGAGTACAAGTCCAAGCTCCTTAGCAGACGTCATAAGCACACCTCTATCTCCCTAGCCGCTTAAGTTTTCCACTGACTCTAATAGCCTCAAACTCGCGTCCTGGCCGTCAAAACTCTCGTACTAGCGGTCTTCTGTTAAGTCCGTTGGGTAAGTCAGAGTCTCATCAGGGACGGAGAAGTTTCCCTCTACTACTTCACTCCATGCCAAGGCTCCTTGCCACGCTACAGCAGCTGCGGACCTAAGCACCTTCACAAACGTTGATTATGACTCATCGGAGTGCAAAGTCAACCACTTTTACCCTTTGCTTTTCGAGCATACAACGCACATTAGGTAAGTGTTTTCCACCACATGAATGGCCCGACAATCAAGGTACCTTATGGAAGTAGCGGCACAATAAGACAACAGACAGAGACAACCATGCCCGTAGCCACGGACTCCCTGCTACGCCCAAGTCCAACCGACGTCAAGGTCAGCGAAATGCTATCGCCCGTGAACCAGGCACTTGGCACTATGAGCTCCTTGAGCGCATAATGCTACAGCTACTGTAGATAGCATCCCATATTTACTCTGGGCGCAATTGGTTTGCCGCCGCTGGAGGGACGTCATTCAGGATTCCCCGGCGCTTCAAGAAGCCTGCTGGTATCAGTACCTCGGCGAGAAGTTGCCCGATGGAATTGGACAGCACCCAGCTGCATGGAGGCTGAACCCAGTCTTCAACCTGCTGGGGGTCACGATTGGGAGCGACCAGCCGGGGCTTTCGCCGGAGCATGGGGATTTCGACTTGACGAAGCGCGTCCATGATAAACCCGAGTCGTGGACGACGATGCATGCTACACAACCTCCCTGCCAGCTGATGGAAATTCAGTGCTACGGCGACCACTCTGGGGACGAGACAATGTAAACCTTTGTGTACGTGCACTTTTTGCTGACACTTGCTGATCTCAGGACACATACCTACCTTAGGTACTCTATTATTCAGTCTACGACTGGCCGCCTCCTTCTGGGCGATGTCATGGCTGTACTAGCTGAGTGCCAGAATCGGATGGAATGTGGTGTTGACCGCTGGGCTGGTGTCGTGCATTATAGGGGCCGGCTCTTTCCCACCACAGAAAGAGATTATGTCCAGGACGAGAACTACCTGTCAATCCTGCAGGCAATGGCCGATGACGTTTCAATCAAGGTTGTGGTCGGGCAGGCTTGGGGTTCGGGCGAGTTTCATGCCTTCTCACTTCGGCGTCTTCACCCGCCCGTGAAGCGTGTTGCATGTGATGCACACGTTCCTGCCAGCTATGTGAACATTTTGTATGAGCTGGTAGCGCACGACATGGTATGGGGTGGGGTTGAATACAAGTGGGATGTGGCTGGCCATGGTCCTCTCAGAGAAAGGCATCGTGTCGGCAAAACAGAGGCGTATCACGCAAATTTGCTGGCTGCGAGGGGTCATGAAGGGGACGGGAATACTTGACCGAATGCCGCCACATCTTTTGTCTACTGTCGGCAGATCGCCTTAGCCCCTTGGGAAGCCGGCGGCTGAATGTGAAGATTGGATATAGGCAGAGATTATCAGAACGGACTCCGCAAAGCAAGACAAACGAAGAACGAATACCACAAAGCCAGCATTCCTAGCATTTCTGTCGTCCTATGCGAGGGAACAAAGAGGTGCTCTTTGCTCCTGCCAATCCTGATGTTCACAACTTCAAACTCGCGGACTTATGTCATTGGGAGACATTTGAGAGCAGATGGGAAATAACGAATACGAATACTCTAAAGTCTCATCATAGTTATATGAATGCAGTTACAAGAAACAATTCGCCAAACTCCTCCTCCACACTCCATGAAGAAACACGATTGCAACTACCACCTATTTGCCGTGCACTTCACAACAAAGCCATCCATCTCAGCCTATCTACTTATCCCCTGTCAAATCCACCAAGGTATCCCGACGTCTCCTTCTAGAACCGTAAACCAAACCCACCCTAGCTGCAGGCGGCCTGGCAGCCAAGCAGAATAGTGACACCAGTGGAGGGGGACGGAACTGTCAGCGCAGTGCCGATGGCGTTGCAGATGGCGCACTCCAGGCCCGACTTGTCGCAGGTGATGTCGTAGTTCATCCAGCCGTGCACACTCGGGTTGCGGCCGGAGCCGTCGGGCGGGATGTTGGACATGGTGGTCTGGATGGACTTGGGGATCTTGACGTAGTGGTCCACCTTTTCCTCCCACTGCATGCACTGGCCCTCCTTACCGGGTCGCGTGTCGGGCCTTCTGCAGATTTGCGTTTTCGAGTCCCGCTCGGTCGAGAACTGCTTCATGCTGGCCATGGCGTCGAGCGCGGCCGCCATTTCGAAGAGCGACTTGTTCTTGGAGTCGGGCGTGTGGCACTCCCACCTGATCTTGCAGTTGGACCCGATACCGATGGCCGTATTGTCGCACGCGTTGCTGTTGGCGCTGAAGGTGTTCTTGACTGTGGCCATGATCCGCTTGGCCGTGGTCGCGTACAGCTCGACAGCATCCCCGTTGGTCGAGCTCGTGATTTCCAGTCTGTCCTTGCCGCCGCCGCCGTTGCCACCGCCACCGTTGCCGGATTTGGGATTGGGCGTGCCGCGATGGTTGCACACGTATGCGCTCGAGCACCACTTGCCGTCGGCCAGCTGGTACACCTTGTCCTTGTGGTACGAGTAGCACTTGAGCGGCTTGTCCGGCTCGTACTTGTGATAGGCGTCACCGGCCGCGCCGGGGTCCTTGATCTTGTCGTTGATCCAGACGCTCCACTCGTCGCCGTTGGGCATGTTGGCCTTGCCGCCCTGCGGTCCCCAGGGATACCACCCCCTCCAGGGGACGTTGGCCATGTGGGTAGGCCTGTGCGTGGCGTCGCCGTTGCCTGTCCACACGTCGCCCGAGTAGTAGATCATCTCCTGCGATGTCGCCCCGCCGTTGTGTCCAAGCCCGATGCCGCAGTCGGCCAAGACGAGGTTTTCGTACGGTGTATTCTGGCTCAGGGCAGATTGAGGCGCCGAAACGAGGACACCGGCCACGAAGGCCGACCATGGCGTCTTGGTGCGCATATTGGAGGGCTGGTTACAGACGGTGTGGAGTCTTGACTCTTTCAATGAGGAGCTGAAGTGCGACGACGGAAAAGGTTAAGTGTTTGGCTACCGGTGTTACGAAGTGCTCAGGATGATGATGATGATGATGAAGAGAAAGCCGACTACATGTCAGCATGTCAGCTGCTTTATAATCTCGCGACCTCTAGCTTCCCTTCGCGAGGCCTCTTCATGAGAATCCTTCGACAATGTCACGATGCTCCTCATTCAAGTGCATCCCAGATCCCAAGAGTCGCAACCCCGGGCACCCGTTTCTGGCTCCATTCCTGACCCTGCACATGGAAAAGGCCGTTGATGCCTCATTGTATCCAATCGTCCTTTCCAGAAGGCCGGGTGTTGGATGAAGTGTTCGGCGAAGATGATAGTCGAGCGTTCCCCAACGGAGCTGACGGCCAGTTTTGGACATTTGTGGGTCAACATTGCACTCGGATTAAGTCTGGGCAGCGGTGCTAAGATCTGCAGTCTGCACGCCGCGCCCCCGGACAATAGGGCTTGACGGTGCCAAGGCTACCTGACAGCTGCAGCACAGCCCGCATCGGCCGGCTCAGGCCTGTTACAGTACTATGTGTAATGATCAAACGTTGTCAGATGTCCGTCAGTGCGGAGCTACGGACTCGCCGACTCGGTGCAGGCGCGGAGAAAAACACCGAATGTCCATTCCGGCTTGGCTCCGAACCAGTGACACTGCCCAAACAGAGAGACAGAGGGAACCCAACGTCGAAAAGTGTGTTCAGTTCGTGAAGCCCTTGTGAGGACCACGTCGATAATGGTTGATTGCATGGTAAAGGTAGTCTTGTAAGACTTGGACGGTCGAAGAGAATCTTGGTCACCTCAAAACCGAGAGGCATTGCCGTCTGCGACGCTCCCGTTATCCTCTTCTCTGCCGGAGACGTCGAGGATAATAAGAGGGGTATTGTTGGAATCACCAACAACCACGACACCACGATGGATGTTGAAACGTAGGGGGTCACACAGGTTGTACTGCTTGCTTGAGGAGTCCGAGACTCTGGGAGACCTTGGTTCCTTATGTACATGGAGAGCCTGTTTCCCAGTCTTCTGCCCCTGTTCTTGCTGTACCGGTACTCCTAGTACCGTGCCTAGCTTGTGGTCTCTGCCCCTGGTTTCAGCAGATGAAGACGCAAGTGACTCTTAATGAAGCCCTGCGTCGTCTCCACCTCTCAGGCCCTGGAGCATCCCTACCAGCCCATAACCTCCGCCTCGACTTTGTAGGTCTCAGAGTAGTGGTCCAGGATATCCTGCTTGCTGCGTCCAGGTCTCAGTCTCAGCGAGACATCGAGGTGTTTCGGGTGGAAAGTGATGAGTCCCTGGACAAAGCCCGTGTCGACGTTCAGATCGAGCTCCTGCCCTTCCTGCGCCGGCAGCACATCAAATGCCCACAGCACCTTGGCCAGCCCCAGTATCAGGCTCTGCTTGGCCAGCAGCATTCCGGGACAGACGCGGCGCCCGAATCCAAACGCGTACGTGGCCCGAGCGCTCGCCGATGCAGAGCCCTCCATGGCGGCCGGGTCGTGCGCCGCGCCCGGCCGCATCCCGAAGGGGTGGCGCAGGAACCGTTCCGGCTCGAACTTCTCGGGCGACTCGTAGTCCTCAGGAGAGTGGTGTATGTGCCACACGTTGGCGTATACGGCCGTGTGCTTGGGAATCCTGTATCCGTCGTACACATCGTCTTGCGCGGGAGCGTGAGGAATGCCCTGCGGCGCTACAGGCCGCCACCGATTAACCTGTGTATTTATTGTCATTTGTTAATAACGCAAATACCTACCCAGTCTCTCTTTTGTCAGCATCTTTTGAGAGTTACTTACCTCGTGCCAAAATGCCTCTGTGTAGGTCAGGCGAGCCACGTCAGCAGACTTTAACGGCGCCCCCCCGACACTTGCAACACCTCGTCCCGGATGCGTTGCTGCACATCTGGGTACTTGGCCACGACCATCAGCATGGTGGAAAAGGTGGCAAGCGACGTGTACATGGCGGCGGCCACGATGTTCCACGCCGTGAGGCCCAGGTCCGTCCACACGTCCTTGTCTCGGTTCTCCCGCTGCTCCCGCAGCATCCTGGCCCCCAGGCTCTCGTAGTAGTCCCCTTTTTCGGATGTGTTGTTGTTGGGGCTCTTTTCGTCCAGCGCCGCGCGGTGCTCCTTGGCGGCGCTGAGGAACTGCTCTGCGATCTCGAACACGTCCTTTGCGACGGCGTGTGACTTGGCCCTCCACCCGGCCATGCCAAACTTGCCGGGGAGGTACCGGAGCACCGGGATTCTGTCCATCAGGTTGGGCTTGTGCAGCATCATGTAGCCGGCGGTGCGGCGTCGGAAGGCGTCCATGTCAAAGCCGTGGTGGGCCATGGCGTCCGGCCGCCGCCCAACCACGGCGATGCACGGCACGCTCGTGACCCAGCTCAGGATGATGTCCTCGAGCTCGGCGCGCCGGGTGGTCGGGCCCGCCTCGAGCAGCGCAACCAGCGCACGGGCCGTCTCGGCGTCGTTCATCGGGTGCAGGCGCGCGACGGCGGCCGCGCTGCCGAGGCCGCCGTTGAACTCGCGGCGCCACCGCGTCAGCCAGGGCCCGCTATCGTGGAAGAGGGAGGCGGGCACGTGGTGGGTCTGGAACTTCCACTTCTCGTCCTCGCCGTTCGGTCGCGGCCGGTCGCTGTAGATGGCGCCGCGCCGCTCGAACAGGTCGCGCACCATCCGCGCGCTGTTCAGCACCACGATGTTGGTGGCGCCCAGCTTGACGCCCAGCGGCCTGTCTTGGCCGTACTTGTGTGCCCAGGCGCTGTAGGTCAAGGCAGGAATCGATTTGTTGATCTGGAAGAGGCTGCCGAAGCCCGGGAGACCGAGCGGCCCCGGGGGGAAGCCCCTCGGGCGGTGAGTGTAAGAAAGGAGTAGAAAGAAGACGGCATTGCCGGCGACAAGAAGGGCAGCCGAGATGAGGAAGCGGGGAGAAAGGATGAGTGCAGTTATGTCCGTCATGGCACTCGAATTCGTTGAAGTCATATTGGGGATGCTGACTTGGAAGGTTTGTTGTTGGGGAAAGGGCTTGCTGAGGATGCTAGGGAAAACGGCATTGTGAGACGCACAATGCCTGTCCAAAGGGTAATATAGACTGTGACGAGGCTCATGGCAGAGTAGACCATCGGGTCCGACTCAAGTTGTTCAAACATTTTGGCAAGGCTCCGAACCGGACTGCTAGCTGACAAATTGCCTCTAACGAAAGCAAATGTCTTGATGTGCTCGGAATCGGCGTGTTGGACGGCGTGATTAATCATTACCGATTTCCGGGACCGCAAATCGACAGACGGCGGTGCAGCTCGGTACCTGTAGAATGCCGGTCGTCGGCTCCGATTGAATTCCTTCCGGTCGGGGTTTTGTCTCTCAAGTCGGTGACTGTCGGTCGGAGTTGTCGGTACTTAATCGGCTAGAGACTTAGTAACGGCTTCGAAGAAAGCGGTCGTTTGGACGCATTGGAGTCCGAGGTTCATGGCCACGCCTTGGCATGCGTCGACTAAGACTACCGAGGAAGGTACTTTTTTTTTCTTTTTTTTTTGAGTTCTTGGTGGTCAGATCCCAAGTCACAGATGACCTGCGTCTCGTGTAAGCAAATTCGTCTATCAGTGTGGTAAGCCGGAAGCTGCCGCGGCAAAATGAACCATGGTCGTCCATGTAGAACCCGGCTTCCTTACGTCCATGCTAAAAGAAAAAAAGAAAAAAAGCCTTGCCTCTATCTCACGGGGTGCACACTCTACCGGGGTTATTGTTATCCAGCTCCCTAGGCCCTGGCTGGAAGGAGGAAGAAGAGAATTTGATTGCAAGCTTCGGTATTCTCTTCTCTTGATTTTAGGGTTCTTGAACATAGCCGTGGCACTACAGCCTCGTGTCTGGAAGAGACAAAGCAATTTGTACGCTCGAGTATGCTGTGACAAGACATTTTTCTATCCTCTATTGCCTGGGCCCTGAGGCCTGACGCCCTTCACCGGCATCGACCAATTCATCCCCCGCTGCTATGCTATGATAAAGCACTATAGGTATCAGACCAATGTCACGCCTGCTTGACGCGCCCCTGTGAAATTTGCGTTGTGGGCACGCGTGTGTGCAATGTGCATCGCCTCCACTGTGTTTTTAAAAAGCCGCCCAAAACTTCTTGGAGTAGAGAACCCTGGCGTAGAAGACAACGGCCGATCCAGCGAGGGACATGACGCCTCCAAAGATCTTGACGTGCAGCCAGCCATTTTCAACCGAACTGGCGCTCTGCAGGATGCGCCCGCCGATGGGCGCCATGGTCAGGGCGGGAACCGAGAGGACGAGCATGACGACGCCGATCCTGTAGCCGATCTGGGGTAGAGGGGACACGGACGCCGGAAGGGCCGCGAGGAGGCTGACGAAGGCGCCCGAGAGGAAGCCGAACGTGACGGCGAAGCCGATGGCGGCCGACTGGTATGTGGCCGGGATCCAGAGGGCCAGCTCGACGATCCCCGACGTGGCACCAGCGAGGACGAACACGTTCCATCGGCCAGCGATGTCAGACCAGTATCCAGAGCCCAGACGGCCGAAAAGACTCGCACCATTGAAGATGGCCACCAGGTAGAGCGACATGGATTCGGACACGTGAGCCTCCTCCAAAGCCTGCAAGGCCAAGTAGTTGACCGGAATGAAGATGCCGTACATCAGGATGAACATTCCCACCAACATGACGACGAAAGGGAACTCCTTGAAGGGAGCGGCCAGGGTTGCGGCCCGTCCTGCATTTGACACGGCCACCGTCTTCTTGGGCCCTGGCGCGGTTCTCGGCCGGAGGGTGAATATTGCGACGATTTGCAAAGCCAAGATCAGAAAGGCGGCGATCCGCATGGCCCAAGGGTACCCGGTGCTCGGGTTCTGGATCAGGCGATTGATCATGATGGGAAAGACGACGCCACCGATAGACGAGCCGGTCACCATGACGCCCATCGCAAGGCCTCTCTTTTTCTGAAACCAGGTTGCGATAGTCGAAATCGCTGTTGTGGGGTGTGTTGTCAGCAAGGAATCGGATTCCCCCGGATGAGGTCAAGGGATGGAGTCATGGACCATGAGGTCGTGGGACCTGGAAAAACCTACCGGGCGAGTACAGGAAGCTAAGACCGATGGCACTGCAGACGCCCTGCGCCAAGAGGAACTGGTAGTACTCGGTTGCCAGGGACGCCATCATGAGTCCAAAAACATGCAAGAACGTGCCGACCAGAATGAGCGGCGTCGGGCCATACTTGTCGAACAAGAAGCCGACGGCAGGCCCTAGGAAAAAGAGGAAAAAGATCTCGAGCGACGGGATCCATGAAATGGTGCTGCTGTCGTAGTCCTTGAGAGGACCAAATTCGTAATAGCTTTGAAAGACGCCCACGCCTGCCTAAGGAGTTAGCGCCTGGGTAAGTACCAAGAAGGAATCGGGGCCGGGTAAATGTTCCATGTCAGCTTCGGGACGGGCCGGCGGAGCTTACTGTTCATCCAGCCGAAGCTATTGAAGGAGCAGCACCAGGCGCCGAGAACGGCAAGCCACGCGCCGGTGCCGCCATCAGGGGGGCCGGAGTCGGCTTGCAGCTGTACCTCGTTATCTGACTTGTTGTCAGGACCTTGAGACAGCTGTGATTCGTCGGGTGATTGGAACACCCCCTCCCCGGTGTCGGTGTCGGTTGGCGCAGCCTTTTCGAAAGACATGTTTTCCTGCTTGCGAAGACCACTTCGGGAAACGAGAATTGATCACTGTGCGAGTCAGAGGCAAAAGTACGCGAGAAGAGAAACTAGCGATGAGTTGGTGACGGCGTTGTAAAGTAGCTGGAAGCCTTCCTCAATTTCTCAATTTTGTTTGTTTTCGTTTGACGGAATGCTGGTCCGCGACCTCGCTCGCTTACAAATACGAAAAACCAGCTGGCGCTGGAAATGTACCTAATCAGGGCGTTTTGAATAAGCAAATGGAGGGGCACGGTCTTGGGGTTACACAAAGACGCGGCTCGGCTTTCCGGACGGAACGCGAGCTTGTCAGCTTTACCTTTCATCAGATATGATTATCGTCTTCGGCGGTCTTCAGCATCCACTGTTGACCGACTTCGATCACAACTTGAATCCTACCCAACATTCGCTCAACATTCACTGCAACCTAAGAAATGCTTATCACGCTGCGCCCCCGCGCCTTGGCTCATGGCACGGCTCGCTCAGGAATGAGCTTGTCAGTGCTTGTCTCTCGGTAGGCGGCTGACGTAAGGGTCTTGGATTGTCATTAGTAGGTATGTACCTAGGTAGATAAGATACGAATGATAACTACCAGATCAGGAATGTCAACTATACAATCCACGATTCCACCCCTGGTTTGTTCACTAGCTTGGTACTTCAAGTAGGGGTAAAGATCGATATTCTTGATAAAGCTCCTGATAAGGATGCTATTCTTCTGGAATAAAGCCTTATAGCGAGTCCTTAAAGTATGGCCCCTAGGGAGGACTAATTTGCAGGAAGTGCTCTGATTGTTGTGTATGTGCTTGATGGCCATGATCAAGTGTGGAGCGATCGGTCGAGAAGGGAGATCGGCAAGTTGTGGGTCGGATCGGAGGGATTTGGTTGGCCGCATGCCGGGTAAGGCGCGACTGGAAAAGGGAAAGCGTAGTGGGGGAATGGTCCGAGCTAACAAACAACTTGAAACCAGCATTGAATTGAGCGACCCGCCTGCTTGCACTCCCATGCCTGGCTGCTCGCACCCCCATCTAACCGCATTCGAAAGGCGCCGAGGAGTCAAGCCACACTAAATTTTGCAGGCGACTTCCCCCAACTTGCCTATCAATATCACATAACAACCATATACCGAAGGTCTGAATGAATTTCTAGAGAGCTTACTAGAACTAGCTAGATTACTTAAGAACGCATCGAAATTTAGGGTACGTATAATATATCTACTAGCCTAAACTACATACCTTCCTAGTACGGGCGGCACCTAGTGCTCGAACCGAACCTCGCCCTATATGTATATACGCCCCTAGGCCCGCCTTTAGAACTACGCCTATACCATTGCCTATACCTATTTAGTAGAGAGGTCCATAAAGTTATAGAATTAGTCTACCTAGTATGATATTTGAAATGCAGTTGGCGATGGCTTTAGCAATCGAGTCGGAATTGCCGTAGCGACGATGACGGCGGCGATATGGCGATGGGGAGGTTCGAGGAAGTTGCCTGCAGAATTTAGTGTGGCTTGACTCTGCGGCGCCCTTCTGAATGCGGTTAGATAGGGGTGCAAGCAGCCAGGCATGGGAGTGCAAGCAGGCGTATCGGAATTGAGCTACCATTGCGAAAGAGTGTGGGTCCATAATTTTTACATGTCTACTGCAACTGCAACTGTTTGATGAGACACTGATGAGAGCGCTTCGTGTAAGCTGCAGCTGGGGCAATAACTTCAATTCCCCCGTCGGCCCTGCACCTGTACGGCTGGGTCATTGATTTGCGTGTAATATGACGCGTTTCGGTGAGATACAGCAACAGCAAGGAACTTTTGGTATCCGGATAAGCTACGGTATTGTAAATGGCGGTCACAAGAAGGTAGGTACTTACGGATATTCTTGTACAGAAACCAGTGAGGCAAGGAACGTTTCTTCAACGCATCATATTACGCATGTCACAATCCCTATATGCACCTTATCTTACTCAGCGTAGCAGAGGATTTGCTGACCCCGCGTATACGGACGGTATCATGGCTTGATGTGATCATGGCTCGGTACGAACAACAGCAAATCATCATCGACACCCTGCACTGCAGCTGTGAGTCGGCGGCGTGCGTACTCGGAGAACTGAGGCTCATCTAGGAAACTGTGAGCCTCGCAATGCTGGAAGAATGCGTGATCAGTGGCCCTGGAGTGAAAACAAAGCGGGTTCCGTGGTTAAATCTGGCCCCCGTGCAACCAGCTTCACCAAACGGGCCCTCTTTTCCCATTGCTACTCTTCATCTAAAAGAATTGCTTCTTTTAGCAGATCCTCAATTTCCTCAATCTTCATCTCCGGTCGGCTCTCTTCGGCGTACCATGTCACCTGCACATCGCCAGTCCTGCGACCGCTGTCGCCAGCAGAAAGTGAGGTGCTTGCGAGACAACAATGCTTCTGTCGCAGGCCCAGGCCGGGGTTCCGCTTCCCTGTTGTGCGACCGCTGCGCAAAAGCAGGAACGGAGTGCGTGTACAGTGGTATGTTTCATGCGTTCTCATCAATGCTCCAACCGCAACCGCACAACCTTCTCGTCGTCCAGTAACATCACTTGACGGGAATAAAGAGTGGTGCGGACCGCGGTACGGGTGCCAGAGCGGATGAACAGACGATCAGCGCTGCAGACGATGGAACCCAGCTAGCTGACCAATCTTTCACACACAGAGAAACAACGAGGCCATCGCCGTCGCTGTTCTGTTCGCTCGCCTGTTCGCTCGCCTAGCGAAATTAAAGCCACAGATCTCTTCGACCTCGGGCCGGCCTTTGGTAATGTTGATGGGACGCCCAGGTCATCGACTGGTCCCTCCCACGTCATTACCGCCTTGATGGGTCACCCTTCTTCCGGCCTGCATGTTGACGAAAGCGAGACGGGTGCCGGCGGCTTCGGGGCACCGGACGCAGAGAACCACCTGCTGCCACTTCAAATCCCCCCAACTTCAATCGAGTCACTCGCCAGCTTGCTAGCAGAGGCCGTATCTGCTTCATCCACGCCGGCGCTGCCCTTTTATGACGCCATCGCCCCAGCTCCATTGATGGAGATCGACGCCGACCACGAAGACACAACGAGCTTCTTGTTCTCACAGCTGACGGCCGTGAGCCAAAGGGCCATGCGGACAGCCCGCCGTCTCGCCCGCTCCGGCACCGGTGCAGGGGCAACCACCCTGATGGTGTCGTCGCCCGAGGTGAACGAGGCTTTGGAGGACACGAATACGCTGATAAGCACCGTCAACCATATCATGACAATGACCACGACTGATTGCGCCGCACTGGCCTTCTCAGCTCTCGCTTGTCACCAAAACCTCATGACGCTCTTCCGAGCCATTTGCGATGCCATACAGGGTAGACTGCAGGCCAAGAAAGAAGAACGGGAACAACAACAGCAGCAACAGCAACAACAGCAGCAACAGCAACAACAACAACAACAACAACAACAACACGCCGCCCGAGACAACAGCGGCGTGGGACCTCTCAATGTCGCCCAGTTCGTCATGGTGCTGCAATTGCTGATGCATCTCATCACCCGCATGGGCCGCTTCTTGGTGATATCGCCCACGACGACTGAGCAGGAGAGCCAGTTTTTCGCACCAGCTGCCATGCTCGACGGCAGCACTATGGCCACCGACGACTATGGGATTGACATTGTCTCCGGTCAGTCTACTGCATCGTCAGCCACACCATCGCACCACTCGACGCGCCGCAGTGGTCTGCTTGAGCATGTGCAAGAGATTCTCGGAAACATACCCAGTGAGCGTGAGAGACTGAGGCTCATCATTCAGGAACTGCAGGCGGAAATGGACCATGCGGAAATACACTAGAGGTAGCGAGATGTGTACTACTACATTATACACCCCTGTTCTAGACCTGTGGCTATAGACTGGATTCAACATCCTTAGTAGCATATGGTGGGTCCCAGAATATGTTCACGCAATGTCCGTGGTAACACACAAAATCAGGTATAGTGTACGGATTACAGTCAAACCCTACACATACCGTTTAGAGACATAACGATTTCCGGCACATACCGGTCAGAATCCTGAGCCCACCATGACATACTAAGGATAACTTGGTTTAAGAACCGAATAGACGGCGCCCGCTATTCTATACTAGCACTTGGAATAAACGCCTGTGGGCGCATCTTTAGTATTTACTTGACTCCTGAATTTATCTCTACCAATTGTCACACCTCCCTCAGAACTCCATGTATTTCTTCAAAAAGTCAAACTGCCTGCGCAAAATCTGCTCCAGATCCTTGAACATCCAGTCCAAATGACCACTTCCCTTCAAGATATCTAACTCCTTGGGGTACCCCATCTGGGTGAAGCAATGCAGCTGGCTGTCCAGGGGGCTCGTCTCGTCGAGCTCGGGCGAGACCATCATGGCGGGCGTCGGGGCGACGTACTTGACGACGTGGAGCAGGTTCCAGGCCAGGCACTTGTAGTACGTCTGCACCGAGATGCGGTTCTCGAGCGCGATGCCGAGGCGCTCGAGCGCGGGCACGATCTCCGGCGCCATCTCCTGCCCGTTGGGCATGTTGCCGTCCTCGTCGATGTAGGGCAGGTACATGGGGCTCTGGCCCGACAGCAGCTGGCTCGTCCGGTCGTGCATGGCGAGCTCCAGCAGAGGCTTGCGCCTCTCGGGGCTGCCGTCCGTGTTGATCATGGGTGCCATGGCTATGGTGGCCGCCACACGCTTGCTAAAATGAAAGAGAAAAAAGGAAAAGTCTGGATTAGCTTCGAGGGGGCCACGGCAAGGCACGTCTGGGCAGAATCGTTGCGCACGTACTCAAATGCGGTCGCCGCAAGGGTGACGTTCCCTCCCCAACATAAACCCCACAGTGCGATCTTTGCCTCGTCGACCAGAGGATGTTCCTTGAGCCAGGTCACGATGTCATGGAGGTCCTCGATCTGCTGACGAGGGTCGACCTCATTTCTGGGCTCTCCTTCGCTCGCGCCTATGCCGCGCGGATCATAGAGAAGAGTGGTGACGCCGTGTTCCTGGAACCACTTTGCAATGTCGGGCAGGTTGGCATCCTTGGGGAAGTTGAACTACAGAAGGGGGCCAGGCACACACACCCCATGCGTCAGTTTTCCCAGCCGTCTTCTTCCATGAACGGGTCTGGAATTGCAAGAAAATAGACGAAAGTTAGTTAGGAAAGGTAGGTAGTTACCCCTGGCGTCATTATCATGGCCGGGCCACGTGAGGCGGCGGGAAACAGCCATCCGCGCAGCGTAGTGCCGTCAAGAGTTTTGATATCGGCATCGAGGCGAGGTGGGGCCGAGTCCGCCATTTTTGCGTGTTCAAACTTCGGTGCCACGGGAGAACAGCAAAGTGACTCGGGAAGATGATGGAGATGAGTGCAGCGCAGTGCTGACTACCTAGTACCCACTGAAAGACCTGCAGCCGGCTGGATGAGATTCAAAATATAGGTGGTAGTCATGGGTGGTTGAAACGACCGAGGTGGAAAGAATCAATTTGAACTTGAAGACGGAAGAGACTAAGTAATGTGTGGCGAGTTCAAGGGCAATCAAGCAACGATGTAAGTCGGCGTCGGAGAGCACGGTCTAACATGTAAGCTGGAAGGAGATTGCTGACTGTGCCGCCCCTCTAGGCGACCGATCGGGTCCGACCAATTCTTGGTGGACCGGGAACTTGGAAATCAGGTGTCATCGGGGCTGAATCTCGTCGGCCCTGCACCGGTACGGCTGGATCGGTGATCAATGATTCCGGCTTACGTTATTAGACGCTCTCCGACTCGGAAATACAGCGATCATTAGGTAGTCTCGAGCGCCGGACGAGAGGTACCTAGGCTACTACCTTAGCGTCGCATTCTGCTCCGAACGCCTGAAAAGCGAGACGAACCCCAGGAATCACGGAGCTTGAACTTCGGGCGGACTCAGCTTATTATACCAAATGTGGAAACATCCCAGCATCATGTACGAAGTTGAACTTCTCTTCGGATTCAGGACTCTTGTTTAATAGTAGGCAACAAATAATCACAATACTCATGCAAAAATCCAAGCCAAGATCAAATTGGGTCTAGTCATCTCTAGTGTAGCTGTAATCTGTGTAACGCCTGCAGTCCATCTACTGACTACCTAGGTAGTACCTCCTACTACGCCATGAGCGGCACAATCAGCCTCTTCGCATTATGCACCCTCCCCGTCTTCAAGTCCTCCAGGGCCGCGGGTAAATTGTCAAGGCCGCCGCCCAACACTTGCACGCCGTCGGCCAGCGTCCAGTCGGCTCGCACGTCCCGCCGCGTGTACTTGACGGCGATGGCACTAGCGGGTTTCTCGAAACCGAAGTAATACGACGAGCCGAAGCCGGAGCCGAGGGCCTCGTAGCACATCTTCATGGTGGCCTCATCGGCGATGCAGTCCAGCGCGTAACGGAGGCCATTGTCGGTGTGCACGCGGATGTCGGCGCCGCAAGCCGGCGAGTGGCTGTCGAAGCACGCGGCGGCGCCGTATTCCCGGCACAGGGCGTTGTCGGCGGGCGAGCAGGTCACGATCGGGGTGTAGCCGGCCAACTTGAGGAGCTGTGTGGCCAAGGTGCCGGCGGCCGTCGCGCCGCCGGAAACGAGCACAGTGGTGGTGTTGACCGTGTTGTTGTTGTTGCCGCCGCCGCCGTGCATCATCGACAGCTGGCCACCGACGGCGGCGAGCCCCATGCCGATCGAACATGCCTCGGCGAAGTCCATGGCGTCGGGCACGCGGCAGCTGCTATCTTGCCCGGCCAGCGCGAACTCGGCAAAGGCGCCTCCTTCGCTCTTGTCCGTGGCGTCTGCAGCTGGGCCGGAGGAGCTCGCGACGACGCGGTCGCCCACCTGGAACCGCGTCACGTCCTCGCCCAGCCCGGCGACGGTGCCGGCGAAGTGAGCAACAGCGTTGGAGGCATCGCGTGGGTTGAAAGCAACCGAGTGAACGCGGACGAGCAACATGCCGCGTGGAGGGACGGGAATTGGGGCGTCTTGGGCGAGGCGGTAGCGGCTGCCCGAGTCGGCGCCCACAAGAGCTCTCATAGTGTCTGGCATTGGGATTGATAGGTCAAGGTAGGTAGGCTTGGGCTCGCTCACGGAAGTTCACAAAAAGAGACTCGAGAATGTCTGAGTTCTCACTTCATGGATATATCATTATCACTCTCATTATTCATACCTTGAACCCAACTTTGCTCTAGGTTCCTTGTCCGGAGCTCTGGCCTTGTAAAGCGCAGCTCAGCCACAAGCGTAACGAATCAAACGGCGCAGCAACAGGCCTCTTCGGCGTTCCGTTGTGTATAGTCCCGATCTTACATCAGAGCGGCCGGAATCTCCGATCGGGCCGGAGCGGTAATACCGATGTAAGCCAAGTCTCGTTAGCTAGTTGTACCGGTTGCAATCCGAACAGCGACCGCTTCCGTGTTCCGCCTTGAGGCTTCCTGTGTCTCTTTCATCTTGTCGGACCGGGATCGGAGCCGTCACCGTTATGTTGCCGCAGTTGCAAATGGAGGCCGGATAGGCGAAGGAGCCAAGGTTATTTATTACACGTCTTGTTTCCAACCCGATCGGCCAAGAATCCTCACCCCGGGCTTGATATAGGCTACCTCAATTCTCGAGCTCGACGCCGTCGCAGTATCATCATTTATAGATTGTTCGAGGACATCAAGGGAACAGTCTCGAGTCGGACCACCTCGCATACAGCGCTTCACCTGAATTCAAGCAAGAGACCTGATCCCACGTCACCATAGGTAGTCGGCCCGAGATGTTCGCAAGCAAGCAGCCCATTGCCATTGTAGGCAGCAGCTGCCGTCTCCCCGGCGGGGCGACCTCGCCGTCCCGGCTGTGGGAACTCCTGGAGACGCCTCGCGATGTGGTGCAGGAAATACCAGCGAGCCGCTTCAACACCGAGGCATTCTACCATGCAGACAGCCAGCACCATGGAGTAAGCTCCCGTCCTTCTTCCCCTTAGGTACCTTAGGTGTGCGAATGGAGGAAAATATCTTACACAAAGCCCAGAGTACCAACGTCAAGCACGCCTACCTCCTTGATGAAGATCCCCGTGGATTCGACCGCGACTTCTTCTCCATCAACCCCAAGGAAGCCGAGGCCATGGATCCCCAGCAACGACTGCTCCTCGAGACGGTGTACGAGGGCCTGGAATCGGCCGGGTACTCGATGCAGCAGCTCCGGGGATCGTCTACCGCCGTATTTGTCGGCTGCATGTTCTACGATAACCAGTACACCGCGATCCGGGGCATCGACAGCCTGCCTCAGTACCACGCGACAGGGACCGGGTCGTCGATCTTGTCCAACCGGGTGTCGTACTTTTACGACTGGCGCGGTCCGTCCGTGACCCTCGACACGGCCTGTTCGTCGAGTCTGGTCGCCCTGCATCAGGCAGTCAGTGCCCTCCGGAACGGCGAGGCTAGCATGGCTGTTGCGGCCGGCTCGAATCTCATCCTGGGTCCCGAGCCCTTCATCAGCGAGTCCAAGGTTTGTCACTACTAGTACTACCATACCAACCTGTCACCTGCACCCACCAGACAGACGTCTTTTTAATAATACCTCCTAACGCGAAGAAATGACTGACACCTCTCCACCTTAGCTCAACATGCTGTCCCCGAATGGGAGATCCTTCATGTGGGATTCGCAAGCAGATGGATACACGCGCGGCGAAGGCTTCGGCGTCGTCTTCCTCAAGACGCTGAGCCAGGCCATCGCCGACGGGGACCACATCGAGTGCGTCATCCGCGAGACGGGCGTCAATTCGGACGGCAAGACGCCGGGCATCACGATGCCGAGCTCCGAGTCGCAGGCGCGGCTGATCCGGGACACGTACGCCAGATGCGGGCTCGATCTGTCGCGAGAGTCCGATCGTCCACAATACTTTGAGGCTCACGGCACCGGCACGCCGGCGGGCGACCGTAAGTACCTTAACCAAGTTTTCTTGTCAACTTTGGCGGTCGGGCCTGCACTAACACACCATCTCTCTGCCTTATTAGCCATCGAAGCCCGAGCGATCCAGAGCGTCTTCTTCCCCAATGACGGCGGCGACACTGAGCACCGTGGTGAGCTCGTGGTGGGCAGCATCAAGACGATCATCGGCCACACCGAGGGCACGGCCGGGATCGCGGGGGTGCTCAAGGCGTCATTGGCGCTGCAGCACGGCCGCATCCCGGCGAACCTCCACTTCCAGAAGCTGAACCCCAAGATCCAGCCGTACTACACCAACCTACGCATCCCGACCGAGACGGAGCCCTGGCCCAGCGTGCCACAGGGAAGCGTGCGACGAGTCAGTGTCAACAGCTTCGGCTTTGGCGGCACGAATGCCCACGCCATCCTCGAGAGTTACGAGGGCGGCGGTAGTGGTACCGGAGCCGATGGTTCCAAAACCCCCGACTCGGGCTTTGACTCGGCCTCTTCGACCTCCTCTCAGGCCGGCGATGGTGAAGGTGACGGTGACCATGAACCCATTAAAGTCAACAAAAAAGCCCAGGAGGAGGCTGCGCTAGTCGGACCGTTCGTCCTGTCGGCGCACTCGAGTGTCGCGCTGGCCGCCAATGCCAGCGCCCTGGCCAGCCATCTTCGCGGCCCCCACTCGGACAACATCGACCTCACAGCCCTGGCATACACGCTGTTCCGGCGCACGCCATTTGCCTTCCGCGCGGCCTTCTCAGCCTGCTCGACGGCCGCGCAGCTCGCGTCCAAGCTCGAGGAAGCCGCCAAGTCGCTCGAGCGCCGACCGGGCGTCAAGTCGGTCTTCCCCGAGGCCCTGCCGCCACGCATCCTGGGCGTCTTCACCGGCCAGGGCGCACAGTGGGCGACCATGGGCCGGGAGCTCTACCACGGCGTCTCCGCCTCGGGACCGTTCCGCGCTGCCATCGACGCCATGCAGCGGAGCCTCGATACCCTGCCGGCCGCCGAGGACCGCCCGACCTGGCGGCTGGCCGACCAGCTGCTCGCCGAGGGCGGGACTTCGCGCGTCGCCGAGGCAGCCGTCTCGCAGCCGCTGTGCACGGCGCTGCAGATCGCCCTGGTCGACACGCTGCGGGCCGCGGGGATCGAGTTCGCCGCCGTGGTCGGCCACTCGTCGGGCGAGATCGCGGCGGCGTACACGGCGGGCTACCTCGACGCCGGCGATGCGATCCGCGTGGCCTACTACCGCGGGCTGCACGCCCACCGCGCACAGGGACCCGGCGCCAAACGCGGCAAGATGATGGCCGTCGGGATGGGCTGGGAGCAGGCGACGGCGTTTTGCGCCGAGTTCGAGGGCGCCCCCCTGGTCGTGGCGGCGAGCAATTCGCCCACGAGCTGCACGCTCGCGGGCGACGCGGACGCCGTCGACGCGGCCTTTGCGCGCCTGCAGCAGGAGGGCACGTTTGCGCGCGTGCTGCAGGTTGACACGGCCTATCACTCGCACCACATGAAGCCGTGCGCCGGCCCGTACCTCGCGTCCCTGAGGGAATGCGGCGTGAAGCTGCGACGTCGCGACCAGCAGCAGCAGCAATGCCGATGGTACTCGAGCGTTTGGGACAATGACGACCACATCCACACGGCTGATGACGGCGGCAGGCTTCTGGAGGGCCAATACTGGGTTGACAACCTGACGCGGCCGGTGAAGTTCAGCCAGGCGTTGGCGCGGGCGCTGGACCAGGACCACGTCTTTGATCTGGCGCTCGAGGTCGGACCGCACCCGGCGCTCAAGGGACCGGCCTCGGAGACGATCAAGACGTCGGCGGCCGGTCTTGTCTCGCTACCCTACGCCAGCGCCCTGAAGCGAGGGCAAAATGCGGTCGAGTCCCTCACGGAAGCCCTGGGTACGGTTTGGACTCTGTTCCCGTCGCCGCCCACGGGACGCCCCATTGTCACCTTTGACGGCGTGCGTCGGGCCTTTTTGCAACAACAGGATGAGACCGCCGCCGACAGCAACAACATGGAAATCGAACAACATCCTATTAGGGTCCTGAAAGGTCTGCCGCCCTACTCGTGGAATCATGCCACTCCCATCTGGAAGGAGTCGCGGACCTCTCGTCTCTTCCGCGTCGGCAGCCGCCGGGGTCACGGCCGGCACGAGCTCCTGGGCCATCCTGTCGTGTATGGAGGAGGAGGTGGCGGTGCGCGCGACAACAAGCGCGAGGTGCACTGGAAGCAGGTGCTCCGGCTGCAGGAGCTTCCCTGGCTGGCGGGACATGTGATCCAGGGAGAAGTCCTGTTTCCGGCGTCGGGCTACCTGTCCATGGCGTACGAGGCCGCTCTCCAACTTGTTGTTCTCGACGATGACGAGAAGAAGCAGAAGCAGAAACCGGTCCGGCTCGTCGAGCTCCATGATGTCGACATTGTGCGCGCCATGCGCCTCGAGCAGGATTCCGGTCTGGAAGTGGTGCTTACTGTCCGCGTGACGAGCCAGTCGGACGACTGCATCACCGCACAGGTGGCATGCTACAGCGGACCCGTGGACGCGCCGCTGCCGCTGGACGCGCCGCAGACGGCCCTTTCGGCCCACTTCACGGGAGGGGTGCGGCTATGGCTCGGCCGGTCCGAGTCCGAGTCCGACCAAGAGGAGGACAAGGAGAACGAGGTCGAGGTCCTGCCGCGCCGGACTGCTGGGGAGAGTGCCGGGCCCCTGCCGATGGACGCACTGGACATGGAGCAGCTCTACTCCAGCCTGGCCGAAGTTGGCCTGCAGTACGCCGACCCCTTCAAGGCCAAAGCCATGCTGCGCCGGCTCCATCGGGCCACGGTAACGCTGTCCTCGCCGCCCGGGTCGTCGGCCCTCCACGCCTGCATGCATCCTGCGCCGGTCGACACGGCTGCCCAGGGCCTGCTCGCCGCCTTCTCGTTCCCGGGCGACGACCGCCTGTCGACTCTCTACCTGCCGACACGGGTTGACAGTGTCCGGATCGTCCCCCCCAAGCCAAACAGCCGAACTGAGAATGAGAACCTCAGTCAGCAGGAGCAGCTCACTGCCGACGCAACGGTGACCTCGACAGCCGGCTCCACCATTGTGGGTGACATTGACGTGTTCAATGCGGCCACCGACGAGGTCAAGGTCCAGATCCGCGGCATTTGCCTGACGGCGGTAGGCCAGCAGCAGCGTGATGCCTGGCTATACGCCGGAACGAAGTGGGTGCGCGATGCCGACTCGGGCATCGAGCCGGAGCGTGCGGCGACGCTGTCCGAGGAGTTGAACGTGCAGTACGAGGTGCTGTCCCGCGCGTCCTACTTCTATCTCCGGCAGCTGCGCACCCTCCTGCCGCAGGAGATGCTCATCATGAGCAAGTCGTACAAGCGCAACGTGGCGTGGGCGCTGGAGCATCTGCTGCCGCAGATCGAGGCCGGCGCGCACTCGGGCCTGCCGGGATTCAAGCCCGAGTGGAAAGAGGACACGGCCGAGATAATCCAGGCGCTGAGGGAGGAGAGCATCAGCAGCCAGAAGAGCGACGAGGAGAGGTACCACTGCGAAATGCACTGGGACTTCCTGCGCTCCGTGGGCGACAAGCTCATCTCGGTCGTGCGCAGCATGACGCCGTGGGTGCGCATCTGGACGCCGCATCAGCTCGAGTGGGTGTACGCCGACGGGATCGGCTACAGCGCGGCCAACCGCGACGCGGCCACGCTCATCGCGCAGCTCGCGCACCGGTACCCGCGACTGAACATCGTCGACGTGGGCGCCGGCACCGGCGGCACCTCGGGCGCCGTGCTCAAGGCGCTGCAGGAGCAGCAGCTGCAGTACGCGTCGTACCACTACACCGACATCTCGCCCGACGTGCTCGACCGGGCCCGCGTGCTGCACGGCCACCACAAGAACGTGACCTTCCGGAAGCTGGACATCGACAAGGACCCGGCCGGCCAGGGCTTCCCGGACGCCAGCTTCGACCTGGTCATCGCGTCCAAGATCCTGCACAAGCTCCCGAGCCTGGCGGACGCGCTGCGCCGCTGCCGGCAGCTGCTGCGTCCCGGCGGCCAGCTGATCCTGCTCGAGCCGACCGACGACTTCCTCATGTCGCAGATCGTCAAGCTGGCGCTGCCCGACTTCTTCGTCGGCCTCGACGACGGCCGCGTCAACGGCCCCACCGTCGACCTCGAGCGCTGGGACCAGCTGCTCCGGGAGACCGGCTTCGCGGGCGTCGACAGGACGAGCACGCGGACCGTGTCGTACTGCTCCGTCATGGTGGCGCACGCCGTCGACGACACGGTCCGGCTCCTGCGCGAGCCGCTTGCCGCCGCGCCCGAGGCGTTGGCACCAGCGCTTGGCGACGTCGACGTCTTCATCGTGGTGGCTGGAGGGGGCGGTGCTGGTGGTAATGATACGATCACTTCCCATCTCGCATCCCAGTGCCAGAATCTCTTGCAAGCCACGTCTTCCAAGACAGTCACCATCGTCCCCGGGCTCGATGCCGTGGGTACGGCGGCCCAGTACAACATTACCCCGGGCTCTGCCGTACTGTGCCTGGCGGAGCTGGAGCATCCCGTCTTCCAGGAAGAAGGTGATATGGCGCAGCGTTTCCGCGGACTGCAGGAGCTGATGGCCGCCGCCGGGTCCGTCCTCTGGGTGACGACGGGCGCGCGCTCCGGCCGCGATCCCTGCGCCAACATGGTGGTCGGCATGGGCAGCACGCTGCGGGCCGAACGCGGCCCGTCGCTGCGGCTGCAGTTCCTCGACGTCGACAAACCCTCGGCTCTGCTGCTGGAGTCGTCCGAGTCGTCGAAGAATGGGGGCCCCGCCTTGCTGGCCAGGCTGCTCCTCCGCCTCGCCATCTTCGACCCGACAACAAGCGGAGAGGACGTGCTTTGGACGCAAGAGCCCGAGCTGGCCCTGGGCGAGGATGGCGCGCTCTACATCCCCCGCGTGCTGGCACTCGACGCGCCCAATCGGAGGAACGCCGCACGGCGGCGCAGAGTCACGCAGCAGGTCGTCTTGCCTTCTTCTCGGTCTTCAGGGGCGCCGGCTGTCGTGCTAGAGCGTGGTCTGGGTCAGGAGGCGTCAGGATCATGGGAGCTGAAGACAGCCGAGCCGCTGGGAAGCAGTCCGAGTGACGAGGGCAAAGGAGTGGTGCGCGTGCAGGTTACTGCATCTTCCCTGCAGCGATTCACCTGCAGCGACGGCGGCTCCTCGCCTTTGCATGTGTGCATCGGCCGAGACGTGGCATCCGGCGAAAAAGTCGTCGCTCTGTCCGGAGTAAACGGCTCCCTTGTTTCCATCGCCCAAGAACACCACGTCTTGCGGCGCTGGCCGCGGTCCGACAAAGACAACAACAACAACAACAATGACGACGACGACCTGGCATGGCTGCAAACATTCCTGGCGCGGGCGTGTGCCAGCCGCCTGCTCCTCGGCGTCCAGGGGCCTGCGGCGTGGATCCACGGCGCTCCGGCGCAGCTCGGCAAAGCTCTCGACGTAGTGGCCCGCGAGAAGGGCATCGCCATCTTCCAAACCACGTCGTCGACCGCAGGCGCAGCAGCAGGAGGCGTGAAGACGACGTTTGTGCACCCCTACGCGCGGGAGGACGATGTGCTGAATCTCCCGCTTCCCGAGGGCCTGCGGACCTTTGTCAATCTCAATCTCACAACAACGAGTCAAAGTGAAAGTGGTGCTGCCGTCAAGGCCGTGTGCTCTGCCCGGTCGATCGAGATCAAGCAGGTGGGCTGGGCTGACCTGACGGCCGGCTTCGAGGTCAGCGAACTGGACCATCTAGCCAAGAACCATGACGACGTCGTCATGGACCGTCACAGTGGTGGCATCGCGACGCTTGAGCAGGCTTCTGCCGGACTGCTGCAGGTACCCGTGGAGCAGCAGCTCTCCCCCACCGCCGTAGTGGACTGGTGCGCGGCCGAGACCGTCACCGCCGACGTCCCCCCACTCGAGCACGGGGGGCTGTTTGCCCCCGACAAGACCTATCTCCTCTGCGGCATGACGGGCGACATGGGCATCTCGGTGTGCCTCTGGATGGTCGAGCACGGCGCCCGCCACGTGGTGCTGATGAGTCGGAACCCCAACATCTCGTCGCGCATCCTGGACCACATGGCCGCGAAGTTCGGCGCCGACGTGCGTCCCATGGCGGTCGACATCACCAACCTCGCCAGTCTGCGCGCCGCCGTCACCGCCATCAAGGCCGACATGCCCCCCACCATCGGCGGCGTGATGAACGGGGCCATGATCCTGCGCGACCGGCTCTTCCAGAACATGCCGTGGGACGACTTCGCGGCCGTGCTGGCGCCCAAGGTGGCCGGCTCCCGGAACCTGGACGCCGTCCTGCGCGAGCACGAAGAAAAGAAGGAGGAGGGGCAGCCGCCGCTCGACTTCTTCATCTGCCTCTCGTCCATCACGTCCATCGCCGGCAACGTGGGGCAGTCGGCCTATGCGGCCGCGAACCAGTACATGACGGGCCTGGTGCGGCAGCGGCGCCGGCGCGGCCTGGCCGCCTCGGTGCTGCACATCGCCATTTTGACGGGCTTCGGCTACATCCACCGCAGCGACGCCGCCCACGCCGAGACCATGAACAGGGCCCTCCGCACGCGCTACCACAACCAGGCCGAGCCGGATCTGCACGCCATGCTAGCCGAGGCTATTGTCAGCGGCCGTGTGAGTGGCCGCGACGGTGACAGTGACAGTGACAGTGAGCTCATCACGGGTCTGCGCACCGTGTTCGAGGGGGGCGAGAAGCCGCAAGACCCGCGTCTTGCGCGCTATCTCCGGGACGACGACGGGGGTGATGATGACAGCGCAGAGCGTGGTGGTGCGGCGACCTTAAGCGTGCAGGCACAGCTGGCCGAGGTCGGCGCCGATGACGACGCGGGCCAGCAGAGAGCCGTGCTGGAGAAGGCCTTCGCCATCGCGCTGGGCAAGCTGCTCGAGATGGACCCGGACACGATCGACCCGGCGCGGCCGGTCGCCAGCCTGGGCGTCGACTCGCTGGTGGCCATCCGCATCCGCGAGTGGATGCTGCGCGAGATGGGCGTCGACCTGTCCGTCATCAAGGTCATGTCCGACACGTACCCCATGTCGCGCATGTGCGACGACGTCTTGGTCAGTTGGCGCCAGCAGCAGAAGAAGAAGGAAAACTAAGGATGTGTCAACTCGCTAGGTGGTACCTGATGTATGGATTTGGCTTACGATAGAATGACGTCGTTGGACGATGCTTGCTTTTTACCCTTTTTCTCACCACTTCCTTTTCTTCCTGATAGACAGTGTGCTTTTCTTGCACAATCAGAATTTACTTTTTGATCCAATGCTCTGCTCGTATCTCTGGATGGACTTCGAGGGGATGTGATTTCTTCTCCCGCCCACGGGACCCTTCCATGATGCGAGCAGCCCTTGCGAAATGATTGGACCCTTGTGAAAGAACTGAATGCAATGTCTCAGCGAGAGAGAAGGTGCTTCCGGCGGCCCGCTTGGCCACTTGTGTCTGCCTTTGTAGGACACCTCGTTTTCAGTCAAAAGTACTAAGTTCTTTTGTTCTTGTAAAAGCCCCTTAATAAGGAATGAAGAGTATGGTAGGTACCTTACCTAGCAAGGCAAACTGCAGAAAAAGCTTAGTAGTGTCTCGGCCCGAAATGGCTCGTTGATGTGAAGAACTTAGTAGAGGGAAAGGCAAAGTTTTCTCTGCGTGTAACATCACTTTCCCAATTCAGTACTGCTAAGCTGCTTACGATCCGGTCGAAAACCACGCATGCAGTCTTGAGCAGTGCCAGCCGGTCAGCCTGAGTTGACATGGTTGGAACCTGTTCATTGTGTGTCCATACACACAGCAAACAGATCAATCAATAGATATGATGGAGATTCCCCATTCACAAGTCGCTCCTCTAATGATCCATTCTCGCTTCCGGGTATCGCGGACGTAGAGCTGGTCATACCGGTTCGAATTCACACGCAGAGCCGATACGCTCAGAAGCACAGTGGAAACCCCATCCCATTCCCCCTATGCCCACCATGGTGTCTTTCCTCAAAGTTCAGGTCGGGGGATTTAGAGTTTCTGATGGATCATGGGACCACTAGTGATGGCTGCCATTCCCAAATGAGCGTGTACCTTCCTGGAAGGGCATTCTACCCGACGTGACGAGGTAGTGTTGGTACCTTAGTAAGATAGGGGTTCACAGCGGCCTCTCCGTGCCTGGAAGATGGGAACAGCGGTCACCAGTAAGCTGACTGGCGCCGAGGAACAGGCCATCTGTTCTGTGAGCAAGATTCTCAGTCGGGCGATTTGTGTTTGAAATGAAACATGCTTGAACAGGCCAGTTGTTTGGGTCGGTCCTGGCCTGCCGTCCCCACGAGCAGCGCCCACGAGGAAGACATCACATCAGATTGCAGTAGCCACTCAAAACTTTATAAGTGAATGTGCTTTCCAACCAACTCCCCAAACATTTCGTCGTCATCACATACCTTCTTTCTCACTCGACTCTCCATTCCACACCACCTTCTCACTCCCCTCAACACCCTCAAGAATCTCTCTCAGGAAGCTGGCAACATGTCTGCTATCTTCACCTTCCTTGTTGGTCTGCTGGCCACGCTGGGAGCCGCCGAAACGCGCGGCATCACGCCGCATGACATGTACAGCTCGTCCGTGGGCGTGCTCGGCTGCAAGATCAACACCAACCGCGTCGCCTACTGGCCCATGGCCGTCGACTGCGACAACATCTGCGTGCGTGTCTCGCACAACGGCCGCTCGGTCGATCTCCTGCGCATCGACCAGTCCGGCGGCGCCTACGACATCTCATACGACGCCTGGGCCTTCCTGCAGACGGGCCAGAGCGCGCGCGGCAACCCGATCACGGGCGGCGCCGTCAACATGGAGATCAAAACCATCCCCGCCGACAACTGCCTCAAGCTGATGAAGTCGGGAGGCCTGCCGCTGTCGGCCTCCAACAGCATCAACTACGTCGCCGGCTGCCTGGGCAACTCGAACAGCTTCGTCGCCAAGCACTTCCAGCTGTTCAACATCCAGGACCCCGTCTGCCATTGGGGGTATGATGAGCAGTGCAAGCTCGATCTGGCCGTCAGCAACCAGCCGTCGTGCCCGCATGCCCTCGGCAGCACCAAGGGCCGCCTGCCCGACACGGTCTTCAACATCCAGTACGGCACTGGGAAAGTGGTTGCTGCTCCTTGAAGGGAGGCGGATGGATAAGATCGGCTTGGGAATGGGTACACTTCACTCAGGGTGGCGTTTGTTTACTAACTTAGTAGTAAAGGGCGGAGGAACAAGCATCGGTTTCCCTGAAGACACATGGGAAAAGGACTCTGGTTTATTATGGGTTAGTCATCGAAGGCGATGACCAGCTACGCTATGAGGCTAGAGAAAATTGACTTGCTCTCTCCCGCACAAACTGTTCCTCCCTGCTTGTTTGATGCGTGATCGAATCGCTGTAGTTTTGATGCCGTGGACACTACACTGTAGCATTCTGATCGTTTGTTACGGAGTAAACCAACAACATTGAAATCCGTACATCATGGTGTGGTAGCGTTTCACACCGCGTGCCCGAAATTAACGAAGCGCGTCTTTGTCGCGCGTTTTGGTGGAAGAAATGGCGAATGCATGGACCTCTAACCATCAATGAAGTTCAGATAAACCCTTGATGTGACCGACCGGGTGGTCCGGCGGCTCACCCTACCCCTTGCGACGATCTTATGACCGCCCTGGTCCGGCCAAATCTGCAACCTACTGTACTTGTACAATACCACATCGCGTATCTAGGGAAGAATCTTACATTATTTTTCGCCCACGAACCTCCAACAGCGAATATATCACAAAATAAGTGAAATGCGTAGCCACCCCATTCATTATCCTACATGACGGGTCAACTTCGTATCCTACACGACAATTTCACTATGCATCCTTGTCAAGCGGCCAATACCCCCCCAGCTCCCTAAAAACCTCCTCAAACCCGGGCAGCACCTCGTCCAACTCCCTCGCCTCAACATCAGGCATATCCGTACACCACTGCGCGGGATTATCCTTGGGCAGATCCGGAATCTGCTCGTTCTGGATCCAGAGAATGCCAATATCATTGACTGCCGCCGGGTCCTGGTCATTCGGCGCTCTCTTGTAATACCGGAACACACCCCCCCTCACATCCCGATTCCAGCGCATCACCGCGCGCGACATGGTCTTGAGCGTCCCACCATGCAAGAAGGCAATGCGGCCATCGTCCGGATGGTGCTGGGCAAATGAATTCCCGCAATAACTCCTCCCCTCGTACACGGTGCCAACGCTGGTCAGCCACCGCCGCGGCTTCCCATAGCGCGTCTTGAGCGCGTGCCACGCAAAACGGAACGTGTCCTTGTCGCCCAGCAGGAAGCCGTCGTAGTACCGGTCCCGGTCGTTGTTCATGAAGGCGGCCAGCTGCACGTGGTGCCAGAAGCGCGCCTTGTCGACCAGCAGCTGGCCGCTCTCCAGCTCGAACTCATCCATCCTGCAGAGGGTGTTGGTGATGGCCCAGGCCGGGTTGGGCGGCCGCGTGCGCGCCATGTCCGGCCAGAAGACCGTGCGGTACTCCTTGTACGTGGGCGAGTCGAATAGCTCGGCCGGGTCGATCACGGGAATGTTGTCGCTGTCGAGCAGGAGGATCTCGGCCCAGCGCGAGTTGACGATGGCGGCCGTCTTGAGCTGGTAGTTGATGAGGTTTGTGTGGAAGCCGGGGTGCATGACGTTGTCGGTGCTTGCCAGGTCGTTGAAGACGGTGTTGGCGTATATGTCGGTGAGCTGCTGCTTCTTGCCGTCGTCCATCTCGTCGCCGTAGTAGTGGACCTCGACGGGGACGGTCGAGTTCAGGCGACGGAGAGCGCGGAGGAGCACCTTGGTGCGCATGAGCGTGTCGCCGTTGCCGGCGAGGACGACGATGCCCCGGCCGGAGAAACGAGACGCGACGTCTTGGTAGGATGGGCTGTTGCGGACAAAGTCCTGCCACTGGCGGCGTCGGAAATCAATCTCGCTGCTGGGCCGCTCTTTGACGTTCCACTCCTGGTCGGCACCGAACATGAAATTGACCTTCTGGTCCGAGGTCCAGTTGCACGTCCTCCTCGTCTCGCTGATGCTCAGGCCGGGGAGGGCAAGCACCTTTTCGAGGTGTCGGCCCCGGAAAGACTCGGCCGAAGGTAGCCTATGGGCCAAGTCAAAGCCTTCGGCGGCTTCGGGATTGCCATGGACACTGTCGGAATGCGTGAAAGACTCAACAACGCGAGACCACGAGCTTGCGCCGAAGTCATGGCTGTACAGAGCGGTGATCAAAAGAATAGATGTGATGCCAGCGAGGAGAATAAGGATTCGGGGAATGCGCCTGAGCGCCATGCTTGCTGTGGCGTAGTGCAAGCCCCTCGGGCGGCGGGAGGAAAGGGAAGCGGTCTCCGGGGCAGAGCTATGTCATGTCCAAAGGACAAAAATGCTTCGAGGTTGTCTGGGCAGGCGTGGAGCCGTCTATGGACGCGCAACTGCACATGCACGACCTACGGTGGTAATGCTTGTGGGGGGAGTGCTTGTGCGACAGTTGGATTTCACATGACGGACGACTGGAAATCTGTGCCAAGGAAGCCGAGTCGACGGATGTTCCCCGCGATACCCACTAACGACCGCTAGCGCCGTGCACAAAGTCTTCACGTAGGGGTACGAAGGTCGGGCTGGTAAGGCATATTTTTGGATATGAAACAGACGTCTTCCGGACTGTCGAAGCTTGTCATATGGTATGGCAATTATCTATATCCGTATCACGAATTTCCCACAAGCTCTTCTCTCGCAACGACCCCCGCTTATTAATGCATTGTGTTAAGGACTTGGTCCATGCGCAGAGAGGCGATCGGCAAGGCATTCCTCCGGCGGCCCGTGCTACCCTTGACAATGATCGGACCCTTGTTCCGGATCTGCAACCACTTACGGATAACGTTACAAGAAGCCTTCCATCGTGCATTGCAGGCCCCTTGGGGACGCGTCAACCATTGACTTCGCGTTCTGACTACGCGTCATCCGTCTCGCTCGACCCACCGACTTCCAACTCCAATTTCTGCGTACCACCATTTCCAGAATGTCACGACTCGTAGCAGATGAAGGTGATTTTGAGCCTCCGCCGGCTTCGCAGTCGCACTTTGCCAGATTCAAGAATTTCACACCTAACGATGAGGCATCATTCGACGAGGAGTTCGCGCGCCTCGCGTCACCTTAGCGCTGGGTCTCCGGCTCCCAAGAGTACATCCGACAACGCACCATCGCGGTAAAGGAAGAATTAGAGCTTCACTATTTCTCGCAGCAGCTGAAAGATGAATCAGAGGACGAAGAGGAAGAGGGGACGCCAAGTCCCGAAGAAACGAACCCAGGATCTAGAGCACCGAGGTCAACTCACCTTACGGAGGAGGAGCTAGAGCTCAAGGGCTACCAAGATCTGTGCCGCGAGGTCGGCATCGAGCCCAGCGAGTCGGTCGCCGAGTGTAAGAGACTGCTGAAGACCAAGCTGGTCAACATCATAGACCTGATCGACGCGCGACGAAACGGGAACGAGGTGAAGGTGTGGGACGACTTTGACGCGTTTCGCGACTACACGCTCAATGATGACGAGAAAAGGATCGACATAGAAGAGGCCAAGGGGACGCACCTCGAATCCCTGCTGCAGCGGTTGATTACTGGGCCTTGTTCACGGAGGAAACGTCGTGCCAAGAGGCGTGGGCGGGGGAAGGGGGTCGCTTCTGGCCGCATCAACAAACAGCGGGCACCGTAGGACATGGTGTTTGTCCAGACTGCTGGCGAGCTCACGACACGGGCCAATGTGCCTCGACTGTATTAATCAACTGTTCATAACCGGTCTATCTTAGGTATCTAGAGCCCTAACGCCGGGAATAATTGATAATGTACTTTATACCCCCTGACTTGAATGTGTCGGCCACCCATCAAGTACCGTACATACAGCCCATCATCTATGTATGTGCAAGCATCAAGTCTACCCCAACATCTACAGCATCTCAGCAATCCTTTTCTCCACCCTCGGTTCCGACCCATCCTCGCTGCCGCAGTAGCTCTGAGACTTCTTGAACCCGTCATCGCCCCTATCCCGATTCCCATCATCCGGCCTCGGCCGCTGCTCCTCGATCTCGATATGATCATCATCATCCAGCACCTCGTCCGAGATCAGCTTCGGATTAAACGCAAACGCACCCCGCGGTACGAAAGTCGACGCAAACACCAAGACGGAAATAATGCTCATCTGCACGCCCGCGGTAAACAACAACCCACTCCTGACCTCGCCGCCATTCGTCCCGCCGCTCTTGTTGTACACCCCATCGAGGTACCTCCCCAGGAGCGTGCCCGCAACGGCATACGTGACGATGTAAAAGGAGTATAAAAACGCCATGACGGCGCCCAGCGCGGAGACATTCTTATTCTGCGACTCAATCCTCGCTAGCGACGCCTGAATATACGCCGCCAACGAAACATCGCCCGACGCCCAGCCGTAGGCAACAGGACACAGCGTAGCGGCCACAATCCAGGCCTGGCCGACATCGCCCGCAGGCGGGTACCAGAAGGGCACATACCACACAATCAGCAGCATCAGCGCGTCCAGGCGCAGCCACGGCATGGGCGTCTGCACGGCGTTGGTAAACAGCAAGACGCTAAACGCGCCGAGCAGCTCGCCCAGGTTGGAGCCGCCAACCATGATCTGGGCCCAGGCGCTGTTGCCCAGGTAGCGGCGGGCGATCTGGGGCGCGATGTTGTTCTCGAGGTAGCGGTGCGCGTAGAGCGCGACCGAGTAGCCCGGCACGAGCCAGACAAACTTGCGCGACGTAAACAGGATCCTCGCGCCGACCCAGACCGACTCGGCGAAGAGGAAGAGCCCGCTGCACGCGGCCCGGAAGTAGGAGGTCTTGTTGTTGTTGTTGTTGTGTTTCTGTTTCTGTGTCTGTGCCTGTGCGCGGCGGAAGTCGAGCTCGCTGATGAAGAACCAGGCGAATGCGGCCAGGGCGAAGCAGATCGGCGTCACGATGAAGGACATGTTGTTGCCCAGCTGCGGGATGATGACCAGCCCCGTGACGAAGGCGCCGGCCGTGCCTGAGATTTCGTAGAAGATGTGCACGAGGGAATCCATCTTTTTGAGCTTCTGCACGTGGCCGCCGACGATGTCCCGCGGGATGACGCGCCGGATGAGCTCGACCATGCCGTAGACGATGCCCGACACACAGTAGACCGGGATGATGGCGTCGGTGTTGTATCTAGTGTGGTTGTGAGTTTTATGGCTAGTAGCTGACAGGGGTTGTCCCGAGTGCACCTACTTCCCGTAGTACGGCCACTCATTCTTGCGAGGGTTATCGCGATCTACCAGTAAGATCGGGATGTCAGCGATGGTTTCGAGGAGAAGAGACGTCCCGGCAAGCATGACACATACAAGAAGCGGGCATGAAGGTGCCGCCCGTCGCCGCGTCGATGATGAGCAACAGCGCCGAACACACTCCGAAGATCAGAATGGCGCAGGACAGGACGTTCTTGGTGGGGTATCGTTTCACCTGGATTGAGGCAAGCTGTCAGGGCGCGGTCCGGGCGACCGGTAGGGTCCGGAAGGCTGGGCATACCAACGGCCCGATGAGGATGGATCCAAAGCACTGGAAGGCCTGGTTCAGGCCGGTAAGCAGCCCGACTCTTTCGAAGGTCCGGCTCGGCGTGCCGCTCTGGATGGCCTCGTAGTCATATCGGTTGGTGGCGAGCGCGATGATGGAGCCGTTGAAAGCTTCGAGCCCGAACTTGTAGATCATGATGCCCGTGATGTAGATGGCAATGTTGCGGCGCTCCTGCGGCGTGAAGGCCCGCAGGTTCTCCACCAGCTCGGAGAAGTGTCCCATGGTGATGCTGGGACGGCGTTGGGGCCGTGAAGGGGAAGGGTGACGCTAGAGAGAGGACGATACGGAAGGATGGGATGGGAATCAGGGGCGAGGTGCTTTACATGTGCCATGTTCCTGCTGCACGTTGCATGTCTGCACGATGCGACTCCTCGATGGAAATCCCTACCAGGCTATCGGCTCGGTATAGACACACCCACACCCACATTGTCTCGCCTTCAGGGTCCGCGTGTGGGGGTTCGAGACTCGATGCTAGGCAAACGCTTGCACTGCATCGCGGCTTGGCAGGCACATTGGCGCAAAAGAGGTAGTAATAATAAGCGGCCGAGACAGTTTCGGACGGCATGACTCGACTTTTCCCCATCACACACCACCCCAGGCAAGTTGCCATCAACTGCATTGTGCACGTTCGCGCTCGTGGTTCCGTCCGGGTTTGCTGCCGATTTCAGGTCGGTTAGGCGACATTGACGGACATTGAATCTGTGATGCGGGTGCAGTGGACGCCAAGGGACGGGAGGGTGAAGAGGTGTGTGCCTTGGCGAACCGCGGAGATCCAGACAATCGCCCACGTGCTCTTGGCGTCGTGTCAGACTTACACGACCGATATAGGAGCTACCGGGCTGAAGGCGGGGGGATGAACAAGAAAAGTCAAAGTTCAGATGTTTTGGATTTGATAGCAGTGAATCTGTAGATGAAGCAGATTCTGTCTTACAACCATTGCAGCTACGCAGACGGGAGAGACGATGAAATGTTGTAGTGAATTCCGTACAAGTACAACACAGACCCAGGGTACTGTAACCTGTAGTGCCGTACCGTAAGAGCGTAACTTGTAGTAATTGGGTATTAGTGGCTCCAAGTTCAAGAGACCAAATTCGTCGAGAATGGCGAACTGACGGGTGGGATGTTCCCTAATAAGGACTGCATTGGCAACTTACTCAAGGCTAACAGCATGATTTCAGCCTTCCAAACCAAAAAGTCCAAGACCAGGCCAAGAGCCCAGCATCACGGTCGTCACACGCAGCCAAGACACGGGACGGCGAATGGGGGAGGCGCAAGAAGGCACGACTCGTTGACCAAGTGCTTGTGCGCCTCAATTCATCGACCGAGACTCTCAGGCCTCAGGCACCATCCGTCGGATACCCACATGCCGCTCACAATGCGCCCCGGGGCGCTCCACGATCGACTTCCCTTCGGTAACACTGATGCTACAGGGGGCATTCCTGCCACACACCGTTCCAGCGTGTTGGGTCTGCAGGCCGGGATCAGTCGAGTCGTCCGATGGGCAGACTGCACTTAATTGATCCAATGCAACCTAACGCTGGAGAGTGGAGGAGACCTCGGGTCCAACTCTTGTGCAAAGATGGCCGCCATCTGCGGCCTCCTGCTTTTTTCCCTTGTCAGCTCCGCCGCATCGCTCCCATCGCGCATCTCCTCCCCCCCACCTGCTCCTCCGGGCAGCAATCCGACGTCGTGACGGCATATCTGAATCTTTGACACAAAATACATAAAAAGGAAGACAACTCTTGCTGCCTGGTGATGGCAGTCGACGCCGAAGACCTCCTTATTCAGCCCTTCCGTGACGTGGTTGCGGCCGGCGCCGCCGCCGTTGCGAATGCGAGAAACGACGGACCCGCCAGCCATGTCGATCGCATGGCCAGGGCCGCACAGGCGCTCGTTCGGGAAGGTGAGAGGGCATTGACCAAGGTGCAGCTGGTCTGGAACGACCACGTTGCCAGACATGGAGACACATTCCGAGAAACGATGGTGCAGCAGGCTTCCATCGAGAAAAGGCGACTGGAGCTCGAGGAGCTGCTCTGGGACTTCGACGACTTCACACATCCGGACGAGTTTGACCAGCAGCGATATGCGGCCCTGCAAGCGGCAACCAAGGCGCTGGCCCTGGCCATCATTGACACGGCCAAACGCCTGAACTTCGAGACAACCATCCCACCAACGCCAACGGGCGGCTTCCCTCCCTTGCCTCCACTTCCCACTCGTCCTGAGACGCGAGCTGGTCCCAGTTCTCGGCCCCCCTCCGTCCGCTCCAACCGCCCGCGAACCTTGTCCAAACCAAAAGCAGCACAGGAGTATAATGCCGGGAACGCTCAGGATGTGCGGCGGGACAGTATACCCTCCAGTCCAAGCACCGCCCACACCAGAACATCTGTCCTGTCAGACACCAGCACATCGTCATCCGCATTGCTGGGGAGTCTGGACTCTCTTGTCATCCCCGAGGACCCGCCCGATGCCAAGGGATTCCCGCCCGGTTCCAACAACACAGACCTGCTCGGCCTAGAGGAACTGCTCAAAGAGTCGAGCTTCCACAGCGAACGCCGCAAATCCCGGCCCGCCAGCCCGCGGATCCCGGATTGCGGCATCCGAGAAGACAGCACCTACTACAGGCTCAAGGGCCTGTGTAAGGGGGCAACAAGGTTCCGGAAGGATGGCCACTGGGGCAGCATCAAGCTCAGCAGCGAGTACGATGCGGCCGGTACCTCGGTCGGTGGCGGGGATATGATGCGGGCTTCCGATGGGCTGGCGGTGCCCTTCCAGTACGAGACGGCCAAGGTTGGTACCTGCAGCGAGTGCGGGTATGCTGACGACCTAGACAACGTGGAACTGGACAAGAGCAATAAGCGTAAGAAATTTCTTCTCTCTTCCCCAACCAACCTCCCCCCCCGCCCCCCCACCTTCCCCCTCACAGGCAAGGATAACACTGACACCTCCGGGCCACAGCCGAAGCCGTGCGCACCTCGGCATGCGGAGCCCGCTACCGGCTCCGCCTGCTTTTCAAATCCCACCTCCGGCAGGGCAGCAGCAGCAGCAGCAGCGAAACCAACTACGCCTGCCTGTGGTGCGTCCAAGCGGGCGCCGTCATGCGCGAGGGCGACGCCACCGTCTTCCGCTCCGCCGAGAACCTGCTCCGGCACCTCGCCCGCCACCCACAACCGCTCCCGTCCCTATCCGGCATCTCAGTACGCTACGGCCGCCTGCTGCCGGACGACGCCGACGACATCTTCGACCTGCACCTGCCGGAATCCCCGACCCCGGTGCCCATGCCGGAGAACGTAGCCCGCTTGGCCACTGCCGTCGCCGTGAAAGACCACTACCGCCGCCCGGGGAGGGGGAAGCTGGACAAGCCGCCGGGCTATGACGCCGACATGCTCGAGTTCATGGAGGGCGCGCGCATCGTGGGCGTGATCTTCCCCGAGAAGTGGGGCGGCAAGTACTGCCTGGGCCGTCACGACGGCGAGTTCGGCGCGTTCCCGGCCAAGGCGGTGGAATTGCAAAGCCCGCAGCCGAGCGAGATCCCCGCGGGCGGCGAGAGCGGCATGAGTGCCACGGCCAGGTGGAAGTGGGCGCCCCCCGGGGGGAAGGAAGGGGCGCCGTGGCTGGCGTTTGGGAAGGGCGAGGTTATTACCAATGTGCAGTGTGAGTTCTCACTCCCAAGAGGGGTTTCAGGGGAGCAAATTGTAGAGGGGGGTGGAAGAGAAAGAGAGAGAGTGCTGATTGATTGATGTGTAGGTCTTTACGCGGACTACTGGTGCTGGTCCGGGACGAACAGCAAGGGGAAGACGGGCGTGTTCCCTCAGTCGCATATCGACTTGCAGACGCTTAGGGGGCAGGATTCGACGGTCGCCAAGAAGAGCAGGGGCAGGAGCTTCTTCGGTATGCGATCCCACAGTGGCACGGACACCACGAAGGGCGGTTCGGGACATAGAAACTCCATTGCCGGATAATAGAGAGGTGCGAGATCAGGACTCAGACCATAGAACATAGATACCCAAGTCTAGACGGCACATTCCCCGTTCTACTGCGCGTGCACCCACTCCTCCAGCAATCCATGTACTGTCTCAAGCCTCTTGACCGCAGTGTCGAAATTCACGTAATCCTCCCTGGTTCCTTTATTCCTGGCGTCCGCAATGGCCTCATACAGCGCGCCCACACCCCTGGCGAGGAAGGGCAGCTCCTTCTGCCAGTCTGCCCACGCGGCCTCGACCTTCTCCACCTTGTCCGTCTCAAAGTCGTGGACCTCAATGACATGCGACTCGCCGGGCGGGCCAAGCTGGATGAACGCCATGTCCTGCGACACGATCCTGATCTCGCCCTTCTCGCCGTTGATGGTCCACACGACGCAGGGGTCGCCCGGGAACGGCTGGCCGCGGCGCAGCCGCAAGTGTAGCGTAGCGTTCTCCTGCGTGATGTCCGACTCCTGCCACTTCCCCGCGACGAAGACCAGGTCTGGGACGTCGGAGCGGACGGTTCGGACCACCGCGCCGGTTGGGTCCTTGAGGGGGTTCTCGGGCCGCTGCAGGTGGAGGTCGCCCTTGAGCGAGCCCGGCTTTAGTTCTCCTAGGGCGGAGAGGGCCATGTCAAACACTGGTTTTGTTTTGTTTCGCGTCAGCACCATCCCCAACATACAAGACAGAACAGCAGGACGTGAGGGGAAAAAAAAAAAAAAAAAGAACTCACAATGCGCAAACGCAATAGTCACCATATTCCCACCGACCTCCCTCTGCGTCATATATTCCCACCCCACCGGCAAACTCTCCCGATCCCCGAGCCCACCAAACGCCCTCAACTCCGAACTAACCACCCTCCCGATCCTCCCCTCCGCCAACAACCTCCTTACCACAGCCACCACAGGCGCCTTCAGCCCCTGCAGCCCCACCACCCCCTTACTCCTCCCCCCATGCTTCCTCACCTCCTCAGCCAGCTCCCTCCCCCTTTCCGGATCCCCGGCAAGCGGCCACTCCACAAACCCATCCTTCCCCTCCCTTAGGGACTCAATCACCGTAGCATAATGCTTATCCACGCGTGTGGCACACACGACGAGATCAACCTCCGGATCGGCAGCTAGATCCGCGGGGGAGGCATAGGCGCGTACAACACCATGGTGGTTCAAGTTCGGGTCCGCGTCGAGGTTGTAGGCTTTGATGGCGGCCTCGGCCGCGGCTACGGATGAGTTGAGCAGTCCGACGATTTGGTAGCGTGCGCGGCCGCGCGGGGAGAGGAGGTAGGGCAGGTGGGCGCTGGCGGCCCAGCCTGTGGTGGCTTGGGGGCTGGAGGGGGAGGAGAGGCCGATTAGGGCGACGCGGATGGGTGCCATCTTTCTTTCTTCTTTATTCGCTTTTTTGGTGGGGTTGATTTAAAAGTGAATTCAGTTGGTGGTCCGGTTTTTGAGGTTGTATTGGTGGGTTACGGCTTGGGTGATGCTGGGTTGTGAGAGGAAGCAGACGCGGATGAGTACTACGGAGGGAGGGTTTGAAGTAAGGCACCGGATGCGAGGATAGAATGAAAAGGACGAAGGAGGTGAAGATCTAGGACTTTGAAGTTGGCAACATGAACTTATATGTGGCAGGCGAGCATTACCCTTGGGCCTTGGAGGCGGTTACAACTGTTAGAGCATGCCAAGCACCGTCGACATTACAAATGGTGGCGTATTACAAATGGCAGCATGCTATAGGAATCCATAATAGGATGCGAGGACTCGGACTCGTTGTCGGAGACATATTTGTCAGCTTGGCATGTGCTTGAAGTCGTCATCTTCCTAACGATGGCTATCAGATAATTAATAATTGAAGCGAGGCGTCCTGTGACCTAGTACTAGCAACCACAGCAGTGCTGAAGTACGTATTTGTTTTGGTCTCTCTAAAAATACAAGTACGGCCCTAAGGGTGGGCCATATGGGCATAAGAATTGCTGGAGAGGCCCGGGAGGGACGCGACGCATTGCACCAGCATCTAAGTATACTGTATCCACGACCCTTCAGCAGGTTGCCGGCTCTGTCGGCAGCAACCGTTGAACCACTAAAGACCTCTGTGTTCTCTATGTTCAGTATGGCTTTCATACCTTCCGGTCGCTCCTACTTAAGCCAGTTCCCTGGCTTATTCTAGGTAGTAGTTGGGAGCATGAGTTCTTCACCTTGTTCATCACCCAATACTACACTGCTTTCTCTGCCTCCGACCTTGCATACTGCAATAGATGGACGTTCAACCACGCTTACACCTCTAACTACCTTATACTGAGTGTAATTAGGTGCAGATTGTTTCCCCCCGACAACCGCTTAGAGATTGAGCTACTGTGGCTGCTTGTGGCTGGGCTCCACGCTTCGACGCGCCCAACGCGCGAATAAGCGAGTCGCAAATGTGAGTTTTACGCTCGTTCGCTCACCTGTCGGTATATCCAAAGCCTCCCCCTTGCGAAGGCCCCGATCCATGGGGTACATCACTTCGATCCGCACCTCGCTTCTCATTTCATCGTCCAGGCTCCCAAAGGCTGCGTCGTCTAGGTACTAGTGATCCTTGATTGTGCAAATGCGCGCGGGATCGAGATAACCGGCCGACTCTCCCTCTTCATGGGCGACGTATGCGATCGCTGAGTACGTCGTTCCGAACTCCCATGATTAGGCGTTTGGGAAGATTGGCCGCCTCCGAGTCGTCTAGGAGGCGATCTGGTACTTGTTCGGGCATTGAAACTTTTCCCGCATCGCTTTGCGGACGACAGAGGACAGGGTTGCGATCCCCCTCTAAGGCTACTGTAGACTCTTTCGAGTTGTCGATGGAGATGACGAAGGTAGCGATGAGATGATTGGGAATGGAGAAGGAGAATACTATTTTGCAGAATTGTCACCAACGATTAACGTCTGGCCCTCGTTACCGCCTTACCTGGTGGCCACCACGAGGGCCCCTGACATCCTTGTCCTCCCTCTCGACTCCTTTGTAGTACTAGCAGTAATGATTGAACAAAGAGGAGGTGTAAACATTAGTGTCAACCCAACTCGACGCCCGATGCGCCAACCAAAACAAAAGGTACCACCCATCGCAATGGGAATTTCCAAGAGGTAAAAGCATGCTTTTCAGGGTTCCAGCGGAAGCTTGAACAACCTAATGGCATTCTCCCGCCCCACCAGCTTCTTCTGGTCTTCGGGCAGGTCGACGGTCAGCCACCAATACTGGGCCTCGGCGATGGTGTCGTACGGATAGTCTGTGGATAAGTTAGCTCAAGCCCTGCTCTATCTCAAGAATGAGTGCGTACCGATCGAGTAGAGACAGCGCTCGACACCGATTTGGTCGATGCAGAACTTCAGGGCGGGCGTGTTGAAGTTCCCGGAGGTGGTGATGGAGATGTTGTGAGTGAAGTAGTAGCTGTAGTCCTCTTTGGAGGGTCTCGTGGCCTTTTTTACCGGCTTGTTGTACCAGTGGTCGGCGCGCCAGAGGTTGAACGGGATCCTGTTTGCGTCAGCTGGACTCAACCTGGAACCCCTGAACAAAACAAAACAAAAACGAAAAATCCCCTTACCCTTCGCCCAAATGCCCAACCACCACCTGCACGCCCGGAAATTCATCAAACACGCCGCTAGAGCAAAGTGCATACAGATGCAAGCTCAGATCCAAATGGAACTGCACCGCAGCGCCCAGGATCTGCTTCCTGTCCCCATACCTCGTCCCCGGCAGCAGATCCTTCGCGGGCGGATACCGCGGATGCAGGTACACCGGCACGCCCAGCTCCTCGATGCACTTCCAAAACGCCCTAAATTCCGGCGCATCATAGTACTTCTTCCCCTCACCATCCTCACCACCCTCCTCCGCCACAACCTGATAATCATTCAACATCACGCCGTACATGCCCAACTCCCTCACGGCCCTTGTCGCCTCCGCAATCGCATCCGCGGCATTATGCATGCTCACAGCGGCAAACGCGCCAAACCTCTTCGGATTCAGCTTCACCTGCGCAGCGAGCCAGTCGTTCGCCTCGCGCGCGAGGTCGCGCGCCTTCGCCGCGTCTGGCTCTCCCTGCGCTCCCGGCGAGGTCAGCGAGAGCAGCATGTACTCGACGCCGTGGGCGTCCATCTGGGCGAGGCGCTCGTGGTGGATGTCGAGCAGCGCTTCGGTCAGGCCGGACTTGGCCGCGTCGGTGCCCGGCCCGGAACCGGGGCTGAAGAGCGGCGCGGACGCGGCGAGCCAGGAGAGGCCTGCTGGGTTGAGCACTGCTTCTTCGATGGCGATGGTGCCCTTGGCGGCTTTGGGTGTCATGATGGTGGCGATATCGTCCTGATGGTGATACTACTAGTGAGGATGTGGGTGATGATGGTGATGATGTGAAAGGGTTGTGATGTTTGGTTGGGAAGCAAGCTTATAGGTTCGAAGGGGGGGAATGTAAACAAGAAAAGCTTATCTTCCACTAGCTGTGTAAGTGTCTCGATCAGCTCACGCGTTCGGTATGCAGGTAGAGATGAAAGGAGGCGTGGTGGAGCTCACGGACGACCGGCGAGCAGCTGGATCGGATGATGCCAAGGCTGTTGGGGCGTGGCTGGCCTGCAGGTTGCTGCTAGTCAGATCCTCAACTCCACGAGAACTCCACGGTTTAGGGCATGGGCAGCGACCAGGTTGGGAAGTAACAAGATCACCTTAACGGTTCTCGCGAGGGCGTCAGAACGAGCATGCGATTCGGATCTGGTGGGCGCGGGCGATCTAAGACAGCTAGACAATGTCAAGGTTCCATTCCGGACTCCGAACACTTCTCCAACTTCGGCACTTATAAGGGACAGCCCCGCGTAGGACCAACATCGGCAGCTACACAGTACACTACAGAAGAGATCTCGTCTCGTCCATCTCGCGGCTCGGCTCTGACGCCCACGTGGAGGAGGATGCTGACCCCGGGCTCGGGATAGAATCGGGGCGGGTGATCACCGAATCTTGGCATGGCAACAGCCAGGGGCCCTTGTATTGGTGTTTGATGAACTTCTGAAAGCTCCAGCTGAGCAAAGTGGGCACAGTGGATCTGCTCCCGTCTCCACATGCAATTGATGAGGCGACTCAGCGAGGGACGGAACATTCGCCCACGGGTAAAGCTTTCCGCCGATGTGGCCTGCATCGATGATTGCCATGGCTGTGCACAACACCAAAGCTCGGCGGCACGCTGTCACTGCGGGGTTGCTGCGTGTAGTAGCAACTGCCGCGCAACAGCACGGAACAACGCGCTCAGTTCTCCGCGATGGATGTTACGGTGCGGTTGGTTGGCAATTTGGCCTCATCCATAATAATCCATTTTCCTGCGGATGTGGACATGCGGCCGGAGCGGGGTCTTTTATGCTGCCAATATCTGCAACGCTGTGTGTGTGGAACAACCCCCAAGCTTCTGAATTGAAGTCAGAAGAGGACCATAATAATAAGGCGCGACAGAGATATTGGTGCGGTTCACATCACAGTGAAACGGTCATACTAGTACTTGCGTGCTGGGAAAGATGGCGGAAGCAACTCCCCTCCGGCCGCGGATGCTCATCAACGGCGAGGTAAATCATCCGCGTCATCTATCTACGTCATTGCTCAAAGCGCAACCAGCAGTGAATACTGACAGGGGCCCAGCTCGTCGAGGCGTCCGATGGCAAGACCTTCACCGTCTACAACCCGGCCACGCGCGACATCTCAGCCCAGGGCAAGTCCCCAACCCCTCCGGAGAGCGTGTAAACAAATGATAGATTTTGTACAATACCTCTGACAGCTCCACACAGTCCCGGAGGCCAGCGCAGACGACACCAATGCGGCCGTGGCAGCCGCAAAGGCGGCCTTCCCGGCGTGGGAGGCCATGGGGCCGGCGAAGCGGGCGGTGTACCTGAAGCGGCTGGCGGCGCTGCTGCGGGAGCACAAGGACGAGCTGGCGCGGCTGGACGCCATCGCCATGGGCATGCCGGTGTCGACGCACCACTTCGCCGAGAGCTGCGCGCGGCACTTTGAGTACTTCGCCGAGGCGTGGGCGACGGTGCAGGGGCAGGCCAGCGTCAACACGCCGGGCTACGTGACCATGACGCTGCGCCAGCCGTACGGCGTCGTGGCGCTCATCATCCCGTGGAACGTGCCGTGCCACTTCCTGGGCACCAAGTCGGCGCCGGCGCTGATCACGGGCAACACGGTGGTGCTCAAGTCGAGCGAGAAGGCGCCCCTGGCCGTGGCCCGCATCGCCGAGCTCGTCAAGGAGGCCGGCTTCCCGCCGGGCGTCTTCAACATCCTCTCGGGCCACGGCCTGCCGTCGGGCCAGATCCTGTCGCGCCACATGGACGTGCGCGCCCTGAGCTTCACGGGGTCCAGCCGCACCGGCAAGCTGATCCAGGAGGAGGCGGCGCGCACCAACCTCAAGAAGGTCATCCTCGAGCTCGGCGGCAAGTCGCCCGCGCTGATCTTCGAGGACGCCGACCTCGACAAGGCGGTCGCGCAGACGCAGTTCAGCATCCAGTCCAACAGCGGGCAGGTGTGCATGGCCAACTCGCGCATCTACGTGCAGAAGAGCGTGGCGGCGCAGTTCGTCGCGGCCTTCAAGCAGCAGTTCGCGGCCAACACCCGCCCGGGCGACCCGCTGGACCGCGCGACCAACCACGGCCCGCAGGCCGACGAGACGCAGTACCGCACCGTGCTGGCCTACATCGAGGACGGCAAGGCGGCTGGCGGCACGCTGGCGCTGGGCGGGCACGGCCAGCTCGAGCGCACCAACGGCTTCTTCGTCGAGCCGACCGTGTTCCTGGACGCGCCCGAGACGGCGCGCATCACGAAGGAGGAGGTCTTCGGCCCCGTCGTGGTCATCAACACCTTCGACACCGAGGCCGAGGCCGTCGCCAAGGCCAACGACACCGAGTTTGGCCTGTACGCGGCCGTCTACACGCGCGATGTGAACCGTGCGATGCGCGTGGCCAGGGCGCTCGAGAGCGGCTACGTTGGGATTAACTGCACCTCGCCGCTGACGGGCCACGACCTGCCCTTTGGCGGGTACAAGAGCAGCGGGCAGGGCAGGGAAGGCCTGCTGTATAGCATGAATAACTTCCTTGAGACTAAGAGTGTTATTATGCAGATTGATGAGGCGTAGCTGTTGAATGAGAATACTATTTCTAAATCAATGGTACTGTGAATCCTTCGTCGTGATTTTGGCGTGTTGAGGCTTGAGACAGGAACGAGAAATGCATGCTGCCACTGTTGCTTCAAGTTGTTGTCTACCACATAAGCTACCATGTCTTGAAGGATCAGTGGGCACGGCAGTGGCGGGGATACGCTGGCAACCTTGCACCGGCGAGTATTGTTTGGTGTGTTGCAGGGTGCAGAGGTAGGAGACAGAGAAAACACTGTAAGGTTGGGCGATGAAGGCGATGAAGGCGATGAAGAAGGTGAAGAAGGTGAAGAAGGTGAAGAAGGTGGAGAACTGGAGCGGGGGGAGGCACGCAGCACAGAGCCATGTGTGTGATGTGGGATGTATTTGTGGTGGTTGTAGGTGGAAAAGGCAGAGGGCCGGGATAAATAGTGGGCCGGGAGACGCCCGGGCCACCAAGGGCTCGCAACAGGAACTGGTTTATACGTTGGATTGCTTGAAAGGAATCCAGTAGTGGACATCAAGACCAAGGGGGTCTTACTAGTAGTTCAACGTCCGTTCAGGACGGGGATCCCCTTCAAGACTACTATGGTCTCTACAGAGAATATACTCGTCGATTATCCACGCCTTGCTACTACTAGTGTTTACTCGGCCTTTGCTCGGTCTTACTCTGCTCACCTCTGCTCAACCCAATGACCATTTTCGGCAAGGTATGTACTAGGGTACGCCACACCTGTCACACTGATGGCGCTGCATAAAAGCCGCACAGTGATAGTTGCGGACACACAATTCCTTGTGCAACCCACCAGGCGACCACGCAGCAGGAGGTGCGGGACGCGGATCCTCTCCGGACAAGCAGCGGCCAATGATGGCTTGGCCTTATTAGTACCACCAGTTACCCTTGGATGAGCTTACCGAAGATGTGCACATTCTGCGCTAAGAGCACGCACGGCTAAAGGCGAAAAAGACGACAGATGATTTAAGAAAGACGCAACGTGATGTTATTCGCACTACCAATCCAACCGGCATCTGATTCCTACTAGTAGTAGTACTCGCCGGGCCTACCCCAAAGCTGATCAAGACGTCGTGCGTACATCAGCGTTCTCCTGAAAGATCGCGCCAAGAGAGAGAAGCTCATTGTCATCAGCCTTGCCCTTGAAGCCAAGCAGGATGCCATTCCCCAGCTCCTGCTCGTGAGCCGTGCCGCCCTTTCCGTCCGAGGTGTCGGTGCCGCCATGAATCCACGAGTCCTTGCGATTCGCGACCTTGAGCTCAATCCTGTCCACGCGGTCTCCCGTCCACAGGACCAGCGACTCGACCTTGTCGCCCTTGTCGAATGTGAACGTGTACGAGGTTCCCGTCTCGTTGCCGATCTTGTCAGTCGTCTCGCCGTTGTTCCGGTACTTGACCTTCAGCGCCTTGATCAGCTTCCGGTTGTGGTAGTTGCCGCTTCCGTCGGCGACCCAGACGGTGATCTCCTCGACCGGGTGCAGGCCATCGGTGAAGTCGAAGGCCTTGGGGTTGTGGGTGCTGGAGCCGCCGGTGGGCTCGTTGTTGACGATGGCCTTGGCGCCGCCCGCACCTGTACTATGCTTGAAGTCCTCCACAGAGGTGGCCATTGTGACTGCTGGGATGGTTGGATGGGGGACGAGGGCAATGAGTAAGAGTTTGGTACCAGTTTGGTTCTGCAAAGAGGAGGGAAAGGGGTTCTCGTCTTGTGTGTTTAGAGAGGAAGAAAGGAGAGAGAACTCAGGCTCGACTTGTGAGAGTGACCACCATTATATAGAAATACTCGGTCCTCTCTGCTTCCATCTCTTCACCCTTCTTCCTCAAGGAATGCTAGCAGCCTATTGGCATTCTCGTCATGTTATGTGGGAGGAAAGGGCAGCAGCCAAGGATGATTCAGATGGTCCGTACAGCGCACGAATAGGGTACGCATCCTCACAGCCTTGCTGCACAAGAGCACCCGATACTGGTCGAATGTGGCTCAATATTGAATGTGAGAGCCAATTGCCATTAAGAAAGTTGGAGTTCTCTTCCCGCCTCTTGTGCTCTAACGAGTTTCTTGCCTCGATGCGATGTGACACGGCGTCGTTGACCGGACTGTGGCCAATGGGTGCTCGACTGGCCGAAGCATGTCGGGCAGTCGGGCATAGGGAAGTGTCCGATATACCACGGGAGCCGCAATTCTCTCTTCGGGGAATGATTTAGGGCAATATGGGGTGGTTAAAGCATGGCTGATCATTGCCACCCTCCGTCTAGCGCCGGTGAGACCTTGAGGCTCTGCGCGGGCAGGCCGTGCGGACGACTGAAGGAACCTGAGGTATTATCCCGTGTTTGGCTCCCGAGTCCTGTAAGAGGAGCGGAAGTGCTCTCGGATTACGACTATAAGGTCGAGCTTTTTATTGTCCGTGACGTATGCCGTTATTATCATACACCTATGCTTACCTCAGGGGGAAGAGTCAGAGAAAGCTCAGGGCAAACCACCACAGCTCATCATAGCCTAGGAGTACAACCGACCATCACGATCATAAGTGCATAAAGTAGATAGGCAGTACTTATGTCTCATCTAACCAGACTAAGATAAGGTATTCTACTAGACTTCTATTGAATCTACCACAGCCCCCGCACCTTGTCCCACCCTCATACCGCCACTGGGACAGGCCCGATAGGCCCGACGGGCAGCAGCTTGACATCCTGAAACAGGTCGGGCCGCGTCACCCGCTTGAAGGTCTCGTCGAACATGTCCTCGGCGTGCTTCTCGGCGTCGTGGTGGTGGATCCAGTCCTCGCGCGGGAAGGCGATGCTCTTGGGGTCCTGGGCCACCTTCTCCCAGTCGGTCTTGTGCCACCTGTCGCGCGTCGTCTCGCCCGTCTTTTGCACGGCGCGGACGCGGTCGTACCTGGCAAACAGAGTTAGTACATGATGCTTTAATTTTTCTTTCTTCTGTTTTCTTCTATTCTTTTTTTCTGTTTTGTTTTTGTTGTTGTTGTATCATAAAACTTACCGGATTTCTTGATGCACCCGCACGGCCGCCGGCACGTTCGCCTTGCCGGCGCGCTTGAGGCACACGGCGATGGTGACGCCGTCCTCCATGGCCTGCGTGGCGCCCTGCGCGCTGGTGGGCAGGAAGGGGTGGGCGGCATCGCCCAGCAGCAGGATGCGGGCGTGCCGGCTGACCCAGGTCGGCAGCGGGTCGCGGTACACAAGCTTCCAGTCGACGAGGTCCTTGGCGGGCGTCTTCTCGACGATGGCGCGGCACATGGGGTCCCAGCCCTCGAGCACCTTGAACACGTCCTCCAGCTTCCCCGGAAACGACCACGACTCGTCGATGTCGTGCTCGTCGCGGTGGGTCAGCACCCAGCAGCAGTCGGCGCCGTTCTTGATGGTGCTGAAGAGGAAGTGCACGTCCGGGCCGATCCAGCCGTTGAAGGTGTCGCCGTTCTCGCAGAACTGGCGCGTGCGCGGGTCGGCCAGCATGTCGGTGTTGGGGAACCAGGCGCGCCACACGGCGTAGCCGCTGCTCTTGGGCTTGTCGACGTAGCCCAGCACCAGCTCGCGCGCCTTGCTGCGCACGCCGTCGGCCCCGATCACCACGTCGGCCACCACGCGCTCGCCGCTCTTCAGCACGATGCCGGCCTGCTGCTCGTCCTCGAAGTACTCCTCGACGCGCTGGCCCAGGTGGATCGGGATGCCCAGCTCGTCCCTGGCATAATTAAACACCACCTCGTGCAGCTCGCCGCGATGCCCGTTGAACACGGGCGCCTGCGGGTCCTGCTCCGGCGTCGGCTGGTGGTAGACGACCTCGCCCGTGTCGAACTTGTGGATGCGGAAGCCGTAGTGCGTCAGGTCGATGGACAGCGCGCGCAGGCGCCGGGCGATGGCGCCGTCGGACCAGCGCGCGTAGATGCGGCCCGCGTTGGCGCCGAACGAGATGATGTCGCCCAGCGTCTTGAGCTCCGGGAAGTTCTCGTAGATCTCCACGTCGTGGCCCTGCCGGTGGCACTCGATCGCCGCCGTCAGCCCGCCGAAGCCGGCGCCGACGATGACCACCTTGATGCCCGATTTCGCGGGGGGCGACATGGTTTGGCGGGTTTTGTGATTCTTAGTGGCGATGTGTTATGCTGGGTTGTGAGTTGTGAGTGAGATTGCTGACTGGTGAGGGTACTACTATTAGCAGTACTACTACCCTTTTTCTGTAATGTACCTCGCTTGGTATAGGTAGTGGTTATGATGATGTATATTGTACAATACAACACTCAGACTGTCCAAACACGCAACGCCAATGTCACGGACCCGAGGAGTCATGCAGGTATTAATGAGGCCCCTGCCACCGTGCTTCGGTGCAGCTTTCCTCCCGCAGTCAGTCGAGACCCCCAGATTCCAAGCCTCCAATCCAAGGCTCTGCTCGCCCGGCCGGAGAAGAGACCTCCCGCATAATGCATTCGGTGCATGGGGATCCGTGGATATTGCCTGCAGAACTTCAGCCTATTCCGGACCGTTGGCGTGTTTACCATGTCTTTTCTCCCCCATCTGCCGAGCCTGGGTCCATTGCGGTCTTGGTGAAAGTGGTGCGGGGGAACAGTGAGGGAACAGCTCCCCCGCATCCACGAAACGACGCCAACCGGTTGCTGAAATCTGGTCACGCGCACCCGTGATGCTGGCACCGCGTTCGGATTCGAGAACTGGATCCCGTTTTCCGTCGATCGCTTGGCCTGGGGAACTGGGGTTAGGGTTGCAGTCCCTCGTCACTATCAACACCACCTTCTGCCTCCTTGAAGGCGATGGCATTAAATGTGTTGGGTAGAGATTATGTACACTTGCGCATGTCCGTGGTAATTGTCTTGCACAAGCCGTACCATTAATGTCACGGTTGAGAAGGCTTGCACAATGGGCTCCCCCCTGAGTCGCTCGATTTTCAGGGGCTGCGGCTCGGAAAGGGGCAACACTACCAGCTTGCATCATATAGTAAGGTTAAAGGCATTGAGATCTTAATTTGTTAGCAAACTTTTTCTGGGTCCGTATCAACTTAGACTTTCCTCCCCAGGCCATTGTTAAGCCTGAAATCACTTTAAACAAACTCCAGATGATCCTAACAATCCTACTAGTAGTACCGTACGTACTAGTACTCATGCAATGGCCTCCCACATCATGCAACCATACCATCATGACCATAAAGTAGGTACTCAGATATCAACACGCCTTAAGTTGACATCCTCGCAACAACCACCTCCACTCCACCCACCCCCTCACCCCCTCTAACTTGTTTCCATCAAACCGCCTTCACCTTAACAAACTTGACATTCCCATGCTCATCCAGCACGGGCTCCTCCTTCAGCTTCCGCTTCTGCTGCTGGTAGAAGGTACTCATCCTGTACTTGCTCTCGCCATCATGCACCCTCAGGTCCTGCAGCGCCTGCCTGCCCTCCCTCAGGATCGCCTCCCTGATCTCCTCACTCCGCGGCACAATCTCGCAGGGAAACGGCTGCGGCCTCATATTCAACCCGTTCGTAAACGCAAAGATATCCACCTCCTTCTCCAACCCAGTCTTCGGATCCCTCGCCTTGCGAATATCAAACCCCCACAGCAGCCTCGCCACGGTAATCCACGTGCCCTGCTCGGCCAGCGCCTGCCCGCTGCACACGCGCCGGCCCCAGCCGAAGGTCATGTACCCCCTGTCCCCGGGAAAGGGCCGCCGGTACTCGTGGCCGTCGAGGTAACGGTCCGGCAGGAAGCGGTCCGGGTCCGGGAACTCGCGCTCGTGGTGGTGGATGGCCCACACGTTGCCCTGCACCCAGGCGCCGCGCGGGATGAGCCAGCCGTTGTAGGTGTCGTCCTGCGTCGGCGAGTGCGGCTGCCCGCCGATGATGGCCACGCTGCGCCAGCGGAGCACCTCCTTCACGAATGCGTTGATATAGGGCAGTTGGGGGGAGTCGTCCCAGTGCGGCGAGCGGTTGGGGCCGATGACCCTGTCGATTTCGCGCTGCGCCTTGTGCATGGCTTCTGGGAAGGCGCAGCATGCTAGGATGAAGGTGATCAGCGTCGAGGAGGACGTGTCGGACCCGGCGCCGAAGAGGTTGCCTGTGAGGCCCGACAGTTCGGCTACGGGGAGGTTGTATTTTTCGGCTTCTTCGAAGAGGGTCTTGACGTAGGGCGTTGGCATTGACGCTTGTTCCGAGGGAGACTTTTGGGCGTATTGCTCGATGGCTTCTTGCGCGAGCGTGTAGAAGAAGTAGTGGCCTCCCTTTTGGCCGCGGGTGCCGAGGCCCTTGAACCAGGGCATGAAGCGGGGGAATTTGGCGAGGACTAGTAGCGATGTTTGAGTTAGAGTTAGAGGAGATCGGAAACGAACCGAGTAAACCACTCACAAGGGAAAGTCTCCAGCAACATTGGGAACGACTTCCCGGGCACGTTGAGATCAGCGGCCAACTGCATGAGCGCAATGACCTCGGTAATAATAGGATCGTTGTAGCTGGCCACGCGGCGGCCAAAGGCAATGATGGACACCACACTCGTCGCATAGCGCTCCAGGTGCTTGACGAACTCGGCCGGCTCGCGCAGGAAGTCGTACGCGACCACCTTGCTCTCGTTGTTCTGGATGTCGCGGTAGCCGCGGATCGACTGCACGCCGACGCCGATGTGCATCAGCTTGCGGTGCAGGCGCCAGTGGTCGCGCTCCTGCTGGTTGCGGATCTGCATGGTCACCAGGTTCGCCTGGCCCGACCCGAGCTCGCCGAAGACCACCATGCGCGGCCGCGACGCGTAGATCTGCGCCTTCTTCTCGAACATGTCGTGCGCGCACCATGCGTCGTTGATCCACACCGTCGGGTTTCTGTAATATTTCATGTCAGCTACTGTATCTTGGTCTTGGTCTTGCGAAGGGCTTGTCGGACACTCACCGGCCGATCCAGAAGGTGATGAGCGGCGTGTTGTATTTCTTGGACAGCTGCTCGAAGTAGATCCAGGGCTTGTTGTCGGGCAGCGAGAATGTGTTGCCGACGATGGGCAGCGGGAAGGGCCCTGGCGGCATCCTGGACCTCATGTAGAGCATCCACGCGTAGTCGGCCGCGATGGCAACCGCCACGACGGCTAGTACCCCGAGGACGACATTGAGAAGACCCGCGTCGGCGATGACCGCCTGCAGCTTCACCAGCGCAAGGGTTTCAATGAGCCTTTCTGACAGCATCTTGTCTCATGTCGCCCCCTACTAGTTCAGGGGCTGGTCAACGGCTGAAGGGTTACTAGTAGTACTGCCAACAGGTGAAGACGATGCTCGCCAAGCTAGGAACTTTAAGGGTTGACGATCCAAAATCAGCTGCGTGTGGCTGGACCGTGACTGAACGAGATCCTAGTCTCTAGAGCTTTGAGATAAAGTACGATACAACTCAGGATATAGGCGCGCACACCTGCCACTGACAAGTCGAAAATTGGTAATGCGACCGCAAGAATAGTGGAACGTCCCGGAGGTAGCAGGTCCAGGACTAGGAAATCCCACCGGTAGTCCATGACCTGGTCCTCGGCGGCAGATTTGATTCCCGGCCGGCACACTCAAGTCTGGTTGAGGAGGTGGGGTTCCCGGAGCGGGGATCCACGTTGGAGGGAGCAGCTCCGGGTCACCCCTCCCCCATTGTTCGGATCGTGGTTGCCGAGAATCCTGGGTTTGAGGTCTCAATAATACCACCTGACGCCTCGTGACATGGTCGACGCATATCATACCGCAGTAGATGTCGAGAGCGTTTCATTCATCCGTTGTGTTCCTCTAGCCTCTAGTACGCTGAATAGGACAAGTCGGGCTCGTCGGGTGAACAGATGTCAGAACCAACAACGGCAACATCTGTATATGGTAGGTATCTCTTAAGACGCTCATGATTTCTAACGCTACAGCACAACCCTCACTCCAGACCTGGCAAGAATCGAGCTACCCCAGGTATTGTCGAGAGATCCATCGTCCAACAAACCATGCCCGCAGGGATCAGCGGTGTTGCTACTGTAATGCTATCCTAACCGCGTCACAAACTACTAAACTACTAGCTCGGACCGGCAGTTTTCCATATTAACTCTTATTCGATGGGGTTACCCCAGGTTTAATCCCTGAGCTTCCCCAGATTGTAACGTCCAGCCAAGCCTGGGATCGACCGCCACATTGGCAAGGTACGGTCACCGCATGGTAGTAACACATTTGCACTATTCCTTTCTTCGGTAGGAGGTGCAGCCACTCTCTGACGCCGACCTCATGTGGCCTGGATGATCGGGACGTATTTCATGCTTCCATGAGCGGTGGTTGGGTATTGTACCAGTAGTTGATGGCGATACCCAGTCCACGCTCCCACTTGCTGCATAGCTAGGGTCGGTCGTAGCTCAATCGGCATTGCAGAAACACAAATTGGGGTAGATGAGGTTCTGAACGGAAGCAATCAAGCTGTTGCCGTATATATACCAGACCTGGTTCTGTTAGTTGGTGGCGAGAGAGAGATAACATGCCGCTCGTCTGGCCCTGGACTGCTGGCAGCGTTGCAATCTCAGCCGGTTACCACCGTAGCACAACAGCCGGCCGTCATATTGTCTGGCCAATATATTCAGCGTGCCCTTTGTCCAGGCCCGTCCTCTCACATTGCCGCACCACTAATCCCGTTTCTTCCCCTCTGTGAGGGCCATCGCCATCCATCTCTAGTGGCAGCACTGGACTCCTACTGGTACACTTCTACTAGTATCTCGACCTCGACGACAGCGATGGCGGACGAGAAGAAAGACTCCCTGGCGGGATCCATCACCACCACCCCGGCCCCGGAGGCTGCTGGGGAAGAGAAGTACACGATGAAGCAGCACTGGAAGTGTCTTGCGGCGTGCACGCTCATGTCGCTCTGCCCGTTCCAGTACGGGCTCGACTTCGGCTTGATCGGTGGGCTGCAGGCTATGGTTGGGTTTCTCAGGGTGCGCCTCCATCCACCTAAATTCCTTACCTTTCAAGTTGCAGACTACTAACTCACTATTCCCCGGCAAACAGGTGTTTGGCTACGAAGACCCCAGCCTGCCGGGCGGATGGAACATCTCGACCGAGCGACAGCAGCTGATCTCGTCACTGATGACGCTCGGCGCCTTCCTCAGCTCGTCGCTGGCCGGGCCGGTGGCCACGGTGCTCTCGCGCAAGTGGACTGTGTGGATCGCCAGCGGGCTGTGCATCATGTCCAACCTGATCATGATGCTGACGACCAACATCGCGGGCCTGTACGCTGGGCGGCTGCTGCTGGGCCTGGCCAACGGCATGTTCATGACCTTCTCGCAGCTGTACATCCAGGAGTGCTCGCCCGCGCGCTACCGGGGACTGATGATCTCGTCGTTCCAGGTGTGGACGTCGGTCGGCACCCTGGTCGGCACCGTGGTGGATAATTTCACGGCGCCCATCGACGGCCGCGACGCATACCTCATCCCGCTGGGGCTGATCTACATCATCCCCGTTCTTATGTCTCTGGGGTTGTTGTTTGTGCCCGAGTCCCCCCGCTGGCTGGCCCAGCACGGAAAGCTGGACGACGCCCGCCGGGCGCTGCGCTGGCACCGCCCGGGCTCCGAGGTCGAGATCGACCAGGAAATGCGCGACATACAGGCGGCGCTGGAGACCGAGATGTCCCGGGAGAGTAGCGTGGCCGTCTGGGACATGTTTCGCGACCCTGTCGACAGGCGCCGCACTTTCCTGGCCACCTGCGCGCTGACGGTACAGGGCGCGTCGGGGGCCATGTACATGATCGGTGTGTTCCACAGCTTCCGTCCAATCTCACCTCCCCAAGTTCCCTCTGAGCGGTTTTGTTTTCATCTTCATGTGAGGTGTGGATATAGGTACTGACATGGTCCCGACAAGCATACGGCACCTACTTCTTCCAGATGGCCGGCATCGGCGACGCCTTCCAGAACTCGTGCATCCTCATCTCGGTCGGCGTCGTCGCCATCCTCATCAACAGCGCCCTGGTCACCCACTACGGCCGCCGCCGTGTCTTCCTCATCACGGGCCTCTTCCTATGCGGCCTCGCCCAGCTCCTGACCGCCATCGTCTACCAGGTCAACCCAGGGGCCAAATCGACGGGGCAGGCCATTGTCGGGTTGGCGGTCGTGTACATCCTCGGATACAACGTACGTTTTCTTTTATTTTCATCACGCCCGCCTCTTCCTCTCCCTTAACCGTTCCTCCGCCTCGTCGCTAACCCTGGTTGACTCACTTGTAATACAGGGCATGGTGGCGACATACGCCTGGATCTCGGGCGGCGAGCTGCCCTCGCAGCGCCTGCGGTCGTACACCTTCGGCTTCGCCACGGCCATCGGCTTCTTCGCCGCCTGGCTGACCACCTTCACGGCCCCCTACTTCATCAACCCGGAGTCGCTCAACTGGGGGCCCAAGTACGGCTACATCTGGACGCCGTCGTGCTGGATCTCTGCGTGCGTCCACCCCCTCTTTAATTCATTAGTACACACGCTTTACTTATCGTGCATGGCGACATGTATGAGTGGAGGTTTGGGTTGACTTCACCAACGTACTTACTTTACTTTATTTGCTTGCAGGCTATGGGTCTTCTTCTTCCTCCCCGAAGTCAAGGACCGGACGCTAGAAGAGATCGACGAGATGGTACGTTCTCCAACTCACACTGAACTCAACTCAGTCATCTCATGTTTTGTTCTGTGAGTCAACACGAGTGGCTAACCGCGATTTGAATAGTTCGAGGCCCGCCTGCCGGCAAGGAAATTCCGCAAGTATGTCTGCGTCGGGCGCGCTGCCGATGGAAGCTATGCCACGCCACCGTCTGCGGACGAGAAGGAGGTCGCAGAGGTCGTGCACGCCGAGGATACCACTACCAAGGCCTGATCGGGTGATGCTTTGGTTTGTTGGGAATACTACTAGTTACAGTAAAAACTGCTAGTAGATTCGTGGTGGACGGGCCTGGCTACGTGGAGTAACGTGTACCGTGTACCGAATACAAGTACAGCACAGAATCACCAGGCGAGACGTCAAGAGGGATGTGTACTGTACGTACGTGGTGATGCATCATTTCGAGGAATGGAAAAGGGATGCTAATGGACTTCCCAAAGGAGCAGGCTTCTGCGCCGTTATATAATGTCGGACGCACCAGAGCGCTTGGCATGGACCGGGGTAATGATTCCTGGATCCCCTACCCTACCACTTTCCTATGTATATAAGCAGTGATCTCCCTGATCCCTCCTTATCTGATCAGTTACTTCAATGCACCCTATCTTCAACATATGCTCCCAGTAATCCTTTACGCCCTGGCTATCCTGTAGTGTCACATATAAGCACTCTGACTGATGCCCATCAGAACCTAAATACGCCCCATGGTAGGCGTTGCCGATGGATGTGTGGTGAGCTAACGCTGTGTGACCCCAAACCTGCACGCCCTTCCCGCACCGTCGGCATAGTTACCGGACATGGCTGCTCGGATGTTCGGTCCCTGGTCGGATTCGGACTTGTCGAACCGCAAGCCGGTTTTAGGAAATGTTCGTGTTGCCTTGAGGTAGCCACACGGTTTAGTATATTCAATTGCCAGGAGAGATACTACTTAGGAGTGCATTCTCTCTGCTTAGTCTCAGTACAAAGAGAGCTGAGATGCATTCCACAGCGGCAAACCGTACACTACCTGCCTGGGTACCTTAGGTATACTGCTCGGCTGCGTTCGAGCGGCGAGGTAAATAAGCTCGGTCGCATAGCCCACACACACCGTCTTGTACCGGGGCGAGGTACGTGCGGCAGACGACTCACGAGACGCGGCAGTAATTCCGTGTCACTCTATCGTCATGGTTTCAAACTCAGTACTGCGATGCTCTCGCACTTACAGTCAAATAAGTCAGACATCCATCCGATAAATACAAATCTGCCAATTTCATCGCTGCTGCGTTGCCCATGCTCTCACCAGGCGAAAATTGCGGATGTCGTTCCACGATTGACGACGGACGGTCGAATATGTAGTACCTAAGTAAGGTCCGCTGCACACCGGAGGACGGAAACAAAACCTGGACCGAGAGCGCGAGGTGGGTGTCGGACGCGGGGGACATGAAGATACCTTATGTTTTTGCGTAGGATCATCCTCGCTGTTATTCCGCACCGATCCACACAGCCCACCGTTGATCGTCACGCTGCGGAATTTCGGATCGCTCAGAAGGGTGGAGCTGCGGGTGCGCTGCCGTCGTTACGAGCATGGTTTCCTGCGCAATTCATTATGCCTGTCGGCTTGACGACCAAGTTCGCAAGTGGTGTATCTGTAAGTGATTGGCATTGGGCCCCTTTGCCATCCGGCAGTGCAGTGTTACATCCTGCGGAGAAAGCCAGGGCCAACAACGTCGGTGGACTTGCGCAGTGGCGGTCTAGGTCGCAATGGGCGGGATCGGGTTGTTCAACAACTGCTAAACCCGCGGATAGTTTTTGACTCATGACATGGATGATGGCCACTATCCGGGGCGATTGCTATCCGATCCGGTGTCTGTATCTCGGACTGTCGGACATGTCGGCGAGGACATACACGGCAGCAAGGTCCACCACGGCTCGCGATGAGACTAGCTCCGGAATCCAGTTGTTCATCGGGCATTTCAAAATGCGGGAGCGGCAGTTGAGTTCAAGGGTCAGGGATCGTGGCGGTTGTCGGAGGCGAGACTCCCGGTGGGTTCATCCATGTAACGGTTTCCGACCTCCCGCCCCTTAAACGGCGTTAAGATGCAATGATGCAGCCCGCAGTGGCCACGACGGGATGAGTAAGACCGTAGACGCGAGGTTGCGATATCGAGCGGGCACATGCATGATGCTCAACCCCTCCTCTCCCCAGCCAAATTTAATATATCAGGCTTCGCGGTGCACCCAGGTTCCCAGCGTCCTCACCCATTTCCTTTCCATTCAACAGCAGGGCTTGTCTCATCATTGGCCTACTTCACAACTCCACCTGATCCCGGCTAACAGTACTTTATTGTCTCCGACATGGCGGTCCTCAACACCGGCATGGACATACCATCACTGGGGCTTCCCCAGTATCTCGTGCTAGTCGTTGCCGTGGTACGTTCGCACATTGCCTCCATACTCCAACCCGTAGCACCGCTGATCATCCACTAATGATTTCTCTTTCCGCCTTCCTCATATAGACGATCCTCCTTTCAGCCAGCTACATCACCTACAATCTGCTCTTCCACCCTCTCCGATCCGTGCCGGGCCCCAAGCTCTGGGCCGCCACCCAGCTCCCCTACATGGCGGGCCTGCTCTCGGGGCGCCTGCCCTTCATCATCCACGCCCTGCACGAGAAGTACGGCGACGTGGTCCGGGTGGGGCCCAACCGGCTGTCCTTCACCCACCCGGACGCGTGGCGCGACATCCGGGGCCACCGCAAGCACGGCCAGGCGGAGCACGGCAAGGACCCGGCCTTCTACGACATGTCGCGGCAGAACATCCTCGGGGCCGGCCGGGAGGAGCACGCGCGCGTCCGGCGGATCCTGTCTCACGGCTTCAGCGCCAAGAGCATGCAGGACCAGCAGCCGCTGATCATGCGGTACGTGGAACTGCTGATGCAGCGGTTGCGGGAGCGGACGACGACCACGGACCAGAAGACCGGGGAGAGCAGGAGGGAGGAAGGCGTCGTCAACATGGTGTCGTGGTTCAACTTCACCACGTTTGACGTGATCGGCGATCTGGCGTTTGGCGAGCCGTTCGGGTGTCTGGAGACGTCCGACTACCACCCTTGGGTCGGCGCCATCCTCGCGGGCATCGAGCAGTTCGGCATGTACCTGACGCTGCAGTGGTACCTGCCCGGCGGGATCAAGACGCTGAAGAGGCTGTCGCCGTGGAAATATGTCGGCGCGCCGGTGGAGCAGCAGCAGGACCTGGCGCACCAGCGCATCCAGAAGCGGCTGCGCGCGGGCACGAGCCGGCCCGATTTTGTGGAAGCCATGGCCACAGCCAAGTCGGATGACGGCCGCATGCTGACCGACGCCGAGATGGCGTCCAATGGGAGGTTGTTGGTCCTGGCGGGCAGCGAGACCACGGCGACGGCGCTGTCGGGCGTTGCGTATTACTTGGCGACGCATCAGGATGTGCAGCGCAAGTTGGCCGACGAGGTGCGGTCGGGGTTTGCCGCCGAGGACGAGATCGACCTGTTCAGCGCCAATCGGCTGACGTACATGCTGGCTGTGCTGGACGAGGCGATGCGCATGTTCCCGCCGGTGCCGAGCATGCTGCCAAGAATTTGCGAGCCTGGGGGTGCCATGATCTGCGGCTATCAGGTGCCTGGCGGTGTAAGTCACAGTCCTTTTCTGAGCAATGAAAGTCACAGACGGCGCGAGATTGATGTGCTGACTTACCATGTCCACAGACTGGTCTCGATATCTGGCCGTACGCCATGAACCACTCGTCCAGGAACTTTACCGAGCCCGAAAAGTTCATTCCCGAGCGCTGGCTGGAGGACGAATATCAGGGGTATCACTTTGACAAGAGCCGACACGCCGCCCTGCAGCCGTTCTCGGTTGGGCCGCGTAACTGCATTGGCAAGAAGTATGTTCAGCCTACGCACTTAAAGTACCAGGTCGTTTTGCCTTGCGCTAACCGTATCGTGCAGCCTGGCCTATGTCGAGATGCGCTTGATTCTGGCCAGACTGATGTGGAACTACGACATGGTGCTCGCGGACCGCGCTTCCGAGGAGTTCCCCAACTGCAAGACCTTCAGCCTGTGGCTCAAGGGTCCGCTGAATGTTCGATTGATACCAGTGGCGCGGGCATGAACCGGTATCGAACGACGTGGACGGCGCGTCTTCACCATGTTAGCCCTAGACGGTGCACGACAAGGTCCACTCATCCGTTCCGACGTTCAACAAACGACATGTCTATACTAGTATCTCTGCTCTACAGTTTTCCTCACCTTGTATTTCACTTCCAGTAGCGCTATGCAAAATGCCGAGACTGTATGCTATGACTTCGTATTGTGCCTTACTAGATCGTATCGTATCAAGTACTCCATACCCCGTCACAAAGCAGCATTCGCCCCGTTCAACGAGACCCTTCCCGACAACCCGCCTCCCCCCACAACAATCACCACTAGTACTACTAAGAGTACTAATACTTGTGCCTCGCCGCAAACCGCATCTCGGACTTTCCCACATCAAAGACAGCCACGACATTGGTCAGGAAGCTGACGCCCAGCACGTGCGGCGGCGAGTCGGTGTCGGTCACGCCCACGCGGCACCACTCGCCCGTCGGGTCGCGCGCGGTCTGCCGCAGCAGGTCCTCGGGCGCCATGTAGAAGGTCGAGCCGCCGATCTGCACGCCGAACCTGGGCACGGTCGCGTTGCACGGCGCGAAGAACAGGCCGCCCGAGCTCAGATACTGCGCTGGCGGGTCGAAGGCTGCGTAGAGCGGGTTGACAATCGCTGTAATGATGATCAGTACATACGATCCTTCTTGGTCTTCTTTCAGCGGAAAGAATGTTTTAAAAAAAAAGAAAGAAAAGAAAAAAGAAAGAAAAGAAAAAAAGAAAGAAAAAGAAAGAAGGAAAGAAAAAGAAAAGAAAATAACTGGAACTCACCCTTGGGCAGGTAGCTGAGCGTCGCGCCCACGTCGATCAGCACCGGGATCTGAGTGGTGTTCCTGATCACATCCCCCGAGCTGGTACTATTACCCGCCTTCTCCACGACAAACGCATCGGGCTTGATGATGTACATGCCCTTCTCGTCCGTCTCAAACCCCCACTGCGGCACGGCCTTCATGCCATGGATGGGCGTCCTGGCCCACGTCGTCTCGTCGACTTCCACAGGCGGCAAGCCCCCCAGCGCGAGGTACGACTCCTCCTCCTCCTCCTCCTCCTCCTCCTCACTCTTCTTCTCCTCATTCTTCTTCCCACTCCCGGAACTAGTACTAGTACTAGTACTAGAATCCCCCTGATCCCCACTCCGCGAGAGCGCAATGCTAAAAACCGGCTCGATGGCCCCGCTCTTCCACATGGTGGTAAACACGGGGTCGTACGGCGGCTGGTTGGCCTCGGCGCCGTCCAGGCTGGTCAGGTAGGGGTAGGCGAGCCCCAGCAGGCCCGAGGTCAGGCCGTCGCCGTGCCAGTAGGCCTGGTTCACGATGGCCAGCCGCTGCGCGTGCGCCGTGACCCCCGCGATGGCCACGTCCTCGACGCCGTAGTACCCGCGCACGAAGGTCCCGTCGACGTAGGACCGCAAGAACGGCGGCAGGTCGGGCAGGATGCCGCCGGATAGGTTGCCCTGCAGGCCGGAGCCTAGGCCGCAGTTGGGTGTCTGTACTCGAACCCCCCTTTATGTCAGTGGGAGAGAGCAAAGGAAGAGAATAAGTGGTAGTATTGAAGTAGTAGTAGTAGTAGTGGCTGAAAAGAAAACGCACAGTACCAGGACCATCCCACCAAAAAGAGACACACTCGTACGGCTCCTGCACCAGCCACGTGTCGCTGGACCCGGTGTCGACGCTGACCGGGATGGTCTGGTTCCCGACCTGGAGGTCGATGATGTAGTAGACGTCGTAGACATTCCTCAGCCGAGCCGGAACATTGGCCCGTAGGTGGAGCGCCGGGTGTGTTGTGGATGGCGCCAGGCGCTGTCGGCGCATCGGGATAGCGTGCGTTGTAACCGCATCGCGAAAGCCGGCGGCGCGCAGTGCTCCCAAAGGGCCATGCGCATCTCGGTTGCTGGTTCCCTGGAGCGGACTGGCTGTCGAGGCCGGCGCGAGCCAGGGGATTGATATCAACACTAGGGAGGAGAGCGAGGTCTTCATGGCGATGTATCAGTCTCAGCTAAGGATTCAAGACCGACCCAGCGACAGATCAGAGAATCTAATCTGGAGCTCGGCACAGGGGTAACCATATAAGTAATAGACGGCCACTACGCACCATATTGGTCCCTCCTGGCGTTGCCCGGCAGATGCAGGTAGGTTTGTCGATCTCATTTGCCGGCATTGACAAGACCCGACTTAGATTGGCTTTAGACGATGTGTTCAGCGTGACCTCTGCTCACTAGGGAGTTTAGCCGCGCCAGGCATACAAAAACACCCGAGAGATCTACACGAAATTAGCAGAACACCAACTTGGCGGACAAATGGATCTGGGGTGTGGATGGATTCATGACATAACTCATTTTCTGTATAGGCTAACGATTCCAGTCTCACAGGAATCAGGAGGCAAACATCGGTAACCCCCTTTTGACACTAGTATTGTCGTCCGCAAGGGCAGCGTTGCCAATAAGGGAGACATGACTCAATCACAGACTATGGATCCTCTTCGTGCAATCAATCAAATATTCTACTAGTCTACCGATATGATACGATATATACATCCCGGCGCCAAACTCCCCATCGCTATGCTTCTATTTACACAACTCTCACTCTCTCTCACTCTCTCCTTCTCACACACACACACATATACACCTAACGTATCTTATAAGCGAGCGGGACATATAAGCGAGCGGGACACTCTCCACCACTCTACAACAACCATCCTCAATTGCAATACAATAAGACCATTAACCAACTACAATTACATCAGAAACAGCTGAATCAGACCCTTCTACAACCTCCTGGCACGTACAGGCATTATGGCCAGGCTTGCCGCACACACCACAGCACCGAACCCCCCCTGCACCACCACTATCCGGCTCCTTTTCTTGCGCCATCTCCCTAACCACGGCCTTCTAGTCCAGTAGATCCTTTGCATCTTGTACCGCAAGCGATCCTCCAAGCTGCACGCGTGTTCTTTTGGCTCTCCGGCGCTTGCTAAGTGCCTCGTTGGCCTTGCGGAGCGAAGAGACCTCGGCACAAAGAAGAGCCATCTGGTGCATTATAGCCATTATACCCTTGGCCAACTGGTCCATAGTAGCTAACATCGAGGTTAGGGAGCTATTTTGATGGTTGGCAATATAAGTCTTGATGAGTATGGACTGTGCATTGGCTTCCTGGGAGTTATATGATGTCTGGAAGACCTAAGACTATATAGTGCTAGGCCGTAAGGTTAGGGGTATTGGTATATAAAGCTTGATATCTAGCTTAGAAAGTACCCTCTCTAGATTGTACGGCATAAGGCTAGCACCTATAAAGCTACCCTGTATATTCTTCTCCGTTATAGAGGCGAAGAAGGCCTCGTGGAAGATATAGAGGAACTCGAGCTTGCTTATATAGTTGATATGCATGCGTATTAAGTCCTCGACCTAGCGACCGTACACCTGCTTTAGCGGCCTAAAGCAGCTAACATCGAGTGGCTGGAGGAGGTAAGAGGAATGTAGAGGCATATAGAGTGTGATAATGTAATGCTCCTAGCAGTAGAGCTCGAATTCGGTCGAGTAGTGGCTCTTATGGCCGTCGAAGATCAATAACCGATATTTGCCCTTTATATAGGGTGCTGTATAGAAGTTAAAGTGCTTGATCCAATCGAGGCCTATAGCATTGGTAGTCTAGCCGTTCTCAGTGGTCGTAATACGCTAGTCGGCCGGGAGGTTGCACTCTTGATACCAGTTGGCGAGGTGGTATTGCGCGGCTAAGATAACGAAGGGTGGGATAGCCCAGCCGAGGGCATTGACTCCCTAGATTACCGTAGCCCACTTGCGGTTACCAGGCTAGGCCAGCTTTGCCTTGTTACGGCCATCAGAGGTTATAACTACTCTGCCTGGGAAGATAATACCTATTATGAACCTAGTCTTGTCGAAATTATAGATATTGTCATCTACAATGCCGTACTTAGCCTTGACATTCTATACGAGCGCGAACCACTCGCCAACAACCTCTGGGTCCTTGTACTTGGCCCTCTGGTAGTCGTATCGACGTGACCAACGTGTATAGAGAGCGGGCTGGCGTTTAACGAAGTTGTAAGCCCAGAGCTTGCTGATAGGGGGCGCGTTATATACGTGTAGCAGTTGGTTGGCTATATCTTCCATATTATATAGCCTTGGTAGAAAAGCTCGCTCAGATAGCTCAGTTATATACTGGACTATAGCCTTCTCTTCTAGATAGGTAAGCTTCCGTGAGTTGGCTGGAAGATCGCGTCGTATAGGCCGGCCGGTACGTCGGTAGCCGAGGGTTAAAACTGGCACGTTATAGAGCTTGGCCGCGGCTCGGAGGCTTAGTTTCGTATCATTTTCAAGAGCTTTGAGGGCCAAGGTTACCCTAGCTTCCTTTGAAGTGGAAGACATCTTTAGTTGTAGGAAAAACGCGTTGTTGGAGGTGGATGAAGAAGGAGGCGTCGTGCCAAGAACTTAGTGTCCCGCTCGCTTATAAGATACGTTACTAGTAGTACTACTACTACCAAGAAGAACTACCTCACCCCAAGCTCCTCCAACGCAGCAACGATATGCTTCAGCGTGACGGGCCGCGTCAGGAACAGGTCCACGCCGCTCGCAAACGCGTCCTGCTGCACGTTGGCGCCGCTCAGGCCCGTGATGGCGATGATCTTGCACGGCGCCAGCTGGCCCGCCCGCGCCCGCGCCCGCTCAAACTCGCGCACCCGCCGCGAGGACTCGATGCCGTCCATGACCGGCATCGACACGTCCGTCAGCAGGCAGCTGTACTTCCCCGGGGCAGCCTTGTACATCTCCAGCGCCTCGAGCCCGTCCGCGGCCGTGCTGTGGGGCAGGGAGATTCGCTTCATGTATGCGGCTAGGATCTTTGGTTGGGGAGGGGAGAGGTGTCATAACACCTGTTAGTGCTCCTGACTCTCTCCTGACGGTACTAGTATTGTAGTGTAACTGGGAAGGGGGTGGGATCTAGTAGTACTAGTACTCACCTTTCTGTTGATCGGGTTGTCATCGACTATGAGGACTGATCGAGGGATATTCGCATGCCCGTCACTGACTGGGCTAGTAGGCGTAGGTGGAGGGTGATGCTGAATAGGGACAGGTGTGGGCCTGATGGATAGTGTGTCGGTGTTCCGTGGCTGGACTTCGGTGTCTGTCGCGTGGTGTGGTTCCGGAGGTGACGGTGGCAAAGATGAGCTCCTATGTTCGATGATGCCAGCGTCTTTCAGTACGGTGGTCACCACCGCCGCCTGCGATGGTGTGCTGAGCAGCAGTGGAGGCTCCTTCGTCGGAGACGTAGCACCGGACTTGTCTTTGGAAAGAGACGCTACACTGCTCGGCGGCGTTGGCGGACGAGCCTGCGCGTCCTTCCATCGTTGCCGGCTATCAAGCAGCGCCTTGGCGAGCTTCCGAGGCCCTAGAGGCTGCGAAATACGCTCGAAAGCCGACGCTAGGCCACTTTGACGCTGTGCCGTAGAGAATTTGCCTGCTCCGGGGCATTGACAGACGCGAACATGGGGACATGGCTCCAGCGCACCGCCACCAGCGTCTGAATCGCGCGGGCACTCGCCGGTCGAGACGACAAAGTCCGGGGGTGGCCCATCTGCCTGCAAGTCTTGAGACACGACCTGCATCCCAAGCCACCCTGCGCAGATGCTCTTGATGAGGTCGAGCTGCATTTTGACTTGCTGGTCGTTCGCTCCATTCTGCTTGTCAGGGCCTGGGGACTCCGTCGCTGAGGGTTTCCTACCACAGCCACGAAGCAAAACCCGCGACGCAGCCAGCTCTTGTGCGAATTCTTTGAAATCGCCCTCCTGCTCGCTGCTCGTCCCTGGGCCAGCAGGGAGCGGCAGAATGACGTTGACAGACGTGCCGCATCCGACCTGGCTGGTGACATGGATTTCGCCCCCTAGTGTTGTCACGAGCTGCCGCACGAGACTGAGCCCAAGTCCCGTACCCGGGGCAAACTGGTCCTCCTGCGCAAAGGGCGTATAGAGTTGGTTGCGCAGGTATTCCTCGCTGATTCCCCTACCAGTGTCGGAAACGGTCAACACGATCTTGCCAAATCCGGCATCTTGTTGTAATGGATGCGTATCCCCGGCCGACCTTCCTTCCGTTGGGGTCTCCTGCTTCAGATGAACCTTGATGAAGCCTGCCTTGGTGAACTTGAGAGCGTTTCCAAACAGGTTCATGATGATCCGGCGGAATGCACCGGGATGTATGCGGTACGACCAGGACTGAGCCGGCTCGATGTCAAAGAGTACTTGGACTCCATGGGATTTGCCGCTCGTATCTCGGCCGGGTAGTATGTACTCGGTGGGAGGAGTGGTGGCGTCCGGGGTATCGGACATACCCGGACTGCTATGCATGTACCCGAAGCCTGCGAGAACGCTCTCCACGACCTCCTCCGCCAGTAGATCGAGCTGTACAGGCGGCACGTTAAGCAGCGGTTCGGAAACAGTAGTAACCGGGTCCTGCCGAAGCCGGAGCCGTCCTGAATTACTCCTCTCCAGCCCAGCGGTTTTGAGTAGCGGGTTCATCTTGCCGTAGTCAAGCAGATGGTCAATGGTGTCGAGAAGCGTTGTGCTCGATATCTGGATCGTACGCAAAATCCCCTCCTGGGACCCGTCCAGACTCGTCTGCCGTAAAAGCTCGGCAGCGCCCACGACAGCATGGAGCGGGGACCTCAGCTCATGGCTGATGGCGCCCAGAACGTCCATCTTGGTCTTGTCAGCCGCCTTGATGTGCAGCCTTGTGACTTCGGCCATGATGGTCAGGCCAAACGCTTTCAGGTAGCTGAGTTCGTTCTCGGCCGTGAAGATTCGCGTCGGCGTGCACGTCCAGACAAAGCTGCCGGCAAACCAGCGGTTCCGTTGAGGGTCCCAGAGCGGCACAAATGCCACGCTCCTGGCGCCAGGAAACATGCGCGCGAGGATAGCGGTGATGGTCGGGTGAACCTTGAGCGGCTTCTCGGTCTTATTGGTATCATTCGAAATCCCGTTGGTAGTATTACTACTAGTAGCACTAGTGATAGCGGAGATGAGGTGGTTGGTAATCACCTCGGTTTCGCTCCGCTTCCTCCTCGATGAACACGACCAGGGCAGAGTATGGTCGGATACACGGTCTGCAGAGCGAGCGTCCATGTTATATATCTTGCCGTGTGGATGCCGTTGCAACAGGTAATGGAGAAAGCGTTCGGGGAACGTGGCCAGGGCCGAACCTGGCCGGTCCCCGTTGACGGACGAGCTCTGGGATGTCGAGTACCCCAGGACCTTGCAGCAAGTCGTCTCTGCGGCGGCTTGTTCGGCTCCGTCTTCGGACCGCTCGGATGGGATCTCGTCGTCGCCGCTGGATTCGAGATCCGAGGCGGCTTTGCCGAGCACGGGTTGCGACGGCAGTTCCTGGCCGACCAAGCCGCCAAAGGTCTTGATGCTCGCATCGAGATACGCCACCCCTTCAACTTCGATGGATTCGCGGATAATGTTGGATGCCTTGGAGAAGACACTCTCAAGCTCAGCTTGCAGGACGTCCGCAGGAGAGAACCGGCTCCCCGTTCTAGGAAGAGAGGGGTCGGTCTTCTTCCTTCTAACACTTCGGGTCCGCGTGGGAGCCGAAAAAGTGTCGCGAACTGGTGACTTGACCACTTCGCGCGATGGTAATTCCCCATCCGTGGACTCGCCCCGCAGCCTTTTGTTGAGATGCCCTTCGTGCACTCCCGGGACGTCTTTGAATGACGAGGGATTCGATGCCTGCGACCAGTTCGACAGCATAGCCTTGCCTTCAACAAAGCTCCCGAGGCCGCGAACCATACGCTCCTCTCTCCGGTAACATTCGTGCGATCTCTTGGCCTCCAGGTAGCTCATTACGGTGACGGATACGTCCCGGATGAACTGGATCTCCTCGGCCGACACATATTGCCGTGGCTTGTCATCGAAGACACAGTAGACGCCGATGTTGATTCCCGCGGGAGACCGGATGGGCACGCCGATGTAGAACCGCTTGGCCGTGTCTTGCACATCGCAAAACCTGGCATCCTCGTCCAGATTCAGCACAACCGACACGGGCAAATCGCTTGGGGTGTCTCCGGTGTCGTTGCCCGGAATGGTGAGAGAAGACGCGGGTCCGGCAAGAACGTGTTCGCAGATGCTGGTCGTTCGAGGGACCGCGGTTCCGCAGAGCCAGAGCTGGCCTAGCTGGTCTTCGTTCAGGTTCAATGGGGTCGCCCGGACGGCCTCGGCGACGATATGCTGGCTCTTGCGGTCAAACAGCGAGACCAGTGCACGCGACCCCCCCAGTCGGTACAGTCCGAGCTGCGCAAACGCAGTAAGCCCAGGATCAGGAGTCGATGATAGGACGGCGGACGGAATCGGCTTTGCGCTTTCAGGGTTGCGGAACGCAGCGGTTGAGATCTCAAGCGCATCGTATCTGCGCGCCGACAGGCAAGAGTTAGCGTATCACTCCATGCGCTAGAACACCGACTTTGGATCTGCCATGGTTCTGCCTAGTGAACGGCGAAACGGCTGCCCGAGTACTAAAGCAGTGTACCAGAAGTCTGTCCACTAACTTGAAAGTCTCGCGCTCACGGGCTGCCTCTGACGAAGTTGAGTGAGAGTCTGAGTCCGAGTCGATAGATGTCGTCATCGTTGACCACCTCGAGCGCCCTGTGTGCGGTGGATCCACTCCCTCGTGAGCAGGAGCAGGGCACTAAGCCAAAGCATAGGGGTTATCCGACGCGCTGTGTTATCGAAACCTGCAGGACTTATACACCCCAAGTTCATGGGGTAGCATCAGTGGAAGGGGGGCAAGATTGTACGTGACATCTAGATAGAATATTTCGCTAGCATTCTCTGACATGTCTTGACTCAAGGTCCACAGCCCCGGTCCAGAGCATCAGTGATGCAACTCGATCACGGCTCTGGACCCAGATCGGCCAGATCGGATATGGGCCCATCCGTGGCTGGCCCAGAGCCGCGGTTGGTTGGGACAGAAGTTAGAGCGCCTCCCCCTGCGGACCCGGCATGGCTCGCCGGCAGATTGGTACTATCACGGGAATCGGGGCAAGGGAGGAAAGAGCCAGTCCGCTGCGTGGTACGGTGGCATTTAAAGATTCAAAATAGCCGCCTGGCGAGAGCCAGAAGCATCCCCGGAAGACATCCTTTTGAGTTTGGACACTCAGCTTAACAGAGTTCTCATCAACATCACCCAGTCGGTGGGATGCATCAGTTCAATGGCTTCTTGACACCATCATATCTGGCTTACCTCAGGTACACAATCAGAGCATCGCAGCGCGTTTTCGATCATTCGTCCCTTGTCCCGGTCCGAACTCTAGAACCCTGGAATCGATGGAAAGTGGAGCAGGCTATGTCACTTTCAGATTTCATCATCAATCGATGGCGACTGAAAAGCCATGACGGCCAATTGTCGCTGTTGCCTTGGTCTGCCGGAAACTCCGCTTGGCGTCTTGGCAAAGCTTTGCTTATTCACACCTCACACCTCAACCTGATGGATGTTCGAGGTGCGAGGTAAATACAGCGGGCTTGATGTTGAACAGTGAGACATTTGTGGTCTATATGTCCAGTAGGATTGGATATATCCTATTCGATGTGGAAATAGTAAGGGACAAGAAAAGGGAAATATTGCCTCAGTGGCATGAGCTGCTGATATCAAAGGTATCAATTCTGCTCAGCTTTGTCTTTTCGATCTTCCACCTTGCGTCGTACTCTTGCTGATGTAGGGCGTATTCGAAGATTTCGACGATACCATCAAGCTTCTTGAACTGCTGTGGAAGTAAGCCCGGGAATTGATACGCTGACTTCAGGCGGCGGTTGCCAAGGACGAGGCCTCGCCCTCGCAGATGGTATCCCAGGCCCGCCGTCCAGACCCAGAGTCTTCATCGCCGGGGAAGTGAGGACACTATATCGACAGCTAGACCGGCTCGAGGAGGCGCAGCAGGCGTATGCCGACCAGTACACCATGGCAAAGCAGCTCGGTATGGAGGCCGCCGTATGTCGCGCAACGGGTACCTCGGGATTGTCAACTACCAGCTCGCCTTGCGGGTGCTGGAAGCGGATGGAGATGGCCTAGCGCGCAAGGACAAGGCAAGGGACCTGATTTCATTAGCCATGCAGCAGCTGGAAGAGTCGTCCCAGTTGGCGAACAAGATCAGAACGGCAGCGCCCAAGTGGACTCGCGGACACGAAAAGACAACGAAGTACAGGGAAGCCATCGGCTGGGAATGTATCGGCTATCGCCGCCTCTCACTATGCTATGCTGCGCTTGGCTCCATTGACGCAAATCCACGGACTCGGGAAAGGATGTTCCACAAGGCCGCAAAGCTTTCCGGCAAAGCGGCGCGTGTGGGCAGCTGCATGTCCGCCACCGGATCGAGCGTCCTCCCAATGTGCCAGTTTTTCCGTGGACATGTGTTTCTTATGCAAGGTCAAAAGCAGCTCGCGCTAGAACAGTTCAACCGCGGGCGCCTCCGGGAACACGTCTACCCTAGGAACTTCCTAGACCGGGACTGGGGCATCACGACGACAATGGTTCTGTGCAGAGAGCCGTCCAGGGAACATCGGAAGTCTGCGCGAGGTCATCGATGTCGGCGCGGACCTGGACGTCGCGGACCCGGAGGGTTCCACCGCACTGGACCATGCCGTACTCAGCGGCGATGCCGAGACGAAGGAGACAGTGCTCAAGGGCCTCCGGAGGCAGCTGGCTCTGTCAGAAGATGACCTGGCGGACCGGCGCACCGAGGCACGCTTGCGCAAGGCACATCGCGAGATCTTGCAGGAAAAGCTGAGACCAGTTCTCTATGAGCACAGTAAGGACGCCGACTGCATCAAGGATCTGCGAAGAGCGTATGCCGAGACGCTCGCCGCCGACCCCGAGAAGCGTGCCCTGTTTGACCATCTGAAGTTCATGCGGTACACAGACTTCAAGTGGTTCGGAAGACTGCCGCATTCCAGTGACGGCCTTGCGCAGGCTTTTGTATCGGAACATCTGGGCGGATCTAAAGACGACACGAACTCGGATGCTCTCATCTTCTTCTCCTACCGGTGGATTAATCAGGACCCGGACCGTAACACCCCCGACGGCGCCATCAACACGCAGTACCGGCGGATGATTGATGCTGCCGAGCTTTTTCTGGAGCAGAACCCTTCGGTCAGAGCGGAACGGCTAGGTGTCTGGATGGTAAGTAGAGACAACTTGATGTAAGGTGAGATGAAAAATGAAATTCATGCTAATACTGCTGCTTCGGTATCCAACAGGACTTTGCCTGTGTCGACCAGGACAATCCCGCGACGGGCGTGTCGGCACTCCCCATCGTCACACTGTGTGACGCGGTTTTCAGCCTGGTCGACGACATGTACTACGAGCGTGCTGGGTGCTGCGTCGAGGCCAAGATGATATCGGAACTTACTCCTGAGAGGAGATTTCCGGCGCCATTTTTCTATCAGGTTCAAACCGTACACCGATGGTATGAACACATCCCGGCACCAGAGCCGAGTGGGCACGGCGGGCAAAAATGGATTCTGCAGCCTGCAAGACGAGGGGGGCTGCCCCTGAGGAATAAGAAGCTCACGTTTGAGCGTGACCGGCCTAAAGTTATGTTTCTGGAGAGACAGAGCAGACTCGGGGGGGAAATTCCGTTGTTATTCGAGGGTGGGACGGTTGCATTTGGTGGCCCAACAACTTTACCTTGCCTGAATACTAGGGTGTCAGAATTTCATTTCTTTGGAAGAAAGAAGCAATTTGGGTTTGGTCTGAATGAAGGAGGGAAAGAACTTGCAGCTGGAACTTGAGATTTCCTAACTTGGAAGTTCTCTCAGACTGTCCTCAAGAACCTCAAGTCCTTATGTGGCTCGGGTTAGGGTTCGAAGCAGGATAATCATCAAATCTTGGATTGGGAAGGCACGGCAGGACACAGTGACGACAGTGGTCTCTCCATCAGTGCAGCTCGTGCTGATTTCCAGCCTGGTCTGGCTCTCATCACTCCGCAGCAGCAGACTGGAACCTCGATTGCTGGCAACACCTGAGCTTCGGCAGCCCGCTGACCCAAGAATTCGCCTCGAGTGCCTCGCTGCACAGCGAGGGCAGTAGCAGGGCACCATACCTCCTTTTTCTTTGGGACAGCAAACGACCACTGCAGAAAGCACGTCAGCGATGGCAGGCTACTATCTCTGGGACGCACGACGCGGCGTGACCACCCAAAAAAGGATGTCCGTGACACGGCCCGCCATTGCAACCATCAGCTCGTGCTCTCTTTCCTCGTAGGTTCGACAAATTCTTGTCGCATACCCCCAATTGAGATCCGCCACCGACCTTCATCTGCGGGAGGGCCCCGATATCTCGACGCGTGGCTGACAACGACGACGAGGTAGTAGCGGCATGACCGCGCTGCCAATCACAGGCGGAATGGCCGTCACGAACGGAAGGATGAAACCTATAACGACGACTCCGGTAATGTAACGAGGACACGTCGTCGGATCGGAAGGATGAGGTCGGACTGCCATAGTACGGCTCGGCGTCGCTGGATTAGGCAGCTGCCATCGGCATCCGGGTGAAGCGGATCACAGGCCGGGCTGTCGCACGCCTTCGATATCTCCCCATGGTCGTTGCCAAAGGCATTGGCGGGCTCCGTCGACTTTGCGCCACTTGACCAACGTGTTTCTTCGACGTATGCGCTGCGAGGCAGCTGCCCATGTGCCCTAGCTGCCGTTCGTTTATTAGGCCGGCTGGTGGCATGAGGAATCTGGAAACGGCCGCCAGCTCTCAGAGATGGAAACGCGTGTCACGTCCCGCTTGGCAATCGGGTTGTTCCTCGAGAAGTACTCAAACTTGGGCGTTCGGGTGTGACTCACTTCCGCAACGTGGCCAAGTTGCTCACAGTTCGCAGTCGGTCGAATCGGGCCATGGTGATGAGTGTCCTTCCGGATTGCGCTAGAACCCCACTGTCGCTCCTCCCCCGTTGCAGATCGACGCTCACAGCGACTTCGAAGACATCTGCGTCACTGTCGACCTCTGGGAGCTGACGAAGCCATTCCTCTGGCGCCGGTCAGCTGCTTCTGACCACTTCACTGGCGATAGCACGTCTCTGGTGTGTGTGACAGTGCATTGGATTGGCCTGCCCGTAGCGTGTCATTGGGTTATTACCCCCGGTGTTGGCGGCTCTTCACGTCCCACCCGCCATCCGGCCAGCCAAATGAAGCTGTATCACCTGCTGAATCTGGACCAGCACCGCTGGGTCCGCCGGGCCAAGCTGCGGCGGGGAGCCGATCGGTTTCTTTACAAGTTTACCAGACCCACTGTGAAATGCTCGAATGCACCCGTGGAGTCGGGAGTGGACGGTGGACTGCCGCAGGCGTAGCCGGTGCTGCAGCTGCGGCAATAACTGCGACGCGGCTGTGATGTGAATGACGGTGGTAATAACTCTCTGGATATTATTAGCGATGTCGGCCGGTCTTCACGGCGTTCCAAGCTGCGAGATCTACCAGGCCAGATTCTGCCCGCAGGGGCAGACAGCGACTGAGATCAGCTCTTGGCAAGGGTGTTGCTGCCGTGATTCACCCCCTGGTTAAATTCCCTTGCATTCCCATGCCGAGCCAACTGCTTTTCCTGGCGACACTGCAACGTGGCCGAGGGCTTACACCCTTGTGGCCAACCTCATGCCTGTGCACTTACACGCGTCACTTGATGAGCAGCTTCCCGAATCGTCCACCATGGCGGACGATGGCAACGAGTGCGCCGACGACTGCCCCGCGAAGTCAGCAAAAGCTTGCGCCGAGATCGGAAGTTGCCGATGGCTTCTGCCCTGCTCAAACGGTTTTATTAAGCGCTCAAAATTGTCCCGATTGGCCGTAAGCCATGACGCTCTTTTCATGAGATCCCCGCCGGCGGCGCCATCAAACGAGTCACTGCGCCCTTGCCGTTCGGCGCCGATGCGGCTCAACGGCACATCACGGCATCACGCACTTCGCAGGTATTGTTTCTTTATATCTTGCCGTCTCACACCGGTGGCGGGCCGCTGGCGCAGTGCCTGCACGCCGTTTCAACGCAGGGTGGAGCGCATGCAGCAGCAGGTCACCTCCATGCTGAACCGAGCTCCGTGCCGAGTCTTCGAGCTCCCGTCATGACGTCGCCCTCACCGAACCTAACGGGTGGCCCATGGCCAGCCGCAACGGAAACCCCGAGTCAGCTCCGGCGATCCCTGGAGAAGCTTCCCAGCGAGCTGCTGCAGCACATCGCCGAGGGTCTCGTTCCCGCGCGTCCGCTTACCACCCGTTTTGCTCTCCGGCCTTCCGGTACTTGGGAGTTCCGCACAGCCGCCGGCCAGTGGTCGGACTGGCTCGCCGCCCAAAATGGCCTGCTGTCCTTTGCACAGGCTTCGCGGCGCATGGCGGCGATCGCCAGGCCCCTCCTTTACCACACAGTCGTCATAGGTACACCCGGCGCTTTGGTCAGACTTCTGCTTCGCATCCGCGAGCGTGAAGAGATTGAGCTGTGGATTCGCAGCATTACCTGTCTTGTGAACGTTGCCAGCAGCGCCACCATGGATGAAGTGGATCGTGAGTGCCAAAGACAGGCCGCAGGTAGGACCATTGCGCAATCTCGGGCCCATGGGGCAGCTGTCCGCTGACTAGCAGAGGCAGTGAAGCTCAGAACAGTCGACTTCACTAGTAACCCTTTGGAAATCCTCCAGGACATACTTCTGCGTGCGCGAAATCTGCAGGACTTTCTTCTCGCGTCCCCGGACCGCGAGCCCGATCATGAACCTCCAGACCTAATGGACCAGGAGTTTCAAGACGCCATCTTCGCCGCAAACTCAAGGGAGACCATAACTTCACTCCTCAACAGTGCTTTTCGCCTCTACCCTTTCTGGACGAAGCGTAGCCTAACCTCTTTGCGCATCTACTGCCACAGAGAGCGGCTCAATCGCGAGCAAACCCTCTCCATCCTGTTAGCCGACTTTGTTGTTGAACAACTCCCGCAACTGACGCATCTGAAGACGTTGGAGCTGTGCGGCGCGTCCGCCGTTCCTCTCAGCACACACAACGAATTTCCTTTTCCCCCTTTACCGCACATCGAACACCTACGCCTATTTGGCAGCCAGATCCACGAGCCGAGGCTCGTCGAACTTTGTCTAGCCTGCGTCAATTTGCAGACGCTGATGGTGCACTTCGAGGAGAGCTCCACCGACGCGGACAGGGACTTGCTGCCCGAAGGCAAGACGCTCAACGATGCGCTTGTCGGGCTCGCAGGATCATTGCGCACGCTCGAGTTGATCTCGCTATCCGAGGGACACTACCTGACCCGGGGGAGGGAACGGCCGAGGAAACCGGAGAACCACCGACTGCGGTGCATCCCCGAGCTTACACGCCTCGAGACGCTGACGCTGGACTACCGGGGCGTCTTTGGCACGCTGGGCATTCTGGAGGAAGATGACGGCGAGCGGCTATGCCAGCTCCTTCCGCCTTCTGTGCGCGATTTCACTTTAGTCTGCGAGTGGGGGACCGCCAGAGACTGGAAGCAGAGCTACCTTGCCAACCTCGACATGGTGCTGCACGGCGTCGAGTGTCTCTGCGCCAGCAAAGCGCATCGCTTGTCGAGCATCTCGCTTGCGATCCACTCCTGGCCGGCCGAGGACAAGGAACATCGCTTCCACAAGCGCTTCATACGGGAGGTGGAAAAGGCGAGACTGCGCTGCGCAACGGCTGGCATCAAGTTCACAACCTGCGACCTGTATCCGTCGTATCAGGACGAAGACGAAATGGCACTCGAAGCAGCACTCGGAGAAGAGGACGATGCCGACGATTATGATATTGATGATGAAGTAGACATGACGGATCTCGATGAAGAGGAGGAACAGGAAGGGGCCGGGATGGAAGAAATCGGCCGCATGCCAGCAGCGGATGTCGTCGAGCTTGAAGAGGAAGACGAGGCTTCCGAGTACTACGTCACAGACGAGGAGGAGTCGGATCCCGAGAGAGCGGCGCGGCGGCCGCCCACCTTCAACGCCTTTCTACAGCGTCTGGGCGAGGATCACGGGTATGACCTAGACGAGCTCCTCTATGCCTACCATGAAGACCGGTGGGACGAGTATCTCTTCGACTGAAATTGCGGCATTCCGTGGGTCTAGCTGTTTGTCCTGCCAACCGGAGTGGCCAAAGCAGACACTTTTGGGATGGCGCACGCAGCAATATAGGTCCGACTCGAATTTAAACGCCGCAATACCCTTTTGCTTTAGACCCACCGCCTGAAGCGGTTCTTCACTGGGCGAGAGCATGGCGCCCAACAAACCTCGGTCCATTTTGGGTATCGAACTCGAGCTACGGGTTGTGAAGGGCTCGCGGCTTCCTACCCAGTCATGGCGCTGCAAGTATGGAGATTCACAAGGTTGTGGTCATTTCCCCAAGCGCCGTGTGAAGTGATGAAGCCAGAGAGTACCAGAGTTTCCGATAAATGCAAACTGACAGTGAAGCACAACCCTCCAACATTCAAGCGAGACTGAATCGGGGAGGTGTGTGGCGCGGGCTTTTAACTGCCGGCAGGAGTCGGGAGGAGATGCATGCATCAGCTATGGAAGACATTCTGATTGTCCTCTCTGGGGTTTATTAAGACTCCTGGATTGTACGACGCGACGGGCACTACCGAGCCGCCTCCCGCACACTCCCCTGCTTTGTGCCTCAGCCGAATGTGTTCATGATATACGGGCGGTTAAATACAACCCATAACACACGGCAGGAATGGCCTGGCTCTCCCCATTCAAGCAACCATAGCACCAAACGTGGCATCCCGTTCAGATTGAGCCACCACTCGATTGCCGAACATGATAACAATGCAGGACCCAACTCACCATCGCCGTTCGCTCTTCTGCCGGCCCATCCCAGCCTGTCGCGATGACGCCACACTGCCCTTGATGGCAGTGCTGCGGCCGGAACTTCCACTCCACGAATATGAGCGGAACTCGAATCAGTTTTTCTGCCTTGTCCGTCTCGGCCCTTTCATATCGAAAGTGCATCTGCCGTTTGTCCCATCCACCAACCCACATTAATACTAGTAACACGTCGCAATGCCGGCCTTAACGACGCGGTATCGGGAATGAAACGAACTAGCATGCAAAAAGCTTGATCCTGCACTCCACAATCGCCCCATGCAGCATAGCCTTCCTCCAGGCCTCCCAATACCGGGACGGCAAAGCAAGATTACTTGTAGTAGTACTTGTAGCCATCCACGGCCAGGCACCTTGCTCATCCGCATGCAAACAGCAACGGCTTGGCTGCCGGGAAGCGGACAACAAAAGCCATCACTAGGAGTAGCGCTGGTCACGGTTCACCGTCCAGCTCGATACAGCAGCTGCGTTTCGTTGGATCAACCGCCATGCCAACAGACCCGTCCATACGGGCTCTCGTCCTCGTGGTCGCCTCGGCCTCTCTGGTCGCGGTGGCCCGAGGGGCGTACCCGCTGACGACCGACTCCAACTGCCACTGCTTCAAGACCAACGCCACGGCGTCCCACTACTTCGCGCACCACCAGTTCTTCGACTTCCGGTCGCTCTGGCAGGACTTCAAGGTGCCCAAGCCGATCGACGACTTCAACGCCAGCGCGCAGGCAGCGCCGCCGAGCGCCTTCTTCACGCACTCCAAGTTCGCCAACGCCTGGGCCATCATGAACTGGGACAACACGGCGCTCATGGGGCTCAACAACAGCGACGTCAACGACGCGACCGTCAAGATGGTCAACAGCCCCAACAACGTCTACATCGACCAGGACTCGGGCCAGACGCACCTGACGCTGCGCACCGTCCGCCACGCCGCCTTTCAGTCGGCCGCCGAGATCGAGTCGACCAGCACGGGCTACCACTTCCTCTCAGTGCGCATGCGCGCCCGCACCAAGGGCAGCCCGGGCGCCGTGACCGCCATGTTCACCTACCGCCCGCCGCCGTCGCCGCAGAATCAGTCGCTCGTGCAGGAAGCCGACCTGGAGATCCTGACCCGCGATCCGCCGGCTTATGTGCAGTACACCAACCAGCCGGCTTGGAACGCCACCAGCGACATCCCCGACGCCACGCGCAACGTGACACTCCCCGGAGGCAGGCGCTGGACCGACTGGGCCGACTACCGGATGGACTGGACCCCGGGCAGCAGCACCTGGTTCGTCAACGGCCAGCAGGTGAGCCGCATCAACTTCCAGGCGCCGCGCGACCCGGCGCAGGTCATCTTCAACGCGTGGAGCGACGGCGGCAGCTGGTCGGGCGAGATGGCCGTCGGGACCGAGGCGTACCTGCAGATCCGCTGGATCGAGATGGTGTACAACAGCACCACCGATCACGGCGGTGGGAAACAACCTACTCCAAGTACTAGTACCAGTAGTAGTGGGAAGAAATGCGCCAATATGTGCAGCATCGACGAGACCAGCCAGATCGGCACCCCCGTGTTGCTCGTGCCGTCCTCCGGATCGGGAGGTGGGTATTACCCGTCCTACTACTACTACTGTACTGCTGCGGGCGCCTTCCGCTCCGCGTCGTGGTGGTCGTGGTTCGTGCTGACGGCGTGTCGTCTTGCCGGCGTCTTGTAGGCTCGCAGCCGCAGCCCGGCAACAGTTGTGCGTCGGCCAAGTATGGGCAGTGCGCGGGGAAGAATTGGAATGGCTGTCAGAGCTGTGCGGCTGGGTCGACGTGTCGCTATCAGAATGAGTATTACTCGCAGTGTCTTTGAGTGCTGTGCCGTTTTCTTTACTTTTAGTTCGTTTGGGAGTCGTCCTTCTGTTTTGGTTGGAACTACTGGTTTACTAGTACTACCGAAAGTGCAAGTCATATCCCTTGAACGATGGTCTTCTGGCGCGGTTGTAGCGAAATTCTCTAGGATTACTATACCGTATGAGCGGTATTGCTATGCCACTATTCAAAGGCCATTATTCCTTAGTGTTCGTTCTCCATCAAGCACGTCGAAATTCGGACTTGGAAATTCCCATGTGGTTGTCATGATGAAGGCACCTCAGATCGAATCCCAGCGGCAACCAGGGTGTTTGCTCTCCCTTCCCAAGGCTACACTGAACTTGCAAGGCACCTCAGCTTTGATGTGGCAGGCGGCTTTGACGGGGAGCTTTGACAGGAGGACACTTTGAGATGGGTCAGGGACGGGCGCTTGGATTAGAGTATATGACCAACCTCTCTCGACCCCATCATCCTACCATCCCTTGAGAACAATATCCTAATCGCCCGAATCCCCGTCCCGCTTACGCTTTTGCCCTAAGACTGATTGGACATCCTTCATGTTTCCGGCCTCATGCGCCTTCCCACAGCAATCTGTGGTGACTGCCCAGATGAGTCGCCGTGCCAGGGACTGATACGGCTTGGCTGGGATAAGCCCAATGATAGATGTCCAGCTCCGAGTCTGGTTGTGATTCCTGACTCGGGAAGTCCAGCTTGTCGAGAAAGGAAGCTTTCACGTGGGCAACGTATAGATTAAGTGGCATCGGACGCTTCCCGTAGGTGGGGAAGAGGTGTACCTGGGGAGCCACCACGAGGCTGGTCAGCTAGGTATTTGATGCATTGGAACCCGTAGCCTGGCATGCCACGCATGGCCGGGCGCGGATCTATGAAGGTAGGTGCGGAAAGGATGAATAGAACGGCTAGGAAACTTACTGTGAAAGTGGCCGGAGGTGGGGCACCTGACGCCTCCCGCCGCTGCCGCCGAGCTATCGCAATGACGAGCGCAACGAGGTAAGGGTCTCTCTGCGGATCGGGCGAGGTATAGCGTTCCACAACGAGGCGTTGGCGCTCCGGTCCTGAACCATCATACCTCCGTGGCCGCGGCCTGAGGAAGTCTAGTCGACGTCGTTCAAGCTCATTGATATCAAAGCAATCGAATTCTAGTTCCTGGGTACCAACACACCACGGCGTTTTGTAGTCTGCGAATGCATGGCAATATCCGAGAGTGGCACGCGAGGGTTGGTTGTTGAAGTATAGAGGGGTCTCACAGCTTGGTTGTGTTTTGCAAGCTAAGGCGAGGTCATAAGGATAGAAAGAAAATGTAAGGTGATGGAATACGTACTCGGGGCTTAATCCAGCGTCCCCAGTGACGGAGGCGAGGAGATCTTGGACAGTGCGAGTCCATTTGTCTCACACCATTCGGCGGGTTAATAGACGGGCGAGACGGCGCCCTTGATTCTGATCAGGGCTCGGCCAGGGAACGGGTACCTTCTCGATAGGTGGTAAGTCGGTTTCCTTGGGCGCTGCCTCGCCACAGTCGTGAATGCGGCATCGCAGGAGGGTAAGGTGTCGGTCGGTCCAACACAGTGGATGCACGAACAGCCGGTCGTTGGAATGCAGGGCGATGAGGCGATTGGTTGATAGGGACGGCGTTGCATCTGAGCAATTCTCGCGAGAATCGGCTTGCGCGCTTTCGTCTGGGATGTGCATGTTCGAAGACGTGTCGACGGGCATAACAAGCAATGCGTGAACTGGTTGTGGTGGGTAGAGTTTCTGGTTCATGGAAATGTAAAACAGGGCCAGTGACTTTGCAAGCGAATAAGGAACGAGTTGAGGTAGGTGGCACTTGATACTGTGGAGACCGAGTCATTCGGTCACAATCAGTTGTACGGAGCATGGGGCCAAAAGTGTTCACCATTTTCTGTTAGCGCCCGCAGTGCCAAGCCCACCTGCACAGTAAGTGAGCACGGCGGGTTGGCTCTAATAGGGGTTAGGGTCATACACGTATAACGTATCTTATAAGCGAGATGAACATATCAGCGAGTTGAACACTTGCCACCATACTATAACAGTCAAATACAATTACAACACAACAACATTATGAACCTACTATAATTACATCAGAAACGGCTGAATCAGATGCTTCTGCAACCTCCTGGCAAGTGCGGGCATTATGACCAGGCTTGCCGCATACACCACAGCACCGAACCTTCGTACGAGCCCCCCCCTGCACCACCACCATCCGGCTGCATTTCTTGTGCCACCTCCCCAACCACAGCCTTTTGGTCTAGTAGATCCTTTGCATCTTCTACTGCAAGTGATCCTCCAAGCTGTATACGCGTTCTTTTGGCTCTTCGGCGCTTGCTTAGCGCCTCGTTGGTGTGACGAAACCACAGGCAGTCCTGCCTCTGAAAGGGTTCGCCGGTCGAAGGTACTGCTGGTCGGACTGTAGGTCTCGGTGAAGCCGAAAGGTTCACAACAATGCAAGTCGCAATGTCTGCACAGTAGGTAAAGGCTACTGCTTGAATTGCTCACTGGAGAACTCCCAGAGTCCTCCAGAACGAGTGACTATATACTGCCTATCCTTGGGTGCTCTCATATGCTCTATAGAGCTCCCTAGAGCTTGGTGCTCTGTTGGCTCCATCGAGAGCTTCCATCCCTTCATGCTGATTGGCTTGGTGCCTTGAGCTCTCGCCTGCTCTCTAGAGCTCCCTAGAGCTCCTTCTCATTGGTCCTAAACGATTGGTTCGGGTGCGTCCTACGCCACCCGTCGGGTTGTCCCACCTGCAGCTGTTCTGTTGGCTTAATTCGTGACAGTTGGCCTTGCGGAGCGAAGACACCTCTGCCTGAAGGAGGGCCACCTGGTGCATTATAGCTATCGTACCCTTGGTAAGCTGGTCCACAGCAGCCAACATTGAAGTCGGGGAGCTATTTTGATGGTTGGCAATGCGAGTCTTGATGAGCGTTGACTGTGAGTTGGCTTCTCAGGGGTTGTATGGTGTCTGGAAGACCTAAGATTGTGCAGTGCCCGGCCGTGTGGTTGGGGGTGTTGGTATACGAAGCTTGATATCTAGCTTTGAAAGTACCCTCTCTGGATCGTACGGTACAAGGCCAGCCCCTATAAAACCGCCCTGTATATTCCTCTTAGTGATAGAGGCATAGAAGGCTGTGCGAAAGGCACAAAGGAACTCGAGCTTGCTTACGTGGTTGATATACGCGCGTATCAAGTCCTCGATCTGGCGATCGTACACCTGCTTCAACGGCCCAAAGCAGCCAACATCAAGTGGCCGGAGGAGGTGGGAGGAATATGGAGGCCTGCAGAGCGTGATAATGTTGTTCTGCTGGCAGTAGAGCTCGAACTCGGTCGAGTGGTGGCTTTCGTGGCCATCGAGGATCAACAACCGGTATTTGCCCTTTATCCGAGGCGCTATATGGTAGTCGAAGTGCTTGATCCAATCAAGGCCTACTACATTGGTAGTCCAGCCATTGTCGGTGGTTGCAATGCGCCAGTCGGCCAGGAGGTTGCACTCGGTATACCAGTTGGCGAGGTGGTATTGCGCCGCTAAGATGATGAACGGAGGGATAGCCCAGCCAAGGGCATTGACGCCTTGGATTATGGTCGCCCATTTGCGGTTGCCAGGCTGGGCTAGCTTCGCCTTGCCACGGCCATCCGAGGTTGTAACCACCATGCCTAGGAAGATGATGCCCATTATAAACCCAGTCTCGTCGAAGTTGTAGATATCGTCATCTACGATACCGTACTTGGCCTTAACGTTCCGTATAAGGGTAAACCATTCGCCAATGACCTTTGGATCCTCGCATTTGGCCCTCTGGTAGTCGTATCTACGCGTATAACACATCCGGAGCTCTGGCTGGCGTTTGACGAAGTTATACACCCAGAGCTTACCGACAGGGGGCGCGTCGCGTACGCATAGCAGTTGGTTGGCCATATCTTCCACACCACGTAGTCTCGGGGGAAAGGCTCGCTCAGATAGTCTTCGGAATCGGTGAGCCGGCGCGAGTTGGGCGTAGTGTCGCGTCGTGCAGGCTTGCCGTCGCGTCGGTTTCGGATGGTATTGACTATGACGTTATAGATCTTTGCTGCGGCTCGAAGACTAAGTTTTGGGTTCTTTTGAATAGCTTCAAGGGCTAAGATTACCCTAGATTCTCTTGAAGCCGAAGACATCGTTGGGTATAGAGGATTTTGGTTGTGGTATGGAGAGAAGACGCGTCGCGGTCAAAGTGTTCAATTCGCTTATATGTTCATCTCGCTTATAAGATACGTTATAGAAAACAATTATTTTCCATATCACTAGAATCGCCATTGACAGAGCTACTAATCTATAGCATTCTGTTATGATCAATGAGTGTGGAATTTGGCCTAGTTGCATATAATACGATGACGAACCAAGTCCTCACCCGCTGACCACCTGTAGCCCCTCAATCTAGCCTATGACTACCATACCGTTCATTTCGTCGCTAATCAAAAGTCCACAATCATGTTTAGGGCTCTCCGCCGCCGTCCCGACTCCTCTACGTGGGTTCCCGGTAGTCGCTTTCACGGCCTTTTGTCCCTCCCCGGCGGCCATATCCGAAAACGGAGTATGAAAGGAAAACATAAAGCATGGCGAGAAAGGAGACAAAGTGAGAGAAGAGGAAAAGAAAGGGGAAAGATGAAGATGAAGAAAAGGACGAAGAAGAGGACGAAGAAACAGCATAAGTCGCTCTCTGTTCATCATTCCTCCCTGTCTCCTCTATTCCTATTCCTTTTGAGCACTCCAACAGTTGAGACCGGTTTGTTGGCCGAAACGATCTCTCGCGACGTCCGCCGATAAACCTTACTGGGAGGGGGGCGAGGTAGCCTGAGTCTGACGACGAACCAGAGCCACGATGTTCCCAATGGCGTTTTTACGCCCGCTGGGACTTCTCAAGTCAAACCAGGGTGTTGCGCGGAGTTCGATTAAATATTTCATTTGCTCGCTGGTCTCCAGGGATGTGACGTAAGACTCCGGTACCGTGAACTGGAGAAAGCGCATATATCTTCGCGCCGCGGCGATGACGAAGACACTGACCAAGGGGAACCGTTAGTTGACTAAGATGAGGGAGCCATGGGAAAGCCAGATGCAGGAGTAACTCACGTATCATCTCACCTATCACTGTCCTTCGATGTGAGCCGGTACGCAACGGCCTCACACGTCATCTGGCTGAGGACGTCATCCGTTAATTGCGCCTTCCCGTCGCTGCCGCGAAGATGATTCTTGGCCTCCAGAAGCGCTGGCCGGTGACTGATTGGCTTGTATCGGCCCCCGTCCTGGAGTTCGCGCATGACTAGTTCTCCGTCGGTGGTAGCGCGAGCCCAAGCTCCCGTGGCCAAAATTTGGCCACTCATTTCCGTGCGGCGGCCGAGAACTCGACCAGATACTCAGATTTATGCTCTGCAACGTTATCCTGGGGTGGGCAGTTCCGCAGAACGTGCCGGAGAAACTTGGATGCGATGTCAAGGGTAGCCTGCTCGGGGAGGGCTTCGGAATCAGCAACCGAGGGGACATAGCCTGGAGTGCCATCGGAAGAGGGTTGAGAGGGCGGGCTTGACAGCTGCTCGCCGGTTACGTATTCAGGATGCTGCGTCGTTGTTCGCACTCGCTTGGTGCGGATCGGGACAGAGGTCGATGCTTCGGACTCTCCGGATTCCGAACTAAGTTGCCGCTTGCGGGCGTTGCTGGTACCCTCGTCGTCGGACTCTCCGTCGTTGTCCGGGACAGGGTCATCAAACTTGGCCAGACTAGCGAAGAAAAGACCGACCATAGAGCCATACCTCTGTACAAGCTCGGTTTCGGTGAGGTCTCGCCGGTCGTCGGCCTGTTACAAGAGCGCCTTCAGCTCGCCGTGATGCAGGGCCTCAGAATTAATGCAGTAGGCCTCAAGAGCGGGTAATACAGGGCTGGCCGATGCAGTCCGAATGATAAGGCGCGCAGAGAAAAGTTGACTTCTTGTCCAACGGCTGCCTGAGAACATCCTTTCGGGTCTGACTTGGCTTATGGCCTTCTCATTCAAGGGATGGCCCCGCATGAACGCTGACCGGCTGGTAATCGTGTCGAAGTAAGAAGAAGCCATTTGCCGTTACCGAGGATGATGGTGAAAAGATGAATTTCAGGACCCCGAGTTGAGAACAAGAATGAAAAGTCGGTCGAATTGTTAAGGTCGCATGTGTGCGCGAAACAATGGAGCTCACAGAAACTTAGACATGTTGCGGGGGCCATACATAATCGCATTTTCCTTGAGGTTCTCAGCATGGGAGCCGGTTTCCGTTTTGGGGATCGTAACAAGACATGGCTGTCGCTTTCGACATTGATATGGAGGTACTTAGGTACCTAGCTAGGTAGACTGTACCTTTGTGTACCTAGACTGCACCCTGCCCGACGGTCAAAAGCGCCATGCGTCGATTCTAGCCGAGTGTTTTCGAATGGTAGGTACCTACCTGGTATTCAAGAAGTCAAGAAGATGAAAGGGGTAAAACCACAAGAAGGAAAGCAAGAAAGGTGAGATAGGGGGAAGGAGGTAATACAAAGAGACAAAGATGAGATCGACTAGGAAGAAAACGGAAGAGGAAGAGGTACAAGTAGATACTGGGAAGATGAAAATGCATGAGCAGCCTTCCGCATGGCCCGGAGGGGGAAGAAGGATTAGGAGGAGGAGAAAATGGAATAGGAATAGTGTTTCTGAGTTCGACAGCTGTGTCAGTCTTGAAATGAGCGCGGAGCGCCACAGTAATTTTCAGCGGGAGGCGCAGGTACCTTGAGGTCCCGGAAAGGGTCCAAGAGGCTAGTATTCCGAACAGTGAAGCTTAGATACACGGGATATATAAGCAATGCAACGTGAAGACTTATTCATATATCATGCGTCCATGCCTTTCCTGGTCTGTATTACATCACGCGCCTTCAGCCTTAATGCCGGGGGTTTCAACAGGCCATTCAAAGAACTTTCCGATTTTATCACGGAACCCAGCCAGCTGCCAGTCTATCAATGTGACCATTGCCCCCGGTTGTGGGCGAAGGCGCTCGTTCAACTGATGCGCAGGGCCAATAATTCCCCATCGCATGGCAACTTCTTTGACTTTGTGAAAGGGAAGAGGAAGAAAACATTCGGTCGGTTTGTAAAGGAAATAGTACATCATCTGAATTACTTAGGAAGGACCGCTTTGTTTCAGTACTAGAACCCGGACAAAAAGGAGGCCAGTAAGGTACTTATCGCGCTATCGTCTTTCTGTTGTGTTGGATAAGTCTCTTTGGAGTCTTTGGGGTATTCGATTCCATTTACGCATCCCATCCCAGTGCTTGATTTAGAAGCTATTATTCCTCATACCCAAGTCCCGGGTAACTATTACTGACCTAGACAAACTCGTCCGCTCTGTCTGTGAGATATATCACGTGGCACTCCGACTTTGGGATGTCCTCAAGTCCCGACGAGATGAAGTGGGGGATACAGACAGAGGCCGGAACGGTCAACACAGTCCAGGTAGGCCATGATTCGGCCCACAACGACGACCGACCTGATATTCCTTGATAGCTCGGCAGCGCCAGGCAGCAAGCATGGAGAGTCAAGCAAAGTTGACAGAACATTGAATCATCTCGTACGCTGTATTGTGTACTGGCCCAAGCTACTACTAGTACCTAGGCTTTGATGGCATGCCCTTGTTGAAAGGCACAGATAGCGCATACACACCAACTAGTAATTCCCAGCGGATGAGCAGCAACCGGCAGCTGGGCACAATGGGACTCAAGTACAACAAACCGCTCAGACCATACAGTGTCACAGCCCCATACGCTAGTCCCCGCCTCGCAGTCACTGGACGAGGTAGTGGTCGAACCAGGTGACAGCCTGGTAGAAGGCCTGCTCCTTGGCAAACCTCTGGACCTTGACCTGTGGGTCGCCGCGCACGGCAAACCCGTGCTCGACGCCCGAGAAGAGGTTGATCTGGTAGGGCTTACCAGTCTCCTTGAGGATCTCCTCGGACCGGTGGCGCTTCTCGTTGGGGAAGATGGAGTCGGTCTCAGCCGCCGAGATGGCCAGCGGGCCCGTGATGGCCGAGAGCTCGTCATCGTCAATGAAGGACGGGTGCGCGACGTAGCCGACGTCGATCCCATCCTTATAGTGTCGCACAACGTACTATTTAGACAACCCCACAAATGTTAGCCGGATTCGCCCCCCGCTGTTTATGCGAGTCAAGTCAAGCTAGGCATACCTTGGCTCCGAAGCAGTACCCCACGGCGCCAAGCTTCTTGACTCCGTACTCCTCTTTCAGCGCCTTGATGCCATCCACGACGATGGGGTCGACCGCCTCCTTGGTGTGCGGGTTGTTTCCATCGCTGCCCTTGGCGATCCAGTCCATGATGTTGAAGCCTGCGGGCTTGGGTCCGAGCGAGAGCGGGTCGCCGTTGAAGGTGTCGAGCAGAAGGGTGAGGTAGCCGTTCGCCGCGAACTGGTCGGCAATGAGCTTGCTGTTCTGCCAGATGCCAATGACATCCGGGCAGATCAGGATGCCGACTCCCTCGTGGGCCTTGTCGGCGGGCGGCGTTGCGAGGTAGCCATCGTGCTTGTTGGCCACTTTGACCATCTTGCCCGTTGGCTCACCACTGGAGTTGGGCAACCTGTCAGTGACGCCTTTCCGGGCCGTTGACATCTAGAGCTATGTCACCTACTCGTGCTTGACCCCGATGGTGCAGCATTTTCCAGGGGGGTACGAAGCCATGGTGGTCTTGAAGATTGTGGGGGGCGAAAGCTGCTGTTTGAGAGACCAGAAACGATGGGCGTCAGTCTGTGATGGCAGAATTCGAAGAGGACGGGTCGGGAATTGAGTGGAGAATTGGGATATGCGCTTTGTAGGATGCGTGTGGTATGGAAGAGAGAACCTTCTCGATCAGCAACGGAACTTTATTTAGCTCTTAAGTGAGGCCCGACTTGGATTGGTGCTCGTCCAGAATCTGATCGGTGTCCCGGGTGTACATTAATGTAACCCCTCCACTCATGCCCCTCCATGCCCCTCAATTTACACGGCAACGCGCCGAAACCCCACCTCCAGCATTGAGGTGAGCTCCTGGACAAATCAAAGGCGGCATTGCAGTGGTGTTAGGCAGCACCAAGGTACCGAAGGGTGCAGGCTGCTGCACTTCGGTCCCGGATTGCGTTCTCACGCGTAAACACATGACTGGCCTGGTTCTCTGGAGTCCTGGACGGGCCGCTCACAGAGGCCGGTGTGGTAACACTGTGGTTTCGCGGTGACGTAGGTAGTCCAGGACCTAATGTCCCGCCTGGTCAGCAAAACACTTTAGCATGCGCAGGATACCATGCAATACCGGCGGCGTTGGACACGCAGAACATAAGAATAACGAAGATCACGAAGCCGAGAAACCCTGATAAAACCCGCCGACAAGGTTCGATGCCGGTGCTACTCAACGGCAGTTCCTGGGACGGCTCATCATACTCCACAACGCTGGAGCTACAGCCCCACAGTCTGAGTTGAAAAGTACGCTCTCTTGGGCTCTTTGATCTCGGAAATCGGGTAGCATTAGCCATTCACTCTCCAAGGAAGCATTTCAGTGTCATAGCACCCTCAGGGTATGTGGCTAGGTAAGTATCTCGAGTAATGGACTTGAGTCAGTCAAGAACGGCTTTCTGAAGAGAACACTGTCCCTTTATCTGGGCCGCGGAAGCACCCGCAGTCGGGAAGGTGGAGAAGGTGTCGGCCAAGCTCACGCCAAGCCGGATATGCGTGTCATTTCGAATTGACGCCGACATCGAGCTGTCCTTTGTGCATCATCATCTTCAATCGGTGGACAACGGCTTGACTTTCGGTTCTTGACCACCAGCCACAAGTGTCAGTGATGTTGTAGCTTAGCCGCCGTACGGACCATGGAGAGCACAGTGCGGAGCGGCGGGGAGGAGCCGTCCGCAGCCGCTGTCGAAAGCTCCAGGGCTTCCGCCACTTCTCCCGGAGAGAAAACTGACCAAGACGGTCGCAGCACAAGAAAGACGAGGGATTCACAATGGAAGGCCGATCGCCTTCCCTCTCCGGTCTTGACGCCGAACAACGGCTTTCCAAAACCTGCTGCGGAATCTCAGGCGCCAGGAGAGCGAACTGTCGCCAGTTCGACCCAGGGCGTCCCGACCCCCGATCCGTCAAGCGACAGCCAGAGCGACGTCGAACCCTCCAACAAACCTCCGTCGGCTAACTCCAATGGCGTCGCGAAGGACCCCAACATCAGCGTCGGCAAGACCCGCAGCAGGTCCAACACGAAATCGAGCCACCCCGATACCGTCCGGCGCCTCTCGGCATCCAAGATACAGGAATTGACCGCCGCCCGCGAGTCACTACCGGTCGCCGCCATTCCGGGTCGCAGAACGGACGATGCACCATTGACAGCCGGCGTCGTCGAGACAAGCAGAAGACTTTCGAGGGCCACAGAGGAGGGCACAATTTCCGGGTCTATGCCGGGGCGCCCAGTGGTCAATACGCGGACGTTATCCACGCCACCCATGGGTAGACAGCCGACCGCTCGGCAGCCGTCCCGCCGCAACTCGTTCCAGCCAGCCCCGCGGCCGCCTCCGCTCGAGCTCGACAGCCACGGCAACCACCCGCCGGCGACAAACAAAGCCGATGCACCAGCTCGGAACGACAAGATCGAACCCACCCCTCCGTCCCCAATCCCGCCTTCGATCCCGCTCCCGCCGATGTCCATCCCGACCCTGCTGCAGCTGGAACTTGCTGGCCAGCGGCCGAGTCCGCTCTACATCCACCACTCGTACACCAGCGACATACCATACGAGTCGAGCGCTGTCAAGTTTGAGCGGCTCAAGAACTTTTTGTTCCTGCCTATGTGCCTCGAACGCGTCATGGTGTTTGGGGCCGCGGCGTGCTTCGACGCCTGGCTGTGGACCTTCACCGTGCTGCCGATGCGCTTCTGCATCGCCGCGTCCGTGCTGGTGCGCTGGTGGGCCTATGTCGTCGGCAAGGAGATCAAGTGGCTGGTCGGCTTCGTGTGGTATGGGATGGGACGGCTGTGGAAGCGCGGACGCCGAGGCCGTTCGGTGTTGCCGAGCGGGTCCGAGAATCGAGCCGATGATTCTAGAAGTCGAAGTAGGGCACGAGACGGTGGTGCTGATGGCACTGGCTATGCCACCGCCTGGGCGGCCCACACTGGGGCGGACGCGACACCTCGTTTCCCGGGAGCTGGAGGCAGTGCTTCCTCTCAGAAACCAGGCGCTCGGGCGACGGGAACGTTCCGGCACCGCCGGACGAAGTCGAGCCCGTCCAACCTGACCTCTTTCCACAAGGCCGATCTGCTTCAGGGCGCCATCATCATCTGCAGCTCCATGGCTCTCATGAGCCTGGACGCCAGCCGCACGTACCACTCCATCCGCGCCCAATCGGCCATCAAGCTGTACGCCATTTACAACCTGCTCGAGGTTGGCGACAGGTTGCTGTCTGCACTCGGCCAGGACGTGTTTGAGTGTCTCTTCAGCACAGAGACGCTGTCGAGGAACAGCCTGGGCCGCTCGAAGGTGATGCTACCGCTGGGCATGTTCGTGCTCGCGCTCGCGTATAACGTTCTGCACTCCGTCATCCTCTTCTACCAAGCCATTACGCTCAACGTCGCCGTAAATTCGTACTCCAATGCCCTCTTGACCCTCCTGTTGTCGAACCAATTCGTCGAGATCAAGAGCACCGTGTTCAAGCGCTTCGAGAAGGAAAACACGTTCCAGCTCACCTGCGCCGACATCGTCGAGCGCTTCCAGCTCTGGATCATACTGATCGTCATCGGCATGCGCAACATCGTCGAGGTAGGAGGGCTGTCGGTGCCCGGCGCCGGGAGCGAGGACGGCGGGTCGACCAGCATGCCGCTGCATACGACGTCCAATTTGCCCGCCAGCTTCACCATCTTGCCGTCGTGGCTGTGGTCGGGCGAGGTGCTCTCTCCGTTCATCGTGGTCATCGGCAGCGAGATGGTGGTCGACTGGATCAAGCATGCCTACGTCAACAAATTCAACAACATCAAGCCGACGTTTTACGGGAGGATACTCGACATTCTCTGCAAGGACTACTACACCAATGTAAGCTTCATGTCGCGGCCCGAACCACTGATTTTAGATGAGGATTGCTCATTCATGACAGGCCTTTGTAACCCCGTCCCTGACTCGCCGCCTGGGCGTCCCGCTCCTCCCGCTGTCCTGCTTCTTCATCCGCGCCTCGGTGCAAATCTACAACATGTTCCTGGCCGCCCACCTCCCCACCCCGCTTCCGCCGTCCACGCAAACCTCCCTCTCCGCCGACTCCGCCACACCCTCGCCCGCGATGCTCGCCGCCCTGGACCGGATCGACAACCTCATCCGCAACGCACTGGGCCGCTCTGTCTTCGGTTACCCCTACGCCGAATACATCTCGGACAACGCCACCGGCGCAGCTGCTTCCGCTTCCTCCACCCCGTCCTCCTTCCTTCTCCGAGCATGGAACCGTCTCCCCTGGACGTCCGACGACGCCATCGCCGCACTGACCATGGTGGTCGTCTTCGGCCTCGTCTTCCTTGTCCTGCTGCTGGTCAAGCTACTGCTGGGCATGGTCCTGCTGCGGTACGCGCGCCATCGGTACGCGCGCATGAAGCTGCAGGAGCACGCCATCGCGGCGGGGCAGGCCGAGCGGGAGTCGTTTGACGCCAAGGGGAAGCGGGTCGGCGGGTATGCGCAGGTGGAGGTTGGCGAGGAGAGGAGGCGGTGGATCTTTGGGGAGGATGTCGAGGGGTTGCGGAAGGCCAAGGAGAGGGAGCGGAAGAATGAGGAGAAGGCTGAGAGGGACAAGGAGAAGGACTTTGCGCACGTCATTCGGTATGAGATGGTTGCCAGGAGGATTTGGTAGGCCTGTGCTGTATGCCCTTTTTGTTGTGTCTTTCTTGTTGTACAGCGAGTGCCTTTACATATTATATGTATATGACGTACATAAAGTCTTAGAACTTGTTGAAAGCGTTCATGGTAGAGAGCTGTGCGAAAGGCTACCCGGCTAGAGCCTGATTGTCCTCAGGCTGTAGTCGGTTACGGAAAACCTCAGTAAGGTGGGTTTTTACTGCATCTGCGTGGGCTCGAACGCGCAGGCTTTCGGTGATCAGGCGAAACGCACGAACAGAGCAGGCTGTAGGAGACTCGGGCCCCTCCTCCCAATACCGCTCGACCACGCATAGGAACTCTTTGTGTGTGGGCAAGGACCGTTGACGATGAGGGACGTGGAACTTCTATATATGCCTTACCTTGTCGTTGGGAATTATCTTTGGTATTATTATCATCGACCGACTCGGTGTGTGAGAGCCCCGGTCTTTCTCTAGCTGTGATCACACTCACCTCACCTCATGACCTCCTGGAAGAAAGCCCGGCGCGGTGTGTCGCCCAGGTCCCGTTGTATGGCATGCGCACCACTCCTACGAAATTATCAACAGAGTGATCCTGCAAGGTATCAATGGCGATATACAGCCCAAAGGTTTCCGAGATGAGCACTACAGCGTGGTATGATATCAGTCCTCTTAACGACCGCAGTACAGAACCAAAACTGGTTTTCATCCAACCGCTCATCTCCATTCTAAGTCCGGACGACAAACATTAAATAACTTACGACCCCTCCGCCATATCGCCCTCTCCCCCACCTGACATTCCTCCAGCCAACTGACTACTACTACTACTACTGCTCGTAACCAAACCCTTCTTACCGACATGCATCGCTCGCTCCAACTCCCTCTCCTCCTCTCGCAACCTCGCCCGCTCATACTGCAGCCTCTTCTCCTGCCGCCTCTTCTCCTCCGCCACGACCCTCTCCCGCTCCTGCAGCGCCTTCTCCCGCTTGCGCCGCTCCTCGCGTGCCTTCTTCTCTTCCTCCCCTTCTGCCTCCGCCGCCACCTCCCCAGCCTCGGGCGGCGGGCCTAGCCCTTTGATGTATGCCTCGATGAACGGGTCGCGCACGGTTGGGTCTAGTGAGATGTATCGTATATCGCAGAGCACCTGCGCGGGGAGGTGGGTGGGTAAGGTTTGGTTGTTGAGCTGCGACGGCGGGACCGAGGCGAGGAGCTTCTTCAGGTCGGCTTTGAGGGTTGCTTGGGGCAGCTTGAGGCGGTTGATGTGCTCGCGGTAGTACTTCTCGCGGTCCTTGTCGGAGAGCTTGGGGTCTTTCACGGCGTCTTCCTTCTTGTATTTTCGACGGAACTCGGGCCAGTAGAGTTTGGGTGTCGCTTTCGCCTGCAGGAAGGCCAGGTAGGGGATGCGCGGGTCTTTCTTCTCTTCCTTTGCGCGCCGCTCTTTGAGCTCCTGGATCTTGGCGCGCGACCACTCCTCCCACACTTCCTTGCGCGCTTTGGTGGTTGGCAGCACCGTGTACCGCGCGTCGTCGAAGATCTTGCCTTCCTCCATCAGCTTGTCCCACGGGCTGTACGGGTTGATGTTGAAGTCGTTGAGCAGGTCCTTGAACAGCTCACGCGCGTCTGAGTCGGAGAGCGGTAAGCCCTCGTCGCCGCCTTCATCATCCCAGCCTTCGCCCATCTCGGCGTCTTCGTTGTCCTCGCCGTACTCGGCACCCATGGCTGCGAGCTGGGCGGCGATGTCGGCCTCGGTGAACTCGGCGGGCGCGTCGTTGCCCGTCGGCTCTTCGGTGCGTTGCCGTTTGCGGGAGCTGCCTTCTGCGTATTGATCAGCATCCTCGTCGTCCGTCACCTCGACTTCTTCATATTCAGAGCTGTCGTAGTCATGTTCTGCCTCTGCCTCCTGTCCTCCTGTTGGCGGGGGTCGAGACGGTTTTCCGCCGTCTGCTGCTCCCTCCTCCTGCTGTGCTTCTTGTTCTTGCTCCTGCGGCTCTGTCGTCTTCCCCTCGGCCTTTTGCCGGATCCGCGCCTGGTCGAGCTCGAGGACGGCGGGCATCAGCTTCTCTGGTATGCGCCAGTAGCTCGCATTCTTGGCCGGGTTATACACGAACCGGCGGCCGTATTTGGTGTAGACGAGAATCCAAGGCTCGCAGCCCGGGATGGCAACTTTGGACCGCGGCTTATCGACAGGCTGCGGCCGCGGCCGGGACTGCGATCCGCCCCTGGCCCCGGCGCCAAAGCCATCCCGTTGACCTTGTTGCGGTTGCTGTGCCTGGGCGTACTGGGCCATGAAGGCGTTCGCAACGGCGGGGTCGGATAGATTGATCTGCGGCACCATCTGATGCTGCACAAAGCTGCCCATGGCCGGATTTATCGGGGCCGCGACTGGGACGGAAGCTGGGGCTGGAACGACAGCAGGCGCGATGGGCGCCACGGGGGCGACAGGCGCAATCGGCGCGACGCCCGGCCGCTTGTACGTGGACACTTTCGTTTCGGCATTGTAGTAATAGGTGTGACCCGTTGGCGCTTTGTGCTCGGTCCAGCCAGGCGGAAGCGGTGGTAGTACAGAGGGAGAGGGCTGGTATGCCATTGTGAATTGGGTCGGAAAAACCGTGGATGTTGCGACGAGCTTCGCAAGTTTGACGACGGCGCGGCCGGTTTTCGAAGTTAAAGTGGGGCCGACCCACACGTGCCCAGACCTAGAAGCCGATAGCTGAGTTTGCTCAGAAACCCAAAAGTGGTCTGTGCACCACTGCGCCCACACCTTCCGTGTCTGTATTGAATGCTCGGTACGTGCAATGTGCAGTAGGTTAGCCATAATTGGCTTAGTGCCCTGGCCCACCCTCCCCGGGAATTGCATATCTTCTATAGCGCCATAGCTATTGCCATCCTCTTCTTTCTTCTTTAACACAATCCATAATATTCGCAGTAGATAATCTTGACAGCCATTTCTATTAATACCGTCGATTATATATATAATCTACATCTATATTTTGTATTCTCAAGCTTCTTATCTATACCTAACATTTTTTCTAGCCCAAATAGCTGTGACGAAACCATAGGCAGTCCTGCCTCTGAAAGGGTTTGCCGGTCGAAGGTAATGCTGGTCGGACTGTAGGTCTCGGTGAAGCCAAAGGGTTCACAACAATGCAAGTCGCAATGTCTGCACAGTAGATGAAGGCTACTGCTTGTATTACTCACTGAGGAAGCTAGCTATCTGAATGAGTGATAAAATGATAGAACTATATATAGCTTCCTCCCCTAGGTATCCCGTACCTAGATCTCTGGAACATTTGGAACAATTGTAGTTCTCGTTGTTCCAGATGGAACAACGTTCCTTGGCGTTGTTCCTTGGGAACAATTGTTCTTGGCATTGTTCCCAATCTTCCCAATCCTCATTGGTCCTTCCTGGCTCGTAATGATTGGATACGGGCTCACCCGCTGACCATGCAGGTCGGCCCCCACCGGCCTCTGCAGGTTGATTCATAACACCGTACGATGCCTCGGGGCAAACGTTTTTAGAGTTTAGGGCTTCCTCCCCAACGGTGCTGGATCGTTACCTTTACATATCTGGATCGTACTGAGAAGACGCTGGTCTTGGAAGGGATGCCAGAGTCAGTATGTCAATCCAACCTTCGCCGTGTTGCTTGCACTTAAGCGTGCAGTACAGCATGCCAGTACCAATGCCGACCGGGGAAACATCGCACCGTGTAAAGAAGCGGCTCAGTTCATTGCATCTCTATTACATGTAGTTGCCATAGGCATGGGCACTGATTGTGATATAAGAGAACGACAACTCAGGCGTTATGGAAGCCCAAATTCATCTCCGTCTCCTTCTCTGGTTTGAGAGCACTGCTGCATCTCCAGGTGAACTGTAAGTCCTTAATCCCCCTTGGTCAGCGTCAATGTAGACAGCCTGACTGTCTGCTCACTGGATAATTACCTACCTCGGGCATCGCATGCGTGCGCTTGAGCCTCCCAGGAAATATCAATGGGTCCTATCGCGCCAACACGATTCAATCGGTACCAGGAGACACGACACTTTACCTTTCAAGTTGCCCACATGAAGTCCTTCCAATTGTGGGATGCACCGCGGATGTCGCACAGGAACGGCACGGTAGAAAGCTGTCGACACCACTCTCCTGTGGCATGCAAGGGACGGTTGCACGAGCGCAACCCTACCAATGTAATGCCGTTGGTTTGGTCACCATCCCCCAGCTGGACTTTTGGTGTCACTGTTTTAAGGGATTTCCATGCCGGCAGGTGGGAGGCGCAGTTGACTTGGGACGAAAGAACTTTACCCGTCCTCACGGGACCTTAAATCCTGCCATCTCAGCTTCCGGGGGCTCAGCAGCTGCACTGTGAAACTTGGGGAACTTGTTTCGGATAGGAGACACCAGACTCCGCCGCGCCAGGCTTAAAGCTTGGGGAGAGGAGAGATTCATGATATCGATTTTTAACCATGCAGCAGATGTCAGCATAACGTACCTGGATTCCCTCCCTACGACCTGGTCCTCCAAAAGATACTACTACGTACGTAACCCGCTGACGTGAGAAACAAGCCCAGCCCCTGTCCGTTCCCACCCATCCGTGCAGCTTGATTTATCCCCAGCAAACTGAGAGGTATCATCCCAAAACGCAGCTCGACAAAAAGCAAAAAGTAAAACCACAAGTAAACGACGCCCGCAAAACGCATTCTATTGTGCGCACCTCTTTTGCATGCTGGTATCTTTCCTTCCGCACCAGAGCGAGAAGCGCGGGAAGCCCTCCGAAGACTCGTTCCTCCTCCGCGGATCGCAATAATACCCCAGGGACTTCGCCTCATTCGCGCAGAAAGTAACGCAGCAGTTCGTGGTGTTGGGGAGCCAGATGTAGCTCGTGGCGGTGAAGTTGATGTCGAAGAAGCCCTCCTCCACGTAGACCTCGGTCGACTTGCCCTTGAAGTCGGGCTTCTCCCAGGCCTGGAAGGCAAACATCTTGAAAACGGACGGGTCGGTCTGGTTGATGAGGTCTGTAATGGTGGGCGTTGGCGCGCTGGAAGTGGATGTTGATCTAGTTGTTGTGGTTGTAGCGCTGATGCTTGTCGCGCAGTGGCGATTGTTAGCCGGTGTTCACAGATCTGGGGGTGGCCGCTTGGGCCGAAACTCACCTGCCGCTGGAGCTGGAGGCCGATGTTGATGATGTATCCCCCTCCGCCGCCTCGTCCGCTGAGTTTTGGCTGTTTCTTGCTGCCACCGCGCCGCCCACACCCCCTCCAATTGCCGCCACGACGATCACAAGGCCGACAATGGCGGCAACGATGATGAAGACACGCTTGCGTAGTCCGCAGATGCGCTTCTCCGGCGCCGGGCCGCTGCCCACGAACGTGCGGTCGTCGCCATCGCCGGCAGGGAACGATTGCCAGGGCACAGAGCTCTCCGGGCTTATGGCGCTGGCTGGGTTTCCCGCCCCGTGCCACGGTTGCTGGTACTGGTCGTATGGCTGCCCGGCCATCTGCATCACCGGCGACGGTTCCTCGTGCGGCAGTTTCGGCGCGTCATCGTACTGAGCGGGATACTTGCCCGACTCATGATAGTACATCTGCGGGGCCGCTTCTGGTGATGGATCGGGCACCACTTCTGGGAGAGTCGACACGCCCGTCATCGGCCGCTGCTGAACCACCTCCGGGAGGTTCTCATCGGGCGGCAACCCCATCTTTTGCATCACGCTCAAAACTGGCGCTGGGGCGTTCTCGATACGTCCACGTCTTCGTCGTCGTCGGCGCCAGGAATGACGCCGTTAGGTGTTTAGATGTGGCGTCGGGTTGGGCGATCGCGCTTGCGCAGGGCGTGCTTGGCTGGCGCTGAATGGGAAGCAGACGCCAACGTCCCTGAGCGCCCCTGAGCGCCGTTGATTTGATATTTAGCCCATCTGGACTGGCCACGGTCGATGGAAATTTCCCCACCGATCAACCCCTGCATTCACAAATCAGCAAGGCTCGATTGACTCGGATTGAGAGTCGATGCGGCCCGGATGGCCTGCTTGGCGTAAGACGGCGTAAAGTTTGGCGTCGCTTGCATGCAGCGATCCCCCGGCGCTGTTACCCTGTTTGGGGCAGCTGAAGAACTAGGGTTGCACTGGGACGTCCTTCGTCTCAAGGGTATAAGATGAGCGGCAGGGACGCACCAATCTGTGCCACCGCCCGACCCATCATTTCCTGCACTGCGACCGAGCCTTGCGCCCTTTTCCAAGCCTTCAGATGCGATGCTGACTTGTCAGCAGCATCGTCCAGGATGCTTTGGTATTCATGCCCGTAATAAGGCTGAGAAGATGGGTGCTTCCTGCTCTCTTCTTGCTCGATGGCCTGACTCTGCTGACCCCGTGCGGCTCAACTGTTTCTGTGGCATTTTGGTGCAGACGGTAGCTTTCCTTTGCCAAGGACAGAATGTGGACAGCTGAAGCGAAAGGGGCCTGGATCAACCAGTTTGCGAGTTCTGCAGCTTCTGCTTCTCTCGCGAGGGCAGAAACAGCAAACAGGGCGACCCAGTCGCGCTCTTTCTTGTTCTCGATCCGCCGAAGTGACTTTTAGGTGAGGCAAGCCGGTGTAGATAAGGTGCTGCGTAGTGGATGTGTGACACGGCAGGGGCGCTGAGGTCACGGGACATTCCGGCGGAGCGGGCTATTCCGGCGGAGCGGGCTCAGCGAAGAGCTCGTCAGTAGATGGTGTGAAGCTTCATGGTGACTGTGATTTTCCTTTTCGCAATCGATGCAAAAGTGCCGCAACGTCGCTCCGGAACCGGAAACCATCGGGAAACCGAGAAATGCTTGGGCTTAGAGATTGCCAAGGCTCGTAGTTCGTAACTTCATTTTCGTGTGTGCGGGGTAGGCAGTCGATCACTGGTGGAGCAAGGGAGCTGACCGTCTGACGAGTTCGAAGAGTTCTTTGTCCAAGGCCGTCCACGACTGTCAAGAAGATTGACTGACGGATGTTTATGTGATGATAGCAGAAGCTTAGCCTGATGTAATAAGGACGGGAGCTCCCACTTCAACGAAGAGAGATCCGTAATAAGAGAGCTTAAACCTCCAGTAATGGGAAGTGATCCCAATGTGTGAGCTTGGTCCAGGTAGGAAGAGCTTGCGATGTGGGCGACGACTGGGCCTGTCCGCTGGGTGTAATGGAAGCTGGTGGCCCGACGTCGGCTTTCAAGATCCAGCGAGGAGGCAATCTTGCCGGTGGCTTGCATGTGCACCTCATTCAGTTCACCTCCGATTTCTTCCACCGCCAAGAATGACCCACTCATTTGATAATCTTATCAGATCATCAGATAGCTCACCGGACCAATCGGAGTTTAAGGGGTCCTTCGGCAAAACTCTGCTTATGGACCCCTTGGTCGGTTGACGACCAGGTTGCTCGTCTCAGGTGGAAGACTTTTGCATCTGTCACATCGTCCGGTCTCTTTCGAACTCTGAGACTTCTGATGTAGTAGAAAAGTATTTCTTGCTAGCAATCAGCTACTTTAGGATACGATTCGAGGAAGGGCTCTTGTCAGTAGCCAACTTGCCTTACGGATTAGAGAACGCTGCTTCATGCCCGGTCTCGCGCGTTCCCTCGGCACAAAATGCTCCTACTGCGGTAAGGGCTCGGGTTCACTTCCTCGGTCCATCGTCGTACGATCTGATAAGCAATTGGGCCTGCCTCGCCCCTCCTTTAGCAGTGGAACCAATGTTGACATCCGTCCGCTCTTCGGAGGAAAGAGCCAGGGCTCGGGGGACGAGCAACGAATCACAGTGTTTGCTCCGCCTGTTCATTGGTTCAGCGAACAGCTTCCCTGACCTTGATGGCTTCCGGGGCCCACTGATCTCATCTTATCTGATCCGAAGATAATCCCGAACTGCCGCTTCCTGCCGCGCCCAACCCCTGGAAAAATGGCAAATGCATCGCCGCAACCATCGCCTGCGCTGCCGAGCACCCCTGGACCCCACTGGCGTGCCGCTTTCAATCGCGCAGCTTCTCATAGTTGTGGCCCGGACTGGCACCCTGCTGCTCTCGGTCCATGTCACTGATCAATCGAAAGAAAATATCTCATGGACCCCCACCGGGACGCGATTTAAATCATGTCAATGGTTACTGCAACCAGAAGGAGCTCCGCGATGGCGCGGGCGGTCCCCCCTGCGGTCGTTCGATGGGCGGCGGCGGATGAGCACGGCGCAATGGGGCCATGACGGGAGTCTATGACATGGGGCTCGCATGGCTTTTGGCCAAGGTTTTGGACCTTTGGTGCTTGCACGACTAATAGACAGGACCTCACCCCAGCCCAGGGCCCCAGGGCAATTCCGCTGGGAAACTATCAAAACTCAACCCATCGCCCGTCTCTCCTGCCGGGGAACCACCTCTCCCTTTCTCTCCTTTTACCCATCATAACACACGGGCCTTTGTCTCTTTTTCTCCTTACCCCTCCATCCCACCTCAACTTTCCGAGACCCGCAGGTTACGTCAACGGTCAACCGAGGTGGCAGAGCGCGGGCCCGTCACACAACTGACTAGCGTTTCCGTCAAACCCCGAGCTGGCCGCCCCGCTGACGACATCCATTTTTTATCGCAACTCGCAGAGGTCCCTTGTTGAGGTTCTGTCTACACCGCGCTGAAGTCGGACACTCGGACTTGGTCTTCACGCGACCGCCGTAGCCATGTCGCCCCACGGCATCAACGATATGGAACCCCCAGCCGCCCAGAATGGCTACCATGACCATGACGACGATGCGGTCCCCCAATTGGTGAACGGCGCTGCCAATGGCCACGCCAACGGCACTACCAACGGTCCCTCGCGTTCGTCACCACAAGACTTCCCCAAGAGTCCATATCTGAGGGCGGCAGAGGCCGATGCCGTGCTCGACCTGATCTGCGTCGGCTTCGGGCCGGCCAGCGTGGCGATCGCGGTTGCGCTCCACGACACGCTGGAGGCCGGCAAGCTGGCGCAGGCGCCGCAGGTGCTGTTCCTGGAGAAGCAGCCGCAGTTCTCGTGGCACGCCGGCATGCTGCTGCCGGGCGCCAAGATGCAGATCTCCTTCATCAAGGACCTCGCGTCGCTGCGCGATCCGCGGTCCAACTTCACCTTCCTCAACTACCTGCACCGGAACAACCGGCTGGTTGACTTTGTCAACCTGAGCACCTTCATGCCGGCGCGCGCCGAGTTCGAGGACTACCTGCGGTGGTGCGCGCGCCATTTCGAGGACGTGGTCCAGTACCAGCACGAGGTGCTCTCCATTGCGCCCGTGCACGAGGACGGCCCGCGCCGGATGTTCGCGGTGACGTCACGCAATACCAAGACCGGCGCGACCACCACCCGCCGGGCGCGGAACGTGGTGGTGGCCGTGGGCGGGCAGGCGTCGATTCCGAGCGTCTTCCCTGCACGCCACCCGCGCATCATCCACTCGTCGCAGTACGCCCAGCTCGTGCCCAAGATCATGAACGACCGCGCGGCGCGGTACCGCGTGGCCGTGATCGGCGCCGGGCAGAGCGCGGCCGAGATCTTTAGTAATTTGCAGACCCTGTACCCGAACAGCAAGACGTGCCTGGTGATGCGGTCCGAGTTCCTCAAGCCCAGCGACGATTCGCCATTGTGAGTTATATATGAATGAAAAAGAACTCCCTTCTCCTTCATCACGACTTAAACAGGACTGACGTTTTGCCTTCTTCCATTTCCCAGCGTCAATTCCATCTTCAACCCGGAATTCATCGACACCATCTACCCCAAGTCCTACGCATACCGCGCCAGCCTGCTCGCCGACGCGCGCGCGACCAACTACAGCGTCGTGCGGCTCGAGCTGATCGAGCACCTGTTCGAGGTCATGTACCACCAGAAGCGGACGCTCGGGCCAGACGAGAAGACCTGGCCACATCGCATCCTGGCCGGGCGGCAGATTGTCGGCGTGGAGGAGACGGGCGATGATGGAGCGCTGCGTTTGAAAGTCGCGGCGGCTTTGGCTGTCCCGGGGGACCTGCCACAGGATGGTCCTTACCTAGACGGGGAGGGAGAGGAGGAGGTGGAGGTGGAGGAGAGTCTGGATGTAGACCTTGTCATCTGCGCCACCGGCTACAAGAGGACGGCCCATGTCGACATGCTCAGGGATACATGGCATCTTCTTCCCGAGGTGGTTGATGCTGTTGTGGGTGAGAGTGAGAGTCGGATTCAGAGGGGAGACCGGTGGGTGGTGGAAACCGGAAAGAACGATCAGGTGAGCACCCGCGTGATGGAGGTCGGTCGTGATTATGGCGTCAAATTCTCCCCGGGCGCTGTTGCGCCTGGTTCGGGCGTTTGGTTGCAAGGCTGCTGCGAGGCGACTCATGGTGTAAGTGCAGTGATTTTTCTTTCGTATTTTTCTTCCTTCCTTCCTTGCTTCTTCGCTGCTGGGACATTGCCCAAGCTAACAAACTTGCCACCGCTACAGTTGAGTGATACCCTACTTTCTGTGCTATCTACGCGATCTGGGGAGATGGTGCAGTCTATTTTTGGAGCGTCGGCGTAAGAGAGATGGTGGGTTGATGTTTCTGACATGAATAAAAAGGACTTTAAGATAGGTAGGGGGCGCATTTTTTGAAAAAAGCATGTTGTTCTTCTTTTTTTCTTTTTCCGATGCAGCGTACTAGGAACACACTAGGACAAGAGACCTTTGTCGGTGAAGGATCTGCTGTAATTGGACACTCTTGAAGGAGAGCCTGCCCTCGCCCTCGCTTAAGCAGGCAAACCGATGGTGAGCAGATGGCTCACAGTGAGCCTCCGAGGGAGGGTTTGGAATGTTACGTCGGCAAGCCTGATGTGGGGGAAAGCGTTGGTCAACCAAACTCCAGGGAACTGCGGGACGCTTGTTTGGTAGGTACGCATGGAGGCCGAATATCGGATGAGAGTCGACCCCGTGTACACTGTAGGCGAGCGGGGAGTAACCCCCCTTCGGTTGGGTTGCTTTTTGACCGACGCTGCCCCTGAACGCCGAGTCTGAGGGTCGGCCGAGAATGGGGGTCTCACCTCACATGACGCAATCATATTACCAGCTATGACTAACGGGTCCTGGAGCTTGAGAGGGGTACAGGTCGTACAGCACAAGGCTTGATGAGGGGGGATCAGAGCGAGAGCGGCAGTACCCGACTTCGAACGCCGTCGGCTCCATCGGCTGAGAGCCAGTCGACGGCGGCCGGCGTATCTCGGTACGTTGATGAAAGATCCGGCCAGTGCAGTTGCGCGGGTTGTCTGGCCATCACGAGGACCCTGTCACGGCCGTCACAGTTGAGAGCGGCCTTACATGTTGCAATAAAACCTCGCTTTTCTCACAAGACCTTTTCTCCCCTTCCATGTAGACCCACACTCGACCCCTTAAATGGCCGCATATTCCCAGCGCAAGGCAATCACGCTGCGGTCTATATGCCGCCAGGGACGAGTAGGATGGTGGGGATCTGCCTCGCTCAACTCCGTCATACAAACTGTGTGTGGACACCAGCGCCAGGTTCGAGGGTTGACTGAGTGAGATCTGTTAGGACCTTGATCACCCCACTCCCGTGCATCCCAGCAAGGACTGTTTAAAAACTCAAGTGGTGCAACTCCAAGTTTGGATAACCTAGTCCTAGTACATGCCTAGTACTGGCATCGTCAAGTTGGACGGGCGCACGGCACTGGCTAAGCCAACCAATTCCCCGCCGCGAGAAACAAATCGCGCTTCTTCAACTCGCTGCCGTCGTTGACTCGTCTGTCTCGCTCTGGCCAATCGGCGGCGACCTATTCGCGTCTCGGCTAGCTCTCACACACAGAGTTACACAGATCTATTGAGCGCGCGCGGAGTACTAATACGGAAGGGAAGGTACTTTCCAAGCAGGGAAGGCATCAACGGTAGTAGTCGTGGACATATCGAGAAGCTCAACGCGTGATCTGTGGTGGTAGGTTGGAATACTACTCTCTTTGCTCACTGAAAACCATCTTCTCACGCAATCAAAAGTATGATCAACTAACAAACGCCTTGGGCCTCACATGAAGACATGCTATGCCGGGCGGCACCATGGACACTCCGCTTCCAGAAATCGATGGCGCCTTGTCCATCACCAACCACCCGGCATCAAGACTAGCGGGGCCCAGCTTGCTTCACCAGCTCGTTCAGCACAGCTCACAAGATGGGCAGCCTGCCATCGACTTTCTCACCTCAGACAACAACCGCATGTCCCTCTCGTACGCGGAACTTCACCGTGCCTCCGAAGACCTGGCAAGCAGAATCTCGGCGTTCGCCGGGCCCGACAACGAGGGGTCGAAGCCGTTTGTGGTGCCCGTTCTCGTCCCACAAAGCCCAGAGCTCTACATCGCGCTCTTGGCCATCCTCAAAGCGGGCGGCGCGTTCTGTCCGATGAACCTGGACGTGCCGCTTGAGCGCGCAAGGTTTATCTTGGAGGACGTCTCTGCGAAAGTGGTCATCACCACCTTCTCGCTCGCGTCGAGGCTCCCTTCCGACAGTCCGGCCGCTGTTTTGATACTTGATTCGTACAATCCAGACCGCGACGAACCACCACCACCACCCCAGCAACAGCCCAGCAGCAGCAGCAGCAGCAGCAGCAGCAACAGCAGCAGCATAAGACGAAAACAGCCACTACCCAGCGACCTAGCCTACGTGATGTACACCTCGGGCTCGACGGGCACGCCCAAGGGGGTATGCATCTCGCACTTGGCCGTAACGCAGAGCCTGCTCGCGCACGACCGGCACATCCCCCGCTTCTCGCGCTTCCTGCAGTTCGCGGCGTCGACCTTCGATGTCGCCGTCTTCGAGATCTTCTTCCCCCTGTTCCGGGGCAAGACGCTTGTGGTCTGCTGTGCCCCCCGCGCGGCACTGCTGCTCAACGACCTGCCGGGCGTGATTCGGAAGATGGAGGTCGACGCGTGCGAGCTGACCCCCTCCGTGGCGGGCAGCTTGTTGCGGACGAGGGAGAATGCGCCTGGTTTGAGGCTGCTGCTGACGATTGGGGAGATGCTGACGCGGCCGGTTGTGGATGAGTTTGGCGGTGGTAGTGATGGTACTACTAGTAGTAGTAGTAATGAGGGGGACGGGAGGGAGAGCATGCTCTGGGGCATGTACGGCCCGACTGAGGCGGCGATACACTGCACGCTGCAGCCTGCTTTTGCCAGCAGCTCAACGGTGCGGAATATCGGGGTGCCGCTGGACACCGTTTCGGCCTTTATCCTGGCGCTTCCGGAGGGGGACGACAGCGACAGCGAGAACGCAAAGTTTGAGTTCAGGGTTCTGCCCCGTGGGGAGGTCGGTGAGCTGGCGGTGGGCGGCTACCAGCTCGCCGAGGGGTATCTCAACCGGCCCGAGCAGACGGCGGCCGCGTTCATCGACACCCCCGCCTATGGCCGTCTCTACCGCACGGGCGACAAGGCCCGGATGCTACCCGATGGCACGCTGGAGTGCCTGGGCCGGGTTGCAGACGGGCAGGTGAAGCTCCGCGGGCAGCGGATGGAGCTGGGCGAGGTCGAGCATGCTGCGCTGAGGGCGGCGGGCTGTCACGGCGCGGTGGCGGCTGTCGTGGATGCTACGACGCTGGTGCTCTTCTGTGCTGTGGACGGGGAACGCCAGGACATGGCTGAGAGGATTATGGAATCCTGCAGGCGCTGGCTTCCGGGATTCATGCTCCCCGGGGATGTCGTTGTTGTGGAGCGCTTCCCGCGCCTTGCGTCGGGGAAGGTCGATCGGAAGCGGCTGGTTGCGGAATACAGAGATCGGATGTCGGACGCGGCGCGGGAGATTCTGCCTTACAAGGACGAGTTGGAGCAACGGCTTTGCGAGCTCGCGAGCGAGTGCTTAGGGGTCCCGGTTGATTCAAGCCAGGACCTGTCTAGGGCTGGTCTGGACTCGCTCAGCGCTATCAAGCTGGCCTCCGTGCTCAGGGGAGCGGGCTTCGACATAGGGGCAATCAGCGTACTAGAAGCAAGGACAATATCTGCCCTGCATCGCAAGCTGCGCTCAACCGCCGAGATCCTGGAGCTGCAGCCTGAACCCAACGGCGCACATCCGCTGGAGCTGGACGTCTCGGACATTGTCGCTCAGCACGCGATCCTCTCGACGCATGACCAGTCTATGGAGAGCATCCTCCACTGCACGCCGCTCCAAGCGTCGATGCTCGCCGAGACATTGGCACATCCGGGAGCCTACTGCAACTGGGTTGAATTGAGCTGTTCCGGGACTCACACCGAAGAATCTGTCCGGTCATGGTTCGATCAACTTGCTCGGGCGAACGAAGTCCTTCGAACTGGCTTCATTCACCACGAGGGGCAGTTCCTGCAGGTCATCTTTGAAAGCTTCAGCGAATCGAATATCTGGACGACGAGCACCATCGTCAGGGGGTTCGACGTGAAGGACGACCAGGACCTCCTTCGCCCGGTCCTGATCCAGATCGCCCCGCCCGAAGAGAGCGGCGAAACGACCGTCCATCTTCGGCTTCACCACGCCGTATATGATGGATGGTCTCTGGACCTGATTCTATCGGATCTTGCCCGGCTAGCACGGGGAGAGCAGCTGCAGCCTAGGCCTCAGTTCCGTGAGATCTGCGCATACTACAACTCGACCGCTTTCCGAAACGCGTGCGACTCGGCGAGGGAATTCTGGGCTGGGTATCTCCTGGACTTCCAGCCTCCAGCCCTTCCGATTCTCGTCTCGGAGGCCAGTCGCTCACCGGCGGTGTTGTCTTCATCCGTTTCTCTGGGCATTGATCCGCAGGACCTGAAGTCAGCTCTCCAGCGCATCGACTGTGGTCCCCAGACGATCTTCCAGGCGGCGCTGGCATGGCTATGGGGCTACATGGTCGGCAGCAACGATGTGGTGATTGGTCTGATCCAGTCCGGGCGGACAATGCCCGTCTCAAGAATCGAGGATATCGTTGGGCCGTGCATCGCCCCGGTGCCTCTCCGAACAAATCTGTCACAGGTCCGGACGATCAGAGACCTCCTCGTCAACGTGCAGGCCGGGAACAGGGCCACTCTTGCCCATAGCATACTGCCTCTCTCCCAGATCAAACGGGTGGCAGGGATACGTTCGGGGCAGTCGGTTTACGACGTGCTGTTTATCTACCAGGAGTCACTCCACAGCAAATCACAAACCGGGGATGTCGTCAGGCAGGTTGCTCACCAGGACTACCTAGAGACGAAGCTGTTGGTCGAAGTTGAGCCAAGGGAGAGACACTTCGACTGCCGATTCACCCATCATTCCGACGTGTTCCCGGAGGACATGGTCAAGATCATGGGCGAGTCAATCCAAGCCCTCGTTTTCTACTTTCTAGGCCACTTAGACTCCGAACTCTCGTCGATACCCAAGGCCTTCCCACAGCATCTCCTCTCCGTTTACAACCCGACGCCGAAAACATTCACAGGGGTTCCGGACCTAGCATACGCCGTGGAGCGCACTGCCGCTGACCATCCCGACAAGGACGCGCTTTGTTTTGCCAGCCACATCTCAGAGGGCAGCATCACAGCCACAACCATCACCTACTCCGAGCTCAACACAACTGCCAACCGAATTGCCTGGCACCTCCACCAGCATGGTGCTCGCGAGGGAGGCGTCGTAGCCATCATCATGGAGAAGTCCGTCCGACTCTATGCCGGCATCCTCGCAATCTTGAAAACCGGCAGCGCCTACCTGCCCCTTCTCCCCAGCACCCCCATCGCTCGGATCGCGGCAATACTCCAGCAAGCCCAGGTCGACCTGTGTCTCGTTGACACCGCCACGGGGGCCAAGCTAAACCCTCACCTGCGGGGCCACCACTCCATCATCGACCTCCAATCCCTCCCTCTCCCTCTCCATCTCCATGATCAACCGGCACCTCCCCTCAGACCCAAGCCGAACACCGACCCCGACCGACTGGCCTACATCATCTACACCTCCGGCAGCACGGGCACCCCCAAGGGGGTCTGCGTCACGCAGCGCAACATCCTCAGCAACCTCGACGTCCTCTCACGCATCTACAACAACCACAACCACTACCCCATCCGCACCAAAAATTCCAGCAGACTGCTCCAGTCGTGCTCGCAAGCCTTCGACGTCTCAGTCTTCGAGATCTTCTTCGCCTGGACAACAGGGATGTGTCTCTGCGCCGCGGCCAACGACACGCTGTTCGCCGACCTGGAGCGGGCGATTCGCATGTTGGGGATCACGCACCTCAGCATGACGCCCACGACGGCGTCGCTCATCGTGGATCCGGCTCGCGTTCCCGCCGTGGAGTTTCTCGTTACGGCGGGCGAGCCTATGACGGAGCTTGTGGCCAGGAGGTGGGGAAGCAGCAGCAGGCTGCGGCGGCTGTTCCAGGGTTATGGGCCGAGTGAGACTACGAATATTTGTAGTGTTAGACGGATGGTGGGTGCGGAAGGGGATGGGGAAGGGAAAGGGGGCCAGGTGGTGGTGCAGCACCTGGGCTGGTCGCTGGAGAATACCTCGACTTTCGTCCTGGATACTAGTACTACTAGTAGTAAAGAGGGAGGCATGGAGCTGGTGCCCATCGGCTGTCTGGGCGAGCTCTGCTTTGGTGGAGACCAGGTTGCGCGCGGGTACCTCGGCATGGACGAGCTGACGGCTGCGAAGTTTGTCGACCATCCTTTCCTGGGCCGCATCTACCGGTCGGGCGACCTCGGGCGCATGCTGCCGGACGGGTCCATGGTGATTGTGGGCCGGGCGGACGAGCAGATCAAGATCCGCGGCCAGCGGGTCGAATTGGACGAGATCACGGCCGCGGTGAGGGAGTCGGCCAATGCGGTGGCGGACTGCGCTACACTGTTCCTGCGTGCGGGGGAGGAGGAGGAGGAGGAGGAGGAGGAGGAGGAGGAGACCAGGCCGTTGCGGGACCAGATTGTCTCGTACTTTGTTCCCGGCGGCCAACGGGAGGTTGCCGGCGGGTTCCGGGTTGTCGATGTCGATGACAGGCTCAGGGATACAGTCCGGACCTTGTACGGCTCTCTCACGGCGAGGCTACCCAGCTACATGATTCCCTCGGCGGTTGTCCCGATCTCCACGCTGCCGACTACTGCGGCGGGGAAGCTGGATAGGACCCGGCTCAAACAAGCCTTCAGGGGTCTCGACAAGGGTTATTTGGCACTTGTCAGCCATGGTGCGGAGCGGACTGATGCGGATGATGGGGAGTGGTCAGCCGTCGAGGTCCAAGTTGCTAAAGCTCTGTCGAGCGCGCTAAACGTGAGCAAGGGCGGCATCCGGCGATGGGCGCCTCTCGTTACGCTGGGCCTGGATTCTATCTCGGCAATTCACGTCTCCAAGCAGTTGCACGCAGAGCTCGGCAAACGACTCCCGATCTCCCTGATCCTGCAGAACGCCAGCGTGGCGAAACTCGCGCGGGCTCTCGCCGACATGGACACGTCAGGTCCGGAACAACAAGCGGACTCGGACCTCCTGCCGGAGGACTTGGTCCGTCAGGTCACAAAGCGACTAGAGCAAGTTGGAAGACTGGCCGTCAAAGTCCTCCCCTGCACTCCCCTCCAAGAGGCGATGCTCGCTACGTCGGCTGGCAAGGGGCGCTATCTCAACCGCATGCTCTTCCGGGTCACTGGCGACAACCTCTCAAAGCTCAGGGAGGCCTGGCACGCCATGTGTGCCCGACACGACATCCTGAGAACATGTTTCCTCTCCACGGCGGATGGTCGATGGCCGATCGTGCAGGCTGTGCTGGAAGAATGGCCGCCGGTCTGGCACAGCTCTGATGCTTCCCAGTGCGGCATGGAGGAGTGCATATCCCGGCACGCCCAACACGTCCCTGACGCGCTTGACTCGACGGAGCCGGCGGTGTCGTTTGCCAGCATCACGCAGGATGGCCGTCTCTATCTGTCCTTTGTCTGCCATCACGCGCTGTATGACGGCGTGGCGATCGAGAGGCTCCTGCAGGAGGTCGAGTGGCATTGCTCTGGTTTAGATCTGTCGGCCACGCCATCCTATGAGCAGTTCCTCCGCGCATCTCTGGACCTGCCCGGCTCGACCGACGAGTTCTGGCTTGGCCACCTGGCCGGCTACGAGTCGAAACTGATCACCGACCTCGGCTCTGAACTCGAACTCGGCGAGACACGCCCCAGTCCTCCGCTGACACATCATGAAGTAGCAGATCTCCCGCTGTCGCATGTACAAGTCCGCATTAGAGAGCTCGGGGTCTCGCTGTTGGCACTCATGCAAGCAGTCTGGGCCGCTACGCTGGGAGCACTCTTCCAGACAGACGACATCTGCTTCGGGAACGTCGTCAGCGGCCGCTCCCTTACTACTAATACTACTACTACTAGTATCGAGGGAATCAACGAGCTCGTGGCCCCCTGCTTCAACACCATGCCCGTCCGCATGGACCTCTCCCGCAGTCAGCGACACGTTGACCTGATGAAGGCATTCCAGAGCCTCGGCGCCGAGCTGATGGCCTACCAGTTCACTCCGCTTAGACGCATTCGGTCGTTGTTTTCGCAGCATGGCTCGACGCGGCGTTTGTTCGATACCCTTTTGCTTTTGCAGCGTGCGCCGAGGGGGCTGGATCCGTCGCTTTGGACGCTGGAGCGCGATGATGGGGAAATGGATGTGAGTACTAGTAGTAGTACCAACTTTTCTTGCCTGGGTAAGAGACGCGGCGACTGCTGAATGCTAATAGTGTGTATACTTTGATAGGTCCCTCTTGTTTGCGAAGTCGTTCCCGATACCCACATAGACCGTCTTGTTGTGACGATACATAGCGTAGAAAGGTTTGTTGTCCGTCCCCTTGCCCGACTCGGTCCTTCTTCCTGAGCCGTTCGTTGACCTTTGCTCCAGCCAACCACTCCCCACGGGGATCGCCGATCTAATTCTTGATTTATTTTCTCACTTCCTCCGGCACCATCTCCGGTTCCCTGCCTCCCAAAACTCCCTTGACCACCTCCCTCCGGACCTTGCCGCGAAGTTATCCCACATCCGACTCCTACCCCCGCAGCAACACGCAGTCGAAACGGCCACCAACAACAACGCACCCGAGGTGTGGACGGCAACGGAAAGCTCCATCCGCGAGGTGCTGGCGGCGCTCTCATCCCGAAATGCCGAGCGAATCCGGCGGCAGACCACCATCTACCAGCTCGGCCTGGACAGCATCAGCGCGGTGCAGATCGCCTCGCTGCTCCGCAAAAAGGCCGGCCACCCCGTCTCGGCCAGCGACGTGATTGAGCACCCGACCTGTGAGAGCCTGGCGCGGCACATCGACGCCCGCGTCCCTGAGTCAGGGGTTACTAGTAGTAGTAGTACATCCACATACTACTACTACGACATCGCCAAGTTCCGTGCCGAGGTGCAGGAACAGCTTTCTTCTGTTCCGGGCCTTGCGATCGAGGAGGCGGTAATCCTACCGTGCACCCCGCTGCAGTCGGCCATGATGGCGCAGTTTGTGAAGTCTGGCGGGCGGGACTACTTCAATTTCATTGACTTCGAGCTGGCAAACGATGATAATGGGATACTAGTAGTAATAAATGCCACCAGGGTGGCGGAAGCGTGGCAAGCCCTGCGTCGCGCGCACCCGATCCTGCGAATGGCCATCGTGGCCGTCGAGCACGACGATTGCGCGTTTGCCATGGTCCAGCTCCCGGCGGAAACGGAAATGGAAATGGAAATGCTCCCGCCGCCGGGGGTGACGCTCATTCCTCGGGATCGGGCCGCGACCTTTGACCTGAGAGCGTGGCAACTCGATGCTGCTCGGGCCGCTGCTGCTGCCGAGGTGCCGCACGGGAGACTATGGGCCGTTGCCGTGGTGGACACGGAACACGGGGTGAGGATGCATCTGGCCATGCACCATGGGCTGTATGATGCCTATTCCCTGCAAGTACTGCTGGATGACCTGTCCAAGGCAGCCCAGGGGGGTGAGCTCCCCATCCGCGCCGGCAGCGAGGAAGTGGTGGCGAACATTTTTGGCCATGTCTCCGCCGCAGCCGCGGAGAGCTCGGCCGAGTTCTGGAAGGGACAGGCAGACAGGGTTGTCATCAACAGCTTCCCCGTCATGACCCCCCTACGCGAGGAGTCGCGACATATCCTGACCGAGGCCATGGAGAGCCGAGTTCCCTCACGCACTCTGGAAGCAGCCGCGTCCCAGTCCGGCCACACACTACAGGTCATCATCCAGGCGGCCTGGACGCGGGTTCTGTCTGCCTATCTCGGCGAGGACGCGGTCGTGTTTGGGGTTGTGCTGTCCGGTCGAACCACCGAGGCGACTCGCGACGCCGTGTTCCCGTGCATCACCACGTTGCCCGTCATATCGGCCAACCACGAGTCGAACCGGAGTCTGTTGGACGGCATGCTGCGGTACAATGCTGAGCTGTACAAGCAGCAGCATCAGCCGCTTACTCGCATCCAGCAGTGGCTTGGCTGTGCGGATGCTCGGCTCTTCGACACGCTGCTTGCGTATCAGAAATTCGACCGGGAAGGTCCAGGGGATACTAGTACTAGTAGTAGACCCTGGCGCATTGTGGGCGAGAGTGCCAATGTGGAGTACCCCGTGTCGATCGAGGTAGAGCCCCAGCCAAAGGGTCGGCTGCGGTACGGGATCACCTTCTTCAGCGACGTGCTCAGCAAGGAGCAGGCGGTGATCCTGCTGCAGCAGTTCGATGCCGCCGTGCAGCAGCTCGCTTTCACGCCGGACGGGCACGAAGCCGATCTTTTCACAGCCCGGCCGGACCTGTTCTCGGTCCTACCCCCGGAGGTACCCGCGCTTCCGACCACGGTGAACTTGCTGCATGAGTTTGTCGAACGCCAGGCACGCGAAACCCCCGAGGCCACGGCGCTGCATTTCGTCACCGGCTTCGACGGCGGCACTGGTGCGTCCGTGGGAGACAAGTGGACGTACAGGGCGCTGGACGAGAACGGCAACCGGGTGGCTCACCTGCTGCTTCCTCATGTCCGACGGGCGGGGGACATCGTGGCCGTGTATTTTGAAAAGTGTCCCGAGGCGTACTTCGCCATCCTGGGCATCCTCAAAGCCGGGTGTGCGTTCCTGGCTCTCGACCCGGGCGCGCCTCGCAGCAGGAACGAGTTCATCCTGCAAGACTCGGGCGCGTTAGTTCTTCTTACCTCGCATTCAAACCACAGCCTCGAACTCACTACTATTTCTATCCCTACCCTCACCATCGACGCAGCTACCCTCTCTTCCTCCTCCTCCTCCTCCTCCCCCCTCCCTTGCACCCCACCGACAACCCCTCTCATAACCACGAAACCCGCGCCGTCAGACGTATGCTACGCGCTCTACACCTCCGGCACCACAGGAACCCCCAAGGGCTGCGCCATCACACACTCCAACGCGGTGCAGTGCATGCTCGCCTTCCAGCACATCTTCCTCGGCCGCTGGGACCCTCCCACCTCCAAATTCCTGCAGTTCGCCTCGCTGCACTTCGACGTGTCCGTGCTCGAGCAGTACTTCAGCTGGTCCGTGGGGATCACGCTCGTCTCCGCGCCGCGAGACCTGGTCCTCGAAGACCTCGCTGGATTTATCAGGAGAGTAGGGGTGACGCACATCGATCTCACCCCTTCCCTGGCACGGCTGTTACACCCTTCGGATGTGCCCAGCTTGTGGTGTGACAAAAAAGGCGTGTTCATCACCGGCGGGGAGAGCCTGCGGCAGGAGATCCTGGAGGCCTGGGGCGACACGGGCGTCGTGTATAACTTCTATGGCCCGACCGAGGCGACGATCGGCGTGACCGTGTACCCGCGCGTGCCGAGGAACGGGCGCGCGTCCAACATCGGGCGGCAGTTTGTCAATGTCGGGGGTTATGTCGTGAAAGGTATACAGCAGCCGGGGACGGGGACGACGGCGGGCGGCGAGCTGCTACGGCCAGTGCTGAGGGGAGGGGTCGGGGAGTTGTGTGTGTCGGGCCCGCTGGTGGGGAAGGGGTATTTGAGGAGGGAGGCGCTGACGGCCGAGAGGTTCCCCACGCTGAGGCTGTTGGGCGGCGGCGGTGGCGGTGGCGGGGACTCCGGGGAGAGGGTCTATCGTACGGGCGATCTGGTCCGCGTGCTGCATGACGGGTGTTTTGATTTCCTGGGCCGGGCGGATGACCAGGTCAAGCTCCGCGGCCAGCGGCTGGAGATGGGCGAGATTAACCATGCCATCCGGAAGGGGGTGGATGGTAGGGTCAGGGATGTGGCCACGCTGGTGGTGCGCAATGTGGTGCAGCAGAAGGACCTGCTTGTCTCTTTTGTCGTGGCGGATGATTGGAGCAGCAGGGGAAAACGCGCAGAGCCGGCAGGACGGCTGGAGCTGGTGGAGGGCCCGGAGGCGGCGGCGCTCTGTCGGCGGGCGAGGGACGCGTGCCGCGCTAGGCTGCCTGGGTACATGGTGCCGACCTATGTGCTCCAGGTGCCCTTCATCCCGCTGTCGGCGAACAACAAGGCCGAGGTCAGGGAACTGCGGAGCTTCTTCGCTTCGCTTGGGCAGGATAGGCTGGTCGAGCTGTCCTCCTCTGCCGACCCGCGCGGCCGGACTCTGGGTGTGACCGGAACAAGGGTTGCTCGGGTTATCGCTGCGATGCAGGGAGTCGAGGTGGACTCGATTACACCGGACTCGAGCATCTTCGAACTAGGTATCGACTCCATCTCGGTCCTTCGGCTCTCTCGGGCGCTACGAAACGAGGAGGGCTTTGCACAAGCCGGTCCATCCTTGATCCTCAAGAATCCCTTGATCCGAGACCTGGCTGCGGCCCTAGAGATGGAGGCGCCGGCGTCTAGCTTCAACCCGGTAGCCGCGGCAAGGCAGTTGGTCCAAGCCTGCGCCCACAAGCACCGGTCGCTTGTCTGCCGAGAGCTGGGTGTCGCGCCAGACGAGATCGAATACATTGCGCCATGCTCGCCGCTGCAGCAGGGCATGGTCTCGCGGTCGGCGGTCGACGGGGCGTATTTCAACACGTTCCGCTTCGTGCTTGCGCCGGGGGTTTCGAGTGAACTTCTACGGGAGGCTTTCCAACGAGCAGCTGATGCGCTACCCATCCTGCGGACTGCCTTCGTGGCCACAGCCGACGGGTTTGTTCAGGCGGCAATAAAGCGCGCTACCACCAGTATCCCCTGGGCAGAGCCGCCCCTCGATGGCCGGTCGACCGCTGAGCAGGCGATCCAGAAGACGAGGGAGACCTGGATTGCTCGGAATCGGGGTGTCTCAGTCTTAGCCCAACAGTGGGAGGCTGTCCTCCTCAACGGGGACGCTGGACGCATCCTGGCCCTTCACATCTTCCATGGCCTGTACGACGCCAACAGCTTCGCGCTGGTCATGGACAGAGTGGCTGCGGAGTACATGACCCTGACTGGCGAGTCGGCCGGGCATAGTACTGGTACTACCTCCTCCTCCATCTCGGCCCCCTCCTTCCTCGACGCCCTGTGCCACGGCCCGCTTCACGACTTCACCAGCAGCAAGCCATTCTGGGTGAAGCATCTCGATGGTGCGACAAGTTCCCAGCCTGGCCGGACCCATCCCACCAGCTCCTCCGCGCTCGCCAGCCGGCGCAAGATCTCCTTCGACCGCCTGGAGACACTGCGAGTATCGCTCGGCGTGGCTCATCAAGCCCTGGTGCAAGCTGCCTTCTTGAGCGTCCTGGCCAAGCATCTCTCGGCGGCCAATCCGACCATAGGCGTCATCGTCTCGGGCCGCAGCATCGAGCTGGACGGCGCCGAAAGCGTCGTCGGCCCGCTCTTCAACACGCTGCCCTTCCACGCTCGCCTGGGCACCACCACCCATGATGCGGGATCGGGATTGAAAGGGATAAGCTGGTCGGCTTTGATTCGACAGTGCCACGACTTCAACACCGCGGTGCTGCCCTTCCAGCACGTCCCGCTCCGAGATGTGCAGAAGTGGTGTTCCGCCGGCGGCCCGCTGTTCGACACGCTCTTTTCCTTCCAGCGGGCGGAGCAGCAACCGGCTGCTGTTCGGCACGAGCATTTGTGGACGGTGGTCGAGTCGGAACATGTTGCGGATTACCCGCTCGCGCTGGAGGCCACCCTGGACTCGGACGGCGGCTTGGACCTGCTCCTCGTCGCTCAGAGGGAGGAGCATGGCCCTGATGAGTTGGAGGAGATCATGGGTGGGTTGGAGCGGGCCTTTGAGCAGATGGCTGAGCAGCCTGAGAGTGCAGTTCATGTCAACGGGGTGGGACCGGCTGACCACGTTGGGAACGGTGCTGTTCCGAATCGGCCTGTCGCTAACGCGGTTGGTATGAACGGGCACCTGTCTACCAATACTGCTCACGCAACTAAAGCGGCCTTCCGCTGGACCCAGGAAGCTGTCATCATCCGCAACGAAGTGGCCGCCCTGGCTGACACCGACCCAGAGGCCATCTCCGAGACAACCCCCATATTCGGGCTCGGCCTCGACAGCATTGATGTCATCAAACTGTCGGCGCGGCTGAAGCGATGTGGAATCGAGCTGAAGACCAGTGAGCTGATGAGAGCGCAGACCATTGCGGCTATGATGCAGCATCTCCAAGCTCAGATTTCCAACCGCAGGGCGGAGACGAACGGGGCCTCTACCCCGAAGATCCAAAGGATTGCCCACGCCATATCCGCCCTACGGGAATATGTGGCGGGACAAGACGACCTCGAGCTCGGCGAGGACGAAATTGTGCTTCCAACAACCCCGCTGCAGGAATCCATGATCGTGGCAATGGTGGAATCCGATTTCCGGCTCTACTTCAATCACGACGTCCTCGAGCTTGCACCCTCCATCGACATCCCCAAGCTGAAGCAGGCCTGGAGCACGGTGATCGCGGGCTCGCCCATCCTACGAACCCGATTCCTGCCCGTGGAAAGCCCATCCATCCCATCCGCGTACTGCCAAGTCATCGGACACGACGCATCCGTCTACATGAGCGAGGTCAGCCTGGACAGCCACGACGAGCTGGCCAAGATCTGCGACAGCGCCACGCTCCGGGCCTGCAAGGGCGCCGCGCGGTCCAACCTGCTGCAGCTTGTCTTCGCCCGCATCCACGACCGCAACTTCCTGGTCCTGTCCGTCGCCCATGCCCTGTACGACGGCTGGTCCCTGGGGCTCATCTACCGAGACGTGCAGGCGGCCTACGAGGGCTCCTACCGCGCGCCCCCGAGCCTGGACAGCTACGTTGCTCAGCTGGAAGACATCCTCTTCCCCGACGACGACGACGATCATCACCCCCACGGGGACGGAAATACTTCGGCTGCCACCTTCTGGTCCAGCTTCCTACAGGACGCAACACCAACCATATTTCCACGCCACGAACACCCCCCATCCAACCAAGAAGGGACAACATCAGTAGTAATCCACCGCCACTCAAAAACCTCCTCCCTCCCCGCACGGTCCCTAACAACCTTCTGCAAAACGCACGCCATAACCCTGCAGGTCCTCACACAAGCCTGCTGGGCCGCCGTTCTCGCGGCCAAGACATGCTCCCTGGATGTCACCTTCGGCATGGTGCTCTCGTGCCGCGACACGGGAGGACTCGGAGCCCAGAGAGAGGAGCTGGTCTTCCCGACCATGAACACGGTTGCGGTGCGCAGCGTGCTGCACGGTTCTGTTGCGGCCTGGTTGCGGTATATGCAGGATATTATGGTGGGTGGCGTCGGGGTGTATGGGTCTTTTGCGCTGAGGGAGGTTTTGAGGATTGTGCTGAGGAAGGATGCTGATAGGAAGGGTGGGGTTGGGGGGTTGTTTAATACGCTGTTTATTCTGCAGGGACGGCGGAACCACCGTGGGGATAATGAGAATAAGGGGGTTGATGGTGGTGGTGAGGGCTGGATGGTGCGGTCGGTGGGCGGCGCGTCGGCGGTGGAATACCCCGTCTGTGTCGAGGCCGAGATGACTGAGGGTGATGGGCTGGTTTGGAGGATGGCGTGTGACGGCGGGTATGCCTCGGCCGAGGAGACGGGGTTGATGCTGGGCCAGCTGGATCGGATCCTTCAATATGTTGTCGGTTCCCCGGAGGCAGATGTTTTGGTCTTTTCTGGCGAGCGCGTCTCCATCTGCGGGCTGCCGCCGGTCGAGCTCCGGGATCACCAGGACAAAGCCAGCTCTGCCGCACGGGCAGATGCTACTACGAATGGGGTGGAAGAGGGTGACGACGACGGGGCGTGGTTGCCCCTGGAGGAAACCATTCGGGATGTGCTGGCCGAGGTCTCGGGGGTGCCTGTGGCTGCGATCACCAGGCGTAGTAACATCTACCACCTGGGCCTCGACTCGATCAGCGCCATCATGGTTGGCTCTCTGTTACGGAAAAGGGGGATTGCAATTGGCTTCCGGGAGATGCTCAAGGCCGCGTCCATCTCTGACATGGCTCGGCTCGTGGACAATGCCCGCCAAGCACCGCCAGGTTCGGAGTCTGTATCAGGGGGTAGTGGGGGGATCAACGAGTTTGAAGTTCCCCGAGCCATCGACCTCCCTTCGACTCTCCGGGAGCTGGGATATGACCAGTCCGCAGTCGAGGACGTACGCCCCGCCTCCCCGATGCAAGTCCACATGCTCTCGGTGTGGCAGAACACGCAGGGAGCAGTGTTCTATCCATGCTTTACCTATAGTCTCTTCGGAGAGATCGACATCAGCGCCATCGACGATGCCTGGAAGACCTTGGCAGACGAGACGCCCATCCTCAGGACAGTGTTCGTTGCCACCAGCTCACGATCGACCCCCATCCTGCAGGTTGTGGTCCGCCCATCGGCACTTGCCCCAACACGGATCTCTACCGTCAGCACGGCATGGGAGAGCAAGACGAGCAGCACCCTGTCCCAGCCTTACCACTCCCTGCATGCTAAGCAATCCACTGGAGACCACTGGACACTCCGCCTCAAAATCCACCACGCGCTCTACGACGCCGTCAGCCTCCCAGCCATCATGGACCGCTTCGCCGCCCTCTGCCGCGCCAACACACCGCTGTTCAGACCAGTACCCGAGTCCAACTGGCGCTATACCGCGGTGGACGTCCAAGCAAGGAAAGACTTCTGGACATACCACCTCGCCGGCGCCAACCCTTCCCCCCCGCTACTAATATCCCTAGAACCCTCACCCTCACCCTCGCATTCGCATTCACATTCCCGAACAAGTGTGCTCAGGCCCGCTGCTCTTCAAAATCACGACCTCTCTATCCCACGCCTCACAGCGAGGTGCAAAGCGGCCGGTGTCAGCTTGCAAGCCCTCTTCTTCGCCGCCTACGCGCACTTTCTCGCCTCCGCCTCCACCTCCACTGCGGCGAAAGAAAGACAGAGACCGGAGAGTGAGAGTGAGAGTGTGGTGTTTGGGATTTACCTCGCCAACCAAACCTCCGACGCTCAAAATGCTACTACAACTACTACTACTGCTGAGCCACTGTGGGGCGGCGGAGACCCCAACCTGCGCCTCGTCCCGCTCCGCGTCCGACTCCCACTCCAATCTGGGCTCACTACGACTACTAGTATTACTAGTAGTAGGCTCATGGATGTCGCTGCCCAGGTCCAGCGTGATCTCCACGCCATCTCAGACCCTGTCAACGTAGACGTGGGGTTGTGGGAGGTGAAGGAGTGGGTTGGGCTCGAGGTGGACACGTTTGTCAATTTCCTTGTGGCGGGGGCATCGTCGGCACAGAAACAGCCTGTTTCGATAGAGGGAGATGACGTGAGGCTGGAGTTGGTGGAGGAGGAGGGGCTGGCTCGCGAGGATGGCGATTCCAGTTCCAGTTCCAGTGCTGATGGTGAGTGGGGGGAGATGTTCGAGGTAGGTTCGGAGATTGCGGGCAACCCTGTGATGGATGCGTATCCGGTGAGTTTTGGAGTCTATGATCGGCGAGGACAGGATGGTTGTTGCTAATCTGTTTCACAGGACGCTATCGACGTCGAGGTTTCGGTGAAGGGGGAGGACTTGACGATTGGTGTGTTTGGGTCGGGCAAGAGGCTGAGTCGCGAGGGAGCGGACCGGATCATTGACGGCATCGTCGAGGTGCTGAGGGCGGCGGTGGAATAGTGCTGCTCATTTGTTTATCACTAGTTCCGCTGCTTTGTTTCGTTGGTTTGTGGTTGTCAGATGAATCATATGAGCGCGCTTCTGAATTGGCTGACAGCGGTCTTAAACCCACAGTTTCCGTACCGCTTTCCCTAGGTATAATGAGATTATTCAGAAACGGCGGTACTTGAGCCTGATATGAAGAGATCGGCCGACGTTGTGATCAAATCCAGCAGTCAATGCAATTCGCTGACTATGCACAATCATGGTCCGGTCATCAAATTACCTACTCATCGTCCACAGCCGTGCATGCCAGTGTTCCATACACAAAGCCTCCATAATCACTTCCCCCTCTTCTTCCAGGTATAGTCCGAATCTGCCAAAGTCAGTATCTTGCCACTACCGTCCCCCGACCCGTGAACACTCACCAGGATGGACCTCCGGCTCCGCCAACCCCTCCCTGATCTGCTTCTTCCGCCTCCAATCGCACCCGGCAAACTTCTTATCCCTCTCCTCCATCAACCTCTCCAACCCAGGAATCTGCTCGGCCTTGGTGATGCTCGTCATGAGCTGCGGCTCGCCCAGCGGCAGCTTATCGCCACGATCGACCTGCCACAGATGATACACCTTGCCATACAACGGAATGACCTCCTCCATCTCGGCCGTCTCGGCCTTCTCCCATGCGGCCTGCGGCACCAGCGGGCTCGACTTGGGCATGACCAGCATGCCCGACTTGACCTCGAACACGTGGCTGTGCCAGAGCCGCCGCTCTTCGGCCGGCAGCTGCTCGTACAGGTGCGGCTTGATCATGTACTCGACGCCGATCAGCCGCGCGCCGGGCCCGGGGCTGTCGTAGAGCAGGCACTGCCGCACGTCCTCGGTCAGGTGGCCGCAGTAGTGGTTCGCCTCGACCACGCGCGTCGGGTCGGATGCGTACACGTGGAAGGCGTTGAGGTGGGCGCAGACGTTTTGTAGCGGGGAGAAGTCCTGGGTCGGAAAATTAGTAAATGCTTTGCAACAAGTTCGTGCCCTGTTGCGATCTCGTTTCTTACCTGTGCCACGGAGGCCCCGGTCTCAAGGATCGTGCTCTTGGTGCTGCGCGGCTCGCCGGTCACTTTGGCCTCGGCGTCGCGGTCCTTTGCATGTGTGGCTGACTCCATGATGGATTTTGTATTTTGATACGCCGTTGCTCAAACATTTGAAATCAAAATGATCCAACTTTGTAGAGTTTGGAGGACAGATGTGGTGGTGAGACGTTGCTTTAAGTGACGTCATTGTGGTCTCCCTCATACCACCCAGACCTGACATCTAGGTATTAGGTAGTTTGGACCAGGAAATGCCCCAAGATCTTCCAGCCGTCTGGCCGTTCATAAAAACAGTCTATTGGTATGTGGCAGATTACTTGCCCAGCCTCGATACATGTACCCTAGGTACCTAGGCAAATTGGATGTCGCCTGGTCAAGCCGGTATTGTGAGAACACGGCTTGGCCCCTGGGGCGCTTAGAGTCTAAGCTACCATCTGGCCATTCCTTCCCTAACTAAGACTCCTCGGTCGCCCTCGGATACGCTTCAAACCATGTCTCTCTTGTGACGAGTTTAACCCTTGGTTCGAAGAATTGTGACAGCCTCGCATTCAGATTTGATGCCCGCCTTATAGCTTTGGGCCAGCAACATCCTGAGTGGGAGGAGGTAGAGATGCAGAAGAAGCAGAAGGACAGCTTACGATCGACCGTCCTGGGCACCACCGGCTGCATCGTTCGTGAACCAGAAGCAGGTCATCCGGGGATTTTGGTCCTTTGCGAATTGTAACCATCGTCAAGGTTGATAGATTTGGACATCCCAGAAGCAGGACGGTTTCCTCACCTGCGGCAACTGAATATACAACACTGTTATCGCCCTTGAATCGCCACGACACTTGGGATTGCTGGTAGGGCCTATTGGAACCCGTCGATGCACCATTGGGGGCTGGCACGCCCGGCAACGAGAGTTGTGCTTAGTCTTTGGTGATGGAGTGGCAAATATCTCGTCTTGCTGGGTCTCAGTGGAAGGGTTGAGAGCCCTTGGTATATACGATGAGTCCATCTTCTGGCACAACGTCGTACACGCGTCGGTCGGGTGCCAGATACGGAGCGTGCTTGATCGACCGTTGTTCGTTCGAAAGATCTCCTTGGCAAACTAGTTGAAGACGGCGATCAAATTGGAGCGAGGCATCTCCTGCTATGTCGGTTGTGATGAGGATGTCTTGTCAAGGGCATGTGATTCTTGGAGCACTCATTTGGGCAGTGGTGTTCAGAATGGCGTTAGGTCACAGACTCGCGGGTGACACCACTGTGTCGGAACCGAAAAGGAGAAGGCAGTGCCCGTTGGAAGAGCGTTTATCAGAGATGATTATTTTTCTTTTCTTTTGCTCCTTCTTCTTTTCTATCATCATTGGAAAAGAGCCAGAGACTCAGATGACAGAAAAAGAAGAAGACCAAAGACAGGATGCAAGTGATGTAACCGTCATCTGAACGTGAGAAGAAAGGCAAGAGTAAAGCGATTGAGATATAAAAGCGAATGGAATACGTAGGCTGAAGAACCTACTGAACTGAAGAAGATAGAAACGAAGAGCAAGACGAGGACGAAAACACAAAGCAAGACATCGGTCGCCGATTCGAGGCCCAGCAGAAATAAGTGGGGCGGATGGGACGTGGAAAGTGCGACCTAGGTTGGGCAGTGGAGTGATCCTGGGCACTGGAGATCCATCCTTCGTCCAACACACACCACCAGATCAATCAATGACTGGCGCTCTGGGCCGGGAGCGCATTACATTCAGTCAATCCATCAATTGCGCATCATCATCATGACTCTGCTCTAGCCATCCTGTGTTTCTGCAAGCGCGTTACCCGAGACGACAATTGGGGCGGCACGGTACGCGAAGGCCATTCCGCCGGCACCCGACCCGTCGTCTAAGCCCAGCCCGGCTAGCGCGCCGCAGTGCGACGCAGCTCTCGATCTGCTTGGCCGAGAGGCCCCTGAATCTTCCAGCCGCAAAACCCCTCATTGGCTGCCTCGTGCCTCCCCGGTCATCATCGCAGCAGCTGAAGTTGCACGACATTCTGCAGTTCGCGATGCCTGAAGGCCGCCAAAGATGCGGATCCCATACAAGGCCCTCCCGCTCCCGCCTGCGGTTTCTTTTCCCCCAGGCAACGGGAATTGTTCCCAGGCGGCGTTGGAAGCGTTCCTTTCCCCTTAGTTGACTGCTTGAGCGACTGACAAGACACCTCAATCTTGGGTTCAGAGGGCTTCGCAGCCTCTAGCCTGTGGACCGGTTCCACCGTTGCCAGCCTCGAAGGCCACGACCGTGAAGGCGCCATGAACAATAGCACGAGCTCAAGTGGCGGCGGCGGCTCCGATGGAGACGACAATGTTGTCAATTGGGTGGCCCTTGTGGTGTCGTTAGTGGCCTTGTTAGGCACCTTCGCTCAGGTCCTCCAACAGTACATTGCCTCGGCCGCCGGCTACTCGAATTGTGGCGAAAGCGTCATGGGCAAGTGGCACGAGAGCAAGAAGCGGCGATTCCGAGCGACCGAGCTCCGGTTTGAAGTCCAATTCGAGACCCCCGTCATTTTCGTGTGCCCGCCAAAGAACGACAAGGGACCGATCCCGGGGCAGAAGATCCAGTTCGTGAATGGCACACGCGACAGTCTGAGGGACACGCGCTCGCTGTCCAGAGAGGATGAGGATAAACAACAGAAGACGCTCCAGGAACGCCGGGTACATACCGCCGACAATGAGAGGGCTTCGTGGGTCACGCTGCTGTCGCAGTTGCAAGCTATGGAGAAGGAGAGCGCCGAATGGCAGCAAAAATACTACAACGTGAACCCGCCACAGAGTCTGCCTTACCCCGGCTTCCAGGACCACACCCTCGCGGTTGCCATCCAGGCCAAGAAACGGAGCTGGGACACCATGCCGGCCGGCGTCAACAAACCGTACGCCACGACAACCATGTGCCATCTCCTCGAGATCGCTGCCATGATGGGCATCTACTGGAGGGAGTTTGACAGATCAAGGGAAAGATACCGGGCTGAGGGGAACGGTTACTTTCTCACCGGCACCAACGTTCCCGAACTCGGTCTCATGTTCACCTTTCAGATCTATGCCAAGACTAAGTTCCAGGAGAACAGGGTGATCCCGGTCGACGAGGTCAAAGAGCTGTGCTGCGGCTTCGTGTCTACACTGTTCCAGGAGGATAAGAAAGACAGGCGCAGGATTGAGTTTCCCAATGAGGACCCCAAGGACCTGAGCTTCCTGCAGCTGGGTAGCACGCGCGAGATTGCTGAAACGATGGTGCTGATCGAGTGCAACACCGACACGGCCAACTATTTCCGGTCCGATGACAAAAAGCACGGCCATCTCTTTCCGGGTAGGAACTGACCGTATATCCGAGATTTGGTTAGGCGTCTTCGCTAACTTGGTGATTGCGGTAGTCCCCTTCGAGCTGCTGGGCATGCTTGGCAAGACGCTGCGCATCCGGAACAGCGGCTTCCGCATGCTGCCTAACCCGACACCATATGTGTGGGACAAGAACTTCTTCAACCTCCGGAGACTCGTCAGGGAATACTCGGGGAAAGTGCACGACTCGGAAGCCGATATTCCTCCAACACCACAGATCAACCAGTTGAAGCATGATGCCGCGATGCTGGTTGACATCTTGAATGAAGACAAGAGGTCTAGTACACCCGGTTATTCCCTGCCGCTTCTGAACAACCTCCACGATGTACTCGACAGGTGCGATGCCTTCCTGAAAACGGAGACGGATCGAGACCTCGTCCGCCTAGTTGTACGGGAGCATTTCCAAGAAGTGATGAGAATGATCAACGAGGAGGGGGACGCCGACGGTGAAAGTACGCGCAGTGGCGGCAAGGGTAGAGCGGAGCACTTCGACGAGCTCACGGCCGCCAGCCCGGAGCGGCGCCAGGAAGCCTTTATGGAGCTTTACTTCTTCAAGGTCCTCCACCAGGTGAGAGCGCGGGCTGTCATGTGGTATGGACGACGGCGAACCACGCACTACGCCCCTTCGACGCACTCGCGCAAGAACTCCATCAGCGACACCGGGCCCGAGGCCAAGCTGGAGGCTCTGTCTCCCACGGCCTCTGGTTCGCCGTCAAGGCCCGTCTCGCCGGCCCCTCCCACGCCTGGCGTGGAGAAGCGTCAGAGCGATCAGTTGGTTCCGACGTTGCACATACATCCGCCGGACCGGGTTCCGCAGCAGCTTCTGGGCATGGATACCACCGAGGGCCTGGATTTGCAGGCGGCCGACATCTGGTGTACGCTTGTCCTGAGGATGCTGTGTTGGCTGCTTTTGCATGATTTCAACAAAAAAGACGTTCAGATCCCGAAGAGCGAGTTGATGGGCAGTCGATTGCCCGTGTACATTGCTTAGGGGGCAATGTCCGGGTGACGTATGAGTTTCTTGTATTTGGACATCACGGCTTTTGACCTTTTTCTGGGCATGCATGGGCGGAGGGAGCCAGGGACCACAGGACTGGGAAGTGACGATGTGATGATCGATTTCTACTTGGCGGGATACGCTGCTGTGGATTGCATGGTGTAACTGTTTGGTATCTTGTTCGAGGCAAGGGCATCAAGAGAGACTGTCCGTGGCCGATAGCTCACCTGCCACAACACTTGTTTGCGCGTCTGCTGCACCCTCTTGCAAAGGAGAGGACCATCAGTAGTCCAACCTTGACACTGATCCTCTCCCACAAGATGCTCAAGAGTCAAGACCGGCCATGCCATGTCCCATCGGCATGTCTGCATGGAAGTGGGGCTCGCTAATGCTGATGAACTGGCAGAAAACCCCACCAAAGGGACTCCGCAGGGAAACGCATTCGAGGGCCTGCTCTCAACCTCTCAACAGCGCCAACTCATCATTCTTAAACCTGCTTCATACCAGCCACCGGAAGACGGTGGATCGATTGCCAACCTTCCATGGCCGAGTTGCCGGTTCTCGCTCACCTCGCGTGCTGGCTCTCACCGTTGCCAATTCCAGCCTCCGGCGAGATGGAGCGAACAGCGCAAGCTTTGGAGCGCCATTATGCGCCATGATGCCCCGCACGGCCGCACCGAAGTCCCCGCCCGAATCCAGTGTCCAGTGACAGGGGCTGGATGCGGTGAGCAAGCGGTGACCGCCTCGAGGTGATGGGATCGGATGCTTCCCGCGAGCCCAGCCCAAGCTGGCGGGGACCAACGATGTGGTTGGTGGGGGGAGCGCGAATCTCTGCTTCATGCCGCTGCTTCATGCCCGACGGCGCGCTGTCCAATCATGCCATCCGCCCTGGATGCAGCGGCCGTTTGCTGGCACCGCTGCATTTGGGCGGCCTGAAACATTTTTGATCTGTGTGTTCCCGAGGACAGGAGCTGCTTTGACTCGATATCGATGCATTTCCTCCCCGTTCCACACTCCAGAACTCTGAACTGTGTACTACTCTGCCATATTGGACCGAACAAGCGACGCTCATGCTGGCATGGGACGAGGTCTCCTGAAGGAACCGGCTTGAACCCAGTCCAGCCACAAACTCCTCACTACACTCTCACCCAGGTCTCCTTGTGTTCATACTCTCAACATGCCGACCACGGAGATCATCACCATCATTAACAACTCGGGGAAGGTCATCAGCACTGTAAGAAGCCCGCTCAACTTCCCGTCACCACTTTGCCCACAGAACGCGCACTAATGGCTTCCAGGGCAAGCAACTAGTCAGCATCTTCAAGGAGGCCCAGGCGGCCTACCGCGACAGGAGAGACGCCTTCAAGGCCGAGCGCGCCGGGATCCAGCGGGCCAAGACCTTTGACGTCTCACAGCGCGGCGATTCGTACTACGATGACCACGCAATCGACCATGCCCACGATCGCCGGCGGTCGTACGACGGCGACGACCGCCGGTCCCGCGCACCCTCCCGCTTCAGCCGTACTTCACGGCGGTCCGAAAGGCCCCGCTCGGCCGAGCGGGCCCTCCCGGCGCTGACGGAGGGCAATCTCAAAACGCACTCCGAAGTGTCGGCGACGACCCCTTCCAAGGCCGGCTCCCGCCCTGCGTATGCCGAGACAGCGGCTCCCCGGCAACCGCTCGCCATTGGACCCCCACCATCGGCCGCTCCCGAGTCAGCCACCGGGTCCGCTGCTGCCCGGGGCCAGCTCGTCCACCGCGCCCGCTCCGACTTCGCCGTGGTCAAGAAGAAGTCGATCGACATGGACCTCGCGTACGGCGACATCCCGCCCGACCTGGCCGAGCGCGACGATCTCGACTACCACCACCCCAACGAGCAACAGTACAGCGGATCATTCGAGCCCCGTGGTAGTAGTGAGGGCGGCGAAACGCCCGAGGAAGCGGCCGCGCTCAACCTGATGGACCGCATCGAGACGTTCCTCGAGGAGGCCCAGTGCATGCACGAGAGCGCGACCTCCATGATCGAGCGGCTGCAGCGCAACCCGGAGGCGGCCGCCGCCGTGGCGCTGTCGCTGGCCGAGCTGAGCTCGCTACTGAGCAAGATGGGCGCCCCGTTTCTGGCCTTCCTGAAGGGTGGCAGCCCGGCCGTGTTTGCCCTCCTCGCGAGCCCGCAGTTCCTCATCGGTGCGAGCGTGGCCGTCGGGGTGACCGTGGTCATGTTTGGCGGGCTGAAGATTGTGAAGCGCATCAGGGAGGCTGCGGAGAGGCAGATGGAGGCGCCGTTTGAGATGCGCGCTGCTGCTCCGGCTATGGCCGCGGAGAAGCCCCTGCCTGCTGTCCCCTCCCCCAGCGCCTACGACGAGGCGCTTGTGCTACGGGAGGTCGAGGAGCTGAGCAGCATCGAGACCTGGCGGCGCGGCATCGTGCCCCTCGGCGCCGGCGATGACGAATCGGCCGCGGACGTGGAGCTGCTGAGCCGCGAGGCGGAGCGGGCTCTGCGCGAGAGCTTCCAGCGCGACCTGGACGAGGTCGAGCCGTGCGACTCGGTCTCGCAGGTCAGCCGCGCGCGGAGCGATCGCAGCAGGCGGTCGTATCGCAGCTACCGCAGTCGCCGGCCGCGGCATGACCGCATCGACGAAGACTCAGTCGCGGATAGTAAAGTCTCGGAGCGGAAGAGCAGCAGCAAGACGAAGGATCGGGACGGCGTAGAGAGCGAGGCGGCCAGCGAGAGGAGCCATCGGAGCCATCTGCGCAGCAGTCGCAGTCACCGCGAGGGCAAGCATGAGGGATCCGGGTCGTCGACTGCCTCGTCGCGCAACAAGCATGATGCCGGGTCGACGGTCTCGCGCTCGTCCAAGCACTCCTCCAAGGTCTCACTCAAGGCCATCGACGAGAAGGAGAGGTTGGACGACGCCGGGAGTGCGGCGGGCAGCGCTGCAGGAAAACCCAAGAAGAGGGAGATGATTAAGCAGCTGTTCAAGATGAAGAAGGAGAAGGAGGACCGCGATAGAGCTGTTTCGGTTCTTGTCTGACGGGGGTTGTCAAGACTACACTTACACGGGGATGCGAAGTCCCTAGGCTTGGAGACTTCGCTGGATAAGTCTTCATCCAAATTTCATGAGACGCTGTTTATTCCAGATTGGGTTGGGTGGAAGAATGCTTTTTCTTGTCTGGCTGTTGTTTTGGCTTAATTCTTGACATTTGTCTGGTGCATGGCGACGAGCGTTACTGGAATTACAGGATCTTTTGAAGGAGCACAGCACACACACTACTCTACCACGCACAACGACATCATGTATCTACATTAGCATCCGGGAATCTTACTCGTTGAATCTGACCCCGTCCACATCCATCTCGGGGCAGCGTGTCGATATCAGGTCGTCAATCACACTCAGCAACGTGGGCGCCGGGTTATCAGGTACGTCAGCGGAGTAAGCCTGCCTGCGGGATTCCATTTATCCTGACAAGTCGGTACTAGGTCACACTTCGGATGAGCCGGGCCTTGGCTCCTGTATCATCGAGCATCCATGGGTATCGAGTTCGGTTGGCATACCTCGGACTTAGTTGAGATAATCAGCGTGAGACGAGCTTGTTCCAGAGCGAGTAGAAACGCCCTTCCGGGACTTGGTTGCTTATTCACGGCTGGAGTGATCCGTACTCTGACCAGTTCGTACCGACATGCTGAATTCCTGATTACCTTCATCAATTAAATTTAAAGTTTACGTATCAGACTGCAGGGGAAACAAGCAACGCCACGCCACCCCCGGTTCTCCCGAACCGTTAAACTAATTTAGCGCTGCACTGCATCTCGGAGATAAGAAGTCAGCATGCTGTGCAACACACGCCTACGAATCCCATCGTCATGGCATCCAGACCAATGCTAGCGAGCATCCGCTCACGAAAGGCAGCAACGATCCCAGTCCATGCCAGCGTCGCAATCTGCTGCAGCTGCGGTGGAGCCCCCGCGCTTCACCGTTTGTTTTTTGCGATGAGTTTTTTGCTTCCCCGCGGCCACAACATGACGGGACGTGGAAAGAGCACCTGCTTCGTCTGTCCACCTGGCACGCCGAGACACTCCAGCCGGTGATACTACTACCTCCAGGGTAGGGTAGCGTTCTGCGGCGATCGCAGGATTCAGGACTGCCGCCGGATTTTGATGAAGTCTATTTCCGTGCCCTCCGGGGGCTCGGCTGACTGTGCACTAGAGAAGCTAGTGCTCACCTCGACGGGGTATACAGATGGAAGGAACAGCCCCAGCCGTCTCCAAGGTCTCCGCCGGCATGCACGGTACACGTATCGACATGGAGAAAGCACTACCCCCGAGGGATCGGGGAAAGATGGGTCTGGTCGACTGGAGTGTATAAGTACCTGAGCGTGCTGCAGTGGTGACCGTCCCGTCCTTCCTGTCCAGACCAACTTCTTTCCGCCATCATCACTCCCATCTTTTGCCAAACCACGGGGCCAGCAACACTGGCCAGCAACACCTCCAGTCTTGCCACCAAGCGGTCTCAAAGGCAAATCATTACTCGTTACAGTAGTAGCATTGGAGCATCAGCAGTTCTAGACTTTTACAACAAACAAGATGGCCTCCCAGCTCCACCTCACCGACGCCAGCGGCACCAACGCGCCGCAGGGGATGCAGGCGTACATGGGCCCGAGTCTGTTCCAGCCGCACCGCGCGCGCCAGGCCATCCGCGACGCGCACGAGAAGAAGATCCCGTGCATGATTGGGTACTATGCCGGGCTCAGCTCGCTGCCCATCACGCGCTTTCTGGCGCCGATGGGCTATGACATTGTCTGGATCGACTGGGAGCACACCTCGTGCGGTGTCGAGACCATGACGTCGGTACGTTTTGTGTTGTGCCGTTGCATGTTTGGGAGAGGAGCCATTGGGCTGACGAAGTTGCGCAGATGGTTCACGAGGCGATGTTCATGAGCGCGGGGCGCACTATTCCTTTTGTCAGGTATGGACCACTCTCTTTTTATACGGATTCATCCCGGCAAGCTGCCACTGACACCGCATTGTTTGCAGAGTGCCCGGGCACGACCACGCGGCCATCGGCTTCGCGCTGGACGCGGGCGCGAGCATCGTCATCCCGCAGCTCGAGACGGTCGAGCAGGCCAAGCACGTGTGCTCGGCGGCCAAGTTCGGCACCAAGAACCGGGGCACACGGTCGGCGCCGCCGTTCCGCATGATCCCGGGGCTCACCGACATGGGCATGGACGGGCAGCGCGACGTGTGGCAGAACCTCAACGACCAGGCGGCCATCATGGTACAGATCGAGTCGCTCGAAGGCATCGAGAACCTAGACGCCATCCTGACCGAGTGCCCGGAGATCGACGTGGTGTGGCTTGGTAGCCTCGACTGCCGCATCAGCATGAACCTGCCGGCCAACTTCGGCCAGGGCAGCGAGCCCGAGTGGCTGGCCGCCGTCGACAAGTTCAACGCCACGCTCAAGAAGCACAACAAGCCCCGCGCCGGCTTCTGCATGGGCTCCGGCGAGGAGCTGGCCAAGGCCGCCGAGGACAATGTCATCCTCCTCCATGCCGCCGACGTCATGCAGTTGATGGGCATGGCGCAGCAGCTTGCCGCCGCGAGGCAGGCCGTGGCGCTCAAGAAGGAGTAACCAACTTGAAGTGGGGGATTAATAGGTAGACTTGGTGTTTTGAGTGTCTTGTGTTACAGGGTTGGAGTACTAAACATAGAGGAAATCACTACTTCGCCCCTTGTACTCTTATACCACGATCCGGGGTAGTAGGTAGTCACTACTAGTAGACTTCACCGTACCTCCTTTCATACCTGCCGCAGCCTGTGGTAATTACTAGTGGCTACCTTATTTCAAAGTTCCTCAATTCTGGAGTACTACCTAATGTATGGCTACTGTCCGTCCAGCCGCGGCCCCTGATACCGCGTCCTCGCATACCAAATCCAGTTTCCAGCCGCAAACAGAGCAATGATGCCCAAAACAGCGTACGCATAGTCTATGAGCCAGCAAACTGACAGTTAGCTGTCTTCAACAACAACAATAACAACACAACACCCGGGGCTGGCTTTCTCACTCATATTGCTTCCTGTAGCAGGCAGCTGAGCCGGGAGGCTATAAAACACGAGCGCAACCAGGCCATGGACAACGGTCAGCGTGTTAGCCACCCAGCCCACGGCACTGGGCAACCTAAACTTGGACGACGACGACGACAGGAGGACTCGGTCGACAGCCTCCCTGCCCCTCAGGCGATAGCGCAGGACCAGCGCGGCGGGGATGGCGAAACCGAGCTGCTGCAGGATCAGGCCCGTCCCAGCATGGCGTTGAACGCGGACGTGGAGCCCAGGTAGACGCAGCCCAGGGCGACGACGGCACAGTTGGCCGAGAGCGCCCAGACAGGGACGCCTGCGAGCCGGGAATGGGGATGAGGATGGGGATGGGGATGGATAATGCGGCGGAGCAGGTGGGAGCCCACGAGGGCGTCGTCGGGCGCGAAGCACCACGTCAGCCGGCTGGCCGTTTGCAGGGCGCCGAGCACGCCGAAGGAGCCGCATAGCATGAGAATGAGCAGGAAAGCGGTGGCGGCGGCGGGGCTGGAGAGGGCTTGTTGCCATAGCTCGAAGATGGGGAATCTGGTGATAGGGGTGTGTGGGTTCAACAGGTTAGAGGCAGTGCTACTACTAGTACTAAAAACAAACAAAGGATAGAGGGGGGGGGGAGGAGGGACCAAAAAAAAAGGAAAAAAGAAGAAGAAAGACACACGGAGAAGCCAGGACCGCATCAAAATTATGATACGAGTATGTCATGGCCACGGCAAACACAAAGGCCGTCGCCCCGCCAATGGTCACGGTCGAGAGGAGGGCCCACGGAACCGCCACCGCAGGGTTGATGCAATCCTCGGCGATGTGGATGGCTCCGTCGAGGCCGGAGTAAATGAAGTTGGCATTGAGAAGGCCGGTCAGAAAGTCAATGCCGTCCGACGCCCAGCCCGTGGTGTTGATGAAGGCGCTCCAGACAAGTTGGTTGGGCTGCTTCGGGGTGGGACCTTGCCAGGCAAGATGCAACGATGACAAGAAAGCCGGCGATGGAGAGAACGACTTTTGTGAAGAGAGGCGATTGTTGGCCCTTGTTAGCTTACTACTACCAGTACTACTAGTAGTACTCGAGATATGATTGGGGATAAGGGCTTATATCAACAGTGGTTGACTTACAGCCGACATCGTAGAGCCACGCAGTGCGCTTCAGCAGCAAGATGTTGTACGCTGCAAAGAAAAGATTCACGGCTTGATACATGAGAAACATGAGCCACCTCCGGGGGTCGTAGGCCGGATCCCAGTACATTACTAGCGCTGTGATCATCTGCGGGATGGTGATGGTGAAGCCTGCAGCCAGCACGATCCAGCCAAAGACATTGAGTAATCCGCAGATATAGCTCTGCAATGACAGCCGATTGCGTTAGTACTAGTCCTAGTAGCTGTAACCAAGGGAGCTAGTAGGACGATAACAAAGGGAGAGGTGGAGAGTTGTCCTTACCAGGACCCGGCTGTACCTTCTCGGAGCCAGGATGTTTGTGTAATGGTATTGCCCGCCCGAAGTCGGATACACGGACGCGATCTCGGCCATGGTGAGAGCGCACGCTGTCCCCAGGATAAAAATCAGGACAATGCCGTACCGCAGCGTGACGGAGCCGCCCGCGGCAATGGATACGGCAAGCGTGGCGGCGACAGACGGCGGCCCAACTGTTGCATATGTTCCACCCCATGGCAATGACGGCCGCAATTCCCATGTCTTTCGCCGTCTGCGGTTGTTCGAGCCCGAGACGCGAGAGGTCGAAGTCCTCGACCTGCCCACCACTTACCGAGTCAGCTTCTCGAACAGAACAGAGGAGTTAGTGGAGCCGGAAACCTGGCCGAGACAGTATCGAGGAACTTGAACTTACTACTCTTCTCTAGTCTTGTTATTGTGTCATCATCACCACGTGCCTTCTGGCACTGGTCTTGCGAGACCGTTTTCTCGATCTCAGGGGCCATCTTCTGAATGATAGGGGCTTGGAAGGGGGAAGACGTCACCCGCAGTGACTTGTGTTACTGTCCGTTGCACTCGGGGCATACTCTATCACGAATGTCCATCATGGAAGGCGGCGAGACGGCGTTGGCATTCAACTTATAACCTGAACTTCATAGTGGTAGACTGAGCCGTCAACCTAGCGCCGAACTGCCGCCCAGCATATTCCTACTGATAGTAGCAAACGACACTGATAAGGGGCGAGGTTGAGATAAGGATAGGGCATAGGTGTGCGGAGTGCAATAGCGTGGCCTCCAATATACATGTCCCGTGTTTGAACCGGTGGCCTATCGAAGAGCCAGACTTCCCAGGTAGGAAATGAAAGTGAGAACTGCAAGACATGTAGTATTCGTTCCTCCTTATCATTATCAAGAGCTAGTACTCCCAGTTTGTTCTCCCAAAACGAGTGGTAAAAGTGAGAAGACGCAACGCAGCGACGGACATCAGTTACCAACAGATTGCCGACGGAAGCATGGCAAGCCGGAAATGGCGAAAAGATCGACTCTTGTATCCTGATGCGGCATCGTCCCCCGCATCGACATGGTAGGCTTGGTTGAGAGCCATTACGCTCGACCAGAGAATTGCCTACTTATCTAAGGTACGATGTTTCCCTCGGATCAAGCTTAAAACTGGCGTCTACTCCTGCTCACCTCAGGATCGAACTCACCAGGAACAGCACCAAAGTCTTCTTCTATCGTCGTTTGCTTTTCCAATTCCTCGGTACATTCCATGCATTAAAATGATCAATCCTCCTGGACACCGCAGCCGTGACGGCTTCCAGTGGACCAGAGAGGGCGGTCTCCAAGCCGGGATCCCCTCGCTGGGCGTCATCAAGCCGACGAACAACCTGTCACCGGCCGGCACGAACGACGCTGTCTTCGATGTCATCGTCGTCGGCGGCGGATACACGGGTCTCACGGCCATCCGCGACCTCGCCCTGGCCGGGCACCGGGTGCTCCTGCCTGAGGCGCGAGACCGGATCGGCGGCCGGTCGTGGTCGTCCAACATCGACGGGTACCCGTACGAGCTGGGCGGCACATGGGTGCACTGGAATTAGCCATTCGTCTGGCGGGAGCTGTTCCGCTACGGCATGTCGTCGGCTCTTGAGATCTCGATGGTGACCGAGAGCGGGCTGAACAAGTGCTTCGTGGATATGGGCTCGAACAGGTTGGAGATGAGCCACGAGCGAGAGGTGAGAGACGAGAAAAACATGCATGCTGCTTTTAGCAAAGAAGAACTTTTATGATGGGGAGCTTACCAGTTGTTCTCATTTTCGTTACCACCATTAGGACATCCCGTCCGAAAGCGCCCTCATCAAGTACATCGATGTGGACGGACATCTCGCTCGGACCGTGATCCCCTTTCCGCACGACCCGCACTACGACAAAGAAGCGGTTGCGCACTATGACGCCATGAGCATGGCCGACCGGCTGGCCGAGATCGCCGACGAGCTCACGCCGGTCGAGTACAGCATGCTGGAGCAGTTCCTGGCCGTCACGTGCGGCAGCGGCCGGTTCGAGGACGCGTCGTTCTTTGAGGTGCTCCGCTGGTGGGCCCTGATGAACTATAGCTACCGCGACTTCATCGCCCTCGGCCTTACCTACAAGCTGCGGCACGGCCAGCCGGCCTTGGCGCGCGGCTTCTTTGACGAGGCGCTGGCCACAGGCAACCTCCGGTACAGCCTTCGACTCGCTCGTCATCAGGGTTGTCGAGACCCGGGAAATAAGGGCGGGCTGGTCGAGGTGACCACTACTGCTTATTGCGGTCCCGCTAGCAGGAGCAGCAGCAACAGCAGTAGCAGCAGCGCAGGCACAGGTACCACAGCGACCTTCCGGGCGCATCGCGTCATCTGCACGGTGCCGCTCAACGTGCTCTACAAGATCGACTTCTCGCCGCCGCTTTCACAAGCCAAGAGCGAAGCGTCCAAGCTGGGGCACGTCAACCAGGTGGCCAAGTGCCACGCCGAGCTGGGCCACCCGGAGCTGCGGTCGGTCACGGCCTTCTCGCGCGACGCCAAGCTGACCTACGGCTTCGGCGACGGCACGACCCCGGCCGGCAACACCCACGTGTGTGGCCTTTGGGAGCGCCCGGGCGGGGCGCCATCTGCAGCCCGAGGAGGACATACAGGAGACGCTGCAGGCGTGGCGGGATCTCATCGTCGGCAGAAATACTCCTGGTACTACTATGATGGAGGGCGTTTATTGATGGCGCCATTGAGGACGGCGGCCGGGTTGCGAAGGAGGCTTCGGAAGAGATACGCGCCATGCGCCGGCAGGAGGGAGATAGTAGCGGGTCAGTTCCGGTCAGACACCGGCTTTGAGTTTGAGTGGTTTATGATGATATTGGTAAATCAGTAGTAGTATGTACCTGACAGCCTGTAATATCTGCCGAGCTGCTAAATCCCCATGAGGTAGATATGGTCCACGGACACCCCCTTATCTCTACCACGTAACCACATGCTCAGGTCCAAATCTCGAGTGGGCCCTCGTCTTGGAGTGACTGATAACGCTTCCAGTTCCATTGGTCTTCCAATGGTTGCAGTATTTGCCCCAAGGTATACCCGGGACTCGCAGTCGGAGTAGGCACCGGAACAAGGCAGCTGAGGAGAAGCGGCAGATCCAAGATTCAAGTACAGACGTGCGGTCATCATTGTCCGATTTCTGAAACCGCCCTATTCAAGCTAGTAGTAGACTAGTATTAGTACTAGTACCTAGCTTCGCCCCTGAGTCTCCATACGAGTGAGGGTTACATGAGCGACCGTGATGCAACAACCAAAGAAAGAAGGCAGTAAGCGTGCTAGTCGCCACAGTAGGTAACCACTCTCTTCCCGCCACCTATGGTACTGGTCTTACCTCTTCTGCCCCTGCTAACGGGATATCTGTAGCCAAAGGATGCTACAACTGTGTGAAGCGGCGCATCACCTGTGATCGGACCCAACCCCATTGCCGCAAATGTCTTACAAGGCAGATCCAATGTCCCGGATACGGTGTCAGATATCGATTTGCCAATGCCAGGACTGCAAAGGGGCATAATCCAGCGTCCGTTCCCGATCCCACCGTTACCGCACACAAATCCAAGCCTGTTACTCGCTTAGTCCATAGAAGAGGCAGTATCAAATGGGTCCAGTGCTCACCGGTTGCTACTAAAAGAAAGGGCGGGTCCAACCCTGCCATCACTCAGGCTGCCATCGAGTCGACACAAAATCCCGTTTCCCACTTTAAGGATCGGGATACACCCAACACGGTCACCTTTAATACTACTAGTAGTATCACCCTACCGCCGTTGCTGGCAGCACAGGACAGCAATACGCGACAGCTCTTGGATCACTGTAGGTTCCAGCATTCATATCCACATAAATATACTCGTCAGATGCTAAAAAGAGACATCTCAACTCAGTCGCCAACCATGTCTCCCCGGCCATGCTCATGTTCGACGACGAGGCCAACGGCTACCGGTACGAGATCCTGCCGCTGGCCCACGTCGACCCAGTCGTCCGCCGGGCCATGTGTGTTGCCGCCGCATTCCACCTGTCGAGCAGGAGCATGCCGGAACCCCGCGAGCCGGCGGAACGGGGACGAGATGCCGTCATCCGCAAGCTGCGCGAGACGGCGCCGCAGAGCACGGGCCGAGCTGATGTCGGACGAACGCGCCTGGGCGGCCGTGCTCCTGCTCATCGTGGCCGACCTTGGCACAGGGCACGAACACGCCATCATGCTGTACAGGATGCTGGACTGCTTCATACGTTCATGGAGGAGCGCTGAGGCCCAGGGGGTGGGAATAAGGCCCGCCTCCAGCTTGGGCTGTTTCCTATACTACCAGTCCCACTTGTAAGTCGTCCCGCTACGGCGCATATTTACAACCCGGCCCTCGACGAAGTACTACTACTAGTGGTACTAGTCGGGCCACGGAACCAAAGCTCACACCCAAATCCTAGGATCTCTTTCTTTGCCCGCCCCGCCCTCGCCGAGTCAGGGGCAGTCAAGCACTTCACTCAGGTCTTAGCAGATCCCCTGACAAGCCTCGAACAATATGCACCTCGCCAGCGGCACAAGTGGCCCCTCCCTCGCTCTATGGGAGTTATCGGACTCCGAGGAGAGACAAGTAGGACTAGTACTACTTGCATCCCTGGCAGCAGCAGCAGCGCCGCAGCAGCGGACAACGAGAGCGCCATAGTTCCCGCACTCTCCCTCTACGAGAGCATATGGCGCTGCGCGGTAGAGATGTACATCCTTCGCGCCAACTGTCCCGACACCACCACTACTACCACTAGTACTAGTAGTACTCAACAAGAACCCGCAGAGCAGCAGCAATACACCGCCATTCTTCTCAGGACGACCGCCCATCTGCGCAGCCTGTTCGAGCAGCTGGATCTGTCGGCCGCCGGCGCGCACACAATCGTGTTGCCCGCATTCGTCGGCGCGGCCGAGGCGCGGAGCGAGCATGATTGCGACCTCTTCGTCGCCGTGTTGAACAGTATCGCCGAAGAGATGGGCTACGGGAATGTCGTGCAGGGCGTCGCGGCGCTGCCAAGGCTGTGGGAGAGACGCGCAGGCGGGAAGCGGTGGACGGCTGTGTTGCCTAGCCTTGGAATTTTGATTATGTGAAGGGAGGTCTGTTCTGAAGTCATCTTAGTTGCAGCCAGCAGATTCTGAATATTTGCTGACTCTCCGCGTGTCAGGCCTGCGCAGGGGTTTCGCACCGCTCGTCCCAAATCGGCCACTATCTCCGTGGAGCAGCAATTCTTCAAGTCCGAGTCGCTTCACATGCACAATGGTGTGTGCCTGCTCGATCAAGTCCATTGAGTTTTGAGAATAATAGGCCGATGGGAGCTAATGCACTTTGCGCATTAGCTCACCGGAATTGCGCCCCGCCAACCCGGCCCGACACATCCGTTCCACGCCTTCCCGATTCTTCACATTGCATCCTTGGGTAGTCGTAGCCCTATGGCATAGAGCCAAATGCTCCCTATGGGTCATGTCTGTGCTATATCCATCTCCGGATAACTAGGAGCGTTTGGGGGTATGGTTAAACAGATTTCTCCTGCTGAAGCTTCGTCGAAGCTCAGGGTCCGCCTAAGCAACCCTTTTGCTGCCCGGGTCTCTTCCCGTCGCAGGCTCGCAGCACGCCGTGTGGGGCCCGCTAGTTATCGCAAGCGCCTAGCCAGGCCCCCTTGTTGACAGTACCGACGATCTCCCGACATGACATTTTGCAGGGCATCACTTGTTCAGCGAGAATCTCTTTGGTCGAGTGAGGGCTTGTTCGCGAAGCAAAAGACGCTAGTACTAGTGGTCCTAATACGCTTGTCTTAGGTCACTCAGCATTCAAGTTAGTATGGAAGGGAGAGCCCAGTTCCTGCTCGTTGGTGGATGAGATTTGTCCGGCGCTGAGAACCGGGACTTTGTGTGGCTGCACTGCAACCTGCAAGTGCCAGCAGTGGCGAAGTAATTCGTACCCAATTACTCTAGTTGGGTAGGTAAGTAGGTTACACACGGAGTGTACAACGATCCCGAGTCCCGACAGTGACCATATCGACGTACGTGCCTTGGTTTGGCAATGGTATCCGGTTCCGGGCAATACATTATACGACCGACTTTCGCCCGGGCCAGCAGACCCAGCACGGCGAAACAAAAATGCGCGCTGCGACGGTTCTGCAACGAGACCGCCAAAATACGAAACCTAGTTCAAACCCCAGTCAACAGGCTCGGGATGACATTTGATCTTAGGTATCCTGCCGTTAACAATACACTACATTGTACAGATTTGCCCATGGACTCGAAAGGGTTGCACTAGTATTAGTTAGTAGTTGCCACGGGCCGCCCCCTGTAGGTAATATGGGTTGATGAACCAGGAATCAAGAAATTCTGGTCGACGGGAAATCCGGGGAAGGGGATTTGCAACACCGCCAAGCCTGGCTCTTCACCACCCTTCCTCACGTTCGCCCGTCTGTGCACCGGTGCGGTCGCTGGCGACAAACGCCAACTCGGGATAGTGGGCTCGCTTACCCGCAGACGCATGCATGGTACCCTAATGCATGGCTCCACGTCCACAAGTGAGAGGGAGATGAGCGGGAACCAAACTGGACACACTCGTCACACACATGCGCAGTAGTGTGTGTTCGGCTTGCTGATTCTTGGTCGCCACATGTCAACTACTAGTACTGTCGACCGGCTTTGCTCTTGAAGGCCGCAGTCGCTAGAGAAAGTGGAAGATGGACGACTGATTTGGTCCTGGATTTCTCCCGCTCCCTTGAGACGAATCTTTTTTTCTCCCCCGGGCAGCCGTAACTCTTCAGCGCCGGAACGCTGGGACCCTAGATTGATCAATACCGAACCGAACCGTTTCCGCCCGCTGCACACTGCACTGCACTGCACACACCGCAGCAGTGTGGTGTCGTGCAGGGCCGTCTCGGGCACAAGTGCTAGCCGTCTGGTCTCTGGTTTAGTTCATGACTTCAAGCTCTCCTTGACCCACGGGCATGGAGGCGAGACAATCATCGACCACCGACGACGGATTATCCCACGAAGACCTCGGACCCCAGCTCAACCTCGTCTTCTGGCTGCTCACCGGTCTCTCCACCGTCTTCCTCGGCCTCAGGATCTACTGCAAGGTGCACCGCGGCCGCCGTCTCTGGTGGGATGATTACATCCTCATTGCCTCATGGGTAGGGGCCCCATCTCCTAGATAGACGCTACAAGACCCTTGTCAGCAAACACCGAATCTCACCCCTGCTTCTATTTTTCTTTTAGGTCTCCCTCGTGGTCTCGGCCGCAACGACCTCGGTGTGCGTGAGCCTCGACTACGGGAAGAACCTTCACGACATGGACCCAGCCAACCTGCCCAAGATGCCTTTCGTCGCCGTCTTCGCCGGGTTCTTCTCGGTTCTCGCCGCCGCCTGGAGCAAGACCTCCTTCGCCGTGACCCTCCTCAGGCTCTCACAGGGCTGGATGTCAGGTGTCATTTGGTTCATCATCGTCACCATGAACGCCATCATGGGCACCGCCATGCTGTTTATGTGGATCAAATGCCGGCCCTTTGCCAAGATCTGGGATGACAGTATCCAGGGCTGGTGCATTGACCCGAACAAGATTGTGGTGCTGTACCAATGGTCGGCTGGTATGCTTTTCATTGCCTTACTAGGACTTACTACTAGTATTTCTCTTCAGGGAGCACTCGGGACTAACGGAATTCCACCCGCAGGCTGGTCTAGCTCCTCCGATGTTATTCTCGCGCTCCTCCCATGGAGGATCCTCTTCCACATGCACAAAACACTGAGCACCAGGGAACGCCTCGGCGTTGCTGTTGCTATGAGCATGGGATTGGTGTACGACTCTCCTCCACCACTCGTTCCCAAACAGCCCGCTGACAAAGCCGGTGCAGTGCTGGCGTTGCATCGTTCGTCAAGATGGCGATGCTGCCCAAGCTCACGGGAGAACCAAGTATGGTACCTACTCTTATCATCATCAACGTACAATCCATGACAAAGGGGTAGCACAGCTGACGAGCCAGCAGCGGACACAGTGGCAGTAACCATATGGGGCGGCGCAGAGGGATCCATCACCATCATCGCTGCCTCCATCCCTGTTCTCCGGGCCTTCATCCGTAGCGAGATGAATCGTTCCATACCGGTCACGCTCGGCACGACGGACGAGCACCGGCTCAACGCTACGAGTCTTGATACCCTCCCAACAGCAAGAAAAACTCATAACGGCATACATCGAGTTCATAGTCATGTTAGCTGATGAGCGAAATGTCCTTGATCTTGCGTAGTAAATTGGATTATTTCCCCCCCTATCAATTCGGACTTCTAAGGTTAGAGGCAAGCAGTCGAGGGGGGTCCAGAAGCGGGATTCCAATGCTGGCGCTGAACCCATGGCTAGGGTGACTTGACAGTCACTCGAGTGCCCTTCTGGAATGACATGTACACAGACTGTGATGAATGGCGTCGCGACTGATCCGGGCACGTCGCATGTTTGGGTGTCGTTGTTGTGGTGACGCCCCTTTTGTTGACATCGTGATGTGCTCACCAAACCTCTCCCATCGCAACACCAAACCCGTGACAAGTCCCTCTTTTTCCCACACCGACCTGCAGAAGTTGCTCTTGTCGCAAACCATAGGCTGCAAAGTACTACTACTATTACTAAGCTGCGAACTCAAACCAGTGACCGTCACACGGCCAGGTGCTAGAGATATGCCATTGCGCAGCGGCGTGGCGGGATCGTGCGTCTCGGAAACAAGCAAAGACGGGGTTCTTGAGTGTGTGGTTGAGGTTGCCTCTGTTAGACTTCTGCCGGGTTGGGCCAGTAGGTAGTGAAGTGGCGGCATGGCAAGACGCTCAGAAACCGCGAGTTGCCGGCAATCCAGGACTTGGCCCTCATGTTGGCCCACAGAGACTGCCACCACGCTAGACCGCCAGGGGGTTCGGGGGCATCGTAGGCATCAGCGCAGATGACCAAAGGCGACAGCTCGTCAGACCGCGGCTTTGGATTTGGCGATGGAGGACACTGGATTGACGGATCGTATTCCCACGTCTCATCGAGGAAGGCGGCTGCCAGGGTCGAATTGCCGCCCTCCAGCTCGTACAGCACCTGCGCCAAGGCTGGCCAGCTCGTGGAGTTGTACATGGCCGCGTAAATGGCTTGTACGAGGGCCGAGTAGGTAATCAGACGGGCCGCTTGCTTCGTTATAGCCCGGCACGGGATGGGAAACCAGCGAAGTGATAAGATTGTCCAGCCTTTGCTCCAGTTTCTGAAGCGAGAGCAACATGCCGCCTTGCTCGGTCAATCTAGCTAGTGCGCAATGGTCAGGCCCAGCGTTGACGCACTCCCCGAGAAAGCTGTCGCGCCACGCATCAGTAGCATTGTCGAGCGCAGTCCACCCCCACCCACCCAATAAGCGATGGTCCTTCACATATTCGGTTCCGTCCAGAATCAGTCTCCCAACGCGATTCGGGAACATGTTGGCGTAAGTCTGTCCAATCCCTGTCCCATAGCTGACCAAATACCCCGTCAACTCGTCCTCCTACAACGCCGCGCGTATTGCCTCCATGTCCCGCGCGACAAAGGCGGTGCTGACATACCGGCCAAGGTCACCATAACGCTCCCAGCACGAGCGGAACGTCGCGTTATTGAAGGCGTCCGCCAGTTCGAGCTGCCGGTCGGGATCTGTAGATCCTCGCGGTACTGCCTCGTCAACACCCGCCAGCGGTCGCGGAGAGCGTTGTGCGGATAGCATGCGACGGGTGGCAACGACGCGTTGACGCCTCGCGGATCCCAGCCAAGAACGTCGTATTTCCCGTCCGAAAGCCGGCGCGTGATCGCTTCGGCCTCTTCCCACGCCCACCTGGTGCCGCTCTCGCCGGGTCCGCCTGGCTCGAGGACAATGGTCCGGGGGCTTTTGCGGCACGGCAGCCAGGTGTGACTGGGATCGTCGACGTATTCGAGGCCCCCGACTTGGAGTTTGTTAACTGCGAGGCGCGCGATGCGGGGGTCCGACTTATTCGTGTGATCCAAGGGAACGGTGAGGTAGCCGCAGAGGTAGATGGCTCGTCCCGCATAGGGGTTGCCATGTTCGGTTGTTGTCTCTCCCGGCGTTGCATCTCCCCAACTCCAGTGGTCGGGATCGGGGTCAAACAAGTCGGCCCAAGTCCGATCTAGTTCTGGGTCATCGAGTGAAGGAGGGACGGTCAAGTTGGTGCAGGGGAGGAAGTGGAAGGGGTCGGAGGGGTTCGGGAAAACGCCATAGAGAAGGGGGCGCAAAGGCCATGACGGCGGCGGCGGCGGCAACATGCGGTGGTCTTTCGGGTTGCGCTCGGAGGAGAAATGTGGACGCAACAAATCACTGCGAAAGGATGACACGCCAAAAGCTAGGAAGCTTATCAAACCCAGCATCGCGCTGAGCGACACGCGCTTCTGCGGACTCGGTGTCGGCATGATTATTGGGACTGTTTTGTCCATCGTTGATGCTGTAAAAGATTGTGTTGTAGCAGAAGCCTCGCAGTTTTCCATGTTGGCTTGGGTGACTGGAGTTTGTTGATTCGCGGCGTCCTTCCCGGACCCAAACAGCGCGGGCAAACTTGGAAACCTGGGCGATGGAACACCGTAAATCCAACAATATGTGAGTGTTGATAGGCTTACAAATTGTCAGACATTTTGAGCACGACAGAAATTTGAGCAACCCCCCACGGCGCCACCTGACCAAACAAACAAGCCCCAATATGCATGCATGACCTGGTGCATTCATTGTGGATGAGGCTGATTCTCAGAGTGGGTAGGTACTAGGAGTATGTAATATGTACCTATTGTACATTCCCGCACAACAGAACGGCTCAGCGTGGATGCACAATTGCAAATGGCAGGAAGAACAGCCAATAACACTGCACGTCTTGTTGGTAACGTTTGGCGCGTCCTGCTCGTATCGGGGTTGTTGAATCCCCCGCAACACTTGTCTTACCAAGGCTCTGGACGGGACGTGGAATTTTCGATCGAAGCATCATGCCGCTAGCAGTCGACGGGCTTGAGGCTCTATGAGGGCGCAATCTCATTAAATATGCAGCCCGGTTCCTGTCCAATACGACGAATCTTCTTGACCTCCGGGGTCTTCGCAGCAAACCCTTCCACAGCGCATTGTCCTTCGCGGTCTTCCACACGCCAGACCAATTCTTCCAAGCACACGACGCAGCTTCGTGACTTCAAGTCAGCAAGATGTCAAACCACAAGCCAGAGGTACTAGTACCTACTTAGCTGGCACCCAACCAAGACATCCATGTGCTCTCGTATTGACAGGGGTTTCACAGTGTGCCAGCGCCCGGTGTGTCAGCACGAAGAACAATCTTCATGAAATGTTTCCCGATCTAGAGGTCCTACCTCGCCCTGAGCCCAATTATGCCTCGAAGGAAGAGCATATTTCCTGGCAGCAGGAGTATGAGCAGTGGCGGGGGCTCAGATGTGGCTGTGGCCGAGGATACTTTTGCCGAGAACATGGAAGCTGGATCTCCGGGCTCGAGGTTGGCTCCAAGGTGGCTGTTACTTGGGAACAGCAACAGCGTGGCTTGTGCCCGAATACCACTACAAAGTTCAGGCAGTGGGACAATGCAACACCGTGGCTCGGGTGCTTATTCCCTTCGCAGGTTACGAGAACATCCCCGCTTACGTCGGTCAGCGCGACGGCCTCGCACCCCAGAGCCCTGAAGATTGAGATCTGATCATGAATCACCTACCGGCCGTTTCAGCCGCTGTCCCTTCCCTTGACGTTGACCGATGCCCGGGACGCTAACTCTTTTGGTCTTTGCCCGAGTACTTGGCTTGTCCTGCCTTTTGGCTGTCTTTCCTTTACGACCTCTAGTTCTGCTCACTTGCTTGCCTGACATATACTTACTGGTATTGAGCGGTAATGGGCTATGACTTCTTTGTGGAATCCAAAGACTTTCTCATCGATGCCGCGGATCTTGAGACAAGATTGAGAGTAACAGTAGGTAGCACAGACTTCTAAGCTTTACTAGTAGTGGAAGTTTGTCGCGCAATTGTCGCACATGCATAGTTTGCACAGCTTGCTCTTTGCCTTTGGTTGGGCGGACCGTGATAACATCCAAGGCTTGATGATGTGTAAGAAGCAAGGGACTCCGGAGATGCGCGAAGTTCTAGTGGATCATGTAGGAACTCCGTGAGGCCGGCGGACGCCTGGACCAATGGCCCCTGACCCCCCTTCATTCTCTGCTTCCTTTCCGACCTGCCACCCCCCATCCTTCCCGACGTTGTCGTACCGCATCAAGACCCACACAATCCGGTGAGGCAGACTGGAGTTCTTGGACCTCCAGGTCGGCTGCCAACGGACTAGGGGACCATCTTCCGCCCGTCAGTCCGTTCAGGTACACAAAAACAGTCGCGCCCTAATCCAAACCAAACTCAAGTCGTGCAGACAGGGTATAAACATCTTATTGGTTGCGCCAGCTTTCATCCAACGCTGTACGAGGTGAGCAGAGCGCGCCCGACAAGGCGAACACGATGCCACCACATAGGGTTGTTCAATATTGTGTGATACATATAAACTCAAAGCACCCTTGGCCATTTAATCGGCTGGTACGCCCGCAAAGGAAGGCTTCTCCATATTCAGCATATCCGTAGCGTCATCTGCTTCAACATGAATAACGCGCAGTACTCAAGGTTCTTCCAGGGGTGCGATGCTTCATGCTGGAAGGAAGCCATTCAGGTTGACGAATCCCTTGAGTGTCAGAGTTCCATTCACTGACGTCTGAGTAAATAGATCCACAACAATAGTTTGAAGAATGGCCAGTCGAATAAAAACTGTATTAGACTGGATGGGACCAGCAACTCTGGAGACGTCCAGGGGATCAGTGCGGACAAACTCATGACCACTGCTATAGACTCTTACCAGAGACTAAACAACAAAAGGGGGCCACTGGCGGTCACCCTGATGCACGTCTATAGCTCTCTGCACCATCACGCAAAAGCTATTGATGTGTTTGTTCAATGTCAGCCGGACGTCGAGTGTCTTGTTTGGGGTTCCGTCAGCATTCTTCTCCAGGTAATAATGCCATATGCCATCATAGGGAAACGAGCCGCTGATGCGTATCATTTTGTTTCAGATTGTTGATGATGAGCAACGAGCCTGTCGGTTAGCCGGAGAGGTACACTGGAGGTTCTCCGACATGCGGATCGGTGGGAACAGATATCGACCATCTCCGACCTCTTGGGTGCGCCTAGCATCAGAAAGGCCGTGGTATACCTCTATGTGAGGGTTCTAGGGTTTTTAGTGTCATCTACGCAATGGATGAAACAGGGCTCTATAAGTACTAAGAACTCATCAACTCCACATATCAGTCCCCTGACAATCCTAGTACCGGAACGTCAGCTGACGACCTCGGTTTAGCAGAGAGACTGGGGCTTTCGTTCCTCAGCTCCAAGGCCGATAAGTTTACGGAGAAGCTGGAGCAACTGAAAGCCGCTGCCAAGGTGGTAGACATGGAAGTTCAGACAAGGGGTACTTACAGTTTTCTTCTTTGACCTGGTATTTCGCAGTACCGAATAGTTGCCACTCGTGGAGTTGTCTGCTGACAAAAAACTCAAAACCACATCTCCAGCCACGCGAAGAAGTCTGTTGTCCACCGCTGTATTTCTAGGCGGAATTCACGTACTAATTCCTGTATTGATGCCAGGCCTCGAGACTCTTGGAAAGATCACATTTGACATCACTGGTGCTATGGACAGGCTCGACGAAGTCCTTGGTTGGGCGCAGCAGCTTTCCGGTAAGCTGAACAATAACACCTCCATGACAGGCGACGATTCATGACCGGGGAGGGCCGGGAAGTCGGAGAAAACTGGACTGTGCTGACTGCATCTTGAATGAACCAGACCGCACATCGAATTTGCAACTTGCCGGGGAACTCAGCTCAGACGAGAACTAGTCACTGACCCAGAACGTGCTCGCAGGTACCTTCTCAGATTCTCATTCGAGTAAGGTTAAATGGCTCATACAAACCTATCTTAGAACTCTCGAATCTCCCCAGTTCAATAGCACATAATATCTTCAAGCAGATGCAAGGTTTGTCATCGCAGGTCATTGACAAGGAACTGCCAGTGTCCCAACTGATAACGTGATTTATAAGTGAGTCGTGGGTATAAGCGGGCCGTGGCTTTCCAAACGCGACATATCACATTTCCACTTAACATCAATTTTCTCTATAACCCGATATGCCCTCCCCCTCAAAAGAAGCCAGGGTAGTCTTAGCCCTCGAAGCTCTTCGGAGCGACAAACAGCTACGGCTTAAAGCCGTAGCTAGGCTCTATAACATACTGGCTTCAACCCTCAGGGACCGACGCGCTGGCAAGCCTGCACGACGCGACTGTACGGCCAATTCGAAGAAGCTTACGGAATCCGAGGAGCAGGCTGTCGTTCAATATATCATTGACCTAGTTGCACGTATATTTCCACCTAGACTCGCTAGTATAGAAGATATGGCCAACCAACTGCTACATATACGCGACGCGCCCCCTATCGGCAAGCTCTGGGCCCATAACTTCGTCAGGCATAAGCCAGGGCTTAAGATGTATTAGGTACGTCGGTACGACTACCAGAGGGCCAAATACAAGGACCCAAAGGTTATTCGCGAGTGGTTTGCACTTGTTCAGAATACCAAGGCCAAGTTTAGGATCTTAGATAACAATATCTATAACTTCGACGAGACTAGGTTTATAATAGGTATCATCTATACGGGTATAGTTGTTATAACCTCTAACGGCTATAGTAGGGCAAAGCTAGCCTAGCCCGGCAATCGCGAATGGACAACGGTAATCTAGGGAGTCAATGCTCTTGGCTAGGCTATCCCTCCGTTCATTATCTTAGCCGGGCAGTACTATCTCAGCAACTAGTATACCGAGGCCAATCTTCTACTTGCCTAGCGTATTGCGACTACCAATAACGGCTAGACTACCAATGAAGTAGGCTTCGATTAGATCAAGCACTTCGACTACTATATAAAGTCCCGTACAAAGGGTATATACCGGATATTGATCCTCGACAGCCACAAGAGCCATTACTCGACCGAATTCGAGAACTACTACCGGGATAACAACATTAAGACGCTCTGCATGCCTATATACTCTTTCTATAAGTGCCAGCCACTCGACGTTGGCTGTTTCGGGCCGCTAAAACGGGCGTACGGTCGCCAAATCGAGAACTTAATACGCGCGAACATCAACCATATCAGCAAGCTCGAGTTCCTCTATACCTTCCGCGAAGCCTTCTTTGCCTCTATAATAGAGAGCAATATATAGGGTGGCTTTATAGGGGCCGGCCTTATGCCGTACGATCTAGAGAGGGTGCTTTCTACCCTGGATATATAGCTTTATATATTAACACCCCCAGCCTTATAGCCTACTATAACATAACCTTAGGTCTCCCAGACATTATACAACCCCCAAGAAACCGAATCATAGTCGACGCTCATCAAGACTCGCATTGCCAACCATCAAAACAGCTCTCCGACTTCGATGTTGGCGGCTATAGATCAACTTACCAAGGGTACAATGGCTATCATGCACCAGGTAGCTCTCCTTCGGTCAGAGGTCTCTTCGCTCCTCAAGGCCAACGAGGCACTAAGCAAGCGCCGCAGAGCTAAAAGAACGCGCGTACAGCTTGGAGGATCACTTACTGTGCAAGATGCATAGGATTTACTGGCCCAGAAGGCTGTGGGTGGGGAGGTAGTGGAAAATACACAGCCGGAAGGTAGTAGTACGGGGGGGGGGTCGTACAAAGGTTCGGTGCTGTGGTGTGTGTGGCAAGCCTGGCCATAATGCCTGTACCTGCCGAGAGGCTACAGAATCGTCTGATTCAGCTGTTTCTAATGTAATTGTAGTTGGTTGATACTGTTGTTGTTGTATTTTGGACGGTTGTTGTTGTAGGGTAGTGGAAAAGCCACGGCCCGCTTATACTCACGACTCGCTTATAAATCACGTTATCGGAGATCATTCATTAGCGAAAACGGATTTTGCAGCAATCAAGCAGTGGCTGCTTCGCACTACTGCTGAGGCACCGCCGCCAATTCCACCTGCCGACGGCACCTGTCTCTGGCTCCTAGAACATCCCACCTTCTTGACATGGAGAGTAGCGGAGGAGAGTCCGGTTCTCTGGGTCCAGGAGCTGTCAGGTCAGTCATGGAGTAGACCAATTTCGCCTGGCGATGATGCCCTGCCCGCTAACACCAACACTAAGTAGTAAAGGCCGTGGTAAAACGACGCTGGCTTGTTACACTGTCCAGCATCTTGAGGCCGAGGGTCGGAGAACTCTGTTCTATGGGTTTCAGCGCTCGGCATGCCCAACGCAGTCGAACCCGACGGCCTTTGCAGCTTCTCTCATTCTCCAGATTTTACAAAGACAAAATCCGGCGGCGTTTCCCACATCTGATTGTCTCCAGCAGCTCGTGCGCCTCGCTGCCCAATCTCCCCTTGGCCACCAGCAGTCTTCGTTCAGCAAAGTGTGGGCCATTTTGCGGGCGCTCCTCCTTTCCGAATCCTGGTGGAATCTGGTTATCGATGCCATGGACGATTGTGTGTTTGACAGAACATCGCCACCACAACTTTCTTCCTTCCTGGATGGCATTTTTAACGCTGTATCGGCAACGCACAGCAAAGTCTTGCTATTCTCACGACCCGAGCCAGCATTCATCAGTATCGTGGAATCCGGGCTCTCAATCTACATGGCTGCAGACGTGCTCCGGCATGATGTCATGATCATGATCTTTGCGGAGAGGGAATGCACACACGTCGGCCTTCCTACAAGCGAAAGGATGCGATCCTTGACCAGGTGAGGCAGAATTCCGACGGTCATTCCAATGCGTCAGACTGTTCCTCGATTACCTCCGGAGGTCGCCGAAAGTCACAAATTTAAAGAGGAGACTGAGGACCCTGCCACCGACAATCTACCAACTGTACAAGACCTCACTGATGGAGTCTGCATTCTGCATGGACGAAGACGAGATCAGCTGCCGACAGGACATCCTGCTGCTCTGTTTCCATGCGGAACGCGCACTGACAACGGCCGAGGTCGCAGACGCCTTGTCGCTTTGTCCCGACAGAGCAGCCAGTGTCATCTCAGGTCTGTGCAAGCCGTTGATCAGTACCTACGGTGGCTTCATTCACTATTCTCATCCATCCGTTCGAGAGTTTTTTGAGTCTTGCCAGAACTCGAACGACGACGCTTTCCTCGGACTTCGCTTCGCAGACTCTCACACTTTCTTGGCGAAGAAGTGCCTCGAAGCCCTTATGAGAGAGGAATATGCCGTCCTCGATCGGATTGGCAGTTTTCTCAGACGGAGCCATGGCGCCGACAATCTGCATGGCACAGAGGACGACGATGCAGGAGCCGTGCCGCAGTCTAGCAGCCGGGGTGGCTTCTACAACTATGCCTCCAGAGCCTGGGATTACCACGTTACCCAAATCGAGTCTCCGGATCTTGAACTCCTCCGACAGATCAGCGAGTTTTTGCCGAGCTACCAGTTTGCCTTCTGGGCCGAGTATTCTCGAGCGGATTCGGGACAGCCACTCTGCGTCATACGCGCCCTGGATCGTCTCAAGCCATGGCACAACAAGCTGTGATGTAACCAGAAAGACGCCGTCGACTTGAGTGGATACTTCTCCGAGTCATATCTCAAACTCAGCTCTGTGTATAAGGCCACGGGCGTGGACCTGACCATGTACCTGGCTCTCCTAAGCCTGGGAGATTTCTACTTTGATATGGGGTTTCCCGAAAAGTTCGCACCAATCCGGGGCCAAGCATACCGCGGACTCAACGACGTTCTTGGTCCACGCCATGTCCTGTCATTGCGCGCAAAGTCTGACCTCGGCTACGTGCGACTGTACGGCGGCAGGGTGCGGGATGCGTGGCGAATCTATGCCGAGGTTGCTGATGCCCACATGGAAGTCTTCGGCCAGGACGACATCCGCTACTCGAGGCCCTCATATACAAGGGCGTGAGCGAGTACTACGGGGCGGAATTCGAGAAGGCCGCCTTGACGTTTACCAGGGCGTCGGCGGGATCCTGAAGACCCTGTGCCCGGACAGTTGGCAGTATCTGAGCGCCCAGATGCGGTATGCGCTCAGCTTGGCGCAGCTCAACCAGCTCGATGATGCGATCGACCTTTTATCGGCCATCCGCCAGCGGAGACGAGACCAGTTCGATGCTCGGGACACCTTCGCCAGGGTCGTTCAGGTTGCGTTGGCGGAGGTTCTTCGGATGCTTGACCGCAACACGGAAGCGATCGAGTACCTCCTCGACACGCTGGAGGAGCGACGGGGTACACATTCGATGGGCGATATCCTCCGGCTCGACGTTGAGCTTGCGCTCGCCAGCGCGTACAGCGCCGCCGGCATGAGTCGCGATGCAGCGGCCATCGTGGAGGACGTGGAGCAAAAATGGAGATGTCGCGTCCACATTCGAGAGATCCTGCCAACTCTCCCACGTCAAGGCCCTCTTGCTCGCCAGAGAAGACGGGGGAATCGGGCAAGCCATCAACCTTCTCCAGGATACCCTGATCCAGGCAGAGCGAGATCAAACTAACCGAGCGCTGCTATGGATTCGACTTGATCTGGCTGCCCTGCTAAGACGGCGGGGCGATCCAGATGACGAGGAGGAGGCCGTTCAGTCTTCGACAACACCGTCAAGGATGTCTCGGGCGATTGTGCGCCTGGCTTGGTCGAACAGCCGGACCCTCCAAGACTACTCGCCATAGCCGAGAAAGCTCTGAAGTTGGTCAGATCAAGGGAGGCCATCGAAGCCCGTAAGCTCCTTAACTCGGAGCATGCCGATTGGGTTAGGCCAAAGGACTTGTGGTTATGGATTGCGGGTACTTTCCTCCCCTGATTTACAAGGTACGAGGTTCAAGTTATTTGGGTAGGTAGGTTCTTAGTCATCTTGGAATACGCAAGTTGTTCTTGTCAGTTTGGCGTTCTGCTACGCGTCTTGAGATGGGACTGTAGTCTGTGGACTCAGAATATGTTGCCCCCGAGACCATTCGGTCGAGAGCCTGTCATTTCAGACTTTCAGTAGAGGTGGGAAAGGCGAGCATATCCGTATATTACCTGATCATTTACGGTAATACAGCAGTAGCCCCACAGTGGCAGCTGTCACACATGCGGCGCCAAACCGTCTGATCTCCTCAGAGACATCTACAATACGGAAACTGAAGGTTCAAGCGAGTGCAGCCTGGTGATGGGCAAAGTCTGCGACTTGGCGTGCAGGCGCCATACCAGGTTCGACAGATGGCAGGCGAAAGTGAAGTGTAAATTGAAGCGGACGTAGGCTTTGTGTTTGGTGACTTGCTCCGGGGACCCCGTTGCGTTCAGGTTCTTTACCCATTGATTGCGTCATGATTCGGTCATCGAGGGAGCACCGCCAAGAACTTCAAGAAGCTGAAGATGCCAGTGAAGACAATAAAAAAGGGCCGCTGACAACCTGCAGCCATCTCATTCACACCATCCAGTAAATAAAACATTGTCATTCATCCCACCATGGCTGAGAATTTCGCAAGCAAGCAGGCCGAGGCCGTGCTCGGTCATGGCGATCAAGACAGGGCCACGCATACAGATATCTCCAACCCGGACCGCGAAGGCGGCCGCTATGCCGACGAGAGCGGCGAAAAGATGAAAGCGCTGGCCTGGATGGGCAAGAACGATGTGCGAGTTGGTTCGTACTGCCCCGATGATTCACGTTGAAGTGGAAGTATCGACGATTGAGAAAACCTCCTCGCTGACTGCCAGCCCAGTCGAGACCAGCAAGCCCAAAATCGTCGACGACCATGACGCGATTGTGAAGGTGACCGGGACGACGGTGTGTGGCAGTGACGTCCACCTCATGCACGGCGTCATCTTGCAGATCGAGAAGGGCGACATCCTGGGCCACGAGTTCTGCGGCGTGGTCGAGGCCGTCGGTCCGGCCGTGAAGAACCTCAAGCCTGGAGAGAGGGTTGTCAACAGCTTTGTCGTGTCGTGTGGCGAGTGCAAGTACTGCAAGCAGAAGCTCACGACGGCCTGCGAGAAGACCAACGCGTCTAGGCTGCACGAGCAGCTGTACGGCTCTCGTATGGGCGGCATCTTTGGCTACTCCCATTTCACGGGCGGCTATGCCGGTGGGCAGGCCGAGTACGTAAGGGTGCCCCTGGCGGATAACAACCTGATGAAGCTGCCGCACTCGATCCCGGATGAAAAAGGTAATCTAGCCCGCTCATCCACTCACCGTGCGTGTTGTCTTGTATGAACCCGCTACTGAACATCTCAGGCCTCTATCTTGCCGACGTCCTACCGACTTCATACCACAGCGTCAGCTACACCGGAGTCAATAAGGACGACACCGTTGCCATCTGGGGCCTCGGCCCGATCGGTATGATGGCCTGCTTCTGGGCCTTCCTGAAGGGCGCCAAGCGGGTGATTGGCATTGACAACAACTGGCGCACCGACTACGCCAAGTCCAAGATCGACCGGCTGGAGACCATCAACTACACGACGCTGGGGGAGGGTGAGACGGTGCCCAGGAAGATCCACGAGATGGTGCCGGGAGGAGTCGACGTCAGCATCGACGCCACGGGCGGGGAGTATGCCAAGGGGTTCATGCACAAGCTAGAGCTGAAGATCGGCGCCGAACAAGACACCAGCGAGATGATCAACGAGTGCCTTATGTCGACGAGGAAATTTGGCACCGTGGGCATCATCGGTGACTACGTGGGATGTGAGTGCTTGTCGTGATGAGATTTGAGCCAGCGTGTGGGGAACTGACCTAGAGCGAACAACGCAGTCACCAACCATTTCAATGTCGGCTCGCTGATGGAGCGAGGCATCAAGCTGATCGGCTGCGGCCAGTCTCCCGTGCACAAGTGTAGGTTAGGCCCTAAGAAAACGCTGAAAACGCTGGCTATTACGGTGCGAGAAGACTAACGAGAATAAACCAAAACAAAAGACTGGCAGGAGCTCCTTGAGATGGTCGAGCACGGCACCGTCGACCCGACCATCATGCTCACGCATCGCTTCCAGCTCGACGATATCGCCAAGGCTTACCACCTGCAGGAGAAGAGGGAATCGGGCCTTGTGAAGTGCTTCGTCGAGACACGCTTCTCGCCGCGCCGGACAGAGGGCACGCCGGAGTTGACACGCCTGTGATAAGGGCAAGGCTTGTGCCTTTTGCTAGTTGCTGGCCGTGCCTGCCAGCCACGGCCAAAGCTAGTGCTTTTTCTCAACGGAGAGGTTGGGGTTGAGGACCAGGACTTGACTTGTCGGATCTACGGACACACTGTGTATGACAATTCTCGCTTCACCAACAGATCTCCAATCCCATCTCAGGGACGCACGCAGATACTAGCAACCATGCCAAATTCCGGGGGCGCCTCCGATGTGCTCGTTCCAGTGGCGTCGTCAGAGTTTGGGACTTATCAGATGACTAAGGTGCTGTGAGTACCTTGGCAAACTGCAAGCATCTGCCTTGTGAATGAATGGGAGCCTGACGAACGGTCGTCAAATGAGAAGTCGGATATGATGCAGTCTGAGGGTTTGAGCCGTAAGATCGCTACTTCTGGTATGTCTTTGGGTTCTATTGCGGATGGGCTGACCAGGCTCGGCACCGGGGAGACATGAATGGTTATTAAATAATCCGCCTTGGCCGGTGCTAGCCATTTTCTCACCCGCTCAGGGTAGCAATCGGTTGGGCGCTTTATCGGCTCAGTTACATTGCGCTTGGGATGCAGCGCCAGGCTTTCCGTATGGCAGCCTCCATACGACTGGTCAGGCCGAGCACAAGATCTTTACATCGGTGTAGCCTAATAGTGTCGCTTGGCAATCAAGTGAGACTCCCCAACCTTTAGGGTGGAGGCGAGGACTTCTACCTACTTGCTGCCTTACCTTTGTCGGGGTATATAGAGGGGATGATGTCCTATCTCCTGCAGAGCTGATCTATGGTCCCAACCGAAAGCTACTAACCCTCGGGTTTGGCAACATCTTCTCACGATGCGTACCGTCCTATCGTCTTTGCTTCTCGGGCTTGTCGTCACCGCAGCCGCGGCTTCCCTTGACAGCCACCGGGTTCGACGACAAGCCAGCGAAGTTCCCCCGGGTCCGGTCGATCCCGACGCGCCATCCGACTGCACCTACTTCTATACGCCCCGTGACGTCTCGGACAACTGCACGCACATCGAGCAGGCGCATGGCCTCACACACGAGGATTTCGTTAAATGGGTGTGTACACGCAACATCGCACCCTTAGGTGTTTTTCTCATTACAGCAGGAGCCTCAGCTAATCTGCATCGGTACAGAACCCCAGTCTCAAGGCGGACTGCAGCGGCATCAAGGTCGGCAACTCGTACTGCATCGAGGTGAACTACGGCGTTCCCTCTCCGACGACTAGCACGACGGCACCCACCAGCACAGCAACCACCAAGCCCAGCCCGACCCAGTCCGGACTGATCGACACGTGCACCAAGTTCTACCGCGCCGTGCCGGGGGACTACTGCGTCAAAATCGCCGCCGAGCTCGGCACCTTCACCTTCGCCGACTTCCTCGCGTGGAATCCAGCCGTTCGGTCCGACTGCAGCGGACTCTTCGCCGGGTGGTACTACTGTGTCGAGGCGCCCAAGCCAACGGCACCCAGCACCACCACCACCACCAGTTCGACGGCGACGCCAACCGAGACGTGCAACCCCACGGCGCCGACCCCCACGCAGCCCGTGGCCATCTGTGGGTGCACCAAGTGGCACGAGATTGTCAGCGGGGATACTTGCAGTGTGATTATCCAGAAGTACGGACTGGACGGGAGGGATTTCTACAGCTGGAACTCGAATGTGGGTGGGCAATGCGAGTTGCTGCTGCTGGGGTATTACGTCTGCGTCGGGGTTTAAGGAGGCAGATGGGCAAGCAGGGCTTAGAACTGGTACTAGTAGTTAGAAGCAGGGCAGGTCCAGCACGTCAACATCACCTTAGGTAGACACTGCTCTTCAATGGACTAGTACTAGTAGTGAGTTTGTGCTGTTATTACAAAAACAACAACAACATTGGTCCCTGTTATATCCCTTTCACTCCACCCACACCACCGCACTCAGGCCGTCCTCCTCCCCGGCGCGTCCCTTCTGGCCGACCTGGAGATTCGCCACCAGCTTGCCCAGCCTGCCAGTCGCGGGATCCCGGGCAATGATGGCCACGTTGGACGAGGTCTGGCCGCCGACGGCCAGCAGCGTGCCGTTCTTGTTGAATTGGAAGGTCCGCGGGTAGTACGAGTACGAGTTGGCAGCCTCCAGCCAGGCGAGGGCGCCGGTGGTCGGGTTGATGGTGTAGGTGGCGATGGAGTCCTGCTGCGAGCCAAAGGTCTGGTCCGCGCGGTTGGTCGCATACAGGAAGTTGCCGACCACGCGGATCTCGGCCGCCTTGGTGGTCGGCCCGCCCTTCTTGCCCGGCGCGTACGTCGACAGCGTCTGCGTCTTCTTCAGCGACAGGCAGCCCGAGCCGTTGCTGCTGGGGTATGTCACGTCCCAGGCCGACACCGAGTTGCCGAGCTCGTTCACCGTGTAGGCCTTCTGCACGCCGGCGGCCGACTTCCAGAACTCGATGTGGCGCGGTCCATCGCCGGCGTCGGCCTTCCCCTCGGAGCAGGCCGTGAGCTTGCCGCTGGTCGCGTCGATCTTAAAGATGCGCACGACATCGGCTCCCAGGTCCGGCGTGATGATGAACTTCCCCGTCGGGTCGAGATGCACCTCGTGCGGATGCGGGACGTCCTGACGTGGGTTGGGACCGCGCTGCGCCATGGTGAACTTTTCCAGCTGCAGCACGGCGCTGCTCAGGAGCGGCATCTTGTAAGTGGTGATGGTCGATGGTGAACTAGTAGTATCCCAGTCAGTGTCTTCGTAGTACGTCCCACTTCAGTTCAGTGCCGCTCAACTCACTACTCCGCCGTCGCCACGAAACCCCTGCCATCGGCGCCGCCGTACAAGACGCCGTGGACCGTATTGCCCGTTGTCCTGGCCTGCCCCGTCAAGGTGAGACGGCCGTCGCTGGCCACGTTGTACTCGGAAATGACGCCGCGTCCGGTCCAGGACTCGTCGAAGCAATACAGCTTGCCTGAGTCCGAGTAGAGCTCGATCCATCCCGGCGTGGTCCCGCACCCGCTGGTCTGGGACACCATGGACAGGGTGCCACTGGTGTTGGTGCCGGCAAAGTCTAGTGTGTAGACGCCGCCGGCGAAGTGGGAGGCAATGAGAGCGGCGCCCAACGCCCCGGGTGCCAACGCGATGCCGGCGACGATCTGAGTGAGGCGCGCCATGGTGGAGTATGTGCTCATAGATGATAGTACCGGTGGTGATCCTGTGTTCCCGTCCGGGCTCACTTACTTACATGCCTTATATACTCAGTAGTACCGCCGATTCAGAGCTAGCCGAGATATTGTCCAGGGGCGTCACCCTCCGGTTTTCATTTTAGCCGGAAACAAGCCTTGTGGGGTTTCCCACGCGGGCCACGGCCCACGCCCCGGAACCATGGCACGCGTGGATACAGATAATAATTAATTCCAAGCAATGTAACGCGTGCATTGCAGGACGACGCTCCCCGCGTTTCATGCTTCAATGCCATAGCAAATAGCCGGATCTACGGATCGCCGGCGTCATCCATCCGGGACTACCCTCCGGCGCCTCGGAGGTCGGATCTCTTGACTCCATCCGGCCCAATGACATGAATCAGCATCAGGGGTAGAGTATTGGTTGGGGTTGAATTAGGGTTGTGTATCCCAGCGGCGGGAAAGGTGGTAGAGATCTTGATTCTATAGCCTTAAAATCAAGGCCTCGTATAATGCAGGGACAGTATATATACTATATATATCGCCTTAAACCTGACCATTCCCACTGTTAGAGTCGGGCTTTTACCTAATGACAAGCTCGACGCAATGTCACCTCATGTAGTAGCAACGTTCCCGGTAAGGGGCTTACGAAACCATCTAGTACCTTTTGCGTTGACCAAGGGCACCTAGTACAAGTCTTGCTGCTGTTGCTAGTAGTAGTACACAGTCTCCTCACGCCCACGCGCCTACAACGGGTTCCGTTTATCTTCCGAGGTCGGCGTGTAGTACTTCCCCGACAGAATGCGCGCCTGAACGAAGGAGACTAGATTCCCCGTTATCGCCGTCACAGAAGTTCTGCCACCTAGGTACATACCTTTTCTGCCACTCAGGTACGTACCTTTCCGCCACTCTGGTACATATCCTTTCTACCAGTCGTCGATAGTCCCAAAATCCCCGCCCGCTTTGGCAGGCAAGCGCTCGGTTGACACCAGAGATCGAGCCGCTTGCCGGCAAAAGACTCTCCTACGAGAACAAAGCGACATCCCGTCGCAGCATAGATGAACAGCCCATAAGATTTCCGGATGGCATCGTCAGAGAGCCGCGCTGACATAACTCTGAAGCAACAAACCTCCGTGGGAAGCTGTAACTGAGCAACCTCCCAACTCCCATCACACAAAGCTGAATGCCAACCCAAACCGTCCGGCGTCCTGCTCAACTGCTGCGTTGCGGAGCGCAAAGACGCTTTGCGACGAAAATTGGCTATGGCTGCTTGTCAATCACTGCACGTAGTTATAATAACGGATGCTATGGCAAGGCGTACGGATGAGACGCAGAGTACAAGCGACATCTCAGTTGCCAGTTGCAAGCTCTAGTTATTGGTCTAACACCTCAATGTCCACCCATCGCCATACATGACCCAACTGCTTGTCGATCTACAATATCACGTTCACCTCACCGTCGACCTTGGCTCAGACCAAAGCCGCAAAGAGTCTTCCTCCCTTCAATAATAGTAACTATCGCAACATAGTCTACGCGCTACTTCTGGGAAGGCACTAGGTTTTCGATTACTTACTCGGTTCCTCCTTGCCGATACTTTCAGTTTCAGGTCGGCATGGCTGACTCGTACTTCCGGATCTACTCTGGTGCTTTCGGGTCCATAGGGGTAGAGCTCCATCCGTCCTCCTCGAACGGTGATCGGCGTCATGGTTGCTCCTCCGCCAAAGACCATAGACTACGACCCACCGGAGAGTTAGCTCATATCAAAGTCTCAATAGGGACGACGGGATTGCCAGTTTAGGGGTGGATAGCAGGTACGCTTGTCTCCTTGTATTTGGAAAACCCAGAGTGTTTGTTGGTACTGTTGACAGCGCTGTCTGATTCGTGAGCCCGGGAGGAGATTTGAAGGTGGTTTGCTGTCCGTCTACTTTGTATCTGGGCGGGCAATCCGTATCAACAACCAGGAGATCTACCTGCGAAGCAAACACAGATGTACACACTCTTTGCTCCTTTCAACGCCCAATTAAGGAGGAATTCTTTCACCATCCCACTAGAACATCAACACTTTCGCGAACCTCCATTCTAACCAGGCATCTTCCCGACTTTGGCCGATTCGCCCTGCGATCAACGCGGTACCTAGACTCATCCCTGCCCCGCGACTCTCGCCCAGTCGTGCACCACTTGCACGCGGAAGCAGTTGGTTCCCCGCAAGGCAATAATGGTTTGTTCCGGCACCCAATCATAAACAACACGCCGTGCCTGGTGGCGTTCAGGTAAGGTCTGCTGTCAAGATGCGAGCAAATATTCCTGCCTAGTCTCGCACTTTGGCAACCCTGTTTCCGGTTGGTTGCTCCGGTGGCCACGCCCGGCATTAAGAATACTGCAGCCAAGTGGCAGTCTGATGGCAGCCTTGTGATGATTCAGTACTCTGCAGAGTGCTTAATAAAGCCTGGATTATCTCGCCTTTGGGAGCTGGGTTTTACATCCTCCTTGTCACGCCTCTTCATCATCACATCCCCGACCTTGCGGCCCTTTCCTGCTTTACAGCCCGTCCTGAACCAGTGTCACGCGCACGAATTACAACAGCCTCCGACAACCATGGCTGACACTGGAGATAAAACCGCCGGCGGCGGTTGGTGGTGACCGTTCCTCTGACCACTATGACGGTGAAGTCGTCGATGCATCCGCTGCGGTGGGCATCAACGCAGGAGACATTCCAGCGGTAATCTCCTCTGGCCAAGCTGCTCGTAATAGAAGGAGGAAGAAGAAGGACGACCAGGACAAGGGCAAGGAAGAGAAAGGCAAAGAGAAAAAATGATTCGGCAAAACGGGAAGAACAAACGGCAAGACACGATGGAGAGCACCACCCGACGAGCACCAACGCTCGCCGACCCGGAGATACTGTTTACAATTCCGATCGGCCTTCACAGCTTTCGCCCATACCTAACCCCCCAACCCCCCGACATTCCTTCAATACACACAAGCTGGGCAGGGACACCCCACCATCCTACTCGCTCATTTTCTAGAACTCTTGCCTCAGGAGCTCGTCATAGCGCTCCTTATCGGCTAGCTTCGCCCGGACCACGGCATCCGGATCCTCGCACCAAAACTGCGACACCGCCTCCTCGACACTGACGGGAAGGCGTCCAGGGCAGAGGTGGTCTTCCAACAGGAGGTACATGGCGTTCACGGACGATAGGCAACGCCAAAACCATGTCCCATTCGAGTCCCACATTTCTTGCATGACACTCGAGACTGTGATGGTGAGTCCCTGCTCGGCTGCCATCGTACGTTCCTCTTTCTCAAAAACGTGCATGAATTCGCGCCGTATCTTGTCAAACTCGACGTAGCGATCATCCTGAATCTGATCAATGCTGCATCCGGTAAGCCAGTACGGCACGTCGAGCATCTCCCGGGGCAGCGCGCAGAGCCACTCTAGGTCGATCAGACAGGTGACGTTCCAGTCGTCGTCCACAAACAGGTTGCTGGCGTGGAGATCGGTGAGCTGGAGCAGGAAAGGCCCGTAACGGTGCTCCCGCTTGATGAACCGGTGCGAGAAGACCCGGAGCAGTGTCATGACGGCCATTTGGCTGCGGCAGTCGGTTTCGCTGTTGACCGAGTTGGGCTGGTGGAGAAAGCGCTGGTCGTGAAAGGTGATCATGTCGGCCACGAAGGCGTCGGTGCATTTGTACGTGTCGCTCCTCTGCATCGTCCTCGGTGCTCCGTCGTTTTCTAGCAAGCTCATGGAGCAAGTTAAGGGCCGGTTTCTCAGCGTTAAGGTGCCGTCATCATTGAATTGGAAGGATCCGATCTGCATCTGGGGGAGACGCGCCAGCGATAGCATGATCTTGGCCATTCCTCGGAATAGTCTCTGTCTCCGAGCAGGATCGTCTCTGTACTTGTCCCACGTGTTTGATAGCATCTGCCCAGATTTGGGATTGATACGGTCCAGCAGCAGGTAAGCAAACGGGACACTGTGGTGGGTTGCATTGCAGGTGTACTGGGAGAGCACCCGATCGAATAAGCGGTAGATGCAGCGGCGGAACATATGTGAGATACGGACCAGGAATGGCCTGTGGCAGACATGTGTAAACTAAAGTAAAGCTGTGAGCGTCCATGTGAGGTTACTGACCTCACGGGGGGCTATTTTTAAACCGGGACTCACCTGGCGGCTGTCGGAAAAGCCAAAGCCATAGAGGTGGGGGATACGAACATTAGGGCAATTCTCTTGGATGAAGACATATGACCCAACTTTGCAACCCAGCTTCTCGTCTACCGTGCCGGGATATCTTGCTTCAGCGAGCTTGTGTGGCATGGCGCAACGAAACACAACCTTCCTCTCCTGACGTCCTGGCGAGGTTATATTGAGCAAGACACACATGTTGAAGCCGCCCCGGATCCAGTGGCGGCGCTCGAGAACATCACAGGTGTCATGCTTGCCCAGTCCCAGGTGGTGTCGCGTCAAACCCTCAATCGATTTTCTGTGCCGCCAGAGGTCGTCGGCCAATGTCTTGAGAGCTGCACTATGCCCAAGGCGGCTGAGGACGTTGAACTCTTCCTCGGCGGCCTCTTCGTATGTCATAGGACGGCCCTGGACATCCAACGTGGCTGGAGCAGTCATGGCGGCGATATTTTATTTGAGAGAGACGTCAATCTGCACATGTCGTTGCAGCAGCTTTCGTGTCGCGCCTGGCTGCTGGGGGCGCTGACGGCCGGAGCGGAGGGCTGGAAAGCACTGACCATCAGGCATAACAAGGCGTAATTACAACGTACCTTCTGTAAGTACGGAACACAGCACGTGTAACGTTATTCACTTGTCCTCGCTCACAAACAACCGCTTCACCCTCCCCTGAGCTGATGACGACTCTACAAGCACACTGAGCTTGAAGAAAGAAAAGGAAGAAAAAGGAACTTGGCGGTCTATGAACCATTAATGAGCTGGGGTGCAATCTGGGAATAGCTTCATCTAGAGTTTCACGGGTCAATGGCCTGTGCTCGTACAGAGGCGGCCGAGGGTCACCGGGGCACCACCACATATCCTCTTCGTCAGTGTCTGTTCGTTTAGAAAGCCGTATCGACTTCTACGACATAGAGGAGCGTGAGACTGTCATCCCCGCGCGAGGGTGGGGTCTCATTCTCTAGGACCTATGGTGCAGGAATGGGGATGAGACATGTCCGATGACGATGACCTGTCTCACGCCGCATTCAAAGCTTCCAGGTTCAGCGCAGCCGGCTTGGTCGGGGACGAAGGGTGGCTTCCCAGGCATCCTGTTACGCAAATACTATGGATCAAGCTAATGTGCGGAACGATAGAGGGTGCTGCAAGAAGCAAGACACATGTCCGCGCCCGTAATGGCCGGCGACGAAAAGTAGTACCTATATCGCCTCAACTCCGGTGGGAGGTCTACATCCGCATCCGTTATCTTAGCTATTACACGTGTAGTACATAGTTTCAAATTGCATGCCTCCTCAGGTTTATGGGGTCCACCACATTCGCACGGCGACACAGAACTACATACTAGTGTGGGAATGGGCCAATATGAATTGACCAAGCACTGGCGCAGAGGTTGGAGGATATAGTTGATGCAACTCCCCAGAAGATGACATATTTGATGGGCCTCATATGAGCATCGATTGGGTTAGTGTTGGTGATGACGTAGGCTGTCTATCGAGGTCGTTGGGCCGTTGAGACACCTCGCAGCATCAAAGTTCTCGCAGCTCAGAAAATATTGCTTTTCCTCGCGTAGGTTGCAAAGCATCCTAATGTGACGATGATCTATATGATCGATCGGGGATTAGATCTGGTTCTGTCGACCATCGCGACTGCCTCCCGTCTAGCAGATCTGCGCTGCCGCCCAGACCTTCAAAGTCCTCACGAGAAAGCTCGAGGCGCGTTTGAGTAAAGGCAACGACCTCATCAATAGGCAACCCACCGACAACCTCGAGCCCACCACAATGAACCGGCACGTCCTCAGCCCGAGACAAGAAGAGTACGCTGTTGCTCAGGACATCCTCTCCCACCCGAGTTGGATGCGCATCGATGCCGCATCCTTCTCCTTGTACTTGTCGCCGCCTGGGGTGGACCAAGGCGTTCTCGTTGACGGCCCAGGTCTTCAACTCGAAGGAGACGTGATGAGGAAGGCTCTGCGCGCTGGTCGTGGGCTACTTTGTGAAGGTTGCGGGCTTCTGCTTAATTTCTAGTAGTACATCTGAGCATTCTCAGGGCGAACATTGAGCGCTCGCGAGCTCTTCTGCGATGTTCATTAGGCAGCTCCACGATGCACATGCACAATACTTATAGTCTTTGATAATAGTAATGCTACTACTAGTATCCGGCCATTTGGCGCTACTACAACCGAACCCCAGATGTACTTGTAGTGTCTTGTTTGCACTGTTTCTGCCCCCTCTCTCCCTATTGTCTTCACCCTCAGTTTCTTCTTCCCGTTTTACTCGTTATTCTCTGCAGGAATTTTTCTCAGCAGGGAGGTCATGCTTCTAGACACTTGAGTCCTTGAGCGAACTCTCCGCCTGTTTACGGTGTATATCAACAAAGAAACATCACATGAGCCGAGGCAACACAACGAGCCTCCGCGACAACAGATAGCTGTGTTGGCCAGACGAGGGCCTTTGGGAGGGGTTCAATGAGGGAACGTGTGTGTTGAGCGACATGAGTCATGGAGTCACATGGATAGAGGCTCGAGCACGATAAGTGTCGTCATTGAAGTGGCCCGTCGGAAGTCTTGGGCCACAAGCAAAGGAATGGTAACGTCATCGTATACACTCGAGAAGGAGAGAAGTAGGGAGTGGAAAAGTTTGATGAACGATCGGGGATACGCTGACCTCATCGGCGGTATAAGAGGCATATTTGTTTGTGTGCGACCGAAGCCGCTGCTTTTGATCCTTTCAACCATCTTGATGCCAACCCTGAGACTGCTTTATTAGTAGACTAATACACTGCAAAAATGGACTCCTCCCGATCGGGATTCTTCAACGGGCGCATTGCCCGGGCCCTGCTGGCGTTCAACAACTTTGTTATCCTGGCCTCATCCGTCATCACCACGGCAATTCTGGCGTACCTCATCCATCGCTCGCTATACCGAGGCACACACCTGATTTACAACCTGGTCATCGTATGCCCCATTCCCTAATAATTCTTTGGACGAGAAGAACCCCTCCTAATGACTGATCGCAGTCCGTGCTCACGCTCTTCCTCTACCTCTTCCTCGTGGTGCTGCCGGCGGTCAAGCGGTACCGCGGCTATGCACTGCCACTCAACCTGCTGCTGACCTACCTGTGGCTCACGTCGCTCATCTTCTCGTCGCAAGACTACTCGGGCGGACGCTGCCGCTTCTTCTCGCCCCCGGGCATCGACCGCTGCGGCATGAAGCACACCATCCAGGCCTTCTTTATCATTGGCTTGTGCGTATTTCCCTCCACTCCCTCCCGGCCTCCCTGCAGCTTCTGTATGTCGAGGAAAAAGAACTTTCGAGTATGTTGACTCGTGTCGCAGCTCCTTCCTCCTCTTCAACACCATCCTCGAGGCGTTGATGTGGGCGACCCACAAGAGGAACGAGAACGTGGGCCAGGACACTGAGAAGAGTCGCCCGCTGACCAGCACCACTGGTGCAACAACTGGCACTGGTCCGACTGACGGAGATCGTGTGGCCCAAGTGCCCGTCTAAACCGTCTCACGCGTTTGGTAACGGCAGCCTGGGGGTCGCATGGACGATGCAGGTGGATGGGACGAAAGGCAAAGTATTACCAGACTTTACCACTGGGGGGTTGTCGGCTAGTTTCGATGATTTCTTATGCTTGGCCAAGCGCCTATGGTGTGCCGTTCGGTCAAGTAGGAAAGGGTTGTTGTTGTATCATGTACGATATGAGTTATGTACAAGTGGCAGACAGACTGGTGCTGCCAACTTCGGCGTTCTGCCTGGAATTTCCATGCTTGTCAAGTGATGCCTCTGTGTCATTACTACATGCATGAGAATGCTAGGACGCTGGTCAGAGTACAAGGAGACCATAGGAACACGATCGTTTTGCCGCGTATTTGAGCCCTCACTAAGTAGACGCGGTTGTAGACGCTTGACCAAGAGTGACGGAACTGACACAAGTTAAAGTGCCCAGCTTTGTTAGGCATGATAAAGTCACTTACCGTCTCACGTAGCACATCATTCGAATCAATTGAATGGTTTAACAAAACGGCCCTCCTAAGACACCTCGCCCGCCGCACTGTCTTCGGCGAGACCAATGTTGCCGGTCGTGGGATGTTGGAGCACTCACTAATGACCAAGATTGACTGCAAATTCCAGCAGTATCCCTAAGCTACTGCGTTGGATGTATGACATAGTAGATATCAGTTAGTCTATCACGTGCCGAGTCCAAACGCGCTGGTCTGGCTTCTTGGTGGGCGGCTTCAAGTTAAGGTAGATCATGACGTGGTCATTCGCAATTTCGCATCCACGGCAGGCAGCCGAGGCAACAGTTTATCAGCACAACACACCAGCTTCGAAGGGATAGAACTGCACCATCACAATGACAGCGCACCAACAGGAACACGATCCTGGGGCTGCGCGGCAGTCGCGGAACGAGAATCAAAGCGAGCAATGCTACCTTAATCAACGCGGTGCCATCGAGCGTGGCTTTCTGACACTCCGATGCCCGGGCGACGACAACAGCGCCAATTCTCAGCAGCAGTCACTCCTCCTCACCGACTGCCTTTGGAGATACGGTTCATGATATAGGAACTGGTTCTACCGCCTCAACGGTACCTCTGGGTCCAGCCCATCTCAAAGAGCGCCGCCCAGACGAACGGTGACAAGCCAAGGGGAACTCTCGAGCACTTTCCTCGCAAGCCACTGGCGGCAAGACCCCAGGAGGCAAGTCAGATCTTGTTCCGCCACTGGTTCAATCACCGGGACGGTTACTACTTTGTTGAGTCGCATGCCGGTTCCCTTGCGCTTATGCAGACCTGCCAGCAGGTGTACGTTGCAATCCTCTTGCGTTGATGCTTCCTTCCGGACCTTGCCACGCGCCGACACATGGCTCCCCCAAGCTATGTCGAAACCTATCGTCTCTGGACATTCTGTTTCGACCGACTTGACGCCTTGGAAGGCTTCACACACATGACGCGCCACTTGGCTGTACGGCACATCCGGATGGTCCTGCATCGCAGCTACAACATCTACGGCGACGGCCTGTGCCAATGCCGCCGGCACCTGAGGGCAAATACGGCATGGGAGCGGTTGATGACAAAGGTCGGCGAGGCGTGCAAGGAGGTACCGTACCTCGCGACCCTGGTTCTATCCGTTAAACCGGACCCGAGGCGGAGCGGGCGGGAAGCCTGCTGGGTTGCTGTGAGGTGGTCACTGAGAGTACTCGACTGCGACACAGCGGCCGCGCGGGTGCGGCTCGAGATGTGCACTTGACAGATGGCATCTAATCCATGGTCAGTAGCACTACCTAAGTACCTAATAAACGGAGTGGGTACTATGACGCGTCTCTTCGTTGAGTGACGCTCGCTTTGTTGCCGGAGCCAAACTCGAACGTTGGGAGCGCCGAAGCGGTCCAATCTTGTATTGCCGAAGTGTAATCCACGACTCTGATTGATCACGAAAGCTGCGTCCAACCCATCGCACTCGCACTCGCAACCCTCGCACTTCGGGAAGCTCCGGCGATCTCATTGGCTGCCTGCGGCCAGAGGGACTCCGAGGGATAAATTAAGGGAGCGCAGAATCACGTTGAGTTGGGAAAGAGGTAGGTAATAATAAAGCACTACTTGCTGGCAACAATAAACATAGAATACCTTAGACGTCACAAAGCATTGATTCAGCTTGTCATTTCCCCCCTTCAAGCTTGTCTACAACAGATTCCTGTCGAGGTTGCGCAGCGATCCAGCACGACCCACAATTCACGGCATTTTTGGGAAGCCTCAACCCGCCATGGCAGCTGCCAACTTCCAACCGATTTTCCCTCCTGCGCCTCAACGGCATCGCCTCCCTCCACCCAAATCCTCTGCGAGTTCGCTTTTCAGGGCATCGGAATACTATAAGCACTTCGGTACACCGACTGACCCAAAAACAACCTAACAGACAGGCCTTCATCAAGGATGGATTCTCGCTGCCCACACTCCTCGCGCTGGGCGGGGTCGGCCAGGCCATTGTATCCTGCATCCTGCCCGCGCGCTACGCCCTGCTGCCGCTGGCCTTCCTGCTCTTGCGCGCCGTAGTCGTGACCTGTCTGGAACTCGCCTCGCCGCCGCGGTACTCGTCCAAGCTGGGGGTGATCCGCGGCCGGTTCTCAGCGCAGCTGCCCAACGCCAGCTACGACCCGAGTCGCGGGGATGATGCAAAAAGGCCAGCGTCGCCCTTCGGCTCCACACCCGCGGAGCAGGGCATCGTGATGTTCCACATCGGCGCGCGCATCAACCACCCGCTCGGCGCCCTGGCGCCCGCCATGAAAGAGTTCGGCGACCTTACGGACGCAGTCACCCAGGAGCTGCAGGCGCGGGCCGACGAGTTTGGCTGTCTGGGCATGTCGGCCTGGCGCGCGGCGGACGCCGACTCGCTCAATACCTCGATGGCCGTCATCTACTTCCGCGACTTCGAGGGGCTCAACCGCTTCGCGCACGACAAGGTGCACCGGCAGGTGTGGGACTGGTACCGCAACGTGTTTGTCAAGAAGCACGGCTACTCGCACGTCGGCATCTTCCACGAGGCCTTCTACGCGGTTCCCGGCGCGTACGAGACGATCTATGAGAACATGCCGCCCACGCTGATGAGCCGGGCCGAAGCCAGTGTCAGGAACGAGGCCACGGGCCGGGAGGAGTGGGTCGGCACCGTGGTCGACGCGTCGGTGAAGTCTTCTCCAGCGTTCCGGACCCAGTACTCGCGGCTGAACAGGGTGGTCAAGCGGCAGATGGAGGCGTCTTATTAGGGCACACATGTTGCAAGCAGCATTGGTCTGGTTCAAAACGGAAACGTTGAATTGTGGTATCGTAAAGAGGTGCCATGGGATCCAAGCCATACTTCTTGCTCAACCGCAGCAGCAAACGACACGACGCCAGACTCCAGATCTTGACCGCTGAAAGCTTTTTCTTGAAATAGAACCAACGAAAGCATAACGCAAGCACATAGCCCGAACATGTTCATAAAGCCCGCCCCGGCAGCATATCGTGGTCGCGGTCCTCCATGGCGTAGATGTCTTTTTGCACGTCGTGCATGTCGATATTCGCGACGGCGCCGTCGCCGTCGAAGATGCGCGCAATCTCTTCGAGAGTGGGGCCCTTGGTCTCGACGTAGAAGAACCACACAAACAGCAGCTCGCACAGGTCCCAAATGGTGTAGAAGAGCATGAAGTGCCAGTGGTGCGGCAGCCTCTCCCAGGCGATCTTGTTGGTTTGGCTGCGCGGGGGGTTGGTGAGTATTTGATACGGAAGATGAACAGGAGACTCTAGAAAAGAGAAAAGAAAAAAGAAAAAAGAAAAAAGAAAAGAAAAGAAAAGAAAGATGAACATACTTACTGATGGCCAGCATGGCCTGCACGGTGATGTTCATGATCATCATGCCCTTGGCGCGCAGATGGAACGGCAGCACCTCGAGCGCGTAGGCGACCAGCAGGCCCGAGAAGCCGATGTCGTAGAAGATGCCAAAGATCCAGATGAAGACGAGCTGGGCGTAGCCGGCCTTGACGTCCAGCTCGCCCGAGTTCTCGTACACGGCGCCCGTCACAGTCCAGCAGGCAAAGGCCGTCACCATGCCGACCATGGACACGAGGAACAGCGGGCGGCGGCCGAAGCGGTCGACGTTGAGCGCGGCGGCGATGGTCACGACCAGGTCGAGGATGGTCTTGCCGGTCGACATGGCCAGCTTCTGGTTCTGGTTGCGGATGCCGGCGCCGAGGTAGATGGCGTTCATGTAGTTGGAGAAAAGCGCGTTGCCGCTGTACTGCGAGATGACGCCGAGCGAGACGATGATGGCCAGGCGCCAGCGGTTGCCGCGCGTGCGCACAAAGTCGCGGTAGCTGGTGGCGCGCTCCGTCTCCTTCTGGATGCGGATGGTCTCGCGGATCTCGCGGAACTCGAACTGCACCGTCGCGTTGTGCGGGTCGCCGCCGGCGTGCCACTTGGTCAGGATGTGCAGCGCCTCCTGGTGCCGCTCGCGGTTGACCAGGTACCGCGGCGATTCGGGAATCCACCAGATGCCCACCAGCTGGATGACCGACGGCACCGCCTGGATCAGCGTGATGGACCGCCACGACCAGTCGTTCCGGACGTTGGCCGTACCCCACGCGATGCACGACACCAGCAGCGCGCCCGCGTTCCACAGGCAGTTGTAGATGGCCGTGACCGGCCCGCGGTGCTGCGGGTGGCAGATCTCGGTCAGGAGCAAGGGGGACGCCATCTGGGCGAGCGAGTTGCCGAAGCCGAGGACGAAACGGCCGCCCATAAACACTAGTAAGGTACGACGAGGACGGCGCCTGTTAGTCTATCTTATTTCTTTTCTTTCTTTTATTCTTTTTTTTTTCCCGGGCCACTCAGCCACAACACCACCACCACCAACAACAACAACAACAACAACAACATCAGAACTCACTTCCATAGCCGTTGCAGAAGGCTGTCAAGAACCCGCCCGCAACCATGAATACGCAACCCGCGACGATGGCCGGCTTCCGCCCAAAGTGGTCCGCCACATACGGCGTGATGAAGAAGGACACGATGGAGCCGATGTTGAACATGTTGACGAGGATCGCGAGCTTGCTGTCGAGCACGGGGTCTTTGAGGTTCGGGTTGTCCTTGAGCTCGGGGAAGAAGAAATGGTTCCAGGCGTCGATCTGCTGAGAGGTGTTGACCAGCATGCCATCGTACCCGGTCGTCGCCGACGCCACCATCAGGATGACCGCCATCCCGTACAGCTTCCTGAGATGCGGCTCCCTCCTCCAGTAGACCCTTTGGAAGCGAGGCATCTCCTGGACCATCTCGAAGTCCGCCGAGACGGTCGAGTCTGTCCTGATCTTGGACGCCATGGCGGTCCGCGCCCTCTGTCCACCAGCCCACTTGGCGATATCCAGTTTCCGAAGGTTGGTGTTTGAGAGGTCGATTCGAAGATAAGATCGTCGTACCGGATGTCGAGGGAAGAGGCTGCAGAACAAACGAAGAGAAGGCTCACACGCCTTGGGCGGACGCAGCTGACACGAATGTTATTAACTTTCCACGATAGCTATGCGCGAGGGCATGGTCTGGAGTCCACCCTCCCCGGCACCCCTGGGTCCGGTGCCCGCAAGCTTTGGGGGCCGGTGTGCGCTCCCGCTCCCATCAGGTGTGTACCATTCTTGTATGGTGCATATTGCGAGGTATAACCCCTGTTCCCCAGCTTTTCAGCAACATGGGCATCGAATGAGGAATTGCATGGACATCGGACGCTTGACTGAAGGGGGAAGCTCCAGGCTGGGGTGACACTGCAGACCACAGGAATGGTGGATAGAACCCATCCTCAATGCGTTCTGGCACCGCAGTCGTCGAACGACGGATTCTTGGCACGAGGCATAATAAACGACGACGTGCGGACATGCCATCCCGAGCTCAGCTGTGACTGGGCAGATGGAAGCACCCGTCCGAGGGAATGTGCCACTGCTGCCCGCCACATCTTACAGAACGGATATCCAGCGGAGGGGAACCATTCACAGTTGGAGGCGAGACAGTAAGCACCGTCTGAACAACGTACAGTACCATTCAGGGCTGTAGCAGATGGGCCACATCAGGCGGAACCCTCTACACGTGTAGAGGCTGCCTGTTCCCGCAACGGCGGGATCATCAGTCGCTCCCGTCAGCAGCACGGCCGGGATCGCGTTTGACAGGGGCGGCGCTAGAGCGGAAACGAGGTCCTTGTTCCATTGTGGCCTGCTCCCCGCATTCCGCTAGTTTAGGGCGATGGAACAGGTGGAACGGAGCCATCGATTCTTGGGCCAGAGTCCAGACGAAAAGTTCCCTCACGGCTCATGGGAGCCTTGCCGGAGTCCCCTGTGAGGTTAGGTACCTCTGCGTATGCCCCGCATGGAATCACGTAATGGCTCGTTAACTCGAGATTGGCCTTTTATTGTGTTCGGTTGGCGGAAGCGACGCTGACGCGCATACCCAACCCATCCGTCAGATGCAGATGGTAAAACGGCAAAATGCAAGACCGCAGGACCGCCAATCACAGCCGAGCCCAATGCTATCGATGCCACAGCTCGGCGGCCGAAGTTGGCCACCTGATGCTGTTGTTCTGGAAGGCATCGGACAGAGGATGACCGGTGTGCTGGCTGCTCGATTTTCGCATGCATGGCGCTGGCAACTGTGAGACAAGTGAGACTCGCTCGAGAGAGCAAATGGTCGCACGACTGTGCCTGGCTTGGCATTATAAGGCCTGCCGGCTCTCGTGGAGTGAGGATGTCTCGGATTCGCCAATGGATGACCGTGCCGCCTGCAAGGGGGCTGACCGAGTCCTGCAGGGGGGAGTCGCGGGAGAAGGAAGATGAAAGACTGCCACAGCATTCGCTTCGCTACCGGAGTACATGACAGAGTCACAGAGTTGGCTGCATCTCACGTAGGCGAAATAACTGTGTACACAGTAGTACTCATGAAGCTGAGGCTGCACCCGAGACGGATGCTTCCCGAGACCTCTCCTTTGTCAAACGAGGCTCCCGAAATTTGGGAGCGTTCCCTGGTGCCAGAGTCGGGAAGCAGGGACGTCGATCCGGGGCTGGCAAGTGGGCCCGCTTCGTCTTCACCCTGGTAAGGTCGAAGTTGCCTGGTTGCCGAGGTTGCGCACAGACGTGGCCAGAATCCTTTGGCATGCAATGCGAATCCGTACATACCGTACCTACCTGGTACCTGAACAGTTTTCTTACGGACAGGAAAGTCCGTCCAATTTGAGCCACTGATGGTCAGCCCTGTTCAGTCACCACATGGAAATTCGGCGCTCAGCTTTGAGACCCAGATCAACTTGACGGGATCACCTAAGCTTGGTTTTACTGCCCCGCCCCGCCCGTGCATGAGATGACACAGTGGGGCACAAAATCCGCCAAAGTCTATACTAAGAGCGTCCGTGCGTAACTTGAAGCCCACAACCGTGAAATCCTGGGGAAGGAGCAACATCCCCTCCCCCTACTCCCCGTCGATGTTCCAGAAAAGGACCATGGGATGGCACGGTAGCCTGCGGGCTTGGCCGCAATCTCGAGTGTGGAACTTCTTGACTACCTGTGAGTGCAAGGTGCCTTTCGTTGAAACTCGTTGAGGCGTTTTCTCACATTTTTGGCAGGGCGAGGTTTTGGTACCTAAATGAAGGCCCGACATATCCTTGTCGGCCGGCCAGAAATCTACAGATCGGCTGTGTCATGGATAGGTTGCTTATCTGGAGGCTAGCATTGAGTTCGAGAACGACTCGCGAGGCCAGGATCTAGCCGACGCTGCGCCGTCCAGCCGGAGCAGAAAACCCGGTTGCTGACACTGTAATCTGCGTCGCACAACTTGGAACCGCGTTGCTGAGTCGCTGACAGATGTGTGTCCGTGCTCGGCGTCGGGACGGAAAGCGACGTGCGGGAGCGCACAGGTACATGGCTCATCGGCAGACGGCTCGACCATGGCCCCGGAACGCGGCGATCTCGGGCTAGGAAGGGGCTCCGCCAGCTAACTATTGTGCGCCTGCAGAGTCGCCATCACCCAAGATGGCATACGATCGGCGGCGGCGGTGAGACGGAGACCAGCTAAACGTCGTTGCTACTCCTGACTGTATGCCGAGTGTGCCCCGGCGCAAGTGCGATTGAGTTGACTCGATGTTTCTATTCCACAATAACCATCAACACCTCTCTGCCCTGCATTACCTACACCACACGCTACTTCTCCTGCGCCGGCAATAGGACAGCAAACGCCCATTCCGGCGTAGCCTTGTGCGGCTTGGTCAGGTTCGCCTTCATCCAGCACGAGTGCGTGGGGCCCTTGTCGCCCTCGATGACGCCCCAGCCGGCGCCCGTGCAGTTGCTGCGGGACGCGCACGCGTCGATGCAGGCGTCCAGGTTGAGCGTCTTGACGCTGCCGATGTCGACCGACTCGCCGTTGCCGCCGTAGTCGATGCCGCACATGCGCCGGAACCGCTTGCCGTCCGTGCTCGCCGTGTAGACGGTGCCATTGGCGCCCGGGCACACCACGTCGTTGGCGGCCGCGCTGGTCTGCGTTGCGGCTGCCGAGCTGGTCGACGTGGGCGCGAGGGAGGCCGTCGTTGCGACGCTGCGGTTTGTCTGTCAGCGACTTCAGACATGCAAGCAGTGGTGTCTGGTGGTCGTCTTACCCGACGGCGACCGCAGAGGAGAGCGCGGCTTGAACCACCGCTAAATCGCCCTTGACCTGGTTCAAGTCTCTCTGGCTGACGCCCAGGCCTGCGCTGAGGCCGATGACGAGGAGGAGCAGAAGGACAATCGCGGCCAGCACGCTCAGGGCGACGCCGCGTGTAACGCTGAGGACGGTCGGCCCTGAACCGGCAGGCGGGCCATTGGCATGGTGATTGGCATCGGCGAGGGGCGGTTGCACATAGTACGGATCAAATGCCGCTTGCTGGTACTGCAATTGCTCGATCTTTTCTCTTTGCGCTTCTGGTATCGTGTAGTACGGCTGCTGCAACGGTTGCTGGACGGGTTGTTGGTGGTCCATTGTGGGCGGGTCTAAGCAATTAGCCTCCGTTCCTTACAACCAAGAACTCCTCTGGCGGATGTTCAAGAGCAATGAAGGCTATGGCAGCAGCCGGCGATGCGCGTCTTGATGAGGCCGAGGATATTTACGCCGTGATCGCCGCTAAAACCTGACTATCCGCAGGGAGCAGTCTCACGTCAGCCTTTTATGAGCTCCGGCGCTCCTACGCAGCTTTATACATGCACGACATGGTAGCGTGAAATCCGAGCTGGCTTTTGGGCAAGCTCGAGAGAATGGCGTCCTATGTGTGGCAGCGGCACCACAGAACCTGCCAGTAGCTGTTCCACATCGGCGTCGGCGAGATTTGCCACCAGGAAACGAGAAAGGGGCTCCCGAAGAAGGTAACCCTGTGACGCGCGACGGGTGAGTAAGCGACTGGGCGTGCCGACGGTTTTGCAAGCACGATTGGCTGGCCACTTGAGCTTATCGAACCGGCTGCGGCACAGTAACTTGCGCGCATGGTTTATGCCGGGTGCCTGCGTGCTTCACTAGGGTAATTAGGGATTAGTGTAATTATTAGAGCCGGACCCGAATACCACCCGACCTTGAGTGCCGCAGAGACGGGTACGGTTGACTTTCACGGTCCTAAAGGCTCATTGACATCGCGCATCTTTCCAAAAAGTGTATCCCGGTAGACGGCCCAGAGAAGCAGGTCCAAAGGACGTTGGTGCCACAGGGGCGTAAGTAATAATTGGCGGGTTGCAATGGAAGTGAGGACGGATGCGTAGCCGTCCTCATGACTCTCACTCCTCACATGGAAGCGGATCCGACATGGCCGGGTGGGGCCGGTATTTCAGTTCCAGATCGCCAAACGCCAAAAGAGAAAAAGATGCCCTGCCATCATGATCCAGCAGTGAAGAAGGAAGCCAACCAGACCACCGGCACTCGATCGTTCTGCATGCACTGGTCGATCTGAAAATAAGCATCCCTCTAACCACCAACTCACCCACCTAAATACAGCCACATTTTGGTCTCGTTACAGCTAACGTCATTGTATTGTACCGTTCAACCCCGCATCTGCCTCTAGTCCGTCGCTCACGAACACGAAGGAACCCACCAAGAGGTTCATTTTCCGGCATGGATCCATATCTGCAGCTGCCACCGGAGCTTCTGCAACTCATCGTCCGCCAACTTGACCCGGTCTCCCTGATTGCGCTGTCCCAGACATCGCGAGCATGGCGGGCGTTGATCAGCCCGATACACCACGACTTTGTCCAACGGCTGCTGGTATTGGAGCTGCAGCCTAAGCACGGAGGCATTGTGCCGCTGTTCACAGAGCGGGATGATGCCTTCAGCTTCACGCCGCCGTGGACCATCGAGAGGTGGAAAACCATCAATTACGCCTGCTGTGGCTGCATGAAGCTGCGGGGACACATGATGTTCGACAACCGCGCCATTCTGGGCCGGAGATATCGGAAACCGCCACCAGGGAGCGTCGAGGCAAGAAAGGCCACCCTCACCGACTGGGAGCCCCTCAACCACGGCGCTCGATGGAGGCTGATCCAGAAACGGGCGGGCGAGGAGGAGCAACGGCGACAGAATTGGCGCGATGTTGCCCGTCGGATTTACAAACCACACGGGCCTCCGCCCCATCCCTTTGCGCAGCAACCTCCGATCCACGATGTCGCTTACTACCGAGTGCTCGAGAGGCTTTTTGCCGGCACATCGCGCCAGAATCGCCGATGCATAGAGTGCCGGTACCAGCGGGGCGACTGGAGGAAACAGCCCGTTTTCGGCGGCCAGATTCTCCGCGGAAACGCAAAGTGTCCCGTCGTGGTGAGCCGCCAGTTTCCCTTTCCCTCTCTGTGGGAGAGGCACTTCCCCGGCCTCCCGCTTCCTGGGCCGATGCCAGCGCCCAAGGCTCCAAGACGGTGGAGGGTTCTCCGTGAGTGGGTAGACAGCGGCAATGACTATTACACTCTCTATGCCGTGCGCTGTCCATCCTGTGGCAAGTGGCAAGAGAGCAGCGCTTTCCGGCAGTGGACTCTTTGGCACCGTCGCTTCCCCGACATGGGACAGCCTGTGCATTGTCTCAGGCTCCTATGCAACCACTGCCATCTGAACACCTACAAAGACAAGGGCCTGCTTGCGAAGGAGCTCAACGATGGTGCCATCCTGACGATAAACAAGGAGCGTCGCGAAATGTTTTCTTGTCTCACCAGAGGCTGGCGGCTTATCCACAATGACTTCTACCATCCCAAGGGCGCGCTTAGCGACTTGAAGTATCAAGCCGTGCGAGGCGAGATTTTTGACGGAGTCACCTTAGCCGACTGTAGAGTAGAGGTCGACATGACATCTTTTGATGTAACCGATCTTCGGCTATACCGCCTCCGTTTTGACCGGCTGCGGGAGTTCATCAACCATGAGCTCGACCTGAAGACAAGAGCTGAGATATTACAGAGCTGGCTCAGAGTCTGGTTTGAGGAATACGAGCTTATCGAGGACATGTACTGCTGGCTGAACTACCAAGAGATCGCGATCTCATCGAATCCGTATTATGTATTCAATTACGTTATGGAGAAAGCTCCGTACTACATTGATACAATCTACGGGAACTACTAGTTGTTATGAACAAATGATACAAGTCATTCTCTGATTACAAGTTATGATTAGTAGGAAGGTTTCCCTCCCACAAGCGTACAGTTAACGCTCCACCCGGGGCAAATGGATGGCTGCCCATGAGGAGTGGCAGCAATGGAGTGACGGTCACTAATTAAGTGTAACAGTCTGACGTCTTGGACGACACCACGAGTATAAGAGTACTACGTAGTATCAAGTATAGATTCCGCGGAACGCAACTTTGACACCAGCCATCACCAACTCTCAATGTTAGCAAACCCCTCCACCCCCCCCCCCCCCCCCCCCCCCCCCAATTCCACAAGTCGCCCAAAGCCCGTGTTGACTGAAAAGTATTCCGCAGAATGGCGCAGACTGTTCAGAACACCGTACCTGCCCCTGACCTAGGCATTCCTCTGTCTCCCCACACCGTTGATGTTTCCATCATCAACACCAACAGCACCGTCCAAGGGGTTTCGGCCCATCTATTTTTCACCCCGCCCCTGCAAGGTTACGACTGGCTGGGGGTGCCCGTCTTCTCCTTCTTGATACAGCACCCAGGGCTGAACCGCTCCCTGATCTTCGACCTTGGCATCCGCAAGGACTGGGAGAATCTGAGCTCACCAGTCCTGTCGCGGATCAAAGGCGGAGGATGGACTCTGCGCGTAGAGAAAGACGTGCACGAGATTCTCGAGGAGGGAGGGGTTAATCCGAACAGTATCAAAGCCATCGTCTGGAGCCACCATCACTTCGACCACACCGGCGACCCCAGCAAGTTTCCCCCTTCCACCTCGCTCATCGTCGGACCAGGCTTCACAAAGGCCATGCTCCCAGGCTATCCGATAAACCAGAACTCACCCATCCTCGAAAGCGACCTGGCCAACCGCGCCCTCATCGAGCTGGATTTCTCACCAGAAGATAACAACTCCGGACCCTTCAGGGCCCACACCATAGGCCGCTTCCAGGCACTAGACTACTTCGGCGACGGCTCCTTCTACCTCCTCGGCACGCCAGGCCACACAACAAGCCACATCGGCGCCCTCGCCCGTATCAAGTCCAATCCCGTATCAAGTCCAATCTCGTATCATCAGACCCAGACTCCTTCATCCTTCTCGCCGGCGACGCAATCCACCATGTAGGCGAGATCCGCCCAAGCCAGTACCTCCCCCTGCCCGACCAACCCTGCCCGGAGTCGAACCCGCACCCGCTGGACTCGCATTACCCTTGTCCCTGCGGCGAGGTCTTTGAAGACGCCATCTTCCGCGGGCGGGGCCGTGCGAAGGACCAGCCGATCTGGGACCCGGTCGGACTGAAGGAAGGCGAGGAATCGTTGCATGATGGCGCTCATGAGGTGATGCATACCGCAGAGAAGCTGCAGGCGTGGGACGCGCAGGATCATGTGCTCCTTGCCGCGGCACATGACGAGTCGCTGTTGTTTGGTCATGAGGAGTTTTTTTTTCCCAAGGGGAAGATGAACGAGTTTGTGGAGCATGCCTTTGGGTGAGGCAGAGGTGGCGGTTTTTGAGGGACTTTGCGCGGCCGGTTGGGAAGGAAGACCATGAGGTTGTGAGGAGACGCGATTGGGGTCCTCCTGGACATGAGAATGCGGGGGAGAAGGGGGAGAAAGCGTAAACGATAGGCGAGGTGTGATCATTAAAGACATTGGAACTCGATGGGACATGGAAAAGGGGTGACTGTTGTAGTTACCGAAAGACCTCCCCGTTCACCATGAAGCGTGATACTTTTGCCCAGAGCAACAACTCCTGGTCAGTATCATGGGACTGGCATGCATCGCATGCCTCAAATGTGCTGTGAGGGCACGGTAGGCTGCCTCTATCCGTAGCGCTCGCGCAGGACGCATGTCTTGGGGCCCACGGAACCCGATCTAGAAGGTGAGCATCGCCGCACGCCAGGCAGCAGCAAAGTGAAGCCTCAAAGAAAGGATTGAATCGAGAAGACAACACCAGTCCCAAGTCTGGTTCCCAATCACGCGTCACCGTGTAGTCGGAAAACAAACAGATGCTCTGCCTAGTGTACCGGATTAGAGCTGTTGTATTACATATCTTCGTATCATCCTCGATGCTGCAGCTCGCTCGCTCGCTCCCAGTGTGGCTAGGGTAGTACAGTACAATGCCCTTAGAAAACTTCAAATGCCTCCAAAAGAAACTGGATGCTGCGCGGTAACTGAAACATCTAGCGAAAGCGTGACCCGCCCGCAAATCATGATGTAAAATATCTCGTGGCGGGGTAAGTAAGGCTTTGTTGACCCAGCTGGTTTGTCAAAGCATGGGACAGTGTGCTGTTCCATCTTTTTCACTAGAGTGGTTTGTCCAGGATCTGCGAGCCTTGCAGAACCTTGCGCCGATATTCCTCGACGTGTCCTGGTTGTCTGTAGGCAGCCTCGATGAGCAGCGGCGTCAGGGCGGCCATGACATTGTGGCCGAATTCGCGGTTCGTCAGCTCCTTGTGTGCCCAGTAGTGGCGGACAAACTGGCCGATGCAACCGCACCCTGCAACCTCGGGGATGCCGTTGGCCTCCTTGCATGGGAGGTGTCTGATGTACTGTGGGTGCGTGTCGATGCTGTAGCCGTCGAGAAAGTCGTAGCGCACATGGGAGCTGAAGGCCGACTGTTCGTGGAATGGCTTGTCCTTCCAGACGGCGCAGCCCGGGTAGCGCGTCTCGTCGGGGCACTCGGCCCAGTCCTTGAACAGCCGCTGGGTCAGCTCGCCGGCCTGTGCGATGATGAAGCCCGTGTTGACGTTGGCTCTGTGGCGGTTGTCGAAGTTGGGTTCGCCCGCCGGGTCTTCGGCCATGGCGACCAGAACCTCGGGCCCAATCTTCCAGTAGTTGAGGAGCCACTCAAGAGGCACTTCGGGCGACGGGAACATGGCATCGTAATCGAGCATGACGACGATGTCATATTCCTTGAGCAGTTCCTTGGTGAAGAGAACCTTGGACCAGTGTGGTGCCCGGTCGGCATACTTTGGGGACCTGATGAACTTGTACGAATAGCCATGGATCTGGGCGTACAGATAGTGACTCAGGAAGCCTGCTGCCGGGTGTCCCAAATTGTCCCACCTGGGCAGCTCGTCGGAGAAGATGCTGCCGTTGCCGGTGAAGTCGCGGTTGTCAATGTCGAAGATGCAGATCCGCTTCCCAAGGGACTGGGTGTGGATCAATTCCCCCGGGGGCGGCAAATGCTTCACCTCGCCATCGATTGTTGTGAAGGTCGGGGCGGTGATAGGTAGGACCAGCGGCGCCCACAGCGCGCGAATCACATCAGGCAGGCGGTCGAGAGCCGATGGGCCGTCGGGGCAGGTCTGGTGGATCGAGGGGCTCGGAGAGTCGGCCTTGTCACCGAACGTCACCTTTGGTCTGGCAGCGGTGCAATCGGTTAGCGACAACGCGCATTGGAAGCGACAGCAGAAAGGGACTTGCATTGGCGGCTTGGGAATCGACCCATTGTACAACCCAGTCGCGAGGATTAGCGTAATCACCAGCACCGGCAGCAGGAAAACAAGCCGCCGCCAGGACTGCGGGAGGTTCTGTAAAGCGGTCATGCGAAGAGCCCGCGCGAATGCGCGGATGGCACGAGGCCGTTGGGGTGAGACTGGAAGAGAGTGTAAAGCGGTCGGTCGGTGCGACGGCGGTCGCGATCGGCGAAAGGGAAGGTTACAAGTTTTAGGGCCAAGCAGGGACCAGGATAACCTTATCGATGGGATCCGACTCCCTTTGCGACACGCGTCGACAAGAGGGGAAGGGAAAAAGGAAGAAAGGAATCTGGGACGCGAAAAATGATGAACAAGGAAAAGAGGTAAGGTAGGTACTGATCGGACCAGGGATGCGCATATTGGTGGGAAATGAGGCCTGAGGCAGGCGTACATACGGTAACACCCCGGTGGCTTGGTCTTACAGTTGGGAAGGAGCGGTTGGGGGGGCAAAGCTACCCCGTTTCCGACCAAAAGCACCATTGATTGGCCTGTGCCGATTCGTTTGGTTTTCTGCGTTCGTATCGCGTCCCCCTGAATGGAGTTGCACATTTTTGGGCCACTTCCTCACAAGACAACTTGAAGTTGACAGCTGCAACGCCCTGATCTCCGTTTTGAGGTTGCTCCACGATCTAGGATCCTAAGTCGGACGGTGTCCCAGTTGTACGGCCGAACATGAAACACCTCGTTACTATGTAATGTCTCGCTTCCTCTTGATGTTGAAGGAGAGAGACCATGGAATTGCGCCCGAGTCAGGCCGTTGTGGCCTTGATCTGAGGAAGTGGACCCTCGCTTGTTTTTTACTGTATGTACAGTACCAGCTGAATTCGTACTATACACAGTAGTACGGCTCGAGTACAGCAAGGAGTCCGTATCTTACATACAAATGCAGCGTTATCAAGTGGGGCTGTCCGATTTTCCGGAATCCGGACCGTTCACGGCCCGACACGAGCCTGAAATTTTGAGGACTTTACACTACCCCTGACGATGGCTGCTGAATCTGATATCCGTCCGCAGCGGCAGTTCGACAGGATCGGCTTCACGTACACACCGGGTGTACAATCACTACAATGTACAATCCGCGATCTACAGTCAGGGCTTTGCCTCGGCCCTCCTGTTTCATTGACAGCCATTGGTAAGATGGGTATTGGGCGGTCAACTTGGAAGTCTGGCAGACAGGTCAAGTGCCGAAGTTGCATGTGGCACTCCTCCATCATACTTGGCGATGGTGGTGTCAATCAAGGGACACCGACCATAGACCAGTTTGTCAATTACTGCACGACAGTTGGCACTGGGCAGTTGAGGTTCCCGTGTTGTTTGTGTCCTCCGTGCCGGGCTGAGTGATATCACACAAGTTCGTGGCAACAAGCCGTATATGGAGCATGTGAAAGGATAGATCGCACTTAGCAGAGACAGAATGCTCGGACTAATGGTTACAATGGTACTGTTGTGCCTGTACAATGCTCCATCACCTGATATTACGGCACAGCTGCAAGGACATAGTCGTGCTTACTGCTATTATTCCCGCCTGTCGAAGCACAGATTGGCCAAGGAACCAACCCTACCTCTCACATAAACACTGGATGAGTGGACGTCGGTCATCTCAGACCTGCACCGGTTGGTGGTGACGAGTTACAGTATCTCGGACCCTTTGAATGCCACTAACTACTAGTATTGACGGCGAGATGGAACGGCCGAGTCTTGAAATGGAGGGTTCTCACACGTCCCTACTTCGAGGACTCCTGTGTAGGTGATGACGGTGAGGAATACGCAGCTATGACCCGGCGCATCAATCTCAAGACGGACCTGGCACTGCTTCCGATGCTCTCACTGCTCTACCTGCTCAACGGCCTGGATAGAGGCAACATCGGGAATGCCCAAACTCAAGGTGACGCCTCACTAACACAACAATACAATTATTACAACCGCGTGGGAGCCGTGCTAATATGAAAACTCAAGGCTTCACTGACGATATTGGGGCGCAACCCCGGGATCTCAATTTCGCCGTCCCGCTCTTCTTCATCACCTTCGTCCTCTTCCAGCCGTTATCGGCGACCGTGGACTGGTGGCTGGGGCCGCGGCATTGGATTCCCATCATGGAACTTCAGGGAGATCCGTATCAATAATGGACGCAACTGCTGACGGCCAGCGAGCAGATATCGTGGGGTGTGGTGACTGCTACGCAAGCCGTCATCCAAGGACGAGGTGCGGTGCCTTTCCCGGCGAAGGCCACGGGTGTCTTGTCGCCTACTGAGTATCTCTAGCCGCTTTGATTACGACACGCCTGCCCATCGGAGTGCTTGAGGCCGGCTTCTACCCGACAGTCGTCATGTATCTGGATCGTTTTACTCCCGATTCAACCTTGCCGTCAGAGTCGGGCTGTTCTACAGCCAGTATGCCATTGCTAATGCCTTCTCCGGAGCACTATGTAGGACATGTCCACAGCCTCGTAACCCTCATGTCCAGTGATGCTAACAAGTCAAGAAGCCTATGGTAACTTTCTCATCCATCATCCTCGCCTCAAGCCCTGGCAGCTCCTATTCGTTATCGAGGGGTCTGCCACCTGCTGCCTGGCCGTGATAAGCTGGTTCTGGCTTCCAGCAGGGCCGGGCACCGCATGGTTCCTGACCAAGCAGGAACGAGCCTTCGCCTCGGACCGGGTGCGCTCAGGCTCTCCCGATGACGGCGTCTCTCCAAAGCTCACCAGGAGGGATGTGGTGGAGACAGCCAAAGACGGCAAGCTATGGTTCGCGTTGGTCTCAACATCTGCGCCAGCGTCCCCTCCAGCGCCTTTCCGTGTTTCTGCCGTTGGTGGTACGGGGAATGGGATACCGGACCCTCGAGGCGAATCTGGTAAGCATGTCCACTCATCCCCAATTGGTCGAAGCATCCAGCACGCGTGCATGCATGCATGCGATGCGCAGAACATGACGCGACCGGCTAAGCACAGCCAACACAACAGACGTCTGTGCCGCCTGCGGTATGCAGCGCACTGGGCCTTTACCTGTTCGCATTCAGTTCGGATCGCCGGCAGGAGCGGGGTTACCACATCATGGCAGCCATCGTGGTCTCCCTGGCCAGGCTGGTTGCCGTTGTGACGGCGCCAACGAGTGCAGGGCGGTATGCGGCACTCTGTATATTCCTCTTCGGGGGTTACGTGCCGCCCCTGCTCACCGTTGCATGGCACAGCGGCAACACACCCGCCGCGGGGAAGAGGGCCCTCGTGCTGGGCGCCAACGGCTGGGGGAACCTCGCCGGCGTCATCGGGTCGCAGCTGTACAGGCCCGAGTACGCGCCCGAGTACAGGAAACCGTTTCTGGTGACACTGGGCTTTGTTGCGACGGCACTGGTCGGATTCTTGGCGTACTGGGCCGCGCTGCAGACAGTAAACAGGCGGAGGGCGGCCGTCATGAACTCGAAGACGCCCGAGGAGATTGAGATGGAACGAGCCAACGACCAGAGATATGCAGACCGCAACAGGCAGTGGCCATGCGAAAGTCGGCAAGTATGCCCTTCCGGACGGCACTCGGTGGGTGGAGACGAGGGGTGGAGACGAGACTCTTGTGAGCGAAGCGGAAAATCGAAACCTTTCGGTGAAACCGGTGAAAACCCCCACTCTGCTGCAGCCGCCCTCGCCCGGTTCATTGTTACCGGCTGCAAGCGGTGGTTCGATTTCTGGTCATGTTCCCAATCAGAATTCGAACATCTGGATGCACACAGGCGAGTTGGCGGACAAGGGGCGCAGGATGGCAAGGGGGACTCGATTGGAAGGATGGGAATCCGGAACTCAGACCCGGGGGGTGGCAGGGTGGAGGGGGCGGCAGGGATCGAGACCAGCGTTGTCCTGGGGGCCCCACTGAGCAACTTCGATCTCCCCCCGCCAGACGCTCCGACCTTCGCCTGTTGCCTCCTCCACCTACGGGTACTGACACCGAAACCTTAAACTCCCCGTCAGTCTTGCCGCAACCATCAATCGAATCCAAACCAAAAATCGACTCCCGCGCAGCGCCACCCCTACGATCCGATGCCAGAACATGCCGAGGCAATCGCATTCATCTGGAAGCCAGAGCAATCCATCGACCTCGACGCCGTCACCGCTGACACGTCTGCCCGTCAATCCGCGCAGGAAGAAGGTTGCGCCCGACGAGCGGAAGCGTGTTGCCACCGCGTAAGTTTGCGCATTTCCTGTCTTTTGCCGCCGCATTGCTGCTGCGAGATGCGCTTGCTCTAACCTTTGCTTGTCGCGATCAACAGTTGCAACAGCTGCAATGTCCGCCGCATCAAGTGCAGCGGTGAGCGGCCGTGTCGCCAGTGCATCAGCGCCCAGCGTGACTGCCTGTACCCAGAGCCCATCGAGAGGGTCACCATTCCCCGGAGCGAGTTGGAGGCTCTGAAGCAGCGGTGCGCAGAGCTCGAGCGGCAGCTAGGCGAGGCCGAGCGCGGCGACCGGCAGCCGGATGCGCGGCAGCCGCGTGTGCTGCCGCAGCAGGTCGCCTCGCCCTCGGCATCGTCCCGAGCCGACACCGCCGACTCCCTGTCGCTGAATGGCGACCCGCAGCCCAGTCGTCGGCCCGGCCGCATCGACGGGAGGTTGCTTGCCGATTCGACCGGCACCTCTCGCTATCTCGGCGAGACATCCGGGGCCACGTTTCTCGATTCGCTTAAGGAGTTGGTCGCGACGGCCATGCCCCTGGCCCGCGTGCTCAACAGAGAAGTTGAGGAGAGCAAGCCCGACGCCGCCTTTCTCCAGTCTCGGGGCCAGTACCAGACGCATGACTCGCGCCCCATGGTGTTGCCTCCGGATGCGGATCCCCTGATCCTGCCATCCGCGGCCGAGATTCTCGACGCGGTCTCGCAGTTCTGCTACTTCCTGCAGGACGGGAACGGCCTCTTCCGGAGCGGTGGCATTTGGTTCTGGCCTTTCGGTGATCCGCAACGCGTCATTATTCTCGCCTCCCTCCCGGTTGTGCAACGCCCGCTTGCCGGGCCTTACGATCTCCCACTGGCTCTCTACCACACGGCTTTTGCCCTCACACGCCTGCTGAACGTCAGGGAGCCCGGATCCTTTGCCGATGGAAACCTTGGAGAGGACTATTTTGCCAGGGCCCGCGTGCTCCTAGGCAACCTCCTGGATCGCACCACTTATACCATCACTGACATCGCCGTGCTTGCGCTCATGGCCTTGTACTTCATCGAGAACAACCGGCGAGACGCGGCGTACATGGCGATCAGCAATGCCATGACCATCAGTGTCATGCACGGCATCCACAAGGGCGTGTCGATCGACGAGACTGGCGTGAGGACTTTCTGGACGGTATACGTCCTGGACAGGTGAATGCATTCCGCTGTTGATACTCCTCGGCTGGGGCCGCTAACCATTTGTTCTCAGGTGGCTAAGCTGCGTTATGGGGCGGCCTCCAACGACCCCTGATGACGCTATCACCCTCCCGCTTCCCAGGGATTCGCTGTACGTGCCGCCTCAATAAATTGTCCACGCCGTCCTGTGTGCTAACAATAGCCTAGCCGCGAACCGCGTCTACCCCCATCAGATGGCCTGCGTGCGCATGTGGAGCTATGTAAGATTTCCGACTACATCGTTTACAGCAGCTACAGAGAGTCTGGGGTGGCTCGCCTCCTCACCAATGCGACCGCTCGCGTCGACAAGGCTCTGGAGATGCTTCACAACTGGCATGAGAATCTACCAGAGTCTCTTCGTCTCCCTGACCCCCTGAGCCTCCTACCGGCCGACCTGTTCACCCAGTCCAGTGGCTTCCAACAAGGTCCGGCGGCCATGCTGAGCGGAGCGGCTGAGTTCGGACAAGACCGGGCATGTTGGGCCCTGCATATGAGCTACTACCAGGTGAGATGAGGAGGACGCGTACTGTAGTGGGGCACGGACGATGCTAACTGGGGCATACTAGCTCATAATCCTAGCAGTCCGGCCGGCGATGCTTATGGCGGTTGCGAAAGCCGTCGCTAGCATCCTGGTCATCGACCAGCCGTTCGACATCGAAAGCCATCCATCGATCCAGCCAATACGGGCTTGCAGTGACGCGGCGCGATGCAACCTCCGGCTTGGTCGGCTCATGCATCTCCACAGTCCACGGCAGAAGCTGCTGCTACCCGACTTGCACAACGTCTTCAACGCGGCCATCATCCTCACCATGCATCAGATCGTCTTTGTAAACCTGAGAACCCAGGACCTGGAGGATGTCGGCTGGGCCAGCGAGGTCTTCGAGACGGAAGCCGAGACGGGCAGCGAGTACGCCAAGGACTGTGCGGGCGTCCTGCGGGACCTGAAGTATCTCGCGCAGCAACTACGGAATCCCATCCACGATCCGGCGACGAAGGATCGGCTCTTGTCTGACGAGTCACTCCTCCGCCATCTGCAGGCAGTGGAGCAAGCCATTGCCGTAGAGATGATGCTTGGAGGTGGCGACGGTGCGACGGCTGTTGCTGCCAACGGCGCCATGGCCTCTTCGGCGCTCCACTCGAGCTCGACGAACGGCGCGTTCTACAAGAGCGTCACGGCCACCTATGGCAAGCTGTCGGATTGGTGGAAGGCTGATTATATGCACTTCTATAATACGTTTCTTTCCTAGTTTGTCCGACCCGGCTGTTTCCCGCGATGGCGTTGCAGTATACTATGGGTTAACGAGTAGATACCAGGCTGGTGTGACACTGTTTCTTTTCATGAGCTACGCTTTATTTTTGTGTGTCTGGCTTCGGGGTTACTGGCAAGATGAAAGGGACCAATCTTCGCTATATCATTATTACAAACTCCCAAAAAACCGTTCCTGCTCGGCTTGCAGCTTCTCGGAATGTTGTGCGATCTGCTGCACCGTCCACAACCCAGACTGGGTGACGTATGCATCGACCAGACCGGCAGGAACCCACTCGAAGAAGATGTTGCGGATCTCGATCTTGACCCTGCCGTCTCTGCTGCTCGAATTCCGGATCGCGGCGGCTGCACCTCGGACCCGTCCGCTATTGTACTCGGCCTGCCAGGCCCGGCTGATCTGTGACGGATCGTTATCCTCCACGATGTGGTCTTCTCGCCGGCCCGGGGGGGCGATCTTGTCGGATTCGCCCAGCACGAAAACCTTGGCCCCCGGGCAGACATGCTTTGCGCTGAGCACGGCCGGGAGCGACCCGGTCTTGTTGCTGACGTCGCCTGAGGCGGAAATGCGGTCGGCGCCGAGAAGGACGACGTCGATGTCCGAAGCTGCGAGGGCGGCGGAGGCGTCGGAATAGATGATTATTGTGTGCTCTGCCTCAGCGGATGACGGACCACTACTAGTAGTACTGCTGAGATCTTCGGCCAAGGACGCAGCCAGAGAGAGACCCTCATACAGCGGGCGGGACTCGAGCACGCGGAGGTCGAGCACAAACCCCGCCTCGAGCGCCGCATCACGGAGGCCCTGACGGATGGTTGAGCTCTCGGAGAGGGTTAGGATGGAAATTGGCTCGTGTGCAGCTCGCTTAGACGGGAAGCTCGTCTCGAGATAAGCGGTGAAGGCTTGTGAGATGCGCTTTGCTGCTTCCTGGCGTGCTGCAATGCGTTCGTCCAATTCGCGGAGAACGGCACCGCGTAGTGGACCCGGCTCGGAACTCTTCTGCATCATCACCTGCTCAATGCCCGCGAGCGCAGCCAGAAGCGCGCTCATGATGGCGGCGCCCATACTTTCCCGTCCATTCTTCCACAAATGCCACGCCGCAAACCGCACCTTCTCCCACCACTCTTCGGCCAACCCGTTCTCGCCAGGGCCATTCATCTCCGCTAGAACTCCCCTCAGCGTCTGCAGGGCCGCACCCGCCATCTGGCGGGCACCACTCTCGTGATCCCGTGCCAGGGCCTCAAGCCCCACGGAAAGGACCTTGCCCGCCCCCGCGGGGCCGAGGTCTGTCTCGAACCACACCCGCCGCAAACTCTGCGCCAGCCGCGGCACGCTTCCTGGGTAGTTCCCGTCCCCATCCGCTTCCCGGATGATGGCGTCCGGGTCGTGCCACGTCCAGTCTTCGTGCTCCCAGTCGATCTGGATCTTCTGCTCGTCTGTGGCGGGGTTCTTGAGTTGGAACAAGAAGGGGTGGACGGTCCATTCGCGCCGGATGGATGGGTCTTTGAAGCTGTAGGGCTTTCCTTGGCGGAGGAGGACTAGGGAGGTTGGTGTGAGCGTGGTTTCTTCCTTGATCTCGCGCCATGCGGCCGAGACTGGGGAGGGGTCGAGGGCCGGGTCGATTGTTCCTGATATCGGGGCCAGATGGTGTCTGGTTGTTTCGAGTCAGACTTTTGGACATTGAGTTCGAGGAATGTTTGTGAAGGATCAATGATGCGATTGGGGGACCTGGAGATGCCAGATGGGAGAGATGACTCGGTGAGGACTGCCGAGGAATGTGGAGGGCGATGCGATGTCCGTCCTCATACTCTCATAGCCGGAAGACCTACTGGTACGTCGAGACCTCGTCGCTGCGCTGAAAGAGTGCGATGCGGGGGCGTTGTTCATCATCAATTTTCATGAGGAAGGAAGATACCACGGAGCGCTTCTTCCACTCACCACCCGAACTCGGTGTCGTCGCCATTCTCACAGGATACGGACGGATATTTCAGATCACACTCCTTGCATTAGGCGGTGTGGGTCAGTTAGTTGGAGCAATGACAGATTTCTGCGTGTCGGCTTGGTGAATTGCATCCAATGACGAGCTGCGAGCTCCGTGAAGCGGTGTTGCAAGCTCCCTGTCACAGACACCCTCCGGTTGGCAGCGGCATGATTCCGAGGGGCCAGGAGCTGTCCGCCAGCTGTCGGGCAATTGGCATAGGTCGTCTCTTCTCTCGACGGGAACACTTGCCAGAAGCGGGGCACTGCAGGTTCAACACCAAGAAGGCTTTCGCCCTTCATGGTCTTCATTATTATTATGTTCACTATCCATTTCCGCTTCTCCCATATATACGTCAGTTCCCTGGTTTGCCTAGGCTATATCATGATTATCTTCTTCTTCGTACCGCATGACACTCCCTCTTTTACCTCCGACCTGCAGCTCTGCACCCTGCAATCTGCGTAGTGCGTATCCCTCATCCAACAGCACACCCTACCCTACTCACTCCGCCAAGGTTGGTGCCTTCCCGTTGCTTGTCTGAGGTGAGTCTTGTCCTAATAATAAAGGTCAGTTAGTATCGAGTTTGCTCAGCGGACCATATGATTGTGGAAGGCTGAGGGAGCAAGCTTACAAGCTGCACTGTGATGCCCAGCTAGGTTATTATACAGTAGTACCATCCGCGCTAGATTGCCGAATGGGCGAGGTCTCTCCGTTGCTACCAATCAGCAGTCACTAGTGTATCTTTGCCGCTCCTTAGCTCTGTGACTCTGAACTATCATGGGCTGCATCTCCTGAGTCTATGCGTCTACAGGCTTCGGCCACGCGACTAGCGCTCTCGGCTTTAGCCTCTTCTAGCCACACAGCATCGAGGCGGCCTGCGTATGCTGGACATAAGAGCCTGCACTTCTCGCTTCGTTTGCAGCCAGAGGTTGCGCTTCTCGAAGCCGAGCTTCAGGTCTCTCTCCACACATTTGCTGAGCCCGTGGAGATATATGTCTTATAACCGTCCCGGACGGCATTCTCAAACAACTGGACGTCTACGACCCCCGCGCGCGAGGTGTACCCGATGGTGAGCCCACAGGGCATCGGCATCGTTGCGGACGTCCCAGAGGAGTTTGGGGACGTCGCGATCCTCGAGGATCGTTCGAAGAGTGTTCCCGTTGGCACGGGGAGTGGTGAAAGCCGAGTGTGCGAGGGTCTGGACGTCAACAGTAGCTGTTGGTCCAGCCGGGTGTACGAGCACAGTTCAAAGAGTCGAGGTCCCGTGCCGACTGAGATTCTTGCCCTCGAGGTCTAAGCAGAGCGTGCTAGATTTGGGAATTTGCGAGATGAATGTGGCGAGCTCCGCCGGCGTGGAAAGTAAGACTGGGGATGCCATTTAACGTCTGGTGTCTAGGAAATCCAAAAAGAGTTTGCGGTGAATTTTCTTGGGTCTATACCTTAGCGGAGAGCTGGGTTGGCTGCTTTATAAGGAAGAGTCCTAGCTCTATTCTCTCTGCTATATCTAATGACTCATTAGGTTATCATTAAGCATAATGATTCGCCAGCGTCATGTGAGATGGTGATATATGACGTTTGATGATATAATACCTTGGGTTGCTTGTCAGGTTATCTCTGCTTGAAGTTCAAGTTACGTATCTAGTCTAGCCAGACACCACCTGGCTAGGTTACTACCCAGTATTGAACGGAAAGGTCTTTTATATACCAGCACGTGACCAGTTATAAAGGTTCGCACCCGTTGAGCTAACCCCGCGTGATATTGTGAAGTTGGTAACATATGATATAATACATCAGGTTGATTGTTTGGGTATCACTGCTTGAAGCCGCCCGGCGCGGCCAGATACTGTTTGGCCGGGCTTTAGGGTCGAGACAGAAAGCTTTCGTCGTTTCACTTTCAATGTTCACCCGCAATATAGGACACGGGCTGGACGCATGCTGGTCATCGGAAGTGGTAAGTGGAAGAGAACCGTAATAGTAAGGTAGCCAAGACAGACCGATCAGTGATGCCTCGGACATGCGGGAGTCTGGAACGATGCAGGCTAGGTGACCCAGGTATCGTTTTCAGTTGGCACACGACTTGGAGGGAGCCGTTTGCAGAAACAAGTCTTGCCGTACAGCCAGACCAACTGGGCGCACGATCAAGCCACATCGCATCTCGGTGGCCCTGGTCATCAGCTACGCCGCTGCTACGGCCCACAAGCGGCTCTCCGCCGCTCGACATCACAACTCTGTCTTATCAAACAGAGAAAACTTGGAGAATGACTTGGCTAACCCGGTGCTCTAGACTCTCCGTTGTTCTGAACGGGCTGACCAGAATCACTACCCCTGCCCCTGCGGCAGACGCCCAGAACGCGTCAGTGTGCAGCTTGAGAGAAACAGCGATTGAGCGACCAGACCACAGTGTTGTAGGGGGCAGTGTTGTACGCCATGCTGCGCACCACCTAGTCGTCAATCCTCGTTGCCGCGGACCTGAAATCAGCGAGTAGCATTGCCGGTCACACCACCGAGTTCCCGGGTGACGAGCCTGCCATCCTTGTGCATATTACAAGTATGGGCCACCAGAGCACCGGAGCACATCATTCTCTATGACAGACCTTGGTTGTAACTGCGACATGTACCTGGTCGTGGGTATCAGCAGGCGGGGGTGGGTGGTTGATAGAGATTAATAAGAGTGTCTAACAACAGACTTAGATGATAGCATTCTCTGTGTGGGTATCAGCTCTGTTTACGGCAGCATACTACTAGATTAGATCAACCCTAAGCACCCAAATTTCGGCAGAAATTCCGAAAATCATGACCCTCGACAGTAACTACTATTGAGCAACGCTAATCCCCCCAAGCATTCAGCCCCCCCTTCGCAAAGACAAACCATCACCAGCCGCTCATGACTTTCACTCTTCATCCCAATTGACCCACTTCCCTTGCTTAAGACAGCTCGTATTTCACACCCCCCTCTTTATGCAGCGGTTTCTGCGCCGTCGCCTCTCCGTAACCGCTTACGCCGTGGCTGGGCTTGCCGTCGCGGTTCGAGCCGACGCGGGGATCGAGCGCGTTGGCAACACGCGACTTGTGTGGCCCGTAGGTGCCCTCGGGCGCATTGAACCCGGTGTTGCTAGCGAGCTTGGCCGAGTTGGTTCGGCGCCTTTTGATGGGCCTGAGACTGAGACTCCTCGGCTGCGTTTAGATTCTGACTGAAGAGGGAGCCGCTGTGTCGTGTGTGGCCCGCATTTGCACCTGCACTGCTGAGGTCGGTCTGCTCTGCCCGGGGCGGGGACACTTGTTCGGGCTGCTGTCCCTCGCTAGCGGTGTACGGGCCGCGCTTCTGCGCGTCGTACTCGGGGATCGTGGCTTCTTCGCGCCGCTTGGGGTTGACGGCGTCTTTGACGTTCTCGAGGATGTCGGACATATTGCCTTGGCTATATCAAGACGTATTTATCTCTTTGCGTGACACTAGTAGCTGTGAGCTGTAAGTTTGGGATGTTGGTCGGAACATTTATTTAACAAGTCGGTTACTTGTTGTTCGAGGGGGACGAACACGCAGAAGCTATGACGTCATGGATGGTTCCGGGTCGAGGGCCGTTGCCAAGAACCGAGGTACAATACGTAGGGTGGTGTCGTTCCTGTGGCAGGTGATCAGTCTAGCTAATAAAGGCAAGTAAGCTGTATTTCATACCTTACCTATAGGAGCTGGGCTGTTTCAGTTCCAGTCGATGAGTTAGGCAACGGGTCTGGATTTAATGCTTTTAGGCGCGCAGACTACGGCTAATGCTATCCAAGTCCTTCAACGTTGTTTTTATATACCTTTCCAATCCCACCACCTACCTGGTGCCTTTGACTGTGGTCTTAGCCAAGATTCCTTGTCTAAGAGTATCCGTACGATAATGAGGCTCCTCCTGGTTAGACACAAGCTGTAATACAACATCGATCGCACTGCTATCTCCCTTGGCCTCCCGCCTAAAGTACTTTGCATCTCCTTAAAAATCTCGCTCCTTCTCTTCTTACTTCTCAATTTGCTTCGCTCTTGTCTTCTCTTCTCTTCTCATCAAACTCTGGCACCTTCTACTAGTTCGTTCCTCCTCTTCTTGTTTCTACTTTAGTCATGCTGTGCTAGACCTGCTGGCTGTTACTAAACTCGAGGAGCTTGATGTACGCACAACCTTTTTGACCGTGTGGCGTGAGAGACATATCACTTAGGCTTTGGGGAGACGTTCCGGTACTCTCTTACATCTCTCCTACTACCAGTTTCTGTGTCGGGGGACGTCAGACTTATTTGAGACTGGCTTAAGGCTAGCTGATAGCCAGATACGTTGGTTGCCAAATGAAAAGGTCCTACCAGCGAAGTTCAACCGTCATATGAGTGTACAACACCGTGCTATCAGTCGCTGGTTAACCAAAGTTGCCGTATTTAGTGCTTTACAACCCCACATCTTCCGAAGCGCCCCCTCCTTAGATACGACGTACGCACGTGGTACGTAACTTAGTTGTTGCCACATCGCGTCGGGTATGGTATCTAATGTTGACTAAGCTCTCGAATGCAGATTACGAACATGCAGGCAACTTTAGGAGCGATAAAGTGCGAGATCAGTGTGTACATGCACCTAACAACTTACGTGATATGCGCCGATGCGGGTTAAAAAGTACTACAGCTATCCCTGATGGCCAATAGGATGGTAACTACTAGTAACAGCCATTAGAGCCATTGAAGTCGGAAGAGACAGATTGGTTGGACAATCCGAGAATGTCGAGGCATGTCGGGAAGCCGATGGAAGGCATCTAGTGCTGACTGTATTGCAGAGCCCATGGCTGTCGGTTTCTCCACTAGTTTAAAGTATTGATCTCCTTGGAGTCCCGAAAAGTACTGTGGTCGCGTGCATAAAGAAAACCCCCTAGTCAAGTACCTGTGGGTCACAACACTCGACGCGTTTTGACTAATCAGCTGAACTTATCGAGCCCCCTGTTTTTTCGACAGCCATCTCGTTCTCGTTAAACGCACTCAACGCAGTCATCGCAGTTGACGCACTCAACGTAGTCAACGCAGTCAACGCAATCCAGCAATATAATGGCACGGCCATAAGGGTCAAGTGGTACGAAACAGTTGACTACCGAACAACGCCAATACGTTCGAGTCTTATACTTCGATGCAGCCAAAAGCCAAGCTGAGATCCATCGTATCACTGGCTATATTAAGGCCTAGATCCGGACTACAATTCGCGCTCCTGATACAACTGCCTACTAGAGTACTAGCCGGCCTCGGACATTAATGCCAGAGTAAGAAGAAGAGCTTATTCAGTTTGTTTATTCCAGCAAAAAGACTCGTCGAATGGGCTTCCTCGAACTCTCGGCTATTATCTTCGCTAGGGTCTTCGGCGTTTGGGTGATCAAGCATGCCCTTTATCGACTCGGCTTCCGCCGGCGAGTTACTTGTAAGAAGCCACCGATTACCGAACGAACCTAGCAACTCCGTTTAGCTTAGGTGCAAGAGCATGAACATTGGACCCTTAAACAATAGGCAAAGATCCTTGGGACCGATAAGACTTGGGTTACTGGCGGGCTATATCGGAAGCAATATATTACCCGGCGGCAAGGTGAAGAGTACGATCCTACTTATATTATAGAAAAGCATTAACATAAAGGAGGCTGGATGTTCTAGGGTTGCTTCTCTGGCTTGGGTAAAGGCCCTAGACTCTTTTGGGAAAAGGACTGGGGAAGATCAATGCTAAGACGTACCGCGCACGAACTGTCCCTGTCATTCATGGCTAGATACAGATATGTAAGGTATAACTTGGTGAAGATCTAATCTTAATGCAAGATAGTGCTCCAGGGCATATAGCTGCAGAGACGAAGGAGATCTCAGGGAGAGAGGCATTGTTATGATGGAGTGGCCACCTTTCTCACCAGACTTGAACCCAATCGAGTCCTGTTGGAATTGGATGAAGGACTGGATTGAAGACCGGTATGGCCTTGAAGAAAGGCCCTCGTATGACAAGCTTCGCGAATATGTTAAGGAGGCTTGGGAGGCATTGCCGGACGACTACTTGAAGCAGCTGTTGGCCTCAATGCCAGAGCGCTGCAAAGCTGTTATTGCAGCCAACGGGATGCATACAAAATACTAGCTAGTGGTTTGGTATATTTAGTGTAGAAATAAGTGGGTATCATTGCCTGAATCAGCGAGGGTACCCCGCATGGAGGTTTTTATTACCCATCATACCACAGTAATTGTACTCTCATCAGAAATGGCTGCGACCTAACAAGTGAACAAAAATAAAATGGGCGTCGCTTCTTATCTTGGTGGTCTCCTGCAGTACGGAGTAAGAGTGCGGAGCAGCTGTCCGATGCGTGTCTGGTAGGTAACATCGTCCAGCGTTCCACAGCCAGGGATCACCGGCAGATGAACCAGGGACGGAACTAGGGCCGGGAACCGGGGGAACGAACGGCATGACCGTTGCTCCGTCTCGGTCCTAATTGTTCCGACTGGCTCAAATTAGGTACCCTCCATGGCGGCGCAGCTTAACTAAGTCCGGGAGGCGATAGATAATACCTGCCCGGAGATGGAGATAGGATTTGGCGGATGCTGTATGTCAGCAATCCTAAATGACCACGTCAACATAGGGTTGGCTACTATAGGCAGCAAGACCATTGCGAAGAAGGGCCGTTATTGGGGAGACTACGGTCTGACACGTAACGCCGGGAGACCGAGCAAACCCCCAAGTCCGATTAAGTCCGATCGCCCATTGCGACCGCTGCACTAGACGTTGGGCATCCGGAACCTGTGGGTGCATGCATTTTCTATAAGACAGCTCAGGTTGCCTTTGCAATTTGCTCTACCGACATCGCTCATCCTTCTCTCAGTTCCCCTGCTTCCCAGTGGCCTGCCATCTTGCACTTGCCCTCTCCTCACTTAATACTAGTTCTAGTGGTAATCGTACCTCATAATCTCATTTCACCCGCCGCCATGACCAGCCGACCCTTTCCGGAGCAGCCGGCGCTGCACACCGTAGCACAGCACCGCGCTGGGATGCTGACATACCCGGGAAACCTTCGGGAAGCACTGCGTCAAGCACAAGCAGACCCAACCAAGACATTGCTCGGTGTCGCACAAGGGATACCGAGCGTTTTCGTCACGAAGGTCCTTGCCTCCACCCAGCCCGACTTCATCTGGCTGGATGTTGAGCATGCCATGTTTGACCGCTTGACCCTTTTCGAGTACGTCGCTACAGCCGCGGGAAAAGCCCATTGCTGTTGCCATTTACTGACACACCGCAGCGCCATTCAGGCCGCCCAGCACCACTCCGAAGGGAAGAGCATGGTGGTCGTCCGCGTTCCCAAGAACGACGAGACCGCTTTGTCGACAGCGCTGGATGCAGGCGCTGCCGGCATCATCATCCCACACTGTGAAAGCGCCCAAGAGGTCAAGGACAAGATCAAGGAAGCGTTTTACCGTACGTCACAAGGCACAACAGGCCCAGATCGGATCCACCGGTAGTGGCGGTTCCTACTAACACCGAGACTACACCTTATAGCTCCATTGGGCGAACGGTCGTTCAGCCCCTGGACCTTTACCCCTGGCATTTCCGACAGGTCGCTGTACCCGAACGACGCGTTCAACATCCAGACCTCAAACCGGCACATCTGCGTCATTCCGCAGGTCGAGAGTGTCAAGGGCATCGAGAACATCGACGAGATTGCCGCAGTCGAAGGCGTAAGCGGCCTGATGTTCGGGCCGGGCGACTTCAGCATCGATGCCGGTCTCGAGCTCAAGCTGGGCGGAGAGCCGCACCCTACCTTCATGGCAGCGATGCAGAAGTTTGTCGCAGCCGGCAAGAAATACGGAAAGCCTCTCGTTGGGTAAGTTCTCTTATCATCCTGCCAAACTTCCGGTGGCTCCTTGACTGACAATAAACGTAAACTATAGTGCTGCCCAGGTCCCGCAGATGATCCCTATGATGATCCAGCAGGGCTATGGCGCCATCGCCGTAGTCTTTGACTACTGGGGGCTCGCCAACATGGTTCACAACGGGCTTAAGGAAGCCAAAGGGATTCTGGACACCGCCGCGGCTTCCCAGTCGAAGACTGAAAACGGGGATGCGGCTAACGGTAGCGCCAAGGCCTAAGAACAAAGGCCTCGCTAGGATATTGTTATGGGTTTTCATTTTGGATATACTAGAAGATGGCGAGGGTCATAGAGATAGAGGGTAATGTCTTTATCTGTGCTGTCATAGATCAAGGTTTGATATAGCCCCCGGTGCAAATACCGACTCTTAATGGTTTTCTCAATGAATCGTCCGCGCTCCGGCCACTATAGTGTACATTAGTACTTAGCACTGACCTTGACCATTCCAACAAGTCACAATCTCCCCCCTGGCGGAGTTCGACTTGTGCACACTAGTACTACTGTGATATAATGATCGTGTTGGCCCCAAGCTCTAAAAGGGGTGCGTCTAAAGACAGTTTTACTCATCATCGCCACTCCTTGTGAGCGCTCCAGGTTCTACCTTCATCGACGCCGACATCCCGATAGCCTCCAAGCAAGTCATAACGGCTTCGGTCTACCCACTCGTGCACACCGTAGCCAAGGTCACCTGGTAGGCAAGGGGAATGTGACGCCTTGAGCGACCAGTACTACTACCGCATCCCCAAGTACTACTACGATTGTGAAGGTCGCTGCTAGCCGGCGGCGACCCAATGGATGACTCGCTGCCTAAGGTCGCGGTCATGCAAGGGGGTGAGACCATATCATTGCCGCAAGATAAGAGCACAGAGCCGTCCATGGACCGGCCGGCAAATTCAGAGGACGCTTCTGGAGCGGCAAGCATATCCACCTCTGTGTTGATATGCGTTAGTCGGCTCGTTGGAACAAAACCACACCTAATTATATCGCCGGGAGGGATTCGGCACAACAGGCACAAGTGGCCAACAAGAACTCGCGTAATGGACAGACGGCAGAGATGGGGAACGAAAGTGCTATTGGCACCGTTGTCGGAATCCCCAACAGGGCCCACGGAGCTTCTAGGCATAATCTCCAACAGCCTCGGATCAAGGTACGTAGTACTACTCACCGCGGGGGGAGCGGAGACAGACACCACACGACCTCGGGCACGCAGCTACTGGGGGGATGGGTGTTGGTAGAGGCGTCGTCCGGTCGTGCGGCGGCATGTCTGGGAGGAAGGTTGCACCCATGCAGGGCCTGTCAATGTAGTCGCGGGCCACACGGTCGAAGACACACCCGCCGAGTGCAACAGGTCACGCTCGTGAGCTGTTGGGCACGTGGAGGGGGGCAGGATAGGCGAGACGGCTCATGTTCATCCTCGTTGCCACTAACGAATCCGCTATCTGTGCGGTCGCCTATGCCCTCATCATCAATCTCTATCGGCTTTGTGGAGCTGAGCGGCTTGGGCTGCTTTCTAGCATGAGCACGACTAGGATCCGCGTCGACGTTTGCTGGCACAGCATCCGCCACAGTCATGTCGCTGCTATTAGGAGGAGGTGCCACCATATCTCTGAATGGACTCTTGCGGCTTTGCTCTTCCATCCTCTTGGTGTTGTTCCGTGCACAGAGAGGTAGGTTCGAGCAGCGGCTCTTGAGCGCCGATGTGGTCCGCTTGGGCGAGTGTGAGATGGAAATGGTGGCCCAGTTCGTCCCGTGCGTCAGCACCTCGTGGAGCAGGCGGCCGTCTTCTGTCGGCCTCCGGCCGTAATGGTTGATGCCGGGGTCCAGCACCTGACTCCGATTGCTGGCACATTGGTCCGCACCTCTGGCCATGACCGTCTTGACTACGTTGATCCAGGCAGGGCCGAACTCCTGTACGGCCTCATTCAGCCGTTTGTCCTCTTCTTCCGACCACGTGCCTTTGGTCGTGCCAGCTACTCAGCTGTTCCACCACCGCCGCCGACAGTCCGCCGTCCAAAATGTTTAGGTAGAGCTCCTGGAACTAGGAACCCGCGACAGCTTCCCGCGAGACTCCTATAACGAGATGCTACAAGACTGCGTACACGTCCGGGTCACTGGCCTACTCTTTCCCGGCTTCTAGGGCCTTAAGCTTTCGGATAAGTACCCCGAGATACCTCTCGTCCACGGCCTGGAGATAGAGGCCCTAGAGGAATTCCTTGTTAGACCTTCCCGGGATGGGACTTTGCCAGCTCCCGCCGTAACAGGGCCAAGATCGTGTGAGGGCTGGCAAAGAGCGTTAATAAGAGTATGTTGTCAGGTGCACCACATGGCTTCTTGCAACCAAACGTACCCTGATTGACTGCTTTACACGAAGCGTAATCTCCTTCGGCGGTCCAGTTACGTCTGGCTCGGGCCATCCCGGCGATGTGTTGAACAGGAATTCCGCAGCGCATAAGGGACAGACTGGACAACATCTGACCCGACGGGATGGCACCAAGGGGGACCATTATACTCCCTCCATGCTCCTGCGGTCTTCATGAGATGTTGCCGGAATGGGAGTCCCCGACACGGCTACAACTGCAAAGTGCAATGTGCGAACCTTCATTCGCAGCTGGAGCAGCCCGGAGTTGTGCAGTTTGCCTAGATAAACCCAGCGCACATCTACTTCGCTGGATGCCAACGCCGGCGTCATGAACAAACGCCCAACTAGTAACCTACCATCACTTTGGACATCTCGGTCTGCAAAAGGCACAGCCTCTTCGATTTTCTAAACTAAGGTACCTATGCTGAGAACATATAGGGGACAATACCCTACACGCTAGCATATCATAGGTACCTTAGGTACCTGGGTACAAAAGACTGGATATACCTCGAGATGCGAGATATAGACCCGCCCAGCGGTCTATGTTCAAACCCCCATGTCATCCGCATTCCATGTGGTGCTTTGTCTTGATCTTCACGGCCTACCCTTGCCGCGACATTTGATGCACGTCGCCGTCCCATTGCCGGTCCCGCGGCAAGTCGGACATGTGGTAATACTAGTCCGCTGAGTCTGCCGTCCTCGCTGATCCGGTTCCACAACCGTTGTTCTGATAGTACGGGCTCCTTTGCATGTCGTGCAAGCCTCTTTGCCTGTACCTTGGCAGCGAGAGCAGTTGCTCATGTTGGATTGCTAGGTGAGCATCTTGTTAGTATTATTCCTTGCTTGTTGCTCTTGAAAGCGGGCTAAGTCGTAGCTTGGCGCAATGTAGTCCCAGGGGTTTGACTTGGGCTACGGAAACCGCGATTGGGCTTACTTTGATGAGGTTTTGAGTTGCTTAGTGCGGCCTGAAAAGGCGAAAGTGACGGCGAACTGTAAAGTAGGTAGGTAGATAGGGATAGCAGCGCTGCTTGGTGTATCGAAGAACGATTGCTTGGGAAAGAGATGCTGTTGAGGGTAGGTAAAGCATGTTTGCCTCGACCTTATATATCTTCATTGACTGGGAGCTACAGGCAACAAAGAAGGGCACCAACTACCGCCCTTGGAGGCAGCCGACGGGTCTTTCTCGCCTCGAAACCACGTCGTTGGCATCGGGCCACCGCCCCGGCTATGCTGTATCATAGTCGTGGTGAACTTTATTCTACTTTCTAAACTTAGTGGAAGCCAATAGGCTAGGTTGTTACCTGAGTTAGTAGCCCGTAAAGTCGGGCTCGGCGTTAAGACAACTCAGACTCAACTGTATTATCAGACTCAGAGTCTCGTACTCAGAGTCGAGGGCGCGGATTCAGCCTCCGACGCAACCTCAAACTCAAATTCTACTTGATCCCATACCATTGTTAGGCATTACTTTTTGGAGGACAGGCAATCAAAATCTGATGGCGGCGCGGCGATGATTGTGTCAGTTTCGCGGGAGTGACAAGGTTCTCGATCCGTCAAGACTTGGGCCGCGGAACAGCCCTGGCGGATGTCACATAGAAAAGCGGCCGAAGAAGTAGAACAAGTGTGCATCAAATACATTGTGAAGGACCGGCCTAAAGATCCGATACATAGACGCTTCCTTCAAGTACTCTTGCACCGGCTCCCCCAGGTCCTAGGGCACTAGACAGACCACGCCTCTTATTGGAAAATTGAGCAAGTATGAGCGACCAACGACGGAACCTCAAAGACGTAACGTACTCTCGCATAAAAGCATGCCATCATTTGTTCGTCCTCACCGGCACCAGCACATGTACGCAGTGATGATTGTACCAATAACCGTCGCAGCACCCGCCACGATTCCAACGATTGCCTCAACACTTAGATTCCCGGCGAAGTTCTGCTTCCCATTATTCTCCCCGCCGTTCCCGTCCGGATTTGGGGTCTCGGAACTTCCGGCGCCTGAAGAAGGATGAGACAGTCAGCCGAGCCCCGTGACCCTCCTCCCAACAACATGGAAGAACGATGATCGGTTACATACTGGATCGTCCGGACCCTGGCGTTGGTACAACGTGGCCCGCAGTGTCTGTCGGCGCTGTTTGGGTGAATACTGTGGTGTATACGATGCTCTCACTCGCGACTTGCTGGACAATGCCAGTGGTTAGCCGCCAGGCGCCCCCCTCTGACAGGAAACACGCCACCTGCAGGTCTTAGTTACCTTGAACTGGACATTAAATGTCCCACATTCGTTTCCAAAAAAGGCCATGATGCCATTGTACGTGTCAACACTATACATGCCATCGTTGAATGGGTCGAGTGCTATCATGCAGCTGTCGGTTTCGTCGGACATGAACTGTGGGCTGGCGCAGAAACAATTCTTGTTGCTGCAGCGCGACAAGTAGCATGGCGATCTAACATCGGCCACCGCACACAGCCTTTGATTTGAGTTGAGCTGTTTGTAGCCTTCGGTGTTGCTGAATATTACGCCCATCTCGGACGAGGCAAGCACCCCTCTTAGGCATAAGAGGAATGAAAAGGCCCCGATCGCAGCGGCGGATATGCTAGCCATGGTCGTCCCTTGCGGCTCTCGGCTTGAGTTCGCTTTCGATGAGATTGTAAAGTGGTTGAGAGCGTTATGCTGGAAAGATCAAGGAAGAAGCTTCCCAGGGAATCTCTCGGGAGGGGGGCGGAAGTGTTTCCATAATAAGGCTTCATGAGCTGAAGTCCCACGAGCAAGCCACAGCGGCTACGCACCACAGAGACCAGCATCGCTTCGCCGCTAACCTGCATGCAAAATTGGCGGGCGCGGGTCGCAAACTTCTCCTGGCTGCTTGAGCGTCTTCTAATGGCTTTTTGGGTTACGGTAGGGACACGCCCCTTGTCTTCAGTACAGCGTTGCGTTCGCCCGTCACGCCTGCCCTTGCTAAGAAACTTCCTTGGCCTCCGCGGCCACATCTGCATATCCATTTCTCCTTACCAAGCTTCGACTCAGAGAGTCAGCACGTCCCGGGCCACGTTTCATGGCAGCGGTGATCTAGTTGACCCACTGCCCTCTTGCAGCAGCTTTCCAGCTGAAAGCATTGGAAGCCGTGCGGCGGCTCGTGGTCTTCCCTACCTAATCAGGTAGGCCTTCGGACATCCCCAGTGCCACAGATCAGATCTTTACTGTCAGCATCAACATCCCATCAAGAAGTGGACATACCGCTGGGACGCCAGATACAATTCTGGCCTGTTTCCAACGATGCTCTACTGCGTCACTCCCGTCCGCTGATAGTACTTCCAGAGAAAGAGAGAGACTCCGCGTCTTGTTCCCTTTGATGAACTTCTCTGGGAGCTTGAAGTCCCGGGCATCTTCAGCTTTTCTGTTGAGCTTCCCAATGCGAATTCCACATCCCGGGATTATGGGAAGCGCGAGCAGGAGCAAATCGAGCGATTTGTATGTTTGTAACCCCAACACGTGATTCCGTGACCCGCTTGAGAGACTTAAGATTCGTAAAGCGTTTTTGCCCAAGACAAACCTGAAAAGTGGCACTGGGTAGAATTCGTCATGGCAAATACACTTCATAAAACAATAACAACGACTGTGAAACTATAGAAACAGCAACCTCACCACGGCGTTTTTATCACAGGGCGCTTTCTCTACTGTGTACGCTTCGGTGGCACACACTGTGGGGTTGTCGCAGGCTTGGATACGGCAAGCGTCTATCGCTGGATTACCATTGGTTCGATAAGGCCAGTCGGCACTGAATGCGCGCGACATCCTACGGTACGTACCGTAGGTACGTGGAATCTTGAAACACTCCGATGTCTTACCGCCCTCGTCACTCAACCTCCCGGCCCAACATCATCCTACCGGTAGCCGCTGCGTGACCATGCCATTGATGTCATGACGAGGGTCGCCGCCAAAGGACCACAATTCACAATGTCCTCGCCACCAACGCGCTCGAGCACCGAGGAAAAGCGCGCTAGACACGAGCAACCGCATGAGCTTGGAGACCTTGAAGCCCTTCAACACGTTGACCAAGCCAGCACCATAGACGACCGAAATTCGCGTCGATGCGTCACTCCCGTCGGCCGCCTCGTGCTGTCCTTGATTCTTCGCTTCATCCGCTACCCGTTAACCGGCTCCCTCCGCTTGAGACCGACTTCATGGCTAGACGGCGTGCGGGGCGTCGCCGCCATGGCCGTGTACCTCTTCCACGCCATGGGCTGCTGGGCCTCTGTGGTGCCTGCTTGGCGCGCCGATGATGCGCAGACTAGCTTCCTGCAGCTCCCACTTGTCCGCACCATCTTCGTCGCCGGCGGAGGGGCTGTCTCGGTCTTCTTCGTCCTCTCCGGTTACGTCCTCACTCAGCGGTGCTTGCGCCTCATACGCGCGGGATCGGGGCGCGCCGTGTACCCGGCCGTGGCCTCTTCCGCATTCCGCCGGGGCTTCAGGCTGTACCTCCCGCCGATCTTGTTGACCTTCTGCGAGATGCTGATGTCGCGGCTCGGCTTCCCGCCACCTCTGAACTTCTCGTTTGTGCCCGAGCCCACCCTCCTCGGCCAATTTTGGGACTGGCTGGCCGAGACCAACCGTCTGGTCAACCCACTCTACAACTTCCGGCGCGCGATCCGCGGCTCAGTCACGCATCCGAAGTACGACGCCGTGATCTGGACGATTCCCGTCGAGTTCTACGGCTCGATGGTGTGCTACATTCTGTTGTCTCTATTGGCACGCGTCTCGAGTACCGGCCCAAGAATGGGTTTTATCGCCGTCTTTTGCGTCCTAAGCATGGCGTTCGGGTACTGGAACATCTTTTGCTTCACTGCCGGCATGTTCGTCGCCGACATTAACCTGGGCCAGGAGGAAGACGACACTGTCATCAAGACCGGTCGTCCGCCGCCCAGGCGGACGCTGCTATGGAGCTCGGCCTTTGCGATCTCATTCTACCTGGCCGGCTTCCCAACCCTCGTTTACAAAGAAGGCAGAATGAAGCCGATGCCCGGGTTTGAGACTCTGCGCGCGCTCATCCCGGCGGGCTTGGACATGGAAGACCCCGCGCGCTTCTGGTGGTCTGTGGCGGGCGCCGTGTTGCTGCTGTCCGTCTCGCAGCTGCCACGGCTCAGGGCAGTCTTTGACACATACCTCTGCCAGTATATCGCAAAGATCTCCTTCTCGCTGTATCTGGTGCACGAGTTCTGTATTGTGCTCTTCGGACTGAGGCTCCAGGGCTTTCTGTTGCGTGTGGCGGGCGTGGACTCGCAGCACAAAGGTGTGGGTTATTGGATCATCTGTCTTGTTTGGTTTGCCCTGTTCACCATGCCCGTGTTTGCGCTGGCAGCGCAGGTGGAGCGGTGGATTGATGTCCCGAGCGTGAAGTTCGCGAAGTGGCTGGAAGAGAGGTGTCTGAGAATGCACAGAAGTCTGCGTTAATAAATGTGTGCATGTCCCAGCAGTCATGGCCCACTTAGATGACGCATAATATATGAAGGGTACTTGGCTTATCGTGACCTCTTTTAGACCACAGACGAGGGTGAGCACGCGCAAAAAATGATTCAGGTCCTCGGGAGACTGCAGACGGCTGAAGACGGCCCCGCTCACGACGACATCGTCTTTAAGCTTCCAGGTCAGGCCGCCACAAAACTCGGGAAGATACTGCTCGCGGGGACTTGCTCTATCAAATCTTTGGCTATGTCGCTTAGATTCAGTTCGAAGGCAAAGGTCGGGTTGAAGCACACAACACACGCAACATAGGGTCCCCATTGGTGAGTGTTTACAAGAGCTACTGTGTGGCATTCTGCAACCTCTTACTTATAATCTCGGACCCAGCGTCTGGCTGGACGAGTCCGAACCAACGAGCGCAGAAGTGGTGCCGCGTGCCTTCATCTTCTCCCCCACCAGTCCACCGGGCAAGCCCAAACCCCCGGACTTCGCTCATTTCTGGGATTTCAGTTTGCCGAAAGAAAGAGTTGGCTCGGTGTACTGTCCCGGAACCGGGAAGGCGCCATGGTCCCAGATGGTATAGAAGCGGCGGAGCAGCCGCTTGCCAATGAGGGCGAAGCCAGCGCTGCCCTGGTTATCGAACGGCGGCCAGCACGCGTCCTCTCGGTTGGCGAAACCCGGCAGAGCCAGCTGGTCGCCTGTGAGGGTGATGGTTTTTGTGGCGCCGTAGAAGCCGACCTCGAAGCTGATGGACCAGGTGTCGTTGAACTCGGTGCAGAGAGGGATGTGTTCGCCTCCGATGAGTGCCGTCCAGTTCATGCCGATTGAAGCATAGACAGCCTCGATGCTGTCAGGGGGCAAAGAGATGTGCGAGGCACCGGTATCGAAGACGACCGAAGCCGCGAACAGGTCCGTCTGAGCCTCGGCCTTGGTGCCGTTTTCCGTAGTGAATGAGCCACTCACGGAGTGCAAAACACTCCTCCACACATCGTAGTCCCCCGAGCGTTGAGTGAGTTGGATTGTCGCCATCTCTCCCTCAACATACTCCTCCTCTCTTGACCCACCCAGAGTCAATCGACCCTTGCTGTGGCCCCCCTCGGGACTGTCTGACTTGTCCTGATCGTAGTAGAGACCGAAGCGGGGGCGATCCAACTTCCCGCTCGCCATCAGTCGCTCGAAGACCGGAGTAGCACCACCAACGGCGATGCTACCAAAGGCAAGCCCCATGAAGCCGTGGTTGGGCTGGGCGGCCCAGTTGCTCTCGTTGGCTGCGATGAAGGGCTGGCTCCATGACAGCGTTCCGAACCTGAAAGTGTCGATAGCAGTAACACCGGCCACCCTTCCTCCCAGGTAGTCGATGGAAGCATCCTGATCTGTGAGATTGCCACTGGACGAGCTGGTGACATCGTAGCCAGGACTGCGATCAAACCTGCATCACGGGATGTTAGTTTGCTGCAACGGGTGGACGTAACACATTCCGAGACCACTGACCCGCTTATATTAGGGCAAGATTCAGCGCATTCCTTGTCGACAATCCAAGTGGACGCACTGCCCGTGTCAAACATAAAACGGTAGGTATGTGCGGGCGTGCCAACATCGAGCTCAACCATGTCCTGGCTGCGTTAGCCATAAGAGTAAGCATCAGCACCGGCAGGAGTCTACATACATAACCATTATAGATTATGATGGGCAAGTCGAGTACTGCAGCGCACGCAAAGGAAACCGCCGACGACGCTATCGCCGCAGCGAAGCGTAAAGACTTGACCGGTGACATCGTGTCTGGGGAAGAATGGCAATACTCGGACGAAACTCTAAGAGAGTGGCCAGCCGCCGGCATTTGTACTGCATCACCGTCACAGCAGTCCTTGGCTTGGCACGAAGCGCAGAGTCGCAGACATTACGAAGTACTACCCGTACATAAGAACTGAAGTGACCAGATACGAAGTAAGGGGGTGCCCACACCCCACACATCTCGGCGTGTGTGGCTCGTGCATACGAGAACATCCATTGAGGTTCAGGGGCTGGCTATCGGAGCAGGCCACGGCAATGCGGCATCGACAGGTACAATATGTACGATGAAAAGACGTCGCCCGCGGGGGAATTGCCGCCTTGTGCTGCGGAAAGCGGTGTCGTTTCCCCCTTCCTCTAATGTTAACGTTACTTATTTCTCCTCCTCTTCAAGTCTAGTTAGGTCCTTATCCCGCTCGGCGTACAGAATAGCTGCCGTCGTTTCGCGGTTGTCACCTCCTCGAGTTGTATCGTTGTCACCTCCTTGGGTTGTATTGTGGCGTGTTGCAGGCTTGCAGCACGGAACCGCTTGACAGCAGGATTCATGGAATGGCAGAGTGGCATAACCTCATCAGGAAGGTGTATAGAGACATAGCGGTCATATGCGCGAAAATGGCGCCGACTTCCGGTGCTTGACCAACCTAAGAGTTCGCACACGCGGCTTGTTGGATCTTCCTGTGATGGGTTGATGACTTGCTCAGTGCGCGTTTGGGGGTGAGTCCGGTGGTACATGTGCACGGTCCCTATGGCTGTGTAGCCACCCCACCAGCCGCTTGCGGCTGGTAACCTACGCTTATTACGAGAGTAAGGTCTGTGCCTCTCAAGAGACTAATAATCGCGTCAAGTCGCGACAAATCCAGTCGCTTCGCTTCCATAATTACCCCAGCCTCAGACATGGCACCCTCGCGACCAGAGTTGCGGCAGGCGACTCTCGATAGCCACTTCCGCCAGAGCACCAACCGGATCTCCAAGAAGCCGCGGCCGCCACAGGCCGAAAGCGAAAAGTCACGGAGTGTCGCGAGGCCGGCTGCCAATGCCAAGCGCTTGGGCGGAGACCGCGTCCTCACCGATGTGTTGCTCGCCATCAAGCCCGTGCACCTCGCCAACATCGCTAGCCAGCAAAAGAATCACGAGTACCGAAAGTACCGACTGCACGACGGCGTGACGCGCTTGTGGTTCTACGAGACGGGAGACGAGGGAGGCCGCTCGGCTATCACGTATGTTTTATTTGTTCCCCGCCATCTGAGTACCGCGTCAATTGTATGTTTGCTGACCAGGACGTGCAGACATATTGCGGTAATTCCCTCCTCGGTAAGGCGCACCCCCGGCACCGTCCCGACAGAGCCCTTTGGCATCGGCAACGACGACTTCAACGCCGGACGGAAGGAGTCGAAATATGGTTACCCGATCTTGGAGCTCTACGAATTGACCAAGCCGGTCGGGCTGGCGGAGATGAAGAGCCGCTGGGGGTTTGGCGCCCCGATGGGCTGGCGATACGTCGGCGCGGACTTGTGGGAAGACCGGTGGGGAGACGACGGGGATAATCGCGATGCCAAGGTGCGGAAGGTGTTCTGAAGACAAAGACGCCAAGTACGGTATTTCCGCTGCCACCAAAGAGCAATGTTATGCTCAGTCCCGTGTCAGACATGCAGCCAGCACCGAGCATTCCGGCTCACCCCAGCACCTCGCCTTGGATCGCAATCCTCTGCAGATACTCAACCGACCAACAGCGAAACAATTTCCTCGGGTCTGCCACCCACCGGACGACCTCATCCCACAGTCTTCTTAGCCCTTCCTTTCCGACCTGCTCCTTCAGCCGCACATAACTGCACAGCCCGTCCGACCGGAACAGCCGCATCGCCGCGTAGCCGCCGTCACGTACGTACAGCGACTTGCTCAGCTTGGCGCCGCTCCAGTCGACCACGAGCGGCGCGTACAGGATGTGCGGCGTGCGCCCCCTCGCGTGGTCCGTCGCCGCCGACCACGCTGCCAGCGGCCGATAGAGGAACGTCTCTTGGTACATGCCGGCGTAGTCGGCGCCCGTGACGCGCACGTGGTGCCTATCGGTGTCGAGCAGGTGTGACATGCTGCGGAGCAGGTTCCGTGTCGGCGCGTTAGCCTCTAGACGGGCAAGTTCATCGGCCGAGGATGTGTTGATAGTATGCGGGCCGTGGCGGGGGCAGTGGAACGTGATAGCCGCTGCTGCTGCTTCTGACGGCTTGGGGTCGGCTACTTTTCCAGGTCTAGTTGTTTGGTATGTGTACTGGTTGCGGCGGCCGTGTTTCTCCGCCAGGTGACAGCCTGGAACGGGACAGGCGGCGCGGACGGCGAGCGTCCCGTATGTGGGGGCGAGCTGTTGGCCAAGTTGTTTATGGTTTGCGACGAGGTAGCTGACAAGACTGGGCATGTGCGCTTGGGAGAAGAAATCGCGTTGGAACGAGATGTGGACAGGAATTCCAGACCAGGCGGATAGAAGGGCGAAGACTTCCTGATAGTCGGCTATACGTGTACCGAGAGCGTTAGGCACGTCCCGATAAGAGCGCTGGTACTGGATCCCCTCTACTTCGATGCCCTCGCTGTTCACTGGCGCTGTATCAACCAAGGTCATCTCGACCGAGACCGGCGGCGCCAGCCCGCCCGACATGCTGGCCTGTAGTCGATCTCTGACGGCCCTTGCCACCGCGAAAGTAAAGAAGAAGACAATAAGGGTGCCGCAATGCGGCGAGTTGTTTGGCTGCGCTCCCGCGTGGAAGATAATAGGTCTGGTGGGCATGGCTAAGGCTGCATGTTGATCATTATTGCTGCTGGTCGGACCGCTCCCGCTGGTTTCATCGTTCACTAGACCGAGAAGAATAGGACCGACGAAATCGTCCTTGAACGCGTAGGAGCCGGCGCCTAGCGGATCATGCACTTGGCCGTCGTGGAAGGCCGCGTAGAGGGCCGTGCCAGGCGTTAGCTTCCGCAGCAACCCGTCAATCGCCGAGAGCACTTCGCGAGTGTTGCTGTCGGGAGTGGGCGAGCCCTTATCCGTTTCGAGATTTCGGAGCAATCCGATGAGCTTTAGGGCAGCCGTACCGCGGCTAGTCCCCCCTAACTCACAGTTGTCTTCAGCTTCATTCCGATGGTTAGTGGTTTGCATTTCAGCTGCGCTTGGTTAGCTACTAGGAAGCTTGTATTATACCAGGAAGGTTAGAACCTAGGAGCAAGGGGTGGGGAAGAGGGTATTATAGTGGCATTGGTGGCTAAGTCGAGTGCCTCCTGCAGCGCCACCTAATGTAGGTTGCTCGTCGAAGAGGGGAAGATTGTCGATGCGGGGTTCATTGCGCGTTTCTTTGGACAGCTAATCTAAGCATCTTAGACTACGTGCGTGTACCGAACTCGCACGCGCAGGCACTACTAGGGCTAGCGCTCCCCTAGGACTACCTATAACATCGACACGCTAGAGGCTCTAGGCGCGTACGTCCTTACCTTCTCCGAGCTGTATTGTTGCGGGTAACCACGTGACTACATGGCCTCTTTGTCCTCCAGATAGCCCACCTTGCCCTGGGTTTCCCTCTCCTTCCAGGAACTTAGCTTAGCTTCCATAGAACAACCAACAACCATCTAGACAACCACCACAGTTGATATCTCCACGACTTCTGTGTGTGCCCTCCTATAGAAGGTGAGCTAATGAACGAGCACGTCTGCGGTTTGACTGGCGGCCGCGGCTCGCCAGGTGCGCATCAACCTTGATTGCCTTGTATACAGTGGGAGGCTAGACGAACCAGGTCCGGGCAGAAATCAGGCTGATCGCAAAACCGATTGGCGTTTTTGATAGCAATATGTAATGAAAATGGCCATAGTACAATTCCTATCAACTAGTCCTCAACAGGAACCGCCTGTGGTTGCCGAGGAATCCTAGCTCGTGAGCCGACTCCCTTGCTCTCGTCTTTATCAACGGGCCAATGAAAAGAAACTCTAAAACAACAACTTATACAAACTAACCACTGAACCAGATTCTATGGTTTCCAGTCATATACTGCGCCGACAACCATTACTACGAGCCCCGCGAGATTGACTGCTATCCAATAGCAAAAACGCAAGATGATCTAGCCATCCTTCTTTTCGACCGCCTTTGTCTAGATAAGGAAAACAACAGCAGTGACGAGAACAGCGAAATGGAGAGAAACCGGTGTGAAGAGGCAGTTGTCGATCCGGAGATCCCGGTGCACGATGCCGAGGGAGTGGAGGCAGGAAAGGGCATCGATAATACGTCTCGAGGGAGGAGAAGCGCGCCAGGACCGGTCCGCGAGTTAATAGCTTCTCAAAAATCAGCTCTCCATTGGCGGAGGCGCCGAGGAGATGGACAAGATGCGGAGAGAGAACGGTGCCGGGGCATGACCTCCCTGGCACTTCAAGAGGTTCTCAATCTCACTCCTGTATTTCGCTTTCTAGGTGAAATGCGAGGAGTCGACATCGATAAGCGGCAGCTTAGCAGTGAGGTCGGAAACATACTCAAAGTCGTCTTCATGTTCTGTAGGATGGTTGGGACATTTGTCGAGACTGCGGATGGTGTCTCCTTCGATTTCGTAGTGACCGTTCACCGCCGGTAGGGGGCGCTTAAGGCGAAGAATATCATCTGACAGTGTCCCTAGTAGATCAAAGAGGCGAACATATTGGCCCAGTTGCGTGCCGTCTTCGTACCAGATTCCAACGGCCGGTTTATCGCCAGGCACAAGCTCCATGTCCAGGATGGGCCGTCCCGCAGGAGGGAAGGCGTTAGACTTCTGTCGCTTCGGCTGATATTCTGCTCGAAGACGAGTGACTTCCTGGCTGAACATATCCGCGGCCCCGGGGAGGTGGTGGTCATGACTGCAGCAAAGACGACTTCCTAAACGCGTGCGCAGGAAAGCAAAGTTGAAGAACTGGGGATATATTGAGAAAGGTGGTTGGAGAAGCGAAACAAGCTGCGCAAGCGAACTCGGGAACCAAGTGCTCGTACGGGCCAAACGCTATACTGTGGATTTCCAGCTCTCACTCTCACCCTCACTCTCACCCTCACCCTCACCCTCACTCTCACTCTCACTCTCAGGGTTAGGGTTAGGGTTAGGGTTAGGGTTAGGGTTAGGGTTAGGGTTAGGGTTAGGGTTAGGGTTAGGGTTAGGTTAGGGTTAGGTTAGGGTTAG